GCTATTTCTATAGCGGACACGCTACTTTATGTGTAATGCACTTTCAATTGATGCTGAAGAGATCATACTCTACTCTTTCCTCTCTTACCCTGCCTTCTTATCTAGTAAATATACATGCTGTTCTTATATCCCATTCTCATTTTACATCTAAATCATGAATGAAATCATCATTGCTAATAACACCCCCCTCATCACACTCCACCCACTCATCCTCAGCCCTTCACTCGGCTTCACCTCTCCTGCATCATCTTCCTCTCCTGTCGTACACTTCGTAGGCTTACACCGCCTCGTTGAGGTGAGTGTTATTCTCGATGTGACTGTGGAAGTAGTCGTAGAAGTGCTAGTATGGGTCGACGTCTTTGTGACCCACGTGTCTGTCGTCTGCAGAGACTTACATTCTGCTGCTTTTGGATCTGTAACGGTTGTTGTTGTTGTCGTTGTCGTTGTGGTTGTTGTTGTTACATTTTTAGTTGTTGCTTCGTATGGTTTTACTTCCAGTGGTTTCAATCCATCACATGCTTTTTTGATTTCGGTGCATGCTTTCTTAATGTCTTCACATTCCTCCTTAAATCCACATCCCTTCTCTGAATCATGACATAATTCTTTTAACTCTACATACAAGCTAAATGCTTGAGATACTAAATCAAATGCTTTTAACTCCTTTTCTGTAACATATGTTTTTTCTGTCACCGGTGCGTTTATATTTCTTCTTACAAGTTTAAATAATACTGTGTTTTGTGTTGTATTCGGTGCTGCTGGTGCTGATCCTGATGGCGCTGATCCTGATGGTGCTGCTGGTACTGGTGGTGCTGTTTTGCCTGCAGATTTATCATCTGTTGCTTTTGCTTTTGATAAAACGAGATTTGCTTCATCCATTGCTTTCACTGCTTCAGTTTTAAGCTTCTCGTAATCTTCTTTTCTTTTAGATAGTTCCTCACTTGCCTTTGTGAGCTTTACTTGTAATACAGGGCATTGTTTTTTTACATGTTTTACTAATTTTTCGCAAAGTTCTTTCTTGACATCTTCATTTTGCTTGCCATTTTTTTTCTTGCTTGTGCACAACGTGCTAAGCTGATTGGTTGCATTCTCCCATTGTGTGCAGTATTTGTCAAGAGTACTTTTACATTCTTGCTCTGTTTTCAAACTACCCTTTAATTCATAGACCAGTATTTCTTCCAAATCCCTCTTTTTGATGAATGATTTACACACTTCATTAAGTTCCTTACATTTTCCACCACCAACAGTTAGATTCTGGCAACTTGACATAAACTTGCTGCAATAGGGTACCCAAGAATCGCATGTTTCCTCCATTTTTTTTTTTTTTTTTGCTGTTTCTACAACATTACTTGCTTCAACGCGCACTCCCAAGGTAGTACACTTAGACCCTACGCTTTCTGTAAGAATCTTGCAAGTAATATTCTGTGCTACACATGCGAATGCAAACTGCGTTCTTCCTCTTCTGCTCCATTCATGACATTGTTCTCCCAAATTTTTTAAACATGAATCGAACTTATCCAAATCCTTCACCTTTCCTTCCAAGAACCTCTCTTCCAATTCTTCTGCAATATTTAGTCTATTGCAATGATGCTCTAGCGTATGACAAGGCCATTCAAGTTCTTCAAAATCTTGTTTTAGATCGTCGCATTTCTTTCGCAATTCTTTGCAATCCTGCTTCGTAGGAAAATCTCGTTTTTCATTCAAATCTTCCTGCAACAAGCTTGTCTTCATATCCAAATCATCTAATAATGTAATGGCCCCGTCTTTTGGTTGTATACACAAGACAAATAACTGGTCATTTTTTTCTTGCAGACTCGCACATACCTTTACCAGCTCCTTTTGAACATTAAGTTGTGTATCATTTGTATCATGAAATTTCCCTCTCATTTTGTCTTGTAATGCTTGATTTGCTAGTGCATCAAGGCCTCTTTTATAACATGCTGCCTTAACATTCTTACATATTTTTTCAAAATCCGTTTGGCTTTCAAAATAAAAACAATCTGACTGTAATCTTGTGCAGTCATTTTTAGTAAGGAGTTTTGGTAATTCGCCCCATAATGTAATTTTATTTTCAAATAGTTTGTTTTCAAGTTTTCTAGTTAGACTAGTTTTTTCTTTATCAAATTCTTCTTTAAATTCTTCACATTTATCTTTATGAATAGTTTTATTTCCACATAAATTTTTTATATTTTCTGCCAAATATTCAATAGAACTACATTTAGTAGTGAGCACATTCTCGCATTTATCTTTATCAAAATTCTTTCCTGATAAAAACACCAATAGATCAAGAATATCTCTTTCTGGTGATCTTTGAATTACAACTCCTTGTGCTGCCGCTTCCTTATAAAGTTCCTCTAAACCTATTTTTTCTGCCAGCGTAGCCTCTGGTCTTGTAGGATCAAAATTAGAGTCTGGTGGTGTATAAACAATTTCTTTTTCTTTGCATTTCTTTTGCAAATCATCACACTTTGGTTTATCATCTTTACAACTTGGTCCATAAAAGTAGCATTCTTTAAGCAAAGAATGTCCTTCCTTCTGTATTTTACTGCTAGTTAGTACTTTTTCTACCTCTGTTTTTAAAGATTTACACTTTTTTTTTATTACTTGTAGTAGATTTTGACATGTGTATTCTGGATTTAAACACTTTTGCATCAACTCGTTATTTTCTTGACCCAACATAGGACAAATATCTTTAATTTTCTCTTTACACTTATCTTCATCTTCAAGACTTCCTTTAAGCGCTCTTAAAAGAGCGTTTTCTGCCACTTCCTCACGCTTTTTTTGATAACACTTATTTCTTAAAGTATTGCAATCTTCTGTAAGAACACTAGAACACGCTCCTTCCAAAAACAAGCATTGTTGTTCATTCTTTCTGCATTCATCATCTGATGGCAATGGGTTTTTCACTATCGTATCCAAAGTTGTTTTAAGTGGTGTGCATTTTCCTGTAATTTTATTTTTCAATCCTGTACACTTTTTATCCCTGTCTTCATCCTTGCAGATATCTTTTAGTTTTGAATAGATTTTATTTAACTTTTTATCTGCTTCTTTTAAGTTTTCACAATATTTTTTTAGTTTTCCTTTGCATTGTGATTCATCCATTGCACCTTCTTTTAAAATTAAAGCCAAAAGATAATCCTCATCTTCATATACATTTACTCCTGCTCCCTGTGCTTGTGCCCGCCGCTTAACCGCCCGCGCCACTGCCCGCGCCAAGCTGTGCCTGACGGGGGTGGGCTGCGCTGTGGTGTGTGGTTGAGTTTGGGTTTCCATTAACGTGTTTCGGTTGCATGTTAGGTGTTAAAGCCATGTCTTCAAATTTGAATATTAAATTATTTCTAATTAATTTTAAGGGTGTTCAAGTAAAAACTGAGATAACTGTGATAGGCAGGCATTATGTGTGCAAATATATTTAAGAGGTGTCCGCTTTAACGTGTAATTGGCTGCTTTCACGATATTTTAAATTTGTGTGGGGTAAATGTGGGGTAATCGTAAAACTTGAATAGATAAAAAGTAGAATATAAAAGGACATAAACGAGAAATAAAGGCTATTTAAACAAAGAATAGTGATCAATTAGATAGGGAACACGCGATTTCATATGTAATGCACTTTCAATTGATGCTGAAGAGATGACTCAATCTACTTTACTCTTTCCTGTCCTACCCTGCTCGTTTATTTACTAAATATACATGCCCATCATTAAATCCTATTCATTTACTTTTTAAATCATTATTGAAATCATCATTGCTAATATCACCCCCCTCATCACGCTCCACCCACTCATCTTCAATCCCTCATTCGGTTTCACGTCCTCTGCATCATCCCCTGTCGTACACTTGGTTGGTTTGCAACGCCTCGTTGATGTGAGTGTTATTTTTGATGTAATCGTAGATGTGATGGTAGATGTACTCGTGTGTGTCGATGTCTGTGTAACCCATGTATCTGTCGTCTGTAGGGATTTGCATTCTGTTGCCTTCGGATCGGTAACGGTTGTTGTGGTCGTCGTGGTCGTTGTTGTGCTTTCTGTGACTATTTCGTGCGGCTTCACTTTCAGTGGTTTTAGTTTCGAACATACTTCTTGTATCTTTTCACACACATTTTCTAAGGCTTTGCAATCTTTCTTAATTCCGCAATCTGATTCCAATTTATTACATCTTTCTTTCAAGTCTAGATATCTTCCAAATACTTCTGCTACCAAATCAAATGCCTTAGCTTCCGATTCTGTTACGGATACATCCTTAACTCCTCTCCGTAGTATTTTCACATGTTCTGTGGTATCTTGAAGTCCGTTTGAAACGACATTTTTCTTATCCTTGCTCTTACTATTATTTTTCGATATATTACTTTCGTTTTTCTTAACGAGTGATAAAATAAGATTGGAGTTGTTCATTGCGTCCTTTGCCTCTTTCTTAAGTTTCTCATATGTCTTAGAATCTTTTTCTAAATCATCTGCCGGTTGTTTTAATTCTGCTGGTAATGTTTTGCACTGTTCTTCTATTTCCTTTACTAATTTTTTGCAAAGTTTCTTTCTAACATCTTCATCATTTTTAGGTTTGCTATCAGTATCATTTTTACATAAACCATTGATTGACGCATTATTTACGTTTTTCAAAACTGTACAATATCTTTTTAACTCAGGATTACATTTTTCTTCATCATTCAATTTCCCTCGAAGCTCTACCTTAAGAGCATCCTCCAAGAGTTTTCTCTCATAGAATGGCTTACAATAGTCCTTAAGCTTTATGCAAAAAGCAGCTCCTTCTTTAAAATCGAGGCAATTAGGTGAAAATCTATTACAGTATGAATTCCAAAAGGGACAGTCTCTTCCCAATAATTCTATATTCTTTCGATTATCTTCAAGAAAACCTGTGACATTTGAAATTTTTATATTATTTTCGAGTATTTTGCATCGATCTTTTATATCTTCTACTATTATTTTGCATGTGCTTTCCAGAAAAACACATACAAGAGAAAAATGATTATTACCCTTTCTAGGCCACTCATGACATTTTTTATTCAAATACTGTATACAATTGTCCGGAGTTTTTAAGCTATCTTTGTGTTCATTTAATAAAAAGTGCTTTAATTTTTCCGTAGCTCTCAATCGATCACAATTCTGCTCCAGAGTACGGCATGGCCACTCGATCTTTTTTGAATCTTTCCCTAATGTTTTACATTTTTCTTCCAGTTCTTTGCAGTCCTTTTTCGTTGGAAAATCTCGTCTTTTGTCCAACTCTTCTTGTAAAAAGATAGCTCTCATTTGAACATCTGTTGCAAGTATTCGAACTGCTTTAAGTGGTTCTACACATAATAAAAACAACTCATCACTTGCCGTTTTATGTTTTGCGCATTGTTTCATCACCTTATCTAATAATTTCTTAAACCAAGCTTCTCCTGAACCATAGAATAATCCATACATCTCTTTCTGCAATACTTTATTTGCCCGTGCATCAAGCCCTCTTTTATAACATGCTGCTTTCAAGTTATCACATTCTTTGTTAAGAGGACTTTGATCTTGAGCAAAATAAAAACAGTCTGACTCTAGCCTTGCACAGTCACTGTTACTAAGAAATGTCGACAAGTTATACCATGGAATGATCTTTCTGGATTTAAAGAGATGTTTATTTTTTATTTTTTCAGAAACAATTAACCTACGCTTTGATAATTCCTCTCCTAATGCGTTACATTCATCAGTTCCATTTTTACTAGCCACATCTTTATTACAAAGATATCCTAAAACCTCATGTTCTTTTAACTCTTTGCACTTGGTTTCAAGAACTTTTTTGCATTTTTCTACTTCATTCGGTTGAGTTTTAAAGCTTTCATCCTGAATCAACAATCCTAATAAAGTAATTGTATCTCTTGCGTACGACTTTCCAATATAAACTCCCCTTTCTGTCGCTTCTTTATAAAGCTCTTTTAATCCTATATCTTCTGCTATTGTAACTTCTGGCTCAGTTGGATCAAAACCTCGTCCTGGTGGCACGTAAGTGATGTTTTTTTTTTCACACTCTACTCCCAAATCATCACAATCTGGTACATATCCTATACAAACTGATTTGGAAGATTTATCGCACTTTTGTATATCTTTGCAGTCTCCTCTGTAAAAATAGCATCGTTCAAGTAATAATAGACATTTTCCTTCCAAATCATTTTTGTTATTGAGTGCTTTCTCAACATCTTGTTTAAGAGCATTACATTTTTCTTTTCTTTTTGATACAAATTTTTCACACGTTGATTCTTGATAAAGACATAATTTCATTAATTCGTTACTTTCCTGAGCTAATTCTAGACAAATTTTTTTAAGTTCTTTTTTACATCCATTTTTATCTTCAAGAGTCCCACGAAGTGTTCTTAAAATGACTTTTTCTGCCACTTCATCTCGCTTTTTTTGATAACACTTATTCCTTAATTTATTGCAATTCTCTGTAAGATCACCAGGACACGCTCCCTCCAAAAATAGGCATTGTCGTTCATTCTCTTTACAATCATCATCTGATGGCAATGAGTTTTTCACTATCGTATCCAAAGTTGTTTTAAGTGTTGTACATTTTCCTGTTTTTCCTGTAATTTTAGCTTTTAGATCTGTGCATTTCTTGTCTTTATCCTTGCAGATATCTTTTAGTTTTGGATAGACTTTATTTAACTCTTTATCTGTTTCTTTTAAGTTTTCACAATACTCTTTTAACTTTTTTTGGCATTCTGTTCCTTCTAATTTATCTTTTAAGATCAACGCTAAAAAATTATCCTCATCATCATATACACTAGTTCCTTGCGCTGCTGCAGCCCCCCGCTTAACCGCCCGCGCCACCGCCCGCGCCAAGCTGTGCCTGACGGAGGTGGGCTGCGCTGTGGTGTGTGTTTTGAGTTTGAGTTTCCGTTAACGTGTTTTAGTTGCACGTGAGATGTTAGAACCATGTCTTCAAATTTGAATATTAAATGATTTTTAATTAGTTTTAAGGGAATTCAAGTAAAAAGTGAGATAAAGCTTGTGATAGGTAGGCATTATGTGTACCAAATATATTTAGAAGGTGCTTGTTGTCTGTTTTGGTGTGTATCTGGTTGTTTCGTGATAGTTAAAATTTGTGTGGGGTAAATCCGGGGTAAACGTAAAAATGTCTGGATAATAAATATAATGTAAAAAACTCTGGAAAAGAAATAAAGACTATTTGAAAGAAAAATACAGGTTAATTATGTAAAAATACATGTTTCGGCTAATATACGGTTCAAATTTATGTTAAAGGAATCATTCAGATTATTCTCTACTTTTTGTTCTATTCTGTTTCCCCATTTTTTAAATATAAATGTCTTATCCTAAACTATGCTCATCCCAAATAAATATATAGATCTTTTTTTAATATTTTCATCCAAAATACATATGCTTTTTAAACCGTTCCCATTTATTTATTTTAAATCATAGTTGAAATAATCATTGTTAATATTACTCCTTTCATCAGACCCCATCCATTCATCTTTAATCCTTCATTTTGCTTTACATCCCCTGTTTCATCTTCACTTCCAGTAGTACATCTGACCGGTTGACATTCCTGCGTTGACGTCAATGTTACAGTTAATGTTTCTATAGATATTTCTGTAGGTATGTATGTATGTGTTAATGTACGCGTAATCCACTTGTCTCTAGGAATCGACGTACATTGTTCTCCTGTTGTCGCTGTTTCTTGCGTTGTATTTTTATCTGTTTCTGTAGTGATTTTTGTTTCTGTAGTGATTTTTGTTTCTGAAGATCTGACTCCCAATGACCCCAATTTACTGCATGTTTCTTCGATTTTCTTGCATGTGTTTTTGTGTTCAGAACAATCCTCCTTAAATTTACATTTTAACAGTAGACTTCTGCACTCTTCTTCCACTTCTTTATAGACTTTTAACGCTTCTGTTGCTGCATCAAATGCCTCAACTTCTTTTTCTGTAATATTTACTTCTATTTCCTTTTGTTCCAAATACTCTAATTGATTTTGAGTTGTATCTCTTTTTAAATTTGCATTTGTCTTAGTATTCCAATTATGTATATTAAGACATGTTCTTCGTCTATTTGAAATTAAAGTAAGCTTTACACTTCTTAATGCTTTTTTTGCTGTTTGAATTAATTTTCCAGCAATATCCAGACTTTTTTCTATCTCTGTTGCTGAATCATTTAATCTTATGAACATTTCTGTACATTTTTTTTTCATTTTATCTACGAGCTTTACACATAGTTCATCTCTAGCTGTATCATTTTTAGTACCATTGTCATCATGACAGAGATTCTTAAATGTATTATTTTTTGTTTCATCCCAGAACAAACAAAATCTATCAAGAGATGTTTTACATTTATTTTTGTTATCGAGACTTCCTCTTAATTCATACATAAGTTCCATCTTTTGATTTTCTTCTGTTCGGTATAATATACAGCTCTTTTTTAATTTTATACATTTTCCATCGTTCCCATTATCTTTAACAAGTTTCTCACAGTTCAGCAGAAGCTTATCGCAATAAGGTTCCCAAAAGTCGCATGCTTCTCCTTTTATATTTGTATCATTATTCTTCACTTGATCTAGAACGTCCTCAATATCTATGTTTCTTTCTAATATAGTACATTTAGATTTAATACTTTCAATAATTATTCGACAAGTAGCATTTAATTGTATACATGAAAGAATAAATTCTGATCTCTTTCTTTTAGACCATTTATTACATTTTTCTGAAACTTTTTTTATACATATATCTAAATCATCCAATTTTTCTACATTTTCTTTTAATAAAATTTCTTCTAATTCCTTAGCACTTTTCAAATGACCACATCGTTCTTTTAGTGTAAGACATGGTAAGTCGTTCATTTTTGAATCATGTCCTAACACTTCACATTTCTCTTTTAGTTTTTTGCAGTCTTCTTCATCCGGAAAATCCCTTTTCTGATCCAGATCGTTTCTAAGCCACTTACTCTGCCTTTCGATATTATTTGCAAGTTCCTTACAAGTATCCCATGGGTGTAGACAAAGATTCATCAATATGGCATTATCATTGTTAATTATTTTCTTACATAGAGTCCATAGTTCATCTATGCACATTTTAAGTGAATTCTTTGTTAAATTATGCAGTTTTCCTTTTAATATACCCTGAAATACTTGATACTCTTTTCTGAAAAGCCGTGTTTTTAAACATGTTGATTCTAAATTGATGCATGCATTAGACATTTTAATGCCCTCATCACCACAAGGTTTTTTTAAATAAAAACATTTTGATTCTAAATCTATACAAAGCTTTTCATTAAACTCAATAGATTGCCTGGTCCATTCTATAAGAGCAGCATCTTCATTGTCTTTAGTATTTGATAGTGACAAATCATATAATTTTGATTTAAAAAACTTGCACTTAGATTTCAATTCTTCTTTTAAGGTATTACATATTTTTTTGCTTTTATTCATTTTTTCTTTAGTACCGTCATATAAATCCTTTAATTGAGGTAAAAGGCTACAAAGTTTATGACATCTTTCAATATTAGTTTTGCAATCATCTAAATAATTATTTGATAATAATACTAAAAGATCAATCGTATCTTTTATCCCTGGTTTTCCAATTTCGTCTTTGAATAATTTTTCTTTTCCAACTTTTTCTATTAATATAATTTCTTTTCCTATTGGATTAAATGGTAAAGAAGAATGTCTGTATTTTACTTCTTTTTCACATGTTCTTTCTATTTCTCTACATTTATCATTAAGAGCGTTATTGCAATTTGAGTTATGAAAATAACATTCCTCAAGTAACAAATTACATTTTTCTTTTGATATTTTAGTATTCCCAGGGAATTCTTTTACATTAAGTTGTAAACTACTACACTTTTCTTCCATTAATTTTATGAGGTCTTCACATCTATTTAAGGGAGTCAGACAAAATTTCATTAATTCATCACTTTCTCCCATGAACAGAAGACATTTTTTGTCAATTATTTTCTCACACTCTTCTTTAGTTTTCAAACTGCCAGATAAGGCTCTTAAAAGAAATTTTGTTTTCAGATCATCTCGTCTTTTTTCTCTACAAAATGCTCTTAAATAATTGCATCTTTCTTTAACTTCCGTTGGACATGCTTCTTCTATAAGCATACATTCTTTTTGATACAGACAATCTGAAGAACTTACAGACGGTTTATTTTGGATACCTTGTAAACTTTTTTTAAGTATAGTACATCTTTCTGTAATAGTTTTTTTTAAATCATTGCACTTTTCATCTAGTTCCGTTTCTTGGCATAGTTCTTCTAATGCTTTGAAGGAGCTTTTTAGCATTTGACTCACCTTTTTTAAATCTTCACAGTATTTTTTTAGCTTTTCTTGGCATCCATTATTTACTGCATCTTTTAGAATTAAAGCAAAAATATTTTCTTCACTAGATAAATAATTTGTTAATTTTACAAGTTTTAGTATTGTTTAAAGGTTTTTATACGCTACATGCAATAATGAATTTTGCGGTGAATTCTGTGATGGTTTTTGTGATGGATTTTGTAATAGATTTAAAGATTCTTTATAAGTAGATTCTAAAAAAAGTTAAAAATCTAAAAAAGTAAAATATAATACCAATATTTTTTAAGAAAGCATAGGCTATGCCAAGAAAACTGGTTAATGCAAACGCTTTCATCTATAATGATAATAAATAATAATTTTTATAAAAAGTGCTTCATATATTTGACATTGAAAAATATCGTTCTCACTAAAAAAGAGAAACAATAATATTAAAAATCGATATGCAATAAATAGATAGATATTGTTTTGTATTATATTTTGTATTACATTTTATGTTTTATTTTTCATCTAGTTTTTACTTTTAAATCTATAAATTTTTGTAAAAAAATATTCTTAAAATATAGTTAATGTTATAAATAACAATTTTATTAGCAATCTTTTCTATCATTTCTATTTTCTAGTACTTTTTTATTATTATTCCCTATTTTTTATTGTATTTCTATAAATATGAATATTATTGTTTTGATTTTTTGCTTTGATTCTATTTTTTAAATCTAGTTTAATTTAAAACCTTTTACAATTAAAACCTTTTATAGAATTTTTCTTGAAATATAATTAAAATTTTCTGTATTTATTTTTCATTTATTTTTTGCTTTTGGTTTTAGAATCGAAATACAAATTTTAAATTATTTATATGGCATTTTTTTGTTTTTTTAAACTTTCTGTTGATTTTCCTTATTCTAGAGTAATTCAAGTTGTAAAAATGTTTTTTAAATAATAATTATTATGACTTTTAAAATTTATTTGTATTTGTGTGTTTTAATTTTTGCTTTAGGATTTTTATTTTTTTCTTTCGTACAAGTTTTGTACACTTTTAATATCAGTAAATTCCAGTATATTTTTTTATTGGCCTTAAGTTTTTTAATTTTTGTTTTAAATTTTTTTGTTCTTTAGCTTTCTTGGAATTTAAAAAGAATTTTACATTAATCAATTTTAAAAAATTTAATTCTTTTTAATTTTTTATGATGTTAAAGACTTATTTTTTTAAAAAAATATTATTTATAATTTTTTGAATTTATAAATATTTTAAATATTTGTTTTTGTGATTATTAATTTTTAGTTTATATTTTTTATATTTTTCATAAATCATTTTGTGTTTTATATTTTTGGCTTTTTTATAGAATCTGAATTCTAGATATTGTTGTAATATAGATTATTATATTCTATAAGTTATTCTAAATATTTTTTAAATATTCTTTTTAAAAATGATAACGATTATATATAGATATCTATATATTCATTTGAATTTTTTTTGGAATTAAGAGTATACATTTTAAAATAAGTAAAATTAAAAGTAAAGTATATAATAATGGTTAATTTTAGAATATGCTTTGTAGTTTTATTTATGCTCGAATATCTTTAGAGTAGTATGGAGTAAATCAGGAGTAAATATAGATAACGCAAAAACAAATAAATGGGAAACATAATATAGAAAGCATGGATAGTAAAAAGATGGTTAGGTGAAAAATATGGATTAATTATGTAGAAAAAATAAACTTTTTTTTAAAATTCATTCTAAATTGATATAGAAGAAATTATTTTTAATTTATTTTATACTCTTGTTATTCTACTTATTTATTTATTAAGCATGCATGTTCTGTCCTGAATTCTGCTTATTTGTTTTTTAAATATTTATTAAAAAGTGTTTTTTTTTTTCATTTATTAGTACAAGTATGATTTTTTTAATTAAAGTTAAATGAACTTTAATTTAGAAAATCTTTTTATGAAACAATATTTAAAATTTTGTTAATTTTTTGAATTAAAATAGATTTTAATTTTAAAAAATAGAAATTTGAAAAAATATATATATTTAAAACATATTTTTTTGATACAATAGATTTTATGTAAACAATGAGCAAGCATAAAAATTTCCATTTATTATAAGTATATATAAAATTTGTTTTTAATGTTTTTAAAGATAATCTTTTATTTAAAAATTAATATTTAATAAATATTATTTTCGAAATTAAAAAAGTAGCAGATATTATTATTATTATTGATTATAATTTTTTTAAAAAATTAATTTCGAATCTTCAAAGTTTAGTGCAAAAATATTAAAAGTATAACTTTATTATTTTTTGTTTATTGTAAAAAAAAATTATAGTTTTTAGTTTTATCAATATATTTTTATTTTTTTATAAAATTCTTTTACAAAGAATAATTAATTTACTAAAATAAAATTATTTTTATTATCTATTTTTTAGATTATATTTACGACAAAATGCAGCATTCTATATTATCTGATGACACCTTGCAGTTTGATTTGGTTTTTAATAATTAAATTCTATTTTTATTGTTTTATTTTTGGAAATATAATCATTCCGTTACCAATATTATTTATATTTTATTAATATATTCTTGAAAAATGTTTTCTAAATTTTTAAAAGATTTAAATAACTTTAACATTATTATCGAAATTAAAATTATATTACATTGAAGAGTAATAAACCAAACCGAATTCTATTTAAAAGGTATAATTTATGACTAGAAGGTAAAACTTGTTTAATTTTAAAATCAGGTTGATTTAAGCTTGGAGTTTTTAAAGTTTATCATCATCATTATAACATTTTTTAAGTATTGTAGAGTTATGGGTAAGATTAAGAAAAATATCAGATAAGTTATGACATCTAAAAATATAAAATACACTTTTTGTTAAAGTGGAGTGTTTCTTTGTATATAGTAAGTCTTTTTTAAACTCTCCACATCCTGATGAAAAATCATTAATTAGCGAAATAAGTTGCCTAAGGAGATCATCAGAGGAGAGAGGAATATTGTTTTTTTTTTTTTTTACAAAGATTTAAGTTTTATACATCCTTGTCTGTCTTCCTTAGAGTTTAGTGAGTGAAAACAATATCCTTTAAGTAGAGAGCAGCTGTCATTTTCTAATGTATTATTACTTTCAAGTGTATTCTTGACATCTTTAGGAATTTTACTGTTATTTTCTGCTTTTTAATAGAATTATCGTATGTTTTTTTCAAAAGAACAGTAAATAATCATTTTCTGTATTTAAGTAAAGTTTTTCAATTTTCATTTTACAAAAAGTTTGAGTTTTAAAACTTTCATTAAGAACTTTTGAAAAAATTATATAAGTTAAATTTTTACTTGTTTTTTTAGTATATTGTTTGTGTATATTATCATACGTAATTAAAAATTAGAAAAATTTTGAAAAAATATACATTGCTCACAATAATATATTCAAAAGAATTTTTGGTATCATTTAAAGTCTTAGTAATTTTATTTTCGAGATCATTGTATTTTGTCTTGCATTTCCTCACAAAATTCATTTAGTTCCATATATAGATTTTTTGGTGCTTATATTTATATTTTTTAAATTGTAGTATTTTTTAATTTTGATTTATATTGATTACATATTGCATTTCTTTTGAGAAAAATTAATTTTTTTTTTTATTGTATAAAAAATATTAAATTGAAATGGTTTGTTGTTACTCAGCTGTTTTTATATTTTATTGGATTTAATGATGAACCTAATGAAAGTCTAATGATGAGTGAAGTTAGTTTTTTTTGAATTTATTCAAAAAAAAAATTAAAAATAAGAAAAAGACAAAATAAAATATCAATATTTTTTAAGAAAACATTTATCATGCTAAAAAACTACTTAAGATAAATGTTTTTATTTATAATGGCAATAAATAATAATTTTTATAAAAATGTTTATATTTGATATTGAAAAAATAATGATAAATAATAGTATATATTTATAAATAAATAGTAAATAGATATTATGTATTCTTTATATATTAATGGTTTTATTACTTGATAGTTTATATTTTTTTATTTAAATTTATTAAATTTATGTATAAAATCATTCTTATACTAAAAGTTTTGGATGATATAATTTTATTAAAAACATTTTTTATGACTTTCATTTTTTTAATATTTATTTATATTTATTTTTTATTGAGAGTTTTTTTATATTTTCATATTTTTTATATCTTATAAAAAGAATTTAAATTGTACTAATTTTTAAATTTTTTAAATTTTGTTTTATAGTTTTAATTTAATTTAGATTTTTGTTAGATTTTAATATGTTTGAACAGATCATATTATGATTTTTTTATTATTTTTATATTTTTCTAATATTTTTCGTTTTATGTACTTTGATTTTTTACAATTCTTAAACATTGAAATGAATTAAAGTTTTAGAATATTTTTAGAGTTCTTGTTTACAATTACAAGATAGTATAGTTTATGCTTTCAAAAGCATATTTAATTTAGATCAAAAAATGAGTATTTAAAACTACAAAACTTTTGGTTTTAATTTTATCATTTTAATAACTTTAAATTTAGTATATTAAAAAAAAATTGTATTTTATAGAAAAAAATAAAGGTATTTATATATATATATGCATATGTGTAAAGTAATGCGATATAAAAATTCTTAATATATTTATTATTAAAATGTTTTAATAAAACAATTCATGATATTTGTGAGATATTTCAACAACTGAATCAACTGCTCCGAAATCTAGAAAATATAGTTTTCGTTAATAATTTATTAAATTTGTACCTATATCTTTTCCAAAATTTATAGAAGTTAAAACATTTATTGAAAGATTTGGATTAATTTTGCCTATTATTTCAAATGTATTTCCTTCAATAAAATTAGAATCCTATTTTGGAAATTAAAATATTAAATCTTATATTAATATGAAATTTACTCGATTTAGATGGACTTCTATTAATCCAGAAGAATCTACTAATGCAGTATCTCCTTTTAATTTTTTAACTTTCACGATCATTCGTACAGTTTGATCAACAAATTGTTCACAAAGAGATGCACTGAGTTTATTTAATACATAAGAATACAATTTATGGTTACTACTTGATTCTAGGTGTTGGTTTATCCATTACTGAATCTTTAAATTACAAAAAATCGGAATATTTATGAACATGATTTTTTCGATTTTTTTTATAAAAATTGATTTTCATGTTGATATATAATTATTTTAAATATAATTGTATTTAATGATTCATATGATAGTATTAAAATAATCTATTTTTTGTATAATTATGGATTACTTAGAATTGATTATGAATTTAAAGGTTGATAATTTTCCAAAATCATTTCAAGGGTATTTGTTATTTTTAATGTATTTTCTATTTCATTGTTTTCTAAGTGAGTTTTGATGTTGTTTTCTTTGAAAAAAACAATAATTTCACGATATGCTGTATAAAATTTCTTTCCGATATTATGTGCTATTGTATTTTTTAAGCCCAAAGAAATCATACAAGAAACTAAAATTCTAAGTATTACACAAACTAAATGTACGTGTTTGTTTAGAACATGTTGATAATCTTTTTTTATAGCTATAATTTATTAGTTTATACTTTTAAAAAAATATGGTAAAATACTTTTCTTATTGTTCAATGTATTTTGGATAAAGTCTTTTTTTCTTATTAAATAATCAAATAGCTCATTTTTCAGAATTTCTTGAGCACCAATTCTAGTTTGACTTATTTTAAGTATAAAGACAAGTTTTGCCTCTACAATTGTTTCTTCTAATGAATTATCTAGAAATAAATAATAAATACTTTATGAATTAAGGATATTACCAAATTTTGTAAACACTAAAGCATTTAGTTCTTCACTTTCCCAAAGTGATGCTACAAATATTTGTAGATAATTTTGATGAATCAAAATATCCCACAATGGATCAAGGAATACCATAGTATCTAATTTTCCAGCTAAATTAAGAATTAAATAAGAAAGTATTTTTGAAATTCCTGATCCATATATGGCATCTCTACATACGATATCCATTAATCGATTGTTATATGATCCAATTATTTGAGAAATATTATTTTTCTTTTTTAAAATATTTATATAATCTTTAGGAAGCTTATTGTCAATTAGTTGGTTTTCTTCATGCTTTAGAAGACTAAATATTGTATTTAAATAAGATACAACGCTTATATATAAATTCTGTCTAATAGTTTCGCTTGTATTTGGATTTTGAATACCAAGTAAAATATTTTTAAAAAAAAATAAATATTTTTCTTCATATATAGCATTTCTAGTAATATGTTGGATTAAGATTAAAATAGCTGAACTACAAATTTCGATTATATTTTTATTTTTTTTGCTAAAATTTATTAATTTAGGGGTTAATATTTTTAAACTTTCTGTAATAAGTAGGTCTTTCTGTGATTGAGTCAAATGAATTGTGCAGTCTTCAAGTAAAACGCCTAGAAGATTAAACCATCCTTGAAAACAAAGTAATCTGGCATTGTTCATTTCGATTAAAATATTAGATATTTTAACCTGTGAAATCAATTCTTTTTCTATAGTTGTAGATGTTTTTTCCTGGTCATTGGTTTTTTTTTTGCTTTTTAACTCGTAAGTTTTGAATTTTAAAAATGTTTTGATTTTTTTTATATCATATAATGAATCCGATGATTTAGGAATATTTGAAAATATTCGTTCTGTTTTTTCTAAAATATATTCTTGGTTATCTGTTATAATATCTAATTCAAATAAATCTAAGTACTTTAAAATCTGAATCCCTTGATTTAATACATGTGAATATTTTTTTTGATTCCTCTTTGTTTCGTAAAAAGTAAGAGCTTTTGTATAATACTTTTGAAGTGTAGTAGCATTATATAAAATTACTTTACGTAGTTTAATAGCTATTATATGAAATAACCAACCACGATACAAAAGGATTTTAATAGGTTTTAATGAAAATGTATCTAAGTTAGAAAAATTTAATTTTGGAAGTATCCATGTTAACGGTTCTGATGATAATAATTTTACTAGAATGTCTTTTTCTTTTTTTAAAATATCATAGATAATATTTGATGTTAGTGGTGATTTAAATAACAAAAATATAATATGCATAATAACTTCCATAATTGTATTTGATGAGCTATTTTCAGGAGAATCTAATAACGTTTTTGGTATTTCAGATGAATTTTGAATAAAAGATAATAAACAGTGCAAGATTGAAATTTCTGAACCAATTTCTCCTTTTTCTGTTCCAATATTAAACGTTCCATTTTCTAATATTTGAAATCCTAAAAAAAAATGTGATAATGTAGGAATATTTTGATGTTTCTGTAAATCCCAAATAAGAAATTCTAAAAAAAATCTACTTGCTGTATTTTGATTTATATAAGAACTTAAGAAACAGTTTTGTTCAATCTGAATAAGATTAATGGCACCAAATCTTATTCTTTTTGATTCATCAACTGTTTCAAGAATGCTTAATAATCTATTTTTTTTTAAATTATTAGATTTTTTATAGTTTTTTGTATCAGTTAAGTGTGGAAAATCTGATAATTTTTTTAGAATAGATACTGCAGTTTTTGATATATTCAAAGAATTAATTCCAATACATAAGCTTATGTAAACTATAATATTAAGATGAAAAAGCATAATATTTTCAAATTTTTCGAAGTTTATCTTGTTATAAATGTTTGGTCCTACATATGCTGATTGATTTGTGGTAATAGATGAATTCCATTCTAAAAAAGGTAACTGTAAATGTAAAATTATATTTAATATGTCGAGAGATTTATCTAGACACCATAACCATAAAGGATCGCACTCTGTTTTCTCTATTGTTTCCAAAGCAATATGAATGAAATCAAATAAACATATATATATATTACTGCGATACATATGTTGCATAATTCTATTTCCTGGATGTAAATTTAAATAAGATGAAAGAGATAATGTTTTAATGAGTTTATTGATTTCTATATTGTTAAAGTTTGCAAACTCAATAACATCTAAATTAAATGTTTTTAAACTTAATTGGATAAATTTTAAGCATTCTGAAAATAATTGTAATCCTCCAATTTTGTTGTCTAGTATTAATGAATTCGATGTTAAAAAAAGATCCATTACTAAATCAATAAAAGGTTGTATTCCTGGATCTTTTCTGTTCAATCCTAGGTTTTCTGGAAAAGGAATATTATTGAAGCCGTTTATAGGTATAATTAAATTATTTAATAGTAGAATAAATGCTATGGCCAAAGACAATGAACTTGAAACAAATATTCTCAATGTTCGATCGATTTTTGTATATGACTTTGATAAATCATTTAACTTATTAGGTAGCATATATGTAGAGAAATTTAAGTAAATTCTGTTGTTCTGTTGATATGCCCATTGATCAAGTAAATTCCAGACTGTATCTCTAATTTCTAGGCTTTTTCCTGATAAAAATGACGTTAATGTTAATAATATTCCACAATACATATCACTTGATAATCGACAATTTAATAAATCAAATAATATAGGGATTGGATTGTATTTTTGATGAAGAGTGTTAGAAATAGAAGGACAATAAGATAAAATTGATGCAATTAATTGAAAATAAGACTTTAGAATACTTTTACTATCATGATCAACTTCTAGAAAATCAATAGTTACTGTTAACATGTGAGAAGGACCAACAGATGAATCAAAAGGTGTTGACTTTAGCTGAGAAACATAATATTTTAATGTATCGAAAATATATTCCCATGTTGTTACATTATTTTGTATTTTTATGGCTTCTGTTCCTTTTGTTTCTGTTAAAAAATCATATGCATAAGTGCTACACTGAGGTCCATTTGCTAAAGATGCTAGCATCGTTGAAAAAGCAGAAATCATTAATGGAGTTTGACACTGAGATGACCACAAAATAAATCCATAAAGGTCACTTTCTCTGTCTAGCCAAAATGCAAGCGCTGAATCTTGTCGGTTTTCATAGAGTAAAGAGATAAGGTAAAAAAATGCTTCTAAACTTAGTTCAATTTTATCTTCTGTATTAATATCTAAAGATTGTTGCGTCATTATTATGTCTTCCTCAACAAGTTTCATATTTTTTAATAAATCAGGCATATCACTGATAAAAGAATGAATAAATATTTCTATTTCATAAAACATGATTTCTTGAAATACTGCAGAAAATGTCAATTCTGGTATATCTATTCCTCTTTTAATTTTTGGATAATTTAAAATCAATTTATAGTCTTCTAATCGTAAAAAATTTTTTGTTTTAAAACGAAGAGAATCCATTATTTTTTCTATCATTAATTCAAATGCACCAGAAGAGATTGCTTCTCTACTCGGGTTATATATATCATCATTATATTTGAAAGGAAATGAAATATCAAGGTCTTTCTTGCAAATTCCATTAAGTTTTGTAGTCCACCATAATTGAATAACAGATTTCAAAGATTGTATTCCCCATTTTTTTTCATTTTCATGTTTTGGATTGACTATTTCATTTATTTTAAGGAGAATTTCCATATTATAATAAGTAAAATTACTTTCTAAATTATCTTGATTTTCTGAAAATGATACTTCACTTTCTAGTCTAATGAAATTAATAATTACAGGAAGAAAATGAGTTATAAGTGGATCGTATTCACTAAATAAAGAAATTCGATGAATAATTTTTTCAAAATCATCAATACTGATCATGTGCAAATTTGAAAGTCTATATAAAAGAATCCCATAAATTTCATGTTCTTGTAGTATGAATTTCTTCTTTATATTTATTTCTTCTATATATTCATCACTTTGATTATACTCATTGAAGCTTTCAGTTTTTTTTTGATAAAAAATATTAAATATTTGTGTTCTTAAATCTTCCATAGCATGTAAGCATTTTTCTGAACAAGATGTATTCTTTTTAGGATCTTCGATATTTTCTTGAAAAGTAAGTTTAATTATTTGTTCAAAATATTTTAATAATTCGTTATTTCCTAAACCATTTTTTGCATATAACAATATTATTGATAGACTGTTTAAAAGATATTTTTGTCTAGAATAAAAAAGGAATAAAGAAGTATGTAAAATCGATCTATCTAATTTTTTAGAGTTTTTGATTCCATAATGAATTAATTTTGCTGAGAGAATTTCATCGAGGTTAAGCTTATTTGATAGATTAAGTGCTTCTGAAATAAAAGTATCATTTAATTTAGACTTAACGCCATCTAGGTGTATTATTCCTACTTTTTAATTATATTAAACATAAATTATAGAAGTACCTAATTTAAGCTCTGCTAAACTCTGTTCTGATTTTCTTGGTGTTTGTAAAAGAGTTCTAAAGTCATTATAAAATGATTGTAAGATATGTTCTAATGATGTTTCCGGAATAACTGCTCCTTCTGATAAACTTAATAAAGTCTCATAAAGTAATTTACAATTATCTGGATCCCATGTTTCTAAAAACATTTGTCTTTTTCTCGATCTTAAAATAATTCTTATAAAAAAATATTTGAAAAAAGGTATTAGTTTTAAAAGTTATATTTTATTAATTAATATATAGCTAGGCCATTGATAATAGTTTTTTAGAAGCTTTATAATATTAATCAATAAGTCTTAGAAAGAAGAAATTATTTTAAATCTAAATCCTGTTATAATTATTTGAATAGGATATTTAGAATTTCAAAGGTATTTTTTTTGAATTTTAATGCTTTAGATTCTACTTTATTTGTTTCTATTTTACATTTTACATTAATGATTGAAATAGTATTATTTGATATTTCTGAATAAATACTTTCTGAGAAATTTAAAATAAAAATAGTTTACGTAATTTAAAATCTATATTAAGTAATTATGAAGATTTTCAGTCTATTGGTGAAAAATGTTATTAAAGATTGTTGGAACTTTTAATTGAGGTTGTAATTCATGAAAAATATAATAGTTATAAAAAAAGAAAATTAGTGTTTTTATGTTTGACTTTTTTAAGAATGTGGAGTTGCTCTAAGGCTTACTATAGAGCTTGGAAATAAATCTTTAAAAGCAAAAACTCTATATACTAAATTATATAGTTGATATGTTATCTATTACTGGAGGAATTTTATATCAAGCAAAAGTGTTGATTATATCAAATGCCAGATTTATTCTTTCTTATTTTCTACATTTAGAATACCTTATTCTTCCTGAGTAGGAAAAATTAATTGTATTTTGCTACTCATTGTTAGCTTTAGTAATGATTTTAATTTTTTTGATATAGATGCCATTTAGTACTATTGAGCCATAAAAAGAATATAAATAATTTTAATAATTTTTTAAAGATAAATTTTGCTTAAAATATGAAAATGTTGAGTTAATGTATTGTTTGCAGGTTCTTGTTAGTTGGTCTGCTGTTCCATTAAGCAATTGTTTAAACTCAATGAGTTTTTATTAAATTTTCTATTTTTTATAGTTTGGAAATTAATATTCATTTATCTGTTTTTACAGCTCTTAATTTAATTATGCAAAGAATATTGGTAAATAATCTTGAGCTTTCGTCTTTAGCCGCTTGTAATATGATAAAGTTTTGTATAAAACTACGGTCTGCAAAATTATTTCTTTTGAAAAATTAGTTGATTATAGGACTTACATTATTATGTCATTATTGGTATAGAGAGTTTATTGAATTACATCAAAGTGCTTTAGAAATTGATTTATTTAATTTATTTAATTTATTTAATTGTATTCGAATTGATTATGTTCAATGTGATAAGGATTTGTTGACTATAGATGATATTGCGTTATATTTGCCTATTTCAAAAGAAAAACTTGGTCCTTTTTTTGTTTTAGTTCTTCTCTGTGCTGTGTATAGATTTGTGTCTGGTTACAAAAAGATCTGAACAGTCTTTTTTTATTCTTTAAATAGCTGTTTGTATAATTTAAATATTTGAATTTAAAGTATCAGGATTTTTTAGACATATATATGAAAATAGTATTGAGTTTTTAAAAATACGTGAAACTTTTTTTTTGAGAAAATTGGTAATGATATATATAAATTATTGGGTTTTGTTAGAATATTTTGGTACCGAGTAATGTTTTTTTTTTTTTTTTTGAACGAGCTGAAGAATATTTTCAGTGATTTTTTCAGTATTTTGTGCTATTTTATATGTTTGTTTTTAGATAGTAGTACTATTATACAAATACAGGCACTTTTGGGTGTTGGTAATTTTTTACCTTGGAAAAGTTTATATATCAAATAAATAGTTTTGTTTCTGATATTTTAATGAATGCTGGTATTTTGAAGTTATGTATATGATGTATATGGAAATCATCAGTTTCCGTTACATGCAGATCGGTATGTCGTGCTTTCTCTTCTAGAGCTTAATGTAATAGATATTATAATAATATTACCAGCTTTTTAACATATTTTTGATTCTATTGAAATAAACAGTCTTGTAGTTATTTCAAACGATAGTTGTCATTTTTTTTTCTCTTTTATTTTCTTTTAGAAGAAAATAATTGCTTATATGGTGTTGATAGATTTTTATGTTTAATTTATTGGTTTTCATTACATTAGGATTCTTTAGATTTTTTAAAAAGATCTAATATTTTTTATTTTTTTTTAATTTTCCAGTGTATGTAGTTGAATTTCTTATTAATTGTTGCTTGAATTCTGGATCTGTTGAAAATAGACTAAATAGTCAATTTGGTATTATTGGATTATTTTCTTTGGAACAAAGTTCTAATAATGTTTTCTTGTATTTTTTGTTTGAGAATTAAATATCTCTGTATATGAGGATTTGTATGATGAATTAAAAATTTTAGGAAATAGTGTGTTCTTTTTGATATCAAATTTATTGCTTTGGAATTAAGTTTATTGAATTGTCTATTCAGAATACAGTTAAAATTGTTTTTAAAAAGTGGATTGAGTTGCTCAAAGAGTCATTTCATATTCATATAGATATCTTTTGCTCTTTTTTTAGTTTTCTTTTGTCATTTTCATGTATTTTATATTTAGTATTTGTAAAAATATTCATGAATTTATCAAAATTTCAATAGTTTTGATTAAAGAATTAGTGAGCTTTTCGGCTTCAGGAAAATGTTCTCGCGAAGTTAATATTCTATTTTATTGTTTAAATGGAATACTTTATTTAAAATATGATCTTTCTTTTATAGAAGATAATGTTGCTGATTTTGGTAAAATATTATTAAATTTGTTTTGCCAAAGAATTTATAGATTACTGTAAACATTAAAATAATGAAATGACTTTTTTTAATTGCAGGATTTTGATTGTTTAATAATGGATGATGATAAGTCATTGATTGTTTATCAAAATAATCTAGAGAAAAGCATTGCATTATTAAGAGATTATATAGATGCAAAGTATTCTGTTAATAATGTAAATATGCGTGTTTCATTATGCATGGAAATTGTTTTGTTAGGTAATAATTGTTTAGATATTTTTAGTATGTTTGAATTTTATTTAAAAAAATCGATTGTTTATTAAGTTTTAATTTGGTGATAATTTTATTCAATTTGGATTTTTCTTAATTAATTATTTTCTTGTTTAATTGATAGGCTGACTGAAGATAATGTTTCTGAAGTTTTGGAAAATTTTGTAAAAATTTGTTTGACTCGATATGAATTGGAAAGATCTGATGTTATAACAATTTCGATAGATTTACTTACTATTATAGTCAAAAAGTGGTTAATTACTGAGAAATTGTCTTCATTAAGAAAAGTTTTTGGTAAGATTTTTGAATGGATATTAAAAGTTGTTTTAGAAATTTATTTGGCATCTTTCTTTTCTCATATAAGGGCGTTAGAATTATTGTGTTTTTGAAACTAGCAAAAGCAATAGTTCGAGTTTACAATTATTAAATATAATTTTTAGTTTCATATTTTTACAACTATTAAAGGATAGTGACTTAAAAATTCTTTATTCTGCAGTTATGGTTGAGTTTATGTTTGAGATATATACTCTTGTTGAATACTCTAAGGTTTATTTCGATATTGTTAATCAATTAGAAATAAGTGAGGGAAAATTTGAAAAGATTGTGTTGTAAGCTCTTATTTTAAGTAGTATTATAATTGTATTTGAATATGTAAGAAAAGTTGCTTTTTGTAATTTAATAGAACTAGGAAAACTTGAATCTATTTCTTATTTTGTTTTAAAGTGTTTATAATGATCACGTAAATCATTGCATCTTAGCTTTGAGTTATATCTTTTTAGTGCTCATCGTTCTCAAATTATTAGGTCATGGTAGATTTTGAGGAAAAATTACATGTTTCCTTTTAAAGTTTTGAAGTTTTCGTCTATTATTGATTTTTATTCTTCAGATTTTGATGAAATAATACTCCAACTCAGGGGAAAATGAATATGTTGTTGAAATATTTAATTTAATTCAATTATTTTTAAGAGAAAAAATTAATGTTTTTCATAAAATAGTTGAATATACTTTATTATCTTATAATGAAAGAAATATAGATTCAGTTTTAATATTTAATTCTTTTTATAAAAATTGTTTGGGAGACGATGAATTTATGTGTCTTTTAAAATCTAAATTTCTTATGATAATTAGTGTGCTATTTGACTTTGAAAGATGAAATATATGCATCAAAAAATTTTAGGTAGTTTTGTTTATATTGTAAAACGAATAGTTTTGAAGAAATGATTAATTTTGATATCTTTCATTTATTGCTAGAATTATTTGGTTTTTTTATAAAATTAAAACAGTTTTAAAAAGTATACAGGATCTTTGCAAATATACCGATATATTAATTTTGCAACTAAATAATTCATATATAATAATATACATTTTTCGACATTTAATGTTACGACATTTAATGTTATATTGTCAATCAGTAACTTTTACTATTGAAAAATCTTTATATTTATGAAAATTTAGAGTATATATATGTTTATTGGATAAGAGTATGACTTGTGGTTATATTTTTCAGGTTTTATTGAAAGGGTTGCAAAAGTTTTAATGTTTTTCTAAATACTTCATTGACGTTTTAGGAATGCTTCAATATCTTTTAATGTCTACATATCATTGTTGTGATTTTTTTACACTTAAGTTGATTGTTTTTTTAAATGTTATTATGAATCTTATCAAATTTGGAATTATTAAAACATTATTTTAGTACTTTATTAATAGATAGGCTTTTTTATGGATTATTGAATATTGTAGTTTGATTGATGGAATATATGAGTTATCTATTTTTTTTTTTAAAGTCTTATTATAACATCATAAATTTTTCTGATTATTTTTTAGTTATGAAATCTTAGAATATTAAGATTCTTTTTAGATTGTTAAGTAATATAAAGTTTTTTGATTAGGATTTTGCTTTATGTTTATTAGAGATCTTACAAATGGTTCCATGGATTTATTACTTAAAAGTGATGAGTTTACTGAAATTAAAAGGATGTTATTTTTTATGTGTAATACATTAAAAATATCTTCTAATTTTTTATAATATAATGTACAAGTTTTAGGTCAATGGCTTGTAAGAAATAAAATTTTAAATAAAATAATTTAGAGGAATTTATAAAGAATGAAAAATTATCTGAATTTAAAATAAGGGTATTCATAGACTCTAGGTTTAATATTTTATCTGCAGTGTTTTGTTTTTTAGTCGATGAAGATCATACTATTATTGTAATTATAGAAAAAATATTTCTCTAAAAGTATTCAATGAGTTTGTAGATTGTAAGTATAAAGATATTGCTTCTATATATACGTCTGATTTATTTGTATCTGAGTAAAATCTGCTATTGGAGTATTCCTTTTTAAGATTCGATGATTATTATTGGAAAGATAAGACTGTAATATTTTCTGATTGGCTTTGGTCTTTGCTTCGAATTGTTCTGTATAATTTTAGTGATAATTTTGTATTTGGATATTTAGGTGATTTTGCTGAATATATAAGTTTTTTTGAAAAAAACTTTATTTTTTCAGTTGATTATTTATTGCTTAACAAAAATGTTAGAATAGGTATGTTTATTATAGCAATTTTAAATAAGATTGTTATTTTTTTTTCTCAATATGAGGATAATTTTTATTGTCTATATATTTTTTTAATGATAAAAATGATACTTTATTTTTTCTCTTAAACATCTTAAATACATTATTCGGGGTTTGATTTAAATTTTCGTCTTGAAATGAATTATTTTAATGTTGTTCTTGCTGTTGTTTCTTGTTAATTTTGGGAAACATCATTATTGTTTATATGTATTTATTGGATATTAAATGATTCTATTATTGATGACGAGATGCTTAAGTTACTTTTTGTTGTTTATAAAAGAATAGGTGATTTTGATTTATTTTATGAAATACCTTGTATAATATCCTTAGAAAATATATTATTTAGGCATAAGTTTGAGAGGAATGGATAGAAGAGTCTTTTTACATGGTACAGTATTGGAAAATGATTATAAAATGTTTTCTTAATAAAAGTGAGCATGTATTTAATGATAGAAGTTTTTGATATGTTGGGTTTTTGATTATTTTCCTGGATGATTTTTTTTTATTTTAATAATATAAATTTTGATTTTATAAAGGATTAATATTTGTTTTCTTGAAATTTTGAACAATGGGGTTTTTCACTTGCACCATTAGGCTCTAATTTTGATTATATTGTATATAATGTTTTGTAGTTAATAATGGTGTTTAGATAAATATTTTTAGTATTTTAAGTAATGGATATTTTTCAATAATAAGTACTTGAAATTACTTACTTATGTCAGATAAAAGGGTAATTGGTTTAATAATGTTTACAGAAATTGAATTTTTTTCTTTATTTTTTTCTGATGTTTGGTTTTGTTGGCAATTTTGGTTATTTATTATTAATCTCATTATAAAGTAAGGACTTTTACTTGCATCTTTTTTCTGATTTTGCAAGATTTATTGCTATTGAAGCTATTTTATTCTTAAGTTTTGTTGAGCTCTTCTGAAAAATACATTATTTGTAAAATATTTTGTTCATAAACCATTAATTCAGAAATGATTGCTAAAATCTCTTGTAGAATTGTGTTACGTGGTTTGTATCAATGATAATTTGCAAATTGCATTTTCGGCAATTTATGTATGCAGAAAAACTTTTGAAACATGATTTAATGGTAGATCCTGAGTTTCTATTTTCTGTTGTAATTCAGATATCAAAAGTATTATGAGATCAAGATGATAGAATTAATTCTGTTAGATTGTTATGTGATATAGTTGATAAAAATATTGGTATTTCTGGAGAATATGAGATATCGTCGGAATTATTTATACAATTGGTAATAAAGAGTTGCTAAAGTTTTATATTAATAAATTTAAGCTTTATGGATATTTTATTTAAGATTAGAAGGACTTGATTTTATTATGATGAATTATTTTAAATTTGCTGTTAAATTTTTAGGTGATAATAAGCATGGGGATGAGGTTGGTTATGTATTTTACAAGTTTGGTTCTTTTTGTGATAAATAGTTTGAATCTTTTAATGTTTTTGAAAATTTTTTGAAAATTCAAAAATTAAGAAAACAAGAGTCAAGAACTTATAGTATTAGATCGGATGATTGATAATGTTTTTAAATATGATTAGAAAATTTTGCTTTTTTACCTAGTTAAAGACTCTTTGATATTTATAAAATAGAATTTAATCATTTAATGGAAAATAAGGAAATTTATTTAGAGAAAATAGAGAAAAGTATTGAAAATTATTTAAGTTTGATTTTTTGTGATAATTATGATAACAATATTTTTAGATGTATGAATTTATAGTTATTAAATATTAAAAACGAAAATGTTAATCAAATAGTACATAAGTTAATTTATAGTATAGTTATTTGTAAGTTTTTGACTTTATTTAATTAACTTACATCGAGACTATGAAAATAAGAGTTTTTTTCAGTCTGTTTTATATGAATTGGTAAAACGTATATGTATTGATCATCATTACCATAGCTTGTTTTATCTGGTTTCATTGAAGTATTTAGCTGATAAAGATGATAAATTTGGATTGCTAAGAAAAAAAGCTATTGATGAAATTTTATGTGAATTTTCATTGCCCAAAACATTAGAAAATATGTTTACACGATGAGTTTTTGTTTTGCATATTTTGGTTTTGCTATTTATAAGATGGAAAGAAATAAATTTGGGACAATTAATATCACATTTTCTGCATATTCTAAATTTAGTCTATTTTTGGATGAAATTTCAAAATATAAACTTCCTCTTTCAACAATGAATATATCAGCTTGTAATGGTTGCAATTATGACAATGTTCCTGTTATTTTGTATTATGTTTCTTATTTTATGCTTGTTTCTAATATTAGCTTACTAAAGGTTATAGAATGTGTAAGTTGATGGTTGTTTTTATAAACAGCTGGTAATTTTGATAAATTTTGATTTTTTATATCAATATTAATTTGTAGGTTAAGGGAAATAACGATGATCTTCGCAAGATGCTATTATGGAGTAAGTTTTTTAACAAGTTCATGCATTTTTTCAAAAGAATCGTTTAATTAGACAAAGAAATCTAAGTATATGCATATATAAAGTTCTTCCTTTTGCAAAAAATATTGGTATTCTTGAATGGGTTTTTCATACGCTTCCTATTTAAAATTATTTATATTTTGCTTATGAAAAGTATTATCCAAATAATTAGAGTCCTATTAAGTGTAGAGAAGCAATAAATTGTATTTCTAAAGGAAATTAAGCTTAGGATTTATGAAAAAGTTATTTTGCATTTTAAAACTGTTAGACATTTTTTTACTGATTATTATTTAAATTCTAAAGATTGGTTTCAAAAACAATTAAATTATACAAGCACTGTTGTTATATCAATGTTTGGTTATGTATTAGGTTTAGGTTTTGGTGATAGACATGGATATAATATGTTGATAGATAAAACAGATAAAGAAATTGTTCATATAGATTTAGGGGTTACTTTTAATCTGGTATTGTATTTTTTTTAATATAGATGTAATTAATTAATTGTTAGGGTAAATTTTTGTTAATCTCTGAAACTGTATCATTTCGTTTAATAAGGGATATTGTGGATGGTATGGGTATAACACAAACTGAAGGAGTTTTTTGATGTTGGAATTTATACTAAATGTATTTCGTAAAGTGTTTAGTATTAATAGTATATTAGAAACTTTGAAATATCATCCATTATATAGTTGGTATTTAAAGCTGTATAAAATAAAAAATACTTAAGATTATATTACCTTTAAAAATTAGGAAAATATAAAAAAAAGAAGTATTAAATGATGATATTGAGTAATACTATATTAATGGTAAGAATAAAATTGATGGAACTGAAATGGAAAGAACTTTGTTAGTTGTGTCTCAGAAGTTGTTAAAAACATTAAGTGTTGAAGCTATAGTAAATGAATTAATACATGAAGCTATAAGTTCAAATAATTTAGTGTTGTTCTACTGTAAAGATGCTTATTATTAGTATATATTTTTTTATATAAATAGGATGGGCTACATATTTTTAAGTTGATTATATAATAAAAAATTTTTTATGAAATTCAAATATATAATAATTTCGAAAATCATAAAGTATGTATATATGAATATTATAAGTTTTGTTATTCTTACTAACTTGTATAATGATATGTTTTTATTTTTTGATTATTGATATACAAATTTCGTTTTAATTATTAAATGTTACTTTTCCGAATTCTTTTGAATCTTTAATTGCTTGAATTTTAAGCCATAACATGTCTTTTTTTTGAATGTTAGATAATGTCTTTTTTTCTAGATATTTCCATGATAAAATAGTTGAGGATGGAGCTTCTTTTTCTAGAAAAAGTTTCTGAGAAATAGATAATTTTTCTAAAAGCTGATAAATATTTAATGATTCACCATGTGGAATCTTTTCTGGGTTTGAAGGTGTTATACAATCCATATTTGTTTCTTTTCTTAGTACATGATCTATATCTATACTAGAAAAAAATGCACATGACTTGCTTATTAATAATAGATTTTTGCAAATAATATAAAATACCTGTGGAACATCATTAATTCCAAGTTTTTGGCTAAACATAGCTCTTGTCCAAAGATTACTAACTTGTAAAGCAAGCGCTAAAATATATTTATCTTCTTCATATACTAAGTAACGAATTTCATCATGTACTGTTAGAACTAGTCTTGCATTAATTTTATATGTTTTTATTAAATATTCCATTGAAATAATTAATAAATGAAGATAATCGACTCCAGAAGACTGAATTACCCAATTTATTCTTGATGTTATAAATCCACCTGGATTAATATTTTTAAGTAATAGTGCTTTTGTTATAGAACAACCTAATACAGGTGTTTGAGGAATTTCTTGATTTGCAATTTCTTCTAACATATTAAAAACATAGCTCTCTGTACCACCATGCCAAAATCGTTTTCGGGGAAAATATTTTGATAATTTTTTTTTTTCGTTTTCTTTAGAAAGAATGTGAGTAATCCATGATTTTTTTCCTTTAGTAGAACTATAAAGTTTTGTTGCTATTTCTTTAGCCTGTTTTTCGCTTAATTTTGGATTAAATCTTTGTAATAATTGAATTGCGAAACGAATCCCTGCTCCATATATTCGACTATAATTAAAAATCTTGAAAAATCAATACTAAATATCATAATGTTATTAATAGAAAATACTTTAGCATTACTTCGTGATATTCCTAATATTTTTGCTGTAACAGAATGCATATCTGTTTCTGCTGATCTTGTTCCTTCTAGAGTCATCCATCCAATTGCTGTAGCTCCATGCATTTTGAATTGAGAATCTCCAAAAAGACTAGCAATCCATAATTCTTCTGAACTAAAAAGAAGTAAATATATGGATAAAAATGGTAAAACTTACTCAACATCTGCGCCAACAAATTTATATCCAGAAGGAGCTTTTATCATTGCTTTTAATTCAGAACCAATTCTATTTCTTTTTATATTACTAGCTGTTAACCAAGTATTTTCTACGGCACGTCGAGTAATAGTTCCCATAGGGATTATATGAGGGAGGATTATTCCTAGGGTATTTTGAGTATTTTTAAGCCCAATATCCATTTCATTGTCCCATATTACTAGTTGAGACATAATTCTTTCTCTAGAGCTAATCCAATAAGAGCATGCTGCATTCATATTTAAAGCTTCTCTTGCATATGAAATTTCCGAGTTTAATAAGCCGTCTTCAAAAGCTTTTATATAACTTTTAGATAAAGGAGAGCCACAACGACCAGATGGTCCATTTTTATTTGGAATTTTAAAGTATGAAGCACTAGTATTATTTCTTAAAGTATCAATTGATTCTTCTTCCATGTTACATAAAATATAGTTTTCTGATAGAAATTTTTCTATAGCTTCTTGATTTGTAACTTGAAAAGTCCATCCATATTTATCAGACCAGACTAATGGATATCCTTCCCAATTTAATCGTAAGAGTAATGGTGCAATTCTAGACCTAACAGTAATATTTATTTCACTTTTGTTTGATGGAAATAATTTTTTATACCAATTTGGAAATCCTGGTTTTTTTTGTTTTTTTGCTAACCTCTTTTCACCTGTTTTTTTGTCTGTTACTATTCGAATAGGTTTAGTATTCCAATCTAGCTGTTTTAGCCACGGATCGTTTTTTATTGTGTCTTCATTATTTTTTTGATCTAGTGCATTTTCTACTAATTTTATAAGTCTTTCATGAACAGATCTTGAAAGATTTTGAAATATCTTCTCTGATCTAGCTGTATACGATTCCCAGGATTTATCAACTGGAAGAAATGATGATGATATTTTTAGAAGTGCTCCAAAACTTGCAGGATGTGGACAGAGTTCTAAAAAAGAGGGGAAAATGCTTTTGTAAATTTTATGAGTAATATCCACATCATTAGCACAATAGTTCATTAGCATATTGAGTTGATTTTTAACACCTTTTCTGTCAAGTTTTTCAAATAAATTCCTAATATATTTATTTGGTTTAATATGACAATGAAGTTTAGCTACTTCTTGAAGGCTATTTGATGAGCTGTTAGACATCCATAATTCTTCTGTATCATTTTCTTCTAGTTTCTCTAATAATTTAAGAAGTGTTGGTGTTGAAGATTCTTCTTTGAATTTTTTTTTTAGTTCTTTATATTTTTTATGTTTTATCCAAGTAGATTTTTGTCTAGAACACATTCCATTTACTGCAATATGCAGCGACATGGTATCTATAAAAGCGTTTTCTTTTTTTATTATACTATACTCTTCTTTTGTTCGAATCCTATCATATCCAACATTATGTCCAACAATTATTCGTTTTCCGATATCTCCTATAGATATAAGTTGTCTAGGAGATTCTGACTCTTCAGTAACCCATGGCGATAACCATCCATACCAAGCATTTTCCGTAGCTGCGCATGCGATAACTGCAAAAGGGTTGTTTTTATACAATACTTCTACATCAAATACCATAGATTTTTCATTAGGATATTCTATAGGTTTTGTAGTTCCATCTGAATTATATTGTGTCCAACCTGATCTGATGATCCAAGAATTAGGTTTAGTTGGTAAAGTTATTGAAGCAAATTGTTTTGAGTAGCTAAGATAAGGCTCTGAAACCTCCATTGCTATTCTATAAAAGTGTTCATCTAAATTTTTTCCTTGTAAAGGTGGAAGATCAAGTTCAACGTCTTCGGTAGGTTTTGTATTTTTTCCTAGTAAATTATGTTCAGTTAAATGTTTTCGAGAAAGTTCAATTAATTCACTATCAGGTGGTTGTAGTCCATCAGGAAAAAGTTGTGAATGCAAATTTGAACTGATATGTTGTATTCCAAGTTCATTGAATCTTTTTTTTATTATTTTGTTTTCATCTGAGTATTTTCTTGTTTGATAAGTTATTTTAAAACTTTTAGTTTGAGCATTTTTTAGGTATGTAGAAAAAAATGTTTCTTTTATGATATTTAATTTGGGTTTTTGTTTTAATGTATAATAATATTTTTTATATTTTGAATATTTTTTATGTTTAATTATTAAAAATGTGTTATATAGTCTCATTATGTGATTGAACCTGTCATAATTTTAGAATTCATAGATCTTCATTGAATTTTTTATTTAAAATTTTATTTGTATATTTATCAATTAATTATATATTTACTGCTTTAAATGTGTTCTTTATGAATTTTTAATTTTATAAATTGCGTTTAGTGAATTTTAAAATATTAAATTTTAATAAAATGAGATGTATATATGATACTTTTGATAATATTTCTTTCAATAATTATATAAATATTTTAAAAAAATTAGATTTGGCTAAATGATTAATGGTATTAAAGATTATTTTAAAAATATTAATTTTTTTGAAGTATCTTTGTTTTTATAATTTTTAATATAGTTTTGATATAGTTTTAATAAACATGTTAAATATTATGCTTAAAACTTGATAATTCCATTTGTATTTCTATTATAGAAATTTTTTTAATTAAAAAATGATTTATATTTTTGACTATTTTTGACTTTTTTTGATAATTTTAATATTTTATTGTTTTTATATAAGATTATCTTCTAGTTAAATATATTTTTTAATTTTAAGATTTTTGTTATTTTAAAAGTAAAAAATGTTTTTAAAGAAATTTGAAATGAAATTGAAATTTAGAATTATTTTATTAAATATTGATTAAAATTTATTATGATAAACACATATTGTATTAATATAAGTGAGTATTAGTAAACTAAGTTACGAAAATATTAATATTTATGTTTAGATTCTAAAGTCTGAAAATTTATAAAATATATATATAATTAATTTTAGAAACAATGTAATGAGTGTGTTGTAAACGATGCCTCAATATGCTATTATCAAAAGCCCAATAATATTATAAATATTGTATTTAAATCAGTTTCAAAAAATTGAATATATTAAAGTCTTAAATAACAATAATTGCAAATATTTTAGAATTACAAATATAGAGAATATATATATTATTTATAAATCTAAAATAATATCATTAATGATTATTTTCCTAATCCATAACGTTTTATAATATCACTTGCATTACTAAGTTTTTCGGCTTTTCCTTGGATTACAATTGTAGGTTGTCCTGTTCCTTGACCTTTATTTTTTATTAAGCCTGTAAAAATCTTTTCTGCAACGTTTTGCAAATCATTGACTGTTAATGAAGATATTTTGTCACACATTTCTTGAGCAGTTATTTTTTTTTGATTTATAGTTTGTGCTTGTCTTCCTAAATCTTCTAAGATAATCATTTTGCTTTCTAAATTCATCATAAGTGAACTTCTTAGTTGATTTTTAGCTCTTTCTGTTTCAATTTTATTTATACCCTTTCGTCCCTTGTGCATAGTAAATACCAATTCCTGACAAATGATATTAATTAATGCTTGAGCAGCATCGTGTTTACAGCCTTTATAATTAAAATAATAGTATAAAAAAAATAAGATCTTACTTGCTGATATCCCAAAAATTCCTGAATCTGTGTAACTATGATTAAATGAAACACAACTTTCTATCCATCCATATTGATTTAATACATTTAGGAAAAGTCTTGAATACATTCCTTTACCTGGTCCTCCAGCACTAAAAGATCCTCCTCCTCCTAAAAGAATCTGGAGAGTAGCTAATGCATAAATATCTGGGTCTGAAAGAGGCATGCCTTCAAAAGCAATATAAATATGAGTAAATTCCTGATTTTGTTTTGATAAAGGTATATTCATTATTCCTCCTGTATAATGAGCAGGTAAAAACATTTTTTCTTTAGAGATATCATAAGGTAATGAAATAGAAGATGTATTTTTTGATAGAGCTTTTTCCTGAAATTCTAATTCTAGTGATTTATTTTGTAAAACAAAAGGGTTATAAGATGTTTCTTTATTTTTGAAGTCACCGAAATATTTCTCTGCTAAATCTCTAGCTTTGTCGTGTTCGACACCTACAAATGCTATAACCATACGCTCTGGACGATAAAACAGGTCTCGATAGTCGGAAATAGTGGAAAGAGAAATAAAAGGTAGCCTTTCTTTTGGACATAATAAGGGGTTTCCTAACGTATTGTTTTTGAAAGCAGTAATATGAACCATTTCCGGGAGTATTAATTCTGGTTTGGATGTTATTTCAGTTATTTCATACTGTACAGTAAGCTTTTGTTCTTCTAAATCCTCCTTTGTAATAATTGGATCGAGAATAGTTTCTGACAACAATTTGATCATGTTTTCAACGTCATTATTAAAAATAGCCGTTTGATATATCAATGATTCTCTAGAACAAGAACACATGAAATTCCCTCCCAAAGACTCAAGACTATTTATCATATTTTCTGCACTTCGATTTTTAGTTGCCTTGTTTCATGAGATTTATATCTAATGAAATATTTTCTAACCTTAAATGAAAGTCTGTCTATAAGGTGGCTTGTTCCTCTAATATTATCATGTTCATATCTTGAACCTGCATCAATATATACTCCAAGGGTAGAAAAATGCCCAGGAATAGCTTTGGAGACAACACGAACTCCATTAGATAGAACAAATGATTTGCTCAACTCTGAATATTCCTAATATAATATTAATTTGACCATATTTTCGAAAAATATTTTCTTACATTTTTTAGTTCATTAGAATTTTTTGTAAGTTTAAAATATGTTTTTTTAGAGGTACTAAATAACTTTTTTTGAAATAAATATTGTATATGTTTTTTTAGAAAACTATGTTTTGTATTCTTTGTATTATGTGCAAAAACTATTTTATTAAGTTTCATTTTTATATTTTGTCTCGAAATTTAGATGATTTTTTAATTTAAATTTTATTTGTATTTAAATAATAAATTATAATTAATAAAAGCTGATGACGTCAATGACTTTAATAGTTTTGATATTTTTTATATTTTAATATATTAATTATAATAATTTTATTTGTAAAACATTTAAAAGCTTATAATTTGGTTCATTGATTTAAGATTAGTAGAATTTTTTTTTTTTTTGAAGTTATTTTTTATATTATAATTATAATCTAAAAGATATAGATAATGTTTTTTTCTGTTTTAGAAATAGTTTTTTATGTTTAATTTATAAAACTAAAATTATAAAATATTTAAGTTTTTTGAAAAAATATTTGAAGTTTTTATATTAATTTAATTTTTGTAGTTTTTTATATCTATATCTAAAAACGCCAATGTTTTATATAATTTATCAAAATATAAAATAAAATATGAAATATATTTAATTATATAATAAAAATGATTTTATATTTACGTGGATAAATTTTATTTTTTAGAATATTAAAAATTTCAAGTTCAAATTTAAACTATTATATATTAATATTTTTTTATTGTTGAATATATAAAATTATATAAAATTTATAAAATTTTTTGTTATTAAAAATAAAAAAATATAATATATTAATTATTTTAATTAAATATATTTTAACATTTTTGAAGTTTTAAATTAATATTTTTAAGAGTTATATTTTTTATTAATATAATGATTTTTTTCTATTTTTTTAATTCTAAAATTTATATATTTTATAATATATAATTTATTATTCAAAAGATATATAAATGATGATAGAATAAAAAAAATTAAAATAAAAATTTTTATTAGAAAATGAAAAGTTTTGAAATTATGTTTAGAATTAATTGATCTATCATTTTAATAAATTTTGTTTTTTTAAAAATATATAAATATTTGAGTTTTAATTTTTATTTAAAATAATTATAAAATTTACTTTAAATAGTAAACTTTAGATAATATATTATTATGAATTTTCTATCATTTTGTAAAAATATGGAAAACATTTATTGGTAATTTTAGAAGAAATAGTGTTAATATTTTGATCTTGTATTTTTTGATAAAAATTTAGATTCTATATTAATTATTTATATAATATAATATGATGTTTTTGACTTAATGATTAATGATATTTTTTTATTATTAATAAATATATTAAAAAATTTGTAGAAAATATTCTATTAATGTAATAGTTTTTCGAAAATATACTGTTATAATTAACTATAGAATTGTGATCTATATACTAAATATTTGTAGTAGTTTTAACTAATTGCTATATTTCTTTACTTTTCATATTAATTGTTTTTATACAGATGATCATTCGATATTATCATTCTTTCTTTTTTCTGGAACTTTTTCAAAGTCATTTTTAATTTCTTGCATAATAGTATTTATTCTTTCACGAAACTCTTTATTCATAAACATAGTATCATTCATTAATTCTCTTGCATGATTATAAATATTACTTCTAAAAAAAATATATTAAGTATATAAAATTCTAGACAACTTACTTATCAATAATATTGTTAATAATTACTGCAGCTTTCCCTCTATCTTGAATAAATAATGTATAATTATTGCTTATTTCTTTATTAATTATTTCTTCAAGCTTGGATTTAAGTTGTAATCCGGTATCCTGTTTAATTTAGAATGATAATATTTAATAAAGTTAAAAGTACAGAATTTACATATATTGCTATGATTTCTTTTCTTAAAGAATCAAATTTTCCGCTCAATTTGAATTTATGAACAAGCTCTGTGATGTTGATTTTCTTTTTTTCCATCAAATATTTTTGGAATTCTAGATTTAGATAATTTTGATATAACTATAAATAAAGCTTTTAGGACGGCTTTAATTTAATGCTATTTTTCATGGTCTTGGAAATATTTTTATAATAAAAATAAATAAATAGAATTTAAAAATTATTTGAAAGTTTGAAAATTACCGAAATATGTTTTTATAAAAAAAGAAAATTTTTATAATATTTAATAAATTTAAAAATAGGATGTTTCGATTATTTCTAAAATTTATAGATGGATGTTTAAATTAGGTTTTTGGATGATTAAGATTTATTATGAGTTTATAAAACTAATATTTTTTTTTTTCTCTTATAATATGTTTCTTTAATATGCGTTGTCTATTTATTAGTTTTTGTTTTTTTTTTTTTTGAATTGACTTTTTATGTATAAGCATCATAAAGTTTTTCTTACGAGATTTTTTTTCATTTGTAGTAGAATGATTTGTTTTTGCTCGTTTCATTCTTCTAGCTATTTTTTTTTTGTCATCTTCTAATTCTTTTTGGATATTTTTTATATGTCTTTTACCTTTTTTACAGTATTTTTCTTTACTTTCGTTATCGGTATGCTTTGTAAATTTTCTTCTATAATTATTTAGACAAAAATATTTGATAATTATTGGAATACTTTAGTGAGTTTTGATCATTTTTCATTAATATACATTGTTGTGTTTTAAATCCATTAAGTTTAAAAAAATCTAAAGGAGTAAGAATCTTTATATTAGTTAGTTATTAACAATAGTTTGAGAAAAAAACCGTAGAAGTATGTAAATCAAAAACATTATTTGTTTTTTCGTTAATTACTGTTTTTTGAGAACTATTTTTAGGTATTTCTTGATCGTTATTTATATATTCTGTTAGCTCTATTTTTGTAGAATTATATGTGTTGTTTTCGGTTTTATTTATAATAGTATCATTATTGAAATCAATCCATTTTTCTGAGTTTGTATCAATAGTTTCCTTGTTTTCTTGTTTTTTAGAATTATTTTTTCTATCATTTTTATCATTATAATTATCAATATTAGATTCATTTTCTTTTATGCATTCTTTTAAAAATTCTATTCCTTTAATATCTTTTTGAACATCTAGTTCTTCTCCAAATCTTAGGGGTTCTTTTTTACTTGTAAATATAGTATTAAATTTTCTTCTATCTTTTTTTTTAAGAAATTCTGGGGCAATTTCACGATAAAGCCCTATTAAACTTCTAGCAGCTATCATTACGCTTTTATGTTTACTTTTTTTGTATTCTGAAAGATTTTGAAGAAGCTCTTTTTTTATTGCTAAAGGCTGTTTAGAACATATAGATCTTATTCCATTTAGTCTATATGTTAGTGTTTAATGTTTATATAAAATTGATATTTACCCAACACTAACTATTTCTGATGCAACTGCATCATTAATAAACTCATTTGCTATTTTTTCAATTATAGGTTCAATTTCGTCTGGAGGAACAAGGTCATGACAAGCATGAGCTGCACAATCAATAAATTGTGTAACGTCTTTTTGATTTGGATTTAAGTATTTTAATAAAAACGTATATATTCCTAAAACGTTAAGTTTGTGTATGCCGATTAATTTAGATAAGAGTTGTAATAATAGTAGTTTATGTTTTAAAATAAGATTTATGTTTTTTTTTGAAAAATACTTTGAAAACAATTTTTCCGCAAATCCTTGAGGATCTTGTAATAGTTGAATAGCAGTAAAACTATGCAATTTTTCTTCTTTCTTCTTATTTTTTTTCTACAATTTGTAAATAAGAATAATTTCTATTTTCATAGTATGACCTTTTTTATATTAATTGTTTTTAAAATCTCTCTTTCTCTTTTTTTACTTTTCTTATTGACAGATAATTTATGATTAAGAGCATTTATATCTCTTTGATAACTATCTTCAATATCATCATCACTATTATCAAAAGAAAAAGAATCAACGTTAAGGAAAAAATGGACTCCACCTATAATTACTTCAATATTTGAATGTAATACTGCTTCTTTCATGATTTCTACAGTAAATGCATCATTCCATAATTTTAATTTCCACAATTTTTGACAAAGTTTTACTGCCCATATTCCAAGAGAAGATTCTTCTTCTTTACTTTTTTGTATTATTTCAAGTAGAATTGTTTTTCCCATTTTGTTTATTTTGTTATTATATGATTTAAGATTTGCATTTTTTATTTCTGATAAAATTGCTTTAAATATTCGCATATGAAGTGATTTAGTGTTAGATGACAATAAAATTGGGAAAATAACTTTAAGTAAATAATTGGAAGAAATTACATTTTTATTTTTTAAAAGAATCAGAGCTTGGATGATTTTTTCTTTAGTCTCGTTGTTTAAATTATTTTGAAAATTCAACAATAATGTAGCTATATCGTTTGGAAAATTTTTAGTTTCTTTAGGATAGTATGTGCACATCTATTGTAAAAAGTCAGGAAGGAAATAGTCTTCGAAAAATGATAACTTGAGATATAAATATAATAATATTTAGGAAATTTTCATTTTTCTGTTCAACGTTTTCCGTTAAAATATCTCTCATTGCTTCATAATGTCTCCATTGTATAAAAAAATCTTCTTTATATGATTCTGGATCTCGTTTTATTAAATTTTGTAATTTTGGAATATTTGTTGGCAGAAAAATAGCTATAAGCTATAAGTTAAAAATTAATTTTTGTTATTAATAATTTACCTTTGTTTTTTTTTTTAGCCATCTTAAGAATATTTTTAAAAAGTTTTAAATTATTTTTAGTTTTTTTGATTAAATAATAATTGTAATTCTTTCGTAAAGTTATATATATAATTTTTTAGTATAAAATAATATATTTTTGAAAATATTTTAAATATCTAACTGTTTTACAATAAAGTTTTACAGTGAATTTTATGTTTCGATTTATTTCGTTTTAACGATGTCTCAATTAAATTCTAATGTTCTTTTAAAGAATGAGCTTCTTGATTGTTTTGGAAGTGTTATTGAGAACAGTCCGGAAATTTTAATGGAATGTTTGTCTATATTAAAACTTTATTCAATTTCTCCTACAGAACTTTTTTATAGATGGGAGTCTTGGTGTTTAAAAATGGGCAATGAACCTGAGTTGGTACTTGAAAATATTCAACTTTTTAAAAGAGATATGCAATATATTCTTGAAAAAAGATCTAATTCAAAAAAAAAACAATCTGTTTATTATAAAGTAATAATTATTGCTTTTAATATATATATAACTAATTTTAGGATTATAATAATAATGATTATTCTCCAGATTTAGTTCATGAGAGCTCTGAATCTTATAAAATGCAAGTGTTTTTTAGTTTTTTATATTTTAATTTTCTAATAATAGATTTTCAAATATTATGTCGAATAAATTTGAGAATTCAAAAAAATTATCTAATTTCTTAGATTCAAGTATGATAAAAATTTCATAATTATCAAACAAATGTTTATATAGTCCTTTAGGCCATAGTTCAGGTATACCTATAGGAAATAATAACTATATATCAATTACTTCTTTTAATATTTCTACAAATTCTGGAAAAGTTATGGAGACTCTTAATTCACATATTTCTTTTTGTAATATTAGAAGTGACATGGATGGTTTGATTTCTTTGATTTAGTACGTTGTATTAAATAAATATAAGAAAAACAGAAAAAAATATCTTTGATTGCTAACTTTGATCCGAAGAAATATTCTTTTAAAATAATGTATCAAAAGCTTTCAGAAGCTTCAGAGGGTTGTATACATTCTTGAATGTTAAAATTTTAATATGTATTAGTTCTTGACGATAAGATTGATATGTTTACTGAAGAATTAATCAAGCATTATGATCTTTCTCAAGATGATTTTGGAAATCCTGCTCATATATCACATGTATGTTTTTTTTTTTTTTTTTTTCCTAAATTAGTTAGAATGAAATAGTGGCTGTAGGAAGGATTATTTGCGATTCTGATTCTGGGGGTCGTTTGAATACTACATCTATAATTTTAGAAACGTCTCGTAGATTTGGTGCAGGAAGTCGTGTTTTGTTACATGTTGATAGCCTTAGAAGTTATGCTCTTTTTCCAGGACAAATATTGGGAGTTAAAGGGATTAATTCTAGTGGTTCCTATTTTTCTGTTCGTGAATTCTTGATGTTGCCTCTTTTACCTTTTTCAGCAACTAGTTTGTCTGATTTTAAGAGGTACAATAGTTTATTGAATGGTATGCCTCAGAAGATATTTGTTGCTTCTGGGCCATATACAGTTAATGATAATATTTTATTCGAACCATTAACTGAGTTATGTAATAAAATACAAGAAGAAAAACCAGATGTTTCTATTTTTGTACATTTAATTATCAATTTATAAGTAATATTAATTTTTATAGATAGGTCCATTTTTGGATATAAGACATCCATTAATTTCTACTGGGAATTTCAATATACCATCTTTAAAAGATGATATAGGCTCATTGGATGATTTATTTAAACATTGTATTAGTTCTAAGCTTACAAGATTAAATTGTTTAGTAATTATGATTCCTCATGTTCAAGATGCTTGTTGTAAACATGCAGCATGGCCTCAGGATTGTTTCAATAAAAAATCTTTAGGATTAGAGAAAGTGAATTTTTCTGAATTGTTATTTATATTTTCTAACTTTTTAGAATATAAAGTGTATGCCTAATCCTGCTTTGTTTTCGTTGAATGAAGTTATTATTGGTATTAGTTCAAATGATATTCTTATGTCGTTATCTAAGTCTGAAATTATTAAGTAATAAAATTAATGTTTATTTTTATATACTAAATTCCTAGATCTCCTTTATACTCAAATGCATTAGCGCGGCTATCTTATCATGTAATACAACAAAGGCATTTTTATCCGTTGTTTCCAGGTACTGCATATGAATCTCTTATTGATGGTGCAAATTTAGATATTGCTTTTATGGGTTTAGGAGAGTTTTCAGATGTGTTGCCTGACATTTTAATATTACCTAGTGATCTTCAATATTTTGCTAAGGTGAATTATATTTTTTTATACTATTGGTTAGCTAAGTGTAGATTATTTCTGATACCGTTGTTATAAATCCAGGACGTTTAGCTAAAAAACAGGCTTTTGGAACTTATGCTGTTATGTATATAGAACCTCGAGATTTAAAAAAGGTTAAATCAACTGGTATTGATTTAAATGATGTAATGCTTCCTCATAATTTATCAGAAAGGGCTAGAGTCGATATAATTAGGATTTGAAATTGTATTTTTAGTTGATAGCCTTTGAGAAAGAAAGCATTATTTTTATATTTTTTGATATAATAAAATTATATATATGATTTTTTTTGAAAATATTATGATATAAGTATATAATTTTAAATAAATATTGTTAGATGAATTAAAAGATTGGTAAATAGTATTTTTTGATATGGTTATAATTTATTTATTTGAAAGTATGATTCATAGCTTAATAGAATTATATTATATTATTAATAGATTGTTTTAATATAGATTTTCGTTTAGAATCTATATACACTGAAAATCTAGATATATTATTTGTGTATTATAATGTATTGTAGTAAATAGTTAAATTTATAAAAGGAAATTGAAATATTGATTTTTCAATATTTTAAATTAATTATTGATTTAATTAACAATAATTTTATTTGAATTTTATGAATTTGTTTTATGAATAAGATTCTGTTTTTCATATATTTATAAAATTTAAATATGTTTTTTTAGAAGTTTTAAGTATTGCAATATTTTATGAAATGATATACGTTATTGTTTATATGACTGCATTCTAGTTGTGTTTAATTGATAAATTGTTTTTATAGATTTTCAATTTTGCAATTTGTAAATTTATTATTTTTGAAAAACTGAAAAATTAAATCATAATTGGTTTATTAATTACGTTCATTTTTTTTTGAATACTTTTAATAATTTTTTGACATATTTTATATTTTATTGATTTATAAATATTTTTTGGTTTTATTTATTTGGATATCCGGATGATTTTGATTTTAAAAATGAAATATTGTTTTTAATTATGACATTAAAGGCATTTATCAAAGGATTTTCTTATATTTCTAATATTTTCTGTGAATCTTTAATAAAAAATGGTTATAGAGTAAAAGGATATGCAAAATATTTTATATTTCAATCTTTTGTAGATAAAAATATAAAACAAACACTAAAAAGATCGAATAATATATCAAATGATTACAAATATGTTTTTATTTCGAGACCTATCGCTTTTTCATTGGTTTCACGGACTATTTATAAAGTTTTGAAAGTTTCTATTTCAGGAAGTTTGTTATTTTTTATAGGAATTAATTATATAAATTATAAAATTCAAGGTATATAAATGATAGTTATTTCTTTTTTTAAAAAATGTCATTTTAGTTGGTATATCTTATTTTAAGGATTTATTTGATTGTTATACAATTTATTTAAAGATCATTTTTGAGTTTATTAAACAAAATATTTTATCAAAAATTGAAGCGTTTGTTTTTAAAATATTATTTTTAAGGGATACTTTTTTAAAAATGGATAAATTGTATAATTTCTGTTTTTACACACATAATAATAATAGTTTAAATAGTTATAGTATATTAAGCTTATGTGACATCATGGTATCCAGTATAACATCTTTACTAAGTTTTAGTCAAAAACAGCATATTGAGAATTGTGTAGTTCATGATATTCCTGATAATAGTCAAATGGTTTTGTTAATAAAACGAATGATTGAAATAAAAAATATATTACAGCAAATTAAACAAAATGAGAAATTTGCGTTGCCAAATATAGTTGTAATTGGTTCACAAAGTTCTGGCAAAAGTTCTGTACTTGAAGCTATCATAGGGCATGAGTTTCTACCTAAGTAAATAGTAGAATTTATATTCAATGGAATTTATTTTATTAGGGGGACAGATATGGTTACTAGAAGACCTATTGAATTAACCTTAGTTCATACATTTGGTGCTGATGAATATGGTGAATTTCCTGATTTAGAACAAAAAAGAGTTAGTTTTGATCAAATTCAAAAAATAATTACGGATTTAAATTATCATATATCAGAGAATGATTATATTTCTGAAGAACCTATTAAATTAAATATATTTTCATCAAATGTTCCAGATCTTACCTTTATAGATTTACCTGGATATATTCAAGTTGAAAGCAAAGATCAGCCTGTTTCCTTGAAAGAGAGAATTATAGCGTTATGTGACAAATATATTCAAGAACCTAATATTATTTTGGCTGTTTCTGCAGCAGATGTTGATCTTGCAAATTCTGCTGCATTATCTGCTAGTCGTAGAGTTGATCCTGATGGTATTAGAACTATTGGTGTAATAACTAAAATGGATCTTGTTACTCCAGAAAGAGGGTATAATATATTAAAAAGTACGAATTATCCTCTTAAACTTGGATATGTTGGGGTTATTCCTACATTCTCGTTTTATCCATTTGATAAAAATATTAATTTAACTAATTTGATAGCTAAAAATGAAAAAAAAATTTTTTCAAATTTTCAGGGATTTAATAACACTGAATGTTTTGGAATAATTATTTTGAGAAAAAAACTGGTGCAAGTACTTGAGAGTTCAATGATGCATAGTTTAAAGAATATATATGATAGTATTAAATCTGAATTAGAAGAAACATCATATCAACTTAAAGCTGAATATAATGATCGATATATTACTCCTGAAATCTATATGGCTGATCTATTAAATGTTTTAAAGTATAGCTTTAAAGGATTTATTGATAATTTTGGAAAACCACAAATTCGACTTATATTAAAAGATATTTTAAATCAAAAGGTTTTGGATTTGTTAGCAGAGAGATATTGGACAGATAAGTCAATGATTGAATGGTCTAAAAAGTCTTCTGATGAGACATATTGGAAACATAAATTAGATGTGTCTACATCATATCTTACAAAATTAGGTATAGGGCGTCTTGTTACTGATTTGTTAATATTTGTTATTGTTTCTGAAATGGGAAAATTGGCCCAAGAAAATCAATTTAGAATCCATCCTTATATAAGTCAGTGTATTCTTCAATCGACTCAAAATATTTTAAAAGAAAATTATTATAGTACTGTTAAGCAAGTTGAAAATTCTGTGAAACCTTATAAACATGAGATTGATATTGATGAAAGTGAATGGGAACTGGGAAGAGAACGTTCTTTGAAAATTCTGAAAAATGAATTAAAAATGTGTAAAGATGCTTTTGAAAAACTTAGGAATTCTGTAGGGAGTAAGAAATTAGAAGAAATAGTCAATTTGATTATTAATACGAAAAATGGTTGTGAAAATGTAGGATACAATAAGTCGTTGATAAAAAAAGGTTTAAAAAGAGTCTTTGTATTTTTAATGTATGATTGTTTATGTATAGTAGGTCAACATGCTATTTTTTTAAGAAATAGAGAAAATATTTTAAATATAAGGTTAAAATTTTTGAAATCCAAAAAATGTAAAAATATCGTTAATAAACATTACTGCCCTGAAATTTTTTTAGAAATTGTTGCAAAGAAGTTGGTTGATATTGCTGTTCTTTTTGCTAATGTAGAATTGCTTTCTGAATTCGCCCATAAGGTATATATGTTGCTTGTATAATTTTTACTTTTTTGATATAGTTTTAGTTTCCTCGAGATCTTGATAATCGACTTGTTTATAATTTAACATCTGAACAATTAGAAAAAATTGCTAAAGAGAATTATGAAACTCAAAAACATATTGATTTACAACAAAGAAAAGCTCTTTTAGAATTAGTTTTAGAAAAAATAAGTCTTTTAATGTTATTTGAAAGAACTTATGAGTGATAATTAATTGTTACAAATATTAGCTTGAAATGGTTTTGATTTTTATATGGTAAATTGTAAAAACGAGTTAATTGAAATACCCTAGTTTGTTTTATAATATTGAATAATAGAAACAAATTTATTTAAAATAAATCACTTAACTAAATTTTAGGATAAGTATAACTGATTGATTGTAGATATAGTATTAACCTAAATTATAAATTACATATTATAATAATTATTTTAGATTCTTGTTTTTTATTTTATTAAAATATTGTTAGTATATTGATTGTTTTTTACCGTTTAAGTGTCCTTTGTTTTTCCGCTCGAGAAACTATCTTTTCATCTATAAAAAGTCCCTAATGCAATTATTAGTTATGTAAAGAACTAGTTAGATATGTACTTTTCTTTTTCTTATATCGTTTATATATTTTCGAGATACATTTTCTTTATTTTCAATGCTTCCGTCGTCTTCTAGTTCTTTAGTTGTAGATATCCAAAATGGATCTTGGTTTAAAATTTCAAATCCGCTAAATACTAATTGTGGATTAGCTGCGCCAGATGTTTTTTTCCGTATATCTTCTGAAAAACCAAATGATTCGATTACTGGTAATAATGCTTTTACTGAATATAAAATTCCTTTTAATTCTTCTGAAATAATACGTCCTTTGCGTTTAGAAATAATTGCATGAATTTTTCCTAAAACATCACCTAATTGTTAATTATATATCTTCCTGAAATATAAAAACTACATACTAGGCGCTTGAATATAACATGTATACATAGAAAGCATTAAACGTGGAGACCAGTCTAAAAAACCTTGTTTGATTCCGTCTTTAAAGGATGAAATTAAATGACTAGTAATTTGTCCTATTTTTGAATTGTCATAATTAATATTATTAAGTTCGATGCTTTCAATAAATATAGAAATACCATGGATCGGTTCTTCTGCTAAAGGTCCATGTAATACTGATAGTTGAAACCCGGTGTTTATGTGTTTTTCTATTTCATTAAATGATAAACTATGGAAATTACTGTCTATATTAGTAATGTTTTTATTTATATTAATATTATTGTGGAAGCTTGTTAAATTTAAGTAAAAATTCTTAAATATGATATTTTAATACTAACAGTTTTTTCATTGTCCCTGTATTATCTGCCAGTATATTTGGTCCGGTTTTATTAGGTCCAAATGCAACAATCCTATGTTATTATTAGTTATGTCTTTAACTTTTTTGTTTTATAACTTTTCATATATTTTTGTCCAATCAATATCTGTTTCTTTTACTGAACAAAATTTTTCAAATAGTTGTTTTTTAAAATTCTCTAGTTTCAGTTCATTAAAGTCTGTAATCGACGAATCTGTGACTATTGTATTGTTTATTTTAGAATACATATATACATTTTTGATTATTTTTGAAAATGAATATATATATTCTGTAATATTTTGAGGTAAAGGATATACTCTAAGTTTTATTTTTATGTTGGCTAGAGGTACTGAAATTTCTACTATGCCTTTTAAAATGCCATTTTCTTTGAATGTTGCAGAATCAATAAGTATATTAATGAATAGCTGCAAAATGTAATATGTTTTACCTTTTAATCTTACAATAGTTTCTCGAAATGGAACACTAGGTCTTGAAACATGAATATTTATTTTTGCAAATTTTTCGCACAAATCTTTCAAACATTTCTATATACTTTTAGTGTTATATTTTGTATAGGAAAGTTTTACTTCCAGATGAAGTTCCCCTGCTGCTAAAATTACGTGTTCTCCTGAATCTTCATGTTGTATTTGAACACATGGATCTGCTTGGTCAAGTAATTCAAGACCTTCTATAAGTTTTTCCATATCTGATGGTGATTTTGGTTCAATAGCTACTCTAACAATAGGTGTATTATTTATGATACTTGATAAATTATAACTAACGGTTAAAGAGGATATAGTTCCACTTTTTAAAATACTTTTCTCTAGTCCTCCAATTCCAAATATATTACCTGCATAAACTTTTTCAATTGGTATTAATTCTTTACCCATAAACAGATATAGGCTAGAAACTACTATTTTAGACATATTTTTTTCTGGTGTTTTAGGATCATATTTTGGCTTAAAAATATAAAGTTCTTGTCCTACAGTTATAACTCCACTATATAATCTTGCAAAACCTATAAAACAATTGTTTTCGGCGTGTTTGAGAGTTTTTTTAAAAAAACGTAATTCATTATTCATCGAAACATATGATGATTTCATATTATCTGTTTGATATGATAGAAAACTCATTTCAGGTATTTTAAATTGAATTTTCTGAATTTCATTTTCCGATTCTATATTCGTTTTTTGGTTTTCTGGATATTCTTTAATGTCTATAGGGACTAGTTTACTAATATAACCTATAACAGGTGATAGGTTGGACGTTGAACATTCTATAATTGAGTTATATATATATGACGGAACTGAGTCATAATTTGGACTAGATGCTAGTATATAAGGTAAGCGTTGTTCTTGTGATTTTTTTGGCGAAGGTATTTGTTCAATTATACAAAGTATAACTGATGTTGATAATGAAAGCCATTGTGAAAATATTGACGTAAGAAGACATTTAGGATCTTTTGAAAGGATTTCACGGCGTGGAATTTTAAGTTCAAGATTTTTAATTATTTTTTCAATTTTATTTTGGTCCCTAATATGAAAATAATAGTCAAAGTTATCGTTTTAAAAATTTGGTCATACCTGTTTAGGATAATCGAATCATATATTGCCCAGATATTTTCTAAAATAAGTTTAACAAACATCGGTTTAATATTTCTTCCTTTTAAATCTTTAGGCTGTAAAATATGTTTTGTTTTTGGATCTAAATAAAAAGGTCCCCATAAAGTTTTATTTAATATAGATTGTTTAATCCCTAATTTATTTTCGTATATTTCTGCGAATTGATTGATTCGGAAGCCCCAGCCGTCTAAAGCGCTAGAGATTATGACATTCCCTTTTTCAGGTGAAAAATATAGTTCGCTTATTGTTTCATACGATAGTGAATGTGTATTATTGATGACATTAGTTTCTTGTTTTTCTAAAAGTTCGTTTTTTTCAAGATTCCTTAATTTTTCTTCTGTAAAAAAAGAATTCATAATATTGTTTACTTGGTCTAATAATTGTAATAAATGTATATATGCTTCTTCCGGTGAAAGATGTAGTTCTAGTATAAACCTGTCTACTTTGTTAAATATTAGTATTGGTTTTAATTTTTCTATCCATGCATGATGAAGCATCGATATTGTCTAATAAAATGAATACAATTCTATATGATAATGAAAGGATACTTGACTACAACAACCTTCGATTACATCAATAATAATTAAAGCCCCATCGCATAATCTCGATGCTGCTGAGATTTCAAAATTGAAGTCTACGTGTCCTGGTGAGTCGATAAGGTTAATTAGGTATTCTGAATCTTCAGAAATAAACATTAAAATGATTATTTTTAAATTTTAATGACCTTACTGGTTTCATTTTTTCCTATTATTTTTGCATATAATGAGATTGCACTAGACTTTTAATTTTAGTCTAATAATAACTATTTAGAAAACAATATACTTTCATCGTGATTCCTCTGGTTATTTCGTCTTCTCTGCTATCTAAATATCTTATAGAACCTGCTATTTTATTTGAAATGATAAGATTAGAAGCAATAAGTCTGTCTGCTAATGTTGTCTAATTATAGTTATAAAAATATATTAAAATATTATATTGACTTCCCTTCCCATGGTCAACATGTGCTAATAAACATATATTTCTAATATAATACGGTTCTTTTTGCAGACTTTTTAGAATTTTTGGTTCAATTGGTGGCATTAATTTTTCCCTAAATGTTTTTATAATGTTATATCTTTTTTATATTTTAATAATTAAATGTTAAAATGACAATATGTTTTGAGTTTTTGTGTTTTATGTATGTATTGATTATTAAGAGAGTAAAATGTATTTTTTATATGTAAATTATATGATTAACGTAAACTTACGTATTTATTAAAAATTATCGTTTTTTAATGGTTTTATAAAATTTAAATTAAAAAATACTATAATATATATGTTTTATTCTGTTACTAATAGTGTGTTTGTAAGATGATGAATTATTTTTTTTTTTTATAAAAAAATTACATGACATATTTTGATTGGTTTAATTTTTAAATTTTTACAAATTAATATATTTTATTGAAATTTAATTTATAATAATATTAATTAATCTATAGTTGTATATATTATTTATATGTACTAATGTATTATACTTTATAATACATAATAGTATTAAAATTGATATGTTTAACTTTGATGAATGATAATAATCTATATAATATATTAGTATGATGAAAATTATCAGTGAAATAAAATGTATATGATTAATAATGTGTATAATTAATAGTTTTTATATAAAATATTGAATAATTATATAAATTGCACTATTTTTGTGTATTGTTTTTTATTAAACAAAAAAATTGCATTATAATTAATTTATAATTTAAAATATTAATTTTATATATTATATTTTTAGCGCTATTAATATGTTAAAATGTAAAAAAATATCTACTATTTAAATAATAATTACTATTAAATTAATAATATATTTGAAAATTCATTTGAAAATTATACATTTAAATTGTGTTTTAACGTTATAGTTACATTAACGTTATAGTTACATATGCCATATTTTTATATTTTTATATAAGTATTATAATGAATAATTGTAATATTTCATTAAAATATTTATTTATATAATTTCATCGCATAATAAATATTTTTAGTTTTCTAAAATGTTATATCAGATTAAATCAGGATTTAATAGGTATATTAATTCATTGAGATTAATAAAAGAATATATATTGCAAAGTTTTATATTTTTTGAAAGAAATAATCAGTATAAAAATTTTTATGGAACCAATTCAATGAAAAGTACGGATTATAATGGAGTTAAATCACAATCAGATATAGACTCAAATATTGCAATTTCTCAATCAGAAAAATCAAAAAAATGTATTAAAGTTATAAAAAAAAAAAGTAATAGGTATACCAAAAAAATTATACAGATTAATTGGAATATAACAGAGCATGATTTAAAACATAGGCTTAGAATTGGCATGATATCATTAGAAAAAGGGTATGATATTGATGTTTTAATTAGATCTAGAAAATCTAAAGGAAAATTTGAACTATGTAAGAGAGAAAAAATGCTTAAAAATTTACGTGAAATATTTTTACAAAAAGGAATTGAAAGAAAACCAGCTGTTGGTACTTTTAATGATTCATATACGTTATATTTTAAACCAAAAAAATATCATAATATATCATAATATATGTATATATATATTTAATATATTTTTTATGTTATATTTTTTATATATAAATAATCAAATTTTTACAATAAATATCTTTAAAATCAGTTTAAATACTAATATTAACCATATTTAATTTATACAAAACATTAGTATTAAATTATAACAATTATACATATCTTTAATAAATTATATATATATTATTGCAATACTACATAACTACATATTTATAATATTAGAATGAGATTTTTTTATTTTAAACTTATTTTATGTTAATACAATTTATAATTATGTGTAAACAGACATAATATATAATGATATATGAATTAATCGTAAATTGCATTATTATTATTTGATATCAATCGTTATCATTTGTAAATTAAAAATATTTAATATCGATTAATACTAAAATTATTTTATTCTTTTAATAAAATTATACTCAACTTATTTAGTATATATAATTTTAATGTTATAAATATTATATATAACAATCCAAATAATTAATTGCAATTCAAATTTCAATATTTTTATATTTTTAAAGTTTTAATATTACACTTCTGTTATATATAAGAAACCATTAGGTTTCTTAAATATAAATTAAACAGACATTAATATTACAAAAAAATATATAAAATTATTAAAAATTATGAATTCAATATAACTAAAATTTATAGAAATTTATGTAATACTATTTATCTTTTTTAAAAAAGTTTTTACACATTATATAATATATATAATTATATATAATACGTATAATACTAATATAAACATTTTTATTATTAACAATATTTATTATAACCAAATCATATTTTCAGAATTCACAAAATATAAATATAGTACATTCAAAAAATTCATAATATTAAAAATTCATAATATTATAATATTATATAATTATTATATAATATACTTATACTTAATTAAGGCCCACTAATCTTTCAACCTTTAATTTATGATTCCCAACATACATAATTGGTACACCAGGAATTCTACGTATAAGAACTTTAAGGTTTTTATCATTAGTAGCAACAATATAACATCTATTTTGCATTATTCTAGAAATTATACAATCATCAGCATAAGTTCCAGAATGAGAACAAGGTAATCTCTCAAAACATGGATCACGAGCAATTCTATTTAAATTATCACAAATATTTATAAATAAATCAAAACCAACTTTAGTGCAATTCTAAATTTATTACCTAATTTTTCAAGCTCAGCCATAACACAATCAGTAATATATGGAGTACATTTTGCATATAAACACTCCATCATCCCTTTTACAACATCTATTTTATTTCTAATGCAAAAATTGATAAAATTCCTAGTTTATTTGTAAGTTTATTTATATACAAAATAAAAAAATCATACGTATCAATTAAAACATGATAAGGAGGACCCAAAGATTTATTATACTGAAAAAACAACGAAGAAGCAACTTGAGGTCTAAAACAAATATCATAATTTATTTCGTATTCTAATTATATCCTTACATTTCACGAATTTTCTCATCTAGTTCTTTTAATTCATTTTTTTTATCAAAATTACTTTAAAAATAAGATATGAACAAAAACAAAAAATATTTTCCACATACAGTCTCTGATCACGAGGATTAATCAACTTTTTTTTTACAGAAAGACATGATGCGTTTTTTATTTTTGCCATTTTTTTAAAATATTGAAGTATAAAATTAATTCATCGTAATTCTATACATTTCACGATATCATTATTCAAACTAAAATCTATTTATATTAGACATGTATACATATGTATATCTATATGTTATTTATAACATTTAAAACAAAAAACATTAAAGAATCTAAACCAAATATAAATATTTTAAAAACGGTATTTAAAAAGATAATTTGATATGATAATTACCAAATAGTTTAAATTATTAAAATTTCATTTAATAATACATTTATATATTTTATCTTTATAATTTATATCTATTAACAATTTTTTTTTTTTACAATTTCTAAGCCAACAACTCAAATTACACTTACAAATCGTATCAATTTAATATATTACTTCTAAATATTATAAATATTATATACAAATATTTATGATACTTCTAAATAAAATACAAATATATATATTACATAGAAACCACTCATAGAAACTATTATTAGTCCCAAATATATAGAATTATATCATCAGCAATAATCCAAGAGAAGATATTTTTTATTTAAAATTTTACAATTTTTTAACATAATAAAAAAATCAAGAAAATCATAATTATAATATTTTACAATTCACCATGGAAAAACTCGTTCAAAGGAAGCTCACCTGATCTTGAAATCAAAATATCATCTACTGGTTTATCATTATGCATTTTTTTACAATCTTCAATTTTCATAACAATATCAAAACCATTAACAACTTCACCAAATACTACATGTTTTCCATCAAGCCAGGGTGTTATAACAGTGGTAATAAAAAACTGACTACCATTGGTATCACTGCCTGCATTTGCCTGCTATAAATTATTAAACTATTTTATAATAATCATCAATAACCATAGATAAAATTCCAGGTTTAGAATGACGTAATTTAAAATTTTCATCAGGAAATGCATCTTTTAGCATTATTTAGTCATAAATCATATATTATTCCAATTAAACCTCCATAAATTGATCTACCGCCAGTTCCATCACCACGAGTAAAATCACCACCTTGGATCATAAACTTTTTATAATCAAAAATAAATTATACAATAATAGAATATACGTTCTTAATTACACGATGAAATTTTGAACCTTGATATCCGTATCCTAACGAAGAAAATAAACAATACGAAAATAATTATTAAATATACCTTTTTCACCAGTGGCAAGAACTCTGAAATTTTCTACAGTTTTAGGAACTAAAACAATATAAAAAAACAAAAGAAAAAAAGAAATCAAACCAGTTTTTCCATAAAGTCCTAATTCAATTCTACCGAGATACTTGCCATTTTGTTCAATATCAAAGAACACACTAAATTTCATAAATGAATATAATATTGCCCATAACTATAAAACATACATATTAGTAATCAAAGGACCCTTTGCAGAAAAACACTGAAAAACAAAAACTATAATAAAAACTATTAGAGTTAAAAATTTCATTATTATTTTTCTATAAATCTATATCAATTTATCGAATACTTCGTAAAAAAAATATAAAAAAACTATTAATATAAAACCCATTATATTATTACGTTAAAAAATATAAAAGTATTAGTAAAAAAACACGTATAAAAATCATATTTATTAATTTCAATCAAATTACACAATAAAAAGTATCATTATTATATTATTTTTTTATAATTATATATATTTTATAATTTCAAAAATGTAAATCAATTAAATTAAAGAATATTTCATAAAAAAGATTATTGAAAACTATTATGTAAATAATCTACTTCCATAAAATATGTCGATCCATCATAAAAATAAAACTTATAATATCAACATATATTTATGCTAATCTTATAATTTTATACGTATATTTATTTACATAATTCCAGTCATTATAACAATTTATTTAAATATTTTTATCCAGATTTTATACAAAATAATATTAAAAAACAAGATAAAAAATATAAAATCAATATAAAATTATTCATCAAGAAATTATATAATTAAAATATAATAATTTAATCACACTATAATTATAAATTTATATTACATTATAATATTAACATCAATATATAGCTGCAAATAAATTATAATAACTGCTATATAATTAATATCAAAAGAAAACAAAAACATTTGTAAATAAAATCAAATCAATAGAACTAAAGTATATTAAAGAATAGTATAAATATATATAATACAAACATTAAAAAAGAAATATTTTATAGATTACCATAGAATATAAACGACTATTCATCTTATATTTGTATTATAATTAACATTTTATCATTCTTTAATAACAGAAATACCATTTTTATCAACAATTTTTATTATAAAACTTTTGAAATCAATAGGAAGCCTTGTTTTCATTTCATCCAAACATTTCCTTAACAATTCTAATCCCTTTTCTAAAGTAATATCCTGTTGATAATACTTGTCCAATAAAGACAATACATAATAACTCCCATAACCATGACATGCATAAGAAACAGATGAAAAAGTAGCAAGATTGTCCAAAAAATAAAGCTCTACTGATTTAGAAACAATATCATATCCAGCCAAAAGAAGATTAACACCATATGGTCTCTATTTTTCTCAAAAATTATTCAAAATTTTAATCAAAAATAATACCCGTGATCTTAAACTGTCAGCCAACTCTTTTCGAACAAAATTAGCAACAGCCTTAGTTTCCAATTCAACACTATTTTTCATTTCATAAAGTTGAACATTTGCCTTAAAATTAGTGACATTCAAAATTAATTTCACAATATTAAAACCTGGAGATATTCAGAAAAATTTAATGTGTCACCTTCCATTCCTGAATATAAAAGAAGATTATGATAATTTAAAACTTTTGATTTATCATTTAAATCATCAAGTACAGTAATTCCACGAACAAATGCTTTATTAGACGCAGTAAGTATATACTCTGAATTATCAAACAAAAATTAAACTCTGACATTTTCCAGCAAACCTTTTCCCTTTAATGCTAAGATACAATCCATTATTTTTAAAAATATACGGTATGTATATTTTTAATTAATATTTTTTTACAGAAATCTATTATATATCGAAATCTCAAAATCAAAAATTTAAAAAATTATAAAATTATGAATGGTTCGTCTTTAACAAGGTCATTAAACACTAAACAGAAATCAAATTATATAAAAAAAGAAAAAATTACTAACGAGAAAAGACATTTTAACAAAAATTATATTTCCAGCAGTGAAAATGAAACTGATAAAGAATCAGAAAAAATTAGTTCAAAAAATAACATAAATAATGACATAAATGGTAATGTGAATGAATATCTAAGCTCAGATCAAGAGTGTATTAGTAAAAAACGTCTTAAATTAGCTAAACAATATATTCAACAAATACAAACAGAAATAAGTATTTTTTACTGTTCAATTTTAAATGTACATTTATAATATAATCAGAGAATTACGACTTTGACACAAAAAATATTAGTAAAGATTTAGTTTCTGAAAGGTTAAATGAAGATATGGTACCTTTAATCTATATAACATATATTTTAATAATTTAATATCAGATGGAACATAAAAAAAAAATGTATATATTTATTGCAGAAGAACTTGAAATTTCTAAGCAACCATTATCTAATTTTATCCGAGGACACAAACTTTCAGTAACATCTGTTGCAGCATATGAAAATTATATTTACTCTGTTTCTAAGGATGGTCTTTTACAAAAATGGGATATTTCTAATGTTAATAATCCAAAAAAGCTTATTTCAGCAACAAGTGGAAAAAAAAACAATAATACATTTAAAGGTCATATTTCCGAAATCACAGATGTTAAAGTTAGTAGCGATGGGAATTGGGTCGTTACATGTGGAAAAGATAAACGTATTATTGTAAGAAATTCGTCAACATTAGCTATTAATTGCATATTTGAACATCATCGTGACTCTGTTTTGGTTCGTAATATTATTCTTTTACTATAAAACTTAACAATATAAGGCTTTAACATTCCGTAGAGGTACAAATCAAATGTATTCATGCTCTTCAGATAGAACAATTAAATTTTGGTCACTTGATGAAATGTCATATATACAGACTCTTTTTGGGCATCAAGAATTAATTCCCGATATTGCATCACTTTCTTTAGAGAGGTGTGTAAGTGTTGGTTCTAGAGATAGAACAGTAAGACTTTGGAAAGTTGCAGAAGAATCTCAGATGATTTTTAAAGGAGAAAATAACAAAGATAACGAGGTTCAAGAAGGAAGTATAGATTGTATTACGATGATTGACGAAAATCATTTTTTAACTGGCTCAGATAACGGGTAATTATATATATTTTTTTTAAATTTCTTATTGTTTTTAGAAACATATGTTTATGGTCTATTTATAAAAAAAAGCCAGTCTTTACTGTATATCATGCCCATGGCTATGATTCCGTCAAATCATCTTCTCAGTATTCAGCAGAAATCAATTCATCATTTCTTCCTTCTCCACAACCCCGATGGATTACTTCATTAACATCTCTTCCTTATTCTGACATATTTTTATCAGGTTCATGGGATGGATATATTAAACTTTGGAAATTATCATCAGATTTAAAAAATTTTTCTTTAATAACAAACAATACATTACCAATTGACGGTATTATAAATAGACTATGTATTATAGAAAAAGGAAAAAAAGCGGAAAACGGAATCATAATTATTGCAGCCATAGGAAAAGAAAACAGACTAGGAAGATGGTACAGAAATGAGAAAGGGAAAAATGGAATTAAGCTTTTTGAAATTAAAAGATCAAAGCAAAAATTCAATTAACTTTTAATATATTTATATATTTAATAAAAAATAAACTATTTAAAGAATAAACCTATTTTATATTTTTAATATATTTATCTGAAGCATATTTAGGATCAGCAAGCTAAAATAATTAAATAATTTGATAAACATATAAACATATAAAAACATACATTTTCTTCAATCCTTAAAAGTTGATTATATTTCGCTACACGCTCTGAACGACATGGTGCACCAGTTTTGATTTGACCAGTACTAAGACCAACAACAAGGTCTGCAATAACTGTATCTTCAGTTTCACCGCTACGATGAGAAACCTAATATATATGTATATAAATTAAATAACGTATATAATTTAAAAATACCATAACCCCCCATCCAGCATCAACTGCACTTTTAAATGCATCAATACTCTCGGAAACAGTTCCTATTTGATTAATTTTTAAAAGTAAACAATTACAAGCTTTTTTATTAATAGCCTTTTTTATTCGATCAACATTTGTAACAGTTAAGTCGTCACTATTATATCAAAAAAATAAATAAAATAAAAACATTATATTACCCAACAACCTGAAAGTTAGCATTTTTACACAAATATGTCCATGCATCCCAATCATCTTGATCAAATGGATCTTCAATAGAAACTATAGGATATTTTTCAGAAAGCTCTAAATAAATATTTGAGAGCTCTTCAGAAGTTTTATATTGCGAAGGGTCACTTTTAGGGTTTTTAAAATCTAAATCATATTTTCCATCTTTGTAAAATTCACTTGCAGCAACATCCATTGCAATTTTTATTTTTCCAGTATATCCAGCTTTTTCAATAGCATCAACAATAAGATCAAGAGCTTCATCAGCTGTTTGAATATCAGGTGAAACACCTCCCTCATCTCCAACATTCCCAGCTAGCAATGTTAATTAAAACAAAGAAATATACAATAAAAATCTATTACCAGATTGTCCATATCTTTCTTTAGCAAGTTTCTTTAAAACAGAATAAACTTCAGAACCTTGCTGCATAGCTTCTTGGAATGTAGTAGCACTAGTAGGAAGAATCATAAACTCTTGAAAAGCTAGTCTTCCACCAGCATGAGATCCCCCATTAAGAACATTAAAACACGGAATAGGGAGAACAAACGGCTTTTTGGTACCAGCTATATCCGCAAAATGTTGATAGAGAGGAACTTTCTAGAATACAATGAACATAAAGTATCAATAAAAATTATAAACCTTCTCTGCTGCTGCTGCCCTAGATATAGCAAGAGAAACACCAAGAATAGCATTAGCACCAAGCCTTGCTAAAAATATATTAATAAAAAATTAAATATTTTCACAAACTACATTTATTAGAAGTACCATCAAGAGTAATAAGAAAATTATCTATAGCACTTTGATCTTTAATATCAATGTTTGCCTTCAAAAGAGCAGGGGAAATAATATTATTAACATTGGAAACAGCACAACTAACACCTAATCCTATTAGTTCGAAAAAAAACAAATAAATAAAAATTAAAACAACCTTTCCCTCCCCAAGAAAAACTGTTATCACGTAACTCTAAAGCTTCATGAATTCCTGTAGAAGCACCAGATGGTACAATTGCTCGATGAATTCCAGTTTCTGTAACCACTTCAACTTCAACAGTAGGATTACCTAAAAAAATAGTTTTTCAATTTAAAAATAATTTTATTCATAATGTTCAAATTATACCTCGTGAATCATAAACCATACGTGAATAAAGATTAAGGATTCCCATAAATAATTTCTAAAAATACTTCAAATTTTACTGATAATGATACGCTTGAGTTTTGCAAAGAATTATATATTTTAAAAATAAATAATATAAAATATTATGTTTAATAATATTTTTTATACTTAAAAAATTTATACGTAAAAATATTATCAATAAACAAATAAGGTTAAAAATATTAATAAAATATAAAAACAAAATAACCAGAAACTAATAAAAGGAATATTGCTAATATTTGTTAATATTTATTAGAATTTTATATATTATTAATTTTACTTACACAAAAACCCAAAAATTTGTTTTTTTATTAAAATTTCTTATAAATCATATAAATTAAAAAATATCATTAAAGTTGTACTAAATTTTTTAATATTATATGATTTTTAATTTTAAAAATGAACATCTTAACAAAACAATATAAATAAACTCACTATTGATATAACATTATCAAAAAATGACTTAAAACCTTATATTTAAGTAATTATATAAAAATATATAATATTTTCAAACAAGTCCCCGGTCGGATTTGAACCAACGATCTTAGGATCTGCAATCCCACGCCTTAGCCGCTTGGCCACGGAGACAACATGATAGCTATCTATAAAATCCTATAAATTAGTATCAGATATCGTAAATTTTACAATATTATTTACAATATTATTTAAAATAAAACGTCATAATTATATCATTAATATTAAAATATTTCAACTTTTTAAAAATTCATAAATTTTAAACAAAGATTTGTATTTACAGTATAATGTATAATAAAACTTTATTATTATTTCATTTACAAGATAAAATATAAACTAGAAAATTACAAGTCCATTTTATTTAAAAAAAATTAAATATTTTTACTTAACATATAATTTTATTATTAAAATAAAATACTTTCAAAATAAAATTTATCAAAACTATATAATTTATTTTAACTATACAATATTTTAATTCATCTCTAAATAATATTTTTTTTTAAATGTTTTTTTAAAAATTAATATTTTATATTATTCATAGATTAAACTTCCAAAGATCTATTTTTCGATTAAATAATTTAAAAATTTATAATTCAAACTATTTTAATTAATGTTAGAAAACACAGAAGAAAAAGAAGAAATAGTAAATACACTTAAACAAAAACTTATAGAACATAAGAAATGGGATTCTAAACTAAAAGAATGTAAATATTTCTCTGAAAAACTGAAATCTTAGAAAATAACTAATTAAAACAAGTGCGCAAAACAATTGGAGAACAAAAAAAGACTTATGCAAAAACAGAAGAAGATATTAAAGCATTACAATCAGTTGGTCAAATAATTGGTGAAGTTTTAAAACAACTAGATGAAGGCAAATAACAAAAATACTATATATGTTATTAATATAAACAGAACGTTTTATTGTAAAAGCATCTAGCGGGCCACGATATGTTGTTAGTTGTAGAACGAGTGTGTGTAAAGATAAATTGAAGCAAGGAGTTCGAGTTTCTCTTGATATGACAACTCTTACTATTATGCGTATACTGCCACGTGAAGTAGATCCTCTTGTTTATAACATGTCACTCGAAGATCCCGGAAAAATGAATTTTACTAGCATTGGTGGACTCAATGAACAAATTCGGAAACTAAGAGAAGTTTTTTTCCTACTATCTAATCGAAATTCTGATATATTTAACTTTAGATTATTGAATTACCACTTAAAAACCCAGAACTTTTTCGCAGAGTTGGTATTAAACCACCTAAAGGTGTTTTATTATACGGTCCTCCAGGAACAGGGAAAACATTACTTGCTAGAGCTGTAGCATCATCATTAGGAACAAATTTCTTAAAAGTTGTATCATCAGCTATTGTCGATAAATATATTGGTGAATCATCGCGTTTAATCAGAGAAATGTTTGGATATGCAAAAGAACATGAACCGTGTATTATTTTTATGGATGAAATTGATGCTATTGGCGGTCGTCGGTTTTCAGAAGGTACATCTGCTGATCGAGAAATTCAACGAACTCTTATGGAACTCTTAAATTGCATGGATGGATTCGACTATCTTGGTCGGCTTTCTAAGTTAAAATTGTATATTATTAATATATTCTAGGGCAAACAAAAATAATTATGGCCACTAATCGCCCTGATACTCTTGACCCCGCTTTACTTCGACCTGGTCGTCTTGACCGTAAAATTGAAATACCTCTTCCTAATGAACAAGGACGCTTTGAAATTCTTAAAATTCATGCGCAAAATATTCAAAAACAAGGTGAAATAGACTATGAAGCTATTGTAAAATTATCAGGTACTTTTTTTTTTTTTTTAATTTTTATTTATATAATTTAGATTCTTTTAATGGAGCAGATCTTCGTAATGTCATTACAGAGGCTGGCTTCTTTGCTATTCGTGATGATAGAGACTATGTTGTTCAAAATGATCTTATGAAAGCTGTTCGTAAAGTTGCAGAAGCCAAACGTCTTGAAGACAAATTAGAATATAAAAAAATCTAATATATTCTATCTCTCTAAACATTATATATAATTATTAATTTATAATTATTAATTTAATCTTTGAACCTATAAATATTTATTTCTTAGTTAAAAGACAAAATTACATATAGAAGTCAAAATTGTATTCAGCATAAAACAAAATAATAATATAAAACTATATAATATTTTAAATACATATATGTAGTGAACAAAGAAGCAAAAATATTTATGTTAAATTTTTAATAAAAACCATTATAGATGGTTGTTAACAATATATAAAATCAACATAAAATCAACATAAAACCACGGAAAACTAAATATATTATATATTGGATCTAATATCCATAATTTACCATAAAACTAACCATTTAACAACTCATTTATATTATATTTATATTATATTTATATTATATTTATATCATAGCCAAACCAGTTAAACCTCCAATAAGGAAAGTAAGTGCTCCAAGTTTAAGCATATTCGATGACGAATCTTCGCTAGTTGAATTTTTGGAACCTGAAGAACCATTACCAACTTCAGACGAATTTCCCCCAGAATGCTGAAAAGTAACATTTAGCACGTCAACATTGACAGTGGCATTATTAACACTGTCAGCAATGACAAAAGCAGCTAAAATGGTACAAAAAAACACGTATAAAAATTGCATTTCCGGAATGAAATTTTTCTAAACTATAAAATAATCCTTCAATTTAAAAATTAACCATTCCTATCCGCAAGACATTTATATACTTTTTCATATTAAGTAAAATTCATATAATTAATTAAAAATATATCCTTATTTGGTATTCGTTTTTCTTATTGTAACTTAGTTTCTATCCTTTTTTAGCCAATTCACATTGAAATAATCTAATTAGGATATAATTTCCTAAAATAGAAGATCAATCAAAGAATAGACATTTTATTAATTTCCTATTTAAGCATACCTTTTTAATTTTATATTTTTTCACTTAATTACCCTTAATTTAAAGACTTAATATATGTATTAATATATAAAGACGCATATAGACACATATAACTACTTTATATCATAATAATATCATAATAAAATTCCATTTTTAAAAAATATTTCAAGGAAAATCCCTAAAATTTATCAAAAATAATTGAAAAAACAACTGCTAATTTAATTAACATGAAAATAATCTAGCCTTGGTCTAAATGTTTAACTGGGTGTCCGAATACATTTTTATATGAACCTAAATCCAAGAAAACAAAAACACTTAGGTCTAAAAACCATAAAAATTAAACAATATTTTCTTAGTAAAACCATTTAGACCATATCTGTTATATACATAAATACATTTTTTATACATTTTTTATTATATATCTTTCATATTTTTCAATTCTATATTTTTTCGTAATATTTCATTATTGGTCCAATTACTTTTAATATATTTTTGTGTATCTAACAAAATTTTATAAATTTTGGAATGAATGTTTTTAAAGACCATATAAGAAGCCTTCAAAATTTTCACGTATGCTTTTGTTTTTATTATTTACAATTTTATAGACGTGTTCTTAGAATGAACGATTTATTAATCTTCATTCATTCAAAGGTATCTTAATACTTTTTATCTACAAAACCTTATATATATGCACATAGAATTCCTTGATTTTCGAAGACTTGCATGGCCAAGAGACATTATTGATGTACAGCAGGTAGCTTATCTTTTATATCATACTTTGATATTGTAAATACTATTAATAGCGTATGCGTTGCAACCTTTCTCGGTTTTCATCGAATTATGCAATTTGTTTTGGTCTAATTGTTCTTTATTTCCTACTCACTAATCCATTGTTACTTTTTGTACTTTTATTTACTACAGGAGGTTTCTTTGGAATAAGTCGCCTAAATGGTCAAAATCTTCACATAGGGTCATTTCATTTAACACCCTCACAACTTTATACAGGCATATATTCTTTTTAGTTCCGTGTTTTTCAATAACTTTTAAAGCTTTACTTATTATTACTATCCCTCTTGGCTTTATTGCATCACCTATATCAACAATTCTTTCGATTATTGGCGCTAGTAGTATAATTATTATGAGTCATTCCATTCTTCTTGAACCTCCAATAACATGCACTTTTGAAGATGGTGATGCTTAAAAAAGTAAATGTATAAGTTAATAATTTTTGTATTAAATACCCATATATTAATCAATTATTAGCTAATATTATTATATCCATTATAGTTTATCTTATAAATAGACTCAGTCTATAACATTGAATAAAAACATTATTATAATTCTAGCATATATATATATAACAAGCCGTATAAATATTCATGTTTAGTATCATTTCTATAAATGTAAATAAGAGATAACCTTATAAAACAAAATTTAAAAAGTAAAAAAAATACAAAAAAATAAACAAAAACAAATTTTAACAAAAGTTTGTTTCCTTTGATTCTAAGAATCTCAATATAGTAAAAATTTAAAATTTTAAAATTCTCAACTACTATCATATTCAAAATACGTTTTTTAAAAAATATAAAATAATCGCCATTTATTTTTTTTCTTATTGACCTATAATTCATTAAATTTCATAAATTTTTTAACTTTTAAAAAAACTATAACTTCTATAATTACAAATATAAAAAAAAAAAATCATAATTACTAGTATTTAGATAAAATTTTTAAAAACAATATAAAATGTTTCTTTATTTTACAAAATCAAATCACTTAATTTTTCAAAAAATAAAAATACTAAAAAATAAACATTTATCAAAATATCAAACTTTTAATCGATACATTTTTTGTTAAATTTTAATAAATTAAAAATATTCAAAAAATATGAAAGCTTGCTTATATGGTATTTTTTTGATTCATTCAATTTATATTATGAAAGCGGCTTCTAAGTGGTCTACTGCTGATTATGAAATTTTTGATATTGTATCTGCTTTAGAATCCACAGAAGGAAAAGGAACAACCTTTTATTCTTTTTTAAATCTCAAAAAAGGCCCAGACTCTAAAATTGATGAAATAAATAAAGCATATCGTCAAAAAGCACTAGAACTACAGTAATTTCACCTCTAAAGTTATAAATATTTGAAATACTGTTTATAACTTTTAATTAAAATTATTAATCTAATCTAAATGTTAGCCCAGATAAAATTAAAGATAAGAAATTACACAAGATTTCACAAGAAAGATTTTCCAGGCTCGGATTAATTGCAAATATTCTAAGAGATGATGAAAGGAAAAAAAGATATGATTTTTTCTATAAAAATGGTTTTCCAAAATGGTACAAATCTATATCTATAAAATATATTTTTTTCTTAATTTTTTTTAATTTCAGGAAAGGGAGTGGATATTATTATTCTAGATATCGACCTAGTTTTGGCTTCGTTTTACTAATTCTTCTTATAATCTCATCAGGTTTACAATATATATCTTTAAGATTAAATGCCATGAGGCATAGGAACCGTATAAAATATTATATTTTATCAGCAAGATACGCAGCAAGGGGCCCTAATATTACTTCTCAGCGCAATCCAGGAAGAAGAAAAGTAATAGACCAAGAAACTGGACGTTCATTTATTGTAGAACCTGATAACTCGGTGTATTTTGTTGATACAAATGGATCAAAATGGCATTTGGATATTAATAATGTCCCACCTGCACAACTCAAGAATATTTTCATTTTCGTCTTTCTTAGATTTCTTTGGAAACATAGTTTTAAAAGACTTTACCATATACTTTTACAAAAACCAGAACATACATCTAAACCTAATAACAAAATACAACAAATGTAAATAATACAAAGACATAAAATATTTAAGATTGTAATACATAATATTATATTTAGATAAAACATATAAGATTGCAGTTTAGTTTTCCAAGCTTTTAATAAATTTATTTCATTTAATAATTAAAAATAGCATATATTTACTTAATTCGCAAGTATTATTACATATTCTTAAATACCATGTATAATATATACAATTAAGAATTGAGCTTTTTTCAATCTAAATCTATCTTGAAAAAAACTCACCCATCTCTAATTGCTCATTCTAATGAATGTTATATCTCCAATCATACTACGGCCACAACTCTCCTTAGTCTAATATACATCTTAATATATCAAACTTCAAGAGGGTGCTTTTTTCAGATTGTTTTATTTTAAACGTTAGTTTTTTTTCTAAAATTTCCGAGTTTTTTAAAAATATTAGTTATCGAAATATTTAAACTCATTCTCAAAAAAAATTAATGATAAAACAAACAAAATTGGGTATAAAAAATATCATTTGTTTTTCTTAAATAACTTATACTTTAGCCATTTTAAGTGTTTATGATAAAACAGGACTTTTAGATCTTGTTAAAGAATTAGTACAGCATGTATATTTAAATAACTTTATAAAACATACTAAATCTTCTTAGAATGTCAAATTATTGGGTACAGGTGGTACATCGAAAATGGTACGCGAAGCAGGATATGATATTAGGTAATATCGTAAATAGATTTAAAAAACATTATTTAGTAAATTATAATAAGTGAAATAAGCTCAGTAACCAATGAACCAGAAATTCTTGGAGGACGAGTAAAAACACTTCACCCATCTATACATGGAGGTATTTTTGTAATAAAATGAAACTTCCTACTATATATTCAAGGCATTCTTGCACGTGATCTTGATTCAGACAAAAAAGAATTAGAATATCTTAATATTAATAAAATCGACTATGTTATATGTAACTTGTATCCGTTTAAGGAAACAATTTCGAAAGAAAACGTGACAATTGAAAAAGCAGTAGAAGAAATTGACATTGGTGGAGTAACGTTACTCAGAGCGGCAGCTAAAAATCATATTAGAGTTACAGTATTAAGTGACCCACATGATTACCACTACTTCATAGAGGAATTGAAAAAAGGAAAAATTTCTCAAAAATCTCGTAATAAATTTGCATTAAAGGTATAAAACTATATATTCGTAATTATTTTAATATAAAAAATACATAGGCCTTTTCTTATACATCAGAATACGATACTGCTATTTTTGATTATTTTAGAAAACAGTATGCATCTAGTCAGATGCAATTATCTCTTCGCTATGGAACAAACCCATATCAAACACATGCTCAAGCATTTGTTCAATCCGGGAACATCCCTTTTAAAGGTTTTTAATAATATATATAATAAGTGTGTCTAATATTTCTTTAGTGCTTTGTGGATCTCCAGGATATATAAATCTTCTTGATGCATTAAATTCATGGCCTCTTGTAAAAGAAATGAATGAGGCCCTTAATTTACCAGCAGCAGCATCATTTAAACATGTGTCTCCTGCGGGAGCTGCTGTAGGTCTAATGCTTTCTGAGATAGAAAAAAAAGTATATTTTGTTGAAGATATACCAAATCTGTCATCTTTAGCATGCGCTTATGCTCGAGCAAGGGGTATTTTAACTACTAATTTTATTTGCCAGTTAAAATTATATAGGAGCAGATAGAATGAGTAGTTTTGGAGACTGGATTGCTTTATCAAACAAAGTGGATTTACCAACAGCCAAAATAATTTCTAGAGAAGTGTCCGATGGAATTATTGCACCAGGTTATGAAGAAGAAGCCTTAGAAATTCTTAAAAAAAAAAAGAATGGAAAATATTGTATATTGCAAATGGACAATGATTACGAGCCCCCATCAATTGAAACTCGTCAAGTTTATGGAATATCATTACAACAGCACCGTAATAATATTAAAATTAACAATCAAACATTTAAAAATATTATAAGCAAGAACAAAATACTCCCTAAAGAAGCTCTAGTTGATTTGGTTGTTGCTACAATTACTTTAAAGTATACTCAAAGTAATTCAGTTAGTTATGCGAAAAATGGAATGATTATAGGTTTGGGTGCAGGCCAACAAAGTAGAATCCATTGCAGCAGATTAGCAGGAGCTAAAGTTGAGAACTGGTATTATCATAATTCTTTATTTTAAATAAATAACATAATCAAAGGTGGCTAAGACACCATCCTAAAATTCTTAAATTTGATTTTCTTTCACATATAAAACGTCCAGAAAAATCAAATGCTATAGATCTTTATATTCTAAATAAAATTCCAAATTCTGGATTAGAAAAAAAACAATGGGAATCATTATTTGCAACAATACCAGAACCATTATTAGACAAAGAAAAATCAGAATTTATGGAAAAACTAACCAATATTACATGTGCAAGTGACGGTTTCTTCCCAGTAAAAATCTTTAAGAAATATCATACTAATCTATTAACTAATTCTTTAGTTTCCAGATAATATCAGTGAACTTGCTAAACATAACGTCAGGTATGTAAGCGCACCTACTGGTAGCATTAAAGATAAGGAAATACTTGAAACAGCAAACGAGTTCGGGATGGTTTTCATTGACACAAAGTTCCTTACATTTAATTTGTATTTCATAATTCTAATATGCATAGTCTTCGGCTTTTCCATCATTAATACAATTCTTAATTATATTTGTATACTATTTCTTAATACTTATTTTATAATATATTTTAAAAATATAGCATAAAATTCCTATATTATTAAAAACAAGAATTATTAATAAATCTTAATGATCGTCAAGACAATTAAGCACGTTCGAATCTTCATGATCATGCATTTATATATATTTCACTCTAAAGACTAGTCGGAATTAAGTTATCTCCAAAGTAGGAGTGCTGCACATTGCACTTAAAGACATTATTGCATCTAATCCTCGCAACTGACCTCTCAAAGCTATATAACTATATAAAGTTCAAGCTGTATCTTTCTAATGCAGTTGCAAGCACATACTAGCGCTAGGTTCTTCACGAACAATAATTGAGGATGATTCTCCGACCTTAACCCTTCGTTTTTATATGTTTTTCCTTAAAACATCGTATGTTAACGAAGAAGTGCAGCGTTAAAGAGTGTCATATCACATAAATACACAAGTCAAACGATTCTGTAGAAAAACATGCTTATTCCTCCCTACGATCAAATTTAAAGAACTATCTATAATTTTTTAAAAATCTAATACTCACATAATTTTTTATATTAAAATGACACAAACTTTGTAATAAAAACAAATATTTATCCTTAAACTAGAAAATATAGATCATGTATTTAAAACTAAGACGTATTTAGGTATCCTAATATATCTTTTTTTATAACTTATACTTTTTTTTAATTTTTTAAATCGAAACGAATTTTTTAAACATAAAACATTAGCAAAAAAATTATATAATAAAAACTAAAATATATTTTAATGGTTTAGATACCTCTAACCTTAATTAATATTACCTAACATTCTAATTTTTTAGACATCTATAGGTGATCATGTTAATTGAAACAAAATTAAATAATTCCTGATTATTTAAAAGGAACAGGATACGATTTAAGTAATTCAACTTTTAGCCCAGACGGACGAATATTTCAAGTAGAGTATGCATGTAAAGCTATAGAAAACTCAGGGTATTGTTTTAAAGTCCACAAATAATTTTAATTACTGAAATTAAACTCAGAACAGCTCTAGGAATTAAAGTGAAAGATGGAGTTGTTTTAGCTGTTGAACATTTAATACAGTCCAAATTACTTATCCCAGGGTCCAATAAAAGAATTTATACTGTTGACGAGCACATTGGAGTTGTTAGTATCTTTATATTTACCTATTATTAAAACTTAATATCTACTTTTAAAGGCAATAGCAGGTTTAAATACAGATGGAAAACATTTTATCGACCGTGCCAGAGAAGAAGCAAGAAACTGGAGAGATATATATAGAACACCTATTTTATCATCTGTATCATATTCTTTTACTATAGCGATTTAAACTAATATACTAGTCTTTAACCGATCGTATGGCAAATTACATGCAATTATATACTCTTTATTCATCAGTAAGGCCTTTTGGAACATCTTGTATTATTGCATCTATAGAAGACAATATTCCAAAACTTTATATGATTGAACCAAGTGGAAGCTATTGGGTAATTTTCTTAAAGTAATTTTCATAAATTTAATTTAAATTCAGGGTTATAGTGGTATTGCAATAGGAAAATCCCATTGCGAAATAAAAAATGAAATTGAAAAACTAAAACTAGACGAAATGTCTCTTTATGATGCTGTAAAAGCAGCCATCGAAATGTATAAATCTTAAAACTATAAAAAAATATACTAAAATGCATAGTATTCGTTCTACTCATAATGATTCAAAAGAAAAAGAATATGAAATAGAAGTATCGTGGATTAGTCTTTCAAAGACAGAAGGTAAACATCAACTAGTTCCAAAAAGTTTTATAAATTCTATAATAACAGAACTTAAAAACTCAGAAGAAATGATTGAAGATTAATTAAGAGCCATTAAATATATTTTATTTTTAATATATAACTTATGAAAATAATAAATTAAAGGATCCAATTTTTGCTTTTAAAAACCCTAATTTTTCTAAAAATAACTAATTATACTAACATTTTTAAATATTGAAAAATATAAAATTTAAATCAAAACAACAGCTTTTCCAAGAATTTATAAATATATCTCTTAAAATCAATAGCATATCTCTCCTAGAAGCTAAATATAGCATTTATAAATTTATAAATACTATTTTCTACCCAAAAAATGTCAGAAAATAACACAAATTCAATTTTTTATAATAAAAAGAAATACTTTTTCCTTAAATTTTTACAAAAGAAATCATGGCGTTATAAAAAATATATTTGGATATTATTAAGCAGTATTCTACTTATATTTTTTATAATTAAAAATAGAAGCACTAGTCCAACATTAACATGGAAACATGATGAACTAAAAAAAAATGACACTATTTGGGAGATAAGACAAAGCCAAGTTAAAGATGCTTTTTTACATAGCTGGAATGGATATAAGAAAAATGGATGGGGAAAAGATAAATATAGTCCAGTTTCAAGTAACATTAGTATTTTTTAATTATTATATTAATGAATTTCTTAGAAACAGGATTTAATAATATTTTATCTGGTGGATCTGGGTGGATTATTGTAGACAGCTTAGATACTTTATATATCATGGGATTAAATAAAGAATTGAGAAATGCAAGAAACTGGATTGCATCTTCATTAAATTTTGATCAAGATGAATACATTAGTACATTTGAAGCAACTATCCGCATGCTTGGTGGACTTCTTTCTGCATATTTTCTAACCAAAGATAATCTTTATCTTACTAAAGCGACAGACTTATCTAATCGATTGTTAAATGCTTTCAATTCATCCAGTGGTATTCCCTATTCTAGTGTTAACCTACATAGTGGAGATGGATATGTTTATGGAGGAAATGGCTGTGCTTCTACAGCAGAGGCAGCTACTTTACAACTAGAATTTAAATATATTTCATTCTTAATAAAAAGCGAAGAACATTGGAAAAAAGCCGAAAAAGTCATGAGGATTATTAAAGATAACAATGTAAAAGATGGGCTTGTGTCGATTTTTATTAAGTATATTATTTTCTTCTTGTATTTACATAAATTGATTTATCAAGTGTCACAGATGGGAAATTCCGAAATAATTATATAACCCTTGGATCTAGAGGGGATTCATATTATGAATATTTAATTAAGCAATATTTATTGACAAAAAAAAGGGAAAAAATATATCTGAAAATGTTTGAAGAAGCAGTTGAAGGGATTAAAAAACATATGGTAAAATACTCTAAACCATCAGGATTCACATTTGTTGCAGAACTACCTAATGGTATTGATAATAATGCATCATTTAGAATGGAACATCTTGCATGTTTTTTAGGAGGCACACTTGCTTTAGGAGCAAAAGAAGGATTGAATCTTGAAACAGAAGAAAAAAAATTAATAGAAAAATATAAAGATACTTTAAAACTTGCAGAAGAATTAACTCGAACATGCTATGAAATGTATAACGCAACAGTATCTAAAATTTCCCCAGAAACTGTATATTTTAATCTTGACGACAAAAATGATAAAGATATTTTAATTCGTGATCAAGATGCATATAATCTGCAGCGCCCTGAAACAGCGGAAAGTCTTTTTATCCTATGGAGAATTACTAAAAATCAAATTTATCGAGAATGGGGATGGTCGATTTTTGAAGCATTCAGAAATCACTCCAAAGTAGAAGGAGGATATACATCACTAAAAAACGTTTTAGTAGATCCACCTACACTGGGAGATGACATGGAAAGTTTTTGGCTGGTAAATCCTTTATAGTACGTTATTTAATATTCAATATTATTTAGGCGGAAACTCTAAAATGGCTTTATTTATTGTTCAGTCCTGATAATGTTCTTCCTTTAGATGATATTGTTTTTAATACAGAAGCTCATCCTTTCCCTAGATTTGATTTAGAATCATTAGGATTTAATGCTGGTTGGACCCAAGAATGATTTACAAATATAATCTTTCAATATTTTTTAACTGTTTTCTCCATCTGATACCACAAATATCTAATATTATAGACTAATGAATTATTACAAATATTCCAGCAATAAACTTCTAAAAATGCACGAAGATAGTAAAGTATAGACATTTTCATTCTAAAAATAAAAAGTATTCATAATTCTATATACTATATTTCTAAAAAATACAAAAATCAATGTCAATTCTATACACAACTCTAAAAAATAGGAATATTCATATCAAGTTTCATATATATTTATATCTCGACAAAAACATTTACATAAATTACTCTTATTAATCAATAGGCCGTCCGAACCATGGAGTCCAACGCTGATCAACTAAACGTATGCGTCGATCAACCAAACGTACACGTTTTGAATTATCATCAGACAATTTATAACTATTTTCCTAAACTCTCAGTATTAAAGTAATTCTATTTAAAAACTTACATATTCATATAAAGATGGGTCTATATTTAAAGCAAAAACACTTAAACCAAATAATCCCATAAAAAATGCCTCAATAAAACGCATTTTGTCGATCACTTAAGACAATAGTAAACAATAGTAAAAATAAAATAATTGTATATATATAATCAAAATTGCAGAAGCAAATTCTTAATTTCCATAAAAACGAAGAAGGCCTATTTTATATTTTCATTTCTTTGCTTTCCTTTGCTTAAACATTACCAATTTCTTTCAACTTAAAAAACTTTTTTAAACCCCTCATCTTTAATTTTTTTAACTTATTCAAACTATTCAAGTTAGACAATATTAAATTGATCGTTATTCAATGTACACATTCGGAAATTTTAATATAAAATTAAGGTCTTAAAAAACTAACTTTTTATCGAAACCAAGCATAGTTCAAAAATATAATAAATTAATCTTCATTACTAAAAACAATGAATTTGCAAAAAACATCAAGTGCATAATGTACCTATGCATATATGCATATTCTATAAAATAGCTTATTTTTTTCTTTATTATATGTACATACATATCATTTTACAGATCTTCATCACTAGCATAAGCTACAAGTCTCGAGGAATTGTCTACATTAGAATCAAATGATTGTACCGTATATACATTATCAAGCGATCTAAGCGTATCTAATGTTGTACTTGAAAATATCTCATTTGCTTCGGTATCAAAGACTTCTTGTATAGTTAATGGATCAAAAGAAGGCTCATTTTTTTCAGTTTTAGTAGAGTTTTGTAATGTTTTTATTGCAGGATTCACTGCACTTGCGCATCTTGCATACCATATATCATCCGGAACATCATAGCCATCTAAACCAAAATCATCACGCTTAATTTTTTTGCCTCGTCCTTCAAGTTCAGCAATAAAATTTTTAGGAAGAGCACGACGAATAGCTTCCGCTGCCTGTTCCTCAACCCTTTTAGCATCACGCGCCTGAGAGACTGGATTAGGATCTTGTGTGGCCCAACGCACATTTAACACTTCATTATTTTCAAGTGACTGATGTGCCATTGCTTCTTTGGCAAATTGGGCATTTGCTTCATTGACATAAGTAATAAATGCAACTCCTCTTGAATTAAGTACCCGAACTAAAAACATTAAAAAAGCATCATCCTAACATGTTATGCTTACTTCGTTCAACTTCTCCCCATTCAGAAAAATGACGTGCAACAATTTCTTCAATATCATCTGTTACATGAATACGTCCACAATATAGTGTATGATTCTGTCGCATAAAACTACCAACACCCCCCATATCATCCCTATAATCCGAATGTTTATCTCTGCCAAAACAATCAACATTAGGTGAATATATATCATGAACATTTGGTAAACGATGTAAAAATGTACAATCTGGCCCATCACTGCAACTCCCTCTCGCAAAAAACAAACAAAAATAAGCACCCTTTATTTTATCTCCTTTAGTATATCCCGAATCCCGTTTAATGTTACACCTTGTTTCACTTTTATTCTTATTTATATATTTATCCTCTTTATCACCGCCTGCCCATTTTCCATACCAAATCTAAAAAAAACTCAAAAGAAGTATAAAAATAATTAAGCCTACATTAAAAACCTGCCCTGTCTGCGGTGGCATCAATTCTCCTGTTTTTTCACGACCCTCTACTTGACGACGTGCTGGTCTTCGTTTCCGCTTTTTTTCAACACCTACTTTTTCTTGTTCAAGATTTAAAGAAGCATTGTCAATGTCTTCTATAGTAGACAACTGATCCATTGCTTTTATAATCAAAATAAAAAAAGCTTTTAACCTCTTAATTTCTAAATGTAAACTATAAAAACCTAAACCAAAATATAAAAAAATCACAAAATCACGATTCTCCCTAAAAATATTAGGTACAGATAAGAGTAATATACATCCTTCAAAAAATACTTATAATACAATGTTACTTATTGAATAATTATATATTTTAATTATATATTTAATTATATATTTATAATTTTAAATAAAATCCAGTCACAACGTCGATGAAAAACATTTCAAAAAGATGACAATAAAACCTCATTTGACTGAATATCAGGTAATAATAGCACCAGAAGAAGGTATTTTAGTGTTTAAGAACGTAATAGATCATTGGAAGGCGACTTCCAAGCGAAAAAGAACCAACACCAAAGCTATATCGTATGAAAATCTTTGCCCCAAATACAGTTGTAGCAAAATCTCGATTTTGGTATTTTTTAAGAAAACTCCGTAAAATTAAGAAGGCAGCAGGAGAAATTGTTTCTTTGAATGTGGTATATACCTTTTTTTTTAGTTTTTACATATATTAACCAAAAAGATTCATGAACGCCGACCTTTTAAAGTAAAAAATTTTGGGATTTGGCTTCGCTTTGAATCACGCTCAGGAATACATAATATGTACAAGGAATATAGAGAAGCTTCTCGTGCAGCAGCAGTGGAAGCTCTTTATCGAGATATGGCATCGCGACATCGCTCACGCTTTCGATCTATTCATGTATAATTCAACTTAGCTTTTATTATTTCCTTTTAACATGTTTTTTAGATTCTTCGTGTTGTTGAACTAGAAAAAACCAGTGATATAAAACGACCATGTGTTCGTCAATTTATCAATTCAAAAATTAAGTTTCCATTACCTCATCGCTATCCTAAGTCCTTTATTAAAAGGAAAGTGTTTATGGCTAAAAGGCCATCAACATTTTACTAGGCAAGTTTTATATTACATAGATTAAGAATATATTGTTGCTTTTCTATACTTAAATAATAAAATTTATTTATATTATATTGATTAAGAATATTTTCATCTTTCTAATATATTTTATCTTTCTATTCTCTTCTATTCTTGGAAATTACAAAAGAAATTAACTCTTAAAACTTTTCTAAGAGTTAAAATATTATCAAATATTTATTAAATCGAAATATGCCAAAAAATAATTTTACACTTATAAACTTAAAATTTTTAAAGTATAAATAAAACAACTTTCAAAATATTTTAAAATTTGTTCTGATAAAATGTCTGCATGAAAAAATTCTACTATTACATTCAATAAATAAAAATCATATACAACTGTATCAAAAAATCAATTTTAAAATTCAACTATTAAAAACAAAAAATAGACTAATAAAATCGATAATATTTCAAATAAATTCAAAAAAAAACTTTATATAAGAAATCAATGTATTATTTCAAACATTCTCAATATATATATATTTTAAACATTTATAACGATCGACATATTAGCATGTTAATAACATAAATGAAAACATTTTATCACAAATTAATATTTTAAGAATAAATAAAAAATAACCATCATTTTTGTCACAAATTATTAAAAACAATCTAATAACAATATTATACAAGATGAATATTCATAAATCCCAAAATAATAACAAGTCATATATTTTCATAATCAATTCCAATATAATCCATAAATTAATTTATTATAAACACTTTTAAATAAAAAAAAAAAAAACTTACTAAATATTTCAAATAAAACCTTGCTACTGAAACGAAAAGACATTCGATTTATTTTTTAACTCATATTCATCAATTTTAAATAGAAGCAGATGTCAATCAAAAATCAAAATTTTCTCTTCATACATTTCTTTCATATCCATATAACGTATCCATCTAGACTTTGGTGATACAATCTTTAACTTTTCGAATGAAGAAAGTCGCTTAGAAACAAAGAAACATTAATTTTTCCAAACTTATAAAAATTTAAAAACTTTCTCCAAAGTTCACATTCATTAATTGCACTCCTTTTAGCATCTAAAACTTCTAAAAATTCATCTTCTACATTTACCAACATATCATCAATTTCATCATCATCAGAACTTTCTGAAGCATCTACAGACAAATCATCATAATTATCATTAAAAACAGCATTCTTTTGAACACTACTTAACAAAGACGATTTTAAAAGATTAGGATCGTCTAAGTTCTCTATAGTATTTTCACTATTATTAGCTTGAAAACAATCTGTTATAGAAAACGCTGTAGAAAAGTTATTCTCAAAATCAATATGTTTATTCTTAATAGAAGAAAAACTGTCATACAAGGATACTTCTTTCCCACGTCTTCGAAGAGTACTTAAAGGAATCCTAGAAAGTTTATTCTCTACTTGATCAAAATTTAACTTTTGACCATTTTCATCTAATACAGTCATTTTAATTCTCCTTGGAAGATTAAGCCAATAACTATCAGAATTCCTATTAAGCCTAAGAATATCCACAGCCATTTGTACGTCTTTTGAACGTACAACATATCGAGAATGAAAATTAGACGAACTTTCTGCACGAAGCCTAGAAAGAGCTATAAAATATACTGTTTGTACTAGTCGTCTTGTTAACCTTCGCGCAAGCTCATACATATGCATTAAAGTTGTTCTATATAATACAATTTCTTTCGAAGGAGAGTCTATATCTCTATTAAAAAACAATCTATCAAAATATTACAAATAATTATAAAAAACAATAAACCTTACTTTTCTGACAACTCAATAAATGACTTTGGACGCAAAAAACATATTTCAGGAGAAACTTCAAATAAAGGTTCTTGAATTGAAATAAATGACTCATTAACAAAATTCCATGCCATCTCTATTTCATGAGTTTTTCTATTCTCCAAAAAAGACCATTCTGGACCCCATGTTACTTTCTCTTGCCGTTCCTGAAGCTTATCAGTCCACTTTTGTATTTTTTTAGCTTCTTGCTCTTCAACATTAATCCATTTATCACTCATTTCCATTGCAGCAGGAATATGCCGAAGACTAACTTCTTCACCAGATTTTCTATTAGAAAGACGAAGCATTTGAGATTCTTCTTCCAAAATATTCATATACCCTATGACTTGCATAACACTTTTGCTACCTACATCTCTTGCAATATCTTCGGGATTATGACGACTTCTACGAGATAAACTCTTAAAAAATTTTTCTTTTTCAAGAGAAGACCACATATTACCACAAACTATTGATGGGTCCAAATCATTCTTAGTTATTTCTAGATCCACATCCGCTGCTGTTTCTCTAATCACCTGATTCAGAAGCTGCAAATATACAAAATTAAATGGTCTAGAAACTAAGAAACGACGCTTTAGACGAAATCTACGAAGCATAAATATACGACGAACCAATCCTTTAAGTCGTAATAGTGCATCAGTCTTTTTTTGATAATCCATAGATTTATCAGAAATCAATACTTTTTCATTTTCACAGAATTTTTTATTAAAAAAAATAGACTCTTCATCCATATCATACTCTAATGCTAAATATAAAGAAATCCAGTACTTTTTAACAACACCATCTTCATTTTTTTAAATTAACTGAATTTATCAGTTTTCTATCGCAATCATAGAATACACGAAATATATGCTGTAAAAAATTAAAACATAATACTCATAAAAAAACATAGACTAAATATTTAACACAGAAGGAAAAATAATCGAAAAATTCATCATGCCAAATCTACCCAGAAGTGATGATCTTGAGGGGACGTAAGCACCTAAATCAAGTTTTCCAAAACTTATTAGAAACATAGTTGGAAATTTCTTGAAAAGGGAGTTTCACAAATTATGGAACACCTAGAAGAAGGATTAAGCTTTTCAAGCTATATGGAAAATTATACGTAAAAAACATGCATTTTACATAAATATTTTACCGTAGACAGAGTCGTATACAACTATTGTGCTCGCCCAAAAACAAATACAAATATGTCTATGAGTGATGACTCAAAAGGTATTAATTTAATATACTTATTATAAAATAAGTTCTCACAAAAACTATAGGTGCAAATCTTCAAGGCAACGAGCTCTACTACAATTTAGTTCGTTATCTATCATCTCATATGCAATCTATTAAAAATGTCAGTTCCAGCAGATTCTCTATAAAATTTATCTAAAAACTATAGAATTCTTTAAAATGTAATGGAGAGGCACTATTACAGTTTTACTCACATCAATGGACAAGATATACAAACGCTAGTTTTTGTATACATCATATATTTAAATATTTAAACAATTTTTGGGTAAAAAGGAAAATTGATGAAGGGAAAACAGGTGTTTATAACGTTTATACAGTATGAATTCCACAAAAAATCTCTCAACTAAAAAAACTAGCTTGCATTAGTTAGATGGAAACTTGATATGTTTAATGATATTCATGAAAAAGTAACTGAAACTTTACTAAAAATTATTGAAAGACAAAGGAATGGGGAATTAGTAAATACATCCCTTCTAAAAAATGTGATAAATTCATATGTTTCTCTTGGGCTTGATGAAAAAGATTCATCTAAATTAGTATTGGATGTATATAGCAATTTTTTTGAAAAACCATTTATAGAATCTACTGAAATATATTACAAGGCAGAGGCAAAAAAATATATATCTGAAAATAGTATTACAGATTACATGAAAAAGGTTTGAATATTTAAACTTTATTTTATTTTTTTTAAAAAATAAGGTTGAAGCAAGATTACAAGAAGAAAAAACTCGTATACAATTATATCTTCATCCAAGCACAACCAAAATTCTTATGAATGTTTGTGATCATGTTTTTATACAAAATTATTCAGAACTTCTTCAAAATGAATTCCAAAATATTCTTAACTCTGATAGACAAGAAGATATGACTCGTATATATACTCTCCTTTCACGTATTTCTAATGGTGTAAATCCATTAAAAATAAAATTTGAAGCACACGTATGCAAAGAAGGATTGCTTGCTGTAGAAAAAATAGCCAATGATTCTACTAATTCTTTGGTAGGTCCAATAATTTTATTCTTAATATAACGTTTTAGGATCCAAAACTTTACATCAATGCTTTACTAGAAGTTCGTTCACGATATAATGCATTAGTGCTCACTGCTTTCAAAGGAGACATGGAATTTATAAAAGCATTGGACAATGTATTCATTATTTCATTTTTCTTTTTTAACACCTATTAGGCTTGCCGCGAATTTATTAACCGTAATAAAGTTTGTCACTTATCATCATCAAAATCTCCAGAACTTCTTGCAAAATACTGTGACACTTTGCTTAAAAAAAATTCTAAAATTTTAGAAAGAAATGACTTTGAAAATACACTTATTAATATTGTAAATAATTTCTTTTTAAGAATTATCATAACCACTGATAGATGACTATTTTTAAATATGTTGAAGATAAAGATGTATTTCAAAAATTTTATTCAAAAATGCTAGCTAAACGTTTGATCAATGGAACATCTGTATCTGATGAAGCAGAAACAAGTATCATATCCAAACTAAAAGAAGCATGTGGATTCGAATATACAAATAAACTCCAAAGAATGTTTCAAGATATAGGTGTATCTAGAGGCCTTCAGGAATCATTTAAAGAGTCATTACGACAATCATTAGATTCATATAATCTTTCAAGTTAGTGTTATATATATATTAATATATATTGATAAATTTTATAGTTGATTTTTACATTATTGTTCTTGGAACAGGATTTTGGCCTTTACAACCACCATCAACTCCTTTTAATATTCCGAATGAATTAGTAAACATTTATGAAAAATTCCAATCATTTTACCAAAAAAAGCATAATGGTCGTAAACTTAACTGGTTATTTCAATTATCTAAAGGAGAATTAAAAGCTAATTATTTACCAAATATGAAAATATCTCATACATTCCAAGTTTCTACATATCAAATGGGAATTCTTTTAGCATATAATACATCAACAACATTTTCATATGAACAACTTCAAGATATAACAGCGTTAAAAAAAGATGTTCTAGATGCATCTTTGAATATATTAATAAAAGCAAAAGTATTGCTACTTTTTCCACCCAATATGGCAGTTGGGGATAGCGGTACTAGATACGATTTAAATATGGACTTCAAAAGTAAAAAAAGTCGAACAAACCTTAATATACCAACAAAAATTGAACAAAAACAAGAAATTGATGAAACACACAAAACAATAGAAGAAGATAGAAAACTTTTAATGCAGGTAAGATCTTATTATTATAAATTATAATTTTTAATAACTACAAGTCTACAATTGTTCGTATTATGAAAGCCAGAAAAGTCTTAAAACATATCGTTTTAATACAAGAAACTATTAGTCAAATCAAATCTCGATTTATTCCAAAAATATCAGACATTAAACGATGCATTGATGTATTAATTGAAAAAGAATATCTTGAACGACTAGGTAAAGACGAATATTCTTATTTGGCATAACATCAATTGCATCTTTATCTTTTCGTAAACATCATATTTTTTTATCATAATCAAGAAACCCTATATTATTAATAAAACTTATGTATATCCACAATATAGAAGTCCATCTACTGCTATACAGTATCTCATTAACAACCATCTCATCAGCCTCCTTAAAAACCAAAGCCATTTACTAAGTTCATTACAAATATAATGGGTACATAAATATAAAAAAAATTAAAACATGCGTTTTTTATAACATAGATATTTATTCCATTCTATAACAAATAGTCACTACAACTAAGAATTTTCTTAAATATTATTATAACACCAAATTTATCCTACATGAAATAACTATACAAAAATAAAAAAATCACAATAAAGAACCAACTACAAAAAAATATAATTCGTAAACATAAAAAAGAACGTTTACAAAGACAAATTAATAGTCTACAAAAAAGATATTTTTTATCAAAAAAATCCCTAGTCAATAAAAACCCGAACCCTCGAGAATCAGCCGAAACATTAACCATCAACATAATTAACTATAGTGCATACAACACTACATTTAACACGTTTCAGGCTTTTGCAAAGTCTAAATGGCTTCAGAAACAGCTGGAAATACAAGCATAACGAGCATGCCTCTTTCAGAGCCGCTTGAAATTGTCAAAACTGAAGATCCAGAAGTAGGGCGTAAGCGTCTAGAAGATGCTGCTCGTGCATTTCTTGTAGAACAAACACATGAAGTTATTATTCCCTCGTATGCAGCATGGTTCGATATGTCAGTAATTAATGAAATTGAAAAAAAGTCTCTACCAGAGTTTTTTAACAACAGAAATCGTTCAAAAACACCATCAGTTTATAAAGATTATCGGGACTTTATGATCAATATTTATCGACTGAATCCAATAGAATATTTAACAGTTACAGCATGTCGAAGGAATCTTGCAGGCGATGTTTGTGCTATTATGCGAGTACACGCTTTTCTAGAGCAATGGGGACTAATTAATTACCAAGTATTAAATAAGTTATATATTAAACATAAACTGATAATTTCTCAGATCGATCTTGAAACACGTCCATCAAGCATGGGGCCTCCATTTACAGGGCACTTTCGTGTAATTGCAGATACACCACGAGGACTTCAGCCGTTTCAGCCAGGACCAGGGTCAATGACCTCTCATGGAAGACCTCTTTCAGAATCTCCATCAGCCCAGCCAAAAACAAGCTATCATCTAGAGCTTCGAAAGGAATCCTATAATTCAATCTATGGAAAATCAGATAATACGTTAATTAACACTAGTACACAATCGGAAGATACACCAGATAATAAAAAACAATACTATTGTTTTACATGTGGTGTTGAGTGTAGTCGACTATTTTATCATAGCTTGAAGACAAAAAAGTTTGAACTCTGTTCAAATTGTTACCTAGAAGGGCGTTTTCCAGCAGGGTTTTTTAGTGGAGATTTTGTCAAAATGGAAGAAACACCAATAAAAACAAACAAAGAAGATTGGTCTGATCAAGAAACACTTCTGCTTCTAGAAGGATTAGAAATGTTTGATGATGATTGGAATCTGGTAGCAGAACATGTTGGTACACGAACACGTGAACAATGTGTTCTTCGATTTCTCCAGTTACCAATTCAAGATCCATATTTAGAATCCAGGACAGAAGATTTAGGTCCATTACAATATAATCGTATTCCATTTTCGCAAGCGGATAACCCTATCATGAGTGTAGTTGCCTTTCTTGCCAGTGTAGTCAATCCAAATATTGCAGCCGCAGCTGCACAATCATCATTTGAAGAACTAACCCATTCGTTGAAAAAAAGTATCGATAAACACTCAAATGATAAAGAACCATCTAACATTACTTTAAAAAAAGAGTCACAAGAACCAATAAAAATTAAACAAGAACCTATAGAACATTGTAGTCAAAATCAAACCATTAATTCGGAAGAAATGGATATTGATGAGCATAAAGGTCCTAAGTCCACAAAAGCATCTAAAAATATAGATACATTACCGTCAAATACTGTTGAAAAAGCAGCATCTATTGCATTAGGCACAGCAGCAGCAAAAGCACGCATTTTAGTGTCTCATGAAGAACGAGAAATATCTCGGCTTGTTTCAGAAGTTGTAAAATTACAATTATCTAAGCTCGAATTAAAGTTGCAACAATTTAACGAACTCGAGCAAATTCTTGAAGCAGAACGACGAGAACTAGAAAAGAATAGACAGCAGCTTTATTTAGATAGGCTTTCGATGAAAAAACAAATAATCATGATTCAAGAACAACTTAGTCAAGCTATCTCAATAGGTGGAGAAGAAGGCTTATCAATCATAAAAAAAATAGATGAATTAGGTTGCGAAGGTCCAAAACTTGAATTTAAATCTTCTACAAATCAAAATAATTTACAAGACTCAACAATTCCTTTAAGTCAAGAAAATCCATCGAATTATACATCTTACCAACTATAAATTATATTTTTATAACCCATTTAAAATGATTTTTGTATATAAAGTGTAAAAATAATTTAATATTGTTTAATTATAAATATTAATCATAATCTAGTATTTTAGATTTTCAGTATTCTACATAGCAAAACTATAAAAACATTTTTAAAATCAAAATCTAATAAATATTTATTACATACACTTATTTATATACAATTCAAAAGAAGCTTTTTCAACTCAACATTTAAAAACCAAAGATCTAAGCAAACCATTTAAACTTTAAAATTATTAGTTAGCAGATAAAAGAATAAAAAGACCGCATATATTTTAGAACTATTATTTTTCATAAACCAAACTGTTTTAAAATCCAAACATCAAAAACTTATATATTTGAATGTTATCGATATATTATACACTATTAAAATAATATTACATATATACACTAAAATATCATTAAATAATTCAATTTATGCTTGTAGGTTTAGTCTCATTATTATAGATAGACGAGTGATCAAACAAATTATATTCTTCTGACAACAAACCAATGCGATATTTAAGGGACCTAAACAACAAATTAAAAAATACTAAGATATAAAAAACCTTACAAATCATTCATATCATCTATTTCAATTTCAGAATCAAAATCATCATTATCATACTTATGCCGATCAACAACCAACGGATCTAATAATGAATCATGTACATAACGAACAATGCTTTTTCTATCAATCATAATTCTGCCACCTCTACCAATACGTTGTCTATAAGAAAGTCTTCCAGCATTAAATTTAGTAGATTGTGATAAAACAGGAAACGAATCATAAGCTAAAGATGAATATTCATCTTTAGTAGGCAAATCTAATGATGTCTTTTTAGCATTTAAACAATATGATGCAGTAATAGTCCTGAAAAAAGTAAGAGGGTATAATTTTGGATAAGGACAATATGGATTCTAATAACAATTAAACAATTATAAACTTAGTGAAATGCAATACGTCTGTAATATCTTTCCAACCAACACTTGAGAGCTGTTTTTGACGAAGAGCTTCATCAACAGCGGCACGAGATGCAGCTGCCTTTTCTGATTGATAATCTTCCAAAAGAAAAAGAGTATCTCCTTCATTAGGACCAACTGTTTGAGAAACTGAAATATGCACAGTAGAACTACTAATATCAGAAGCCTTTTTTCTCTACTAACATTAATACATCCAAATATATATATATATATACCTTATGTGAAACTAAATCATCATCCTCATCTTTAATTCCAAGCTTACGCTTTATTTCTTTTACGTGACAGCGCTGATTAAAAATACGCTGCTCTAAAAGTAAAGATTCTTTTTTTAATTGCTCTCTTCGAACAACTAACTCTATTAAATTATAAGCTTGCTCCATTTCAGAACGAAGTTTCCGCAATTTTTCAGAACTTTGAGCATCAGACCTTCTTGTCTTTCGAACCTGTCTTATCTCCCGTCTTCGAAAACATACATATGGGTCATTATCATCCTTTTCATTTTCTTCAAACTATTTTATTTATAATAAGCCCAAATTCTAATTTCAAAACACCTTTTTACCCGCAAAGAAGGCATAAGCTGCTTCCCATTATTAGAAATTCGTCTATGCTTCCAATATGGAAAAATTTGCTTTGCAAAATGCTTGTAAGATGCAAGATGAGAATTAGCAAACATAGATTCAAATTCTGAAAAATCAGCAATTTTCAAAACATCCTATAAACATAAATAATATCACAAAAAACAAAAAAACAATAAACCAAATAGAAACATGTCTGTTTTTCATTCGCAAAAAGTTCAAATTGATTCATAATAAGCTCAAATACATCTTCTGAACAATAATTCTCTTTCAAACGTTTATTACCGTTAAATTTCAAAAGCCAATCACTATCTTCCTCATTCATACTATAAGGACATCCCTCACAGTCCTCCACAGTTGTTGAAAAACGAATAAATGTTGAAGGCTCTATAAATGTCTTTTTATATAACTTTTCATAGTCATCTACAATTTTAGAAGCATCTGGTGTTGGAATATAAACTTGCTTCGAGTTAAGTGACATCTGAGAAGCAATAGCTGTACGTAAATGATGTTCCTAGAGAAACAAACCCGTCAGTTATCCAAAGTCATCATTTCTCAAAAAAAGAAGCAAAAAATATACAAAAAAAGCCATAATCAGACTTACATCTTCCTCATCTTTATCCACACCCTATAAAAAAATCAATTCATACATTTTTTTAAAAAGCATCTTAAGACGCATATATTACCGTCTCGACGAGAGGAACACTCCGCTGAAGCGATATTTCTTCATCTAAATCTGGGATATCAGCCGCTCTGTAAATTTGTAACGGAGCTTTGATAGAGATTTTCCGCTGCCTAAAACGTGCACCTGTTGCCTTTGTCATATTCTACTGTAATATAACCCTACAGTACGTCTATTCATAAACGACACGAAAATACGGGCAATCAGGCAGTACTCAAGTATGCAAGAAAACAGCCGTATAGAGGCAAAATAGACGCGTTTCCACGCCCCAAATGCCTCTCCTAGCGCCTAAAGACCCTATATTAGCCATTTTTCACGTTTTTTTGTACAAACCTTGCTTCAGAAAAAAAACAAATGATCTGCACGTCCTAAGCTACTAGGCATATGCCAAGCCTGAAAATACTCATGAAATACGCTTTATCTACTATTTTATTCCTAAACCACGCTCCTTTATTGTCTTATTGTTCTCTTTAAAACATGTTTCTTCACGGTGCAAAATTTTTCAACGGTCAATAGGGCTAGGGCGGCGAAAGATCACGTGACATTCTAAGCAAGCAAAGATTAAGGATGTTATAAAAATTTATACTTCATTAGATAAAGAAAAAGTAGACATAAAACTCAAAACACCAAGCCGACTAGCTACATGAATTGGCTTAACAACGCCAGTATCAGAAGATATATCTACAATAATAGCAAATGCTTTATAATCAAAAAATTTTAAAAGCAAAGCAATTGGTGTATCAAGTGTAATAACAACAAATCTATGATCAGAATGATTTAAAGAAGACTCAGACTGTTCAGCAAGCCATTGTGCAATATGGACGGCTGATTGAAGATGTTTTTCAAGATTTTGAATTAATGGAGCAATTGGGTCTGAAAAAGTTACAAGACGCTGAGCTATAAACGAAAGAACTCTTTCTAGATTCCAGTTTAAAACAGAGTCTTAGAATAATTTGAAACCTTACCAGAAGAAACAAGACCAACTAGCTCTTTCGATATAGGATTTACAACTGGTAATAAATCAAGTAAATTATTTTTCATAGTTTTCAAAACAAAAGAGCATAGCATGGAAGACTCAATAAGCGTAATTTCCTTGAGATTCATTGACCTAACAGTAGCTATATCCAAACTCAAATGTTTTGTAGGGCTATCAATAAACGAATGTTCAAGCATCCAACGATCATCCAAAAACTTAGTAATATAATTCCTAATAGAATCTGGAAGAATAACAACACATGTTTCCCCTTTCTTCAATTCTTTTGCTACTTGCATTGCAGCAACAACAGCACTACCACTACTTCCACCACATAATAATCCTTCATCTGCAATTAATCGTCTAGCCATAAGAAATGACTCTTTGTCAGATGTTTTAACCCATAGATCAACAAGAGATCGATCAAGAACATCTAAATTCATCAGAATAAACAATAAATTTCTCAAAAAAAAATAACCTGGAACAAAATCATAACCAATACCTTCAACATGATAAATATCTACCCCTGTATTCAAAGATTCAGGCAAGGCAAGAATTGATCCTACAGGATCCACACCAACAATCTAAAACCCATTAAAATTATCAAAAAAGAATGTCAAACCTTAATATTTTTGTTATATTTTTTCAACGCTCGTGCAACACCTGTAATCGTACCCCCAGTACCAACACCTGCCACAAGCATGTCTATCTTTCCACCGGTCTGCTCCAAAATCTCAGAAGCTGTATACAACTCATGTGCATTCGGATTATTGGGATTTTTATACTGGTCAAGAATAACCGAACCTGGAATCTCATCCCGTAAACGATTTGCAACTCCAATATGCGACTCTGGTGAATCAAAAGGCTCCTCAGTCGGAGTACGAACAATTTCAACACCTAACGCCTTCATAACATAAACCTTTTCTGCAGACATTTTCTACCACTTGTTAATAATGCTCATTAGTAACATCTGATAACCTCCGGAAGTGTAATAATTGTACGATACCCTTTAACAGCTGACACTAGAGCTAACCCAATACCCGTGTTCCCACTAGATAAGATACTTAAGAACCAATGTTATTTTTTTCCTACATCACTTTACCTCGTTGGCTCAATAAGCGTTGAGTTAGGTTTTAATAATCCTTCTCGCTCTGCTTCTTCAACCATCATCTTTGCAATCCTTATTCCATCCATTAGATGTTACTTTAACAGTTATTTTAAGTACCTGTCTTTAGCACTTCCACCTGCATTGAAAAATTCACATTTTGCCACTAAAACAAATAAAACCAATATAAAAAAACAAATATAATCATACAAACAGTACATTCAAGGTTCTCCTGCTTAGGAATCCGGTTTAACCGAATCATTGGTGTTTTTCCAATATGTTGTAAAACATTTTCAGAAACTTTTAAGAAAAAAACGTCAGCTACAAGAAAAACACAAATAAACACTTACTTCCTTCTATCATTGCCTATTCATACCATGTAATAACCTGTATCAACCGCACTACCTATCTACTCAAGTGAATTGACTTTTTTTTCAAAAACCGTACGTTAATCGAACACGAAAACCTTACCGTTCTTCTCTAAAACCTCATATATTTATATCTTACCATCCTAACATCTAAGAATGGGACATAAAAACTCAAAAATTCTCGATACAATATCAGATTTACCAAAATGCAAATACCTATTGTTGTATGAAAATACAACTAAACAAGCAACAGTTACACCGGAAGAAATCCAACGAATTTATAAACGTTTTATCAAGATGGATACAGATAATTCAGGATCTATTGATCGCTGCGAGTTCTTATCAATTCCACAAATTTCGAAAAACCCATTAGCAGCACGTCTTTTTGCCGTAGTTGATAAAGACGGGGACGGCAGCATGGATTTTAACGAACTATTGCAAAGCCTTAGCCTTTTTTCCACTAAAGGCTATAAAAAAGAAAAACTAAGATGTTAGCTATTCTCTAAAAGCACGCAAAATCTACTAAGCGTGCAACATCTGCATTGTAAAATATATTAATTGCATAGTTGCCTTTAGGATATATGATATGGACCGTGACGGATATATTTCAAATGGGGAACTTTTCCTCGTCCTCAAAATGATGACCGGCAATAACCTTAAAGATCGACAACTTCAACAGGTATTCAGAATCACAACAAAGCTGTAACCAAAATGTAGTGTAAAAGCTACATAAACACAAATACAATTATAGCAAGGCAACAATCCTCCACCATTTATTCCAGTTTAAAACAAATATCTTAGAAATTCATTTTTCAAATACTAATTCTTGTCTATAGATTGTCGACAAGGTAAAAATAACAACAGTAACTCTACAAAATTAATCGGCAATAGACGATTATGGAGGCAGACAAAGATAAGGATGGAAAAATCAGCTTCGACGAATTTACTAAAATGGTTATTGATACAGTACTATTATTACCTAAAATAACCAAACGCTAATCATACAGGACCTTACTCACATGGCCCTCGACTCAAATGCCTACTAGCTACAATACTTAACCACTGTTATATCACCATAATGCAACCATAAAATACCAACTATTACTAAAAAATAATCTACTAATACAACACTATCAATCAATCCAATAAATCAGCCTAATAAAACATTAATTGGTCCAAAATACCAACCAACCAATTAAACACAAGACCAAATACTAAACTAAATATTGAGTCATACTTTTTTCATTTAAATATTAATTTAAATACCAAACAACAACTTTATATTTTCACCCACTTTTCAGTCTTGCTGTATCCTTCCTGTTTTTCAAAACATATTTACAGTGTTTTCTAATCAGAATTTCTAGCTACTACAACAGTACTTCTCTGTGCCTTAAGCAGTGTCAACGCATGACGCATCACTAAAAGAATCAGAATCTCCTCATATCAAATATGATAAAACTATCATACAGTATGCTTAAAACACTACAATGTTATTTAAAATCTCATTCAGAAGCATACTTAAAATAATATCCAAAAAAGCGCTTAGAACATCCCTAAGTGCATTTAAAGTGCTATAATGTCAAAAACAATACTGTAATATTAAGAATGCACTTGAATTCACAAAAATACTCTATAATCATCATAGCAACAATAGCTTTTCTACATTCAAAATTACATCACAGCGCACATAACTAAAATTTATTCCATCTAAAGCCAATCAAAGCACTGGACATATTTAAAATACATGCCCGCTAATATTTCTACAACTCACTGTCCTGAAAACCCTTTATATAGAAATATGTTGTTTTAAAACAATAGCTTTTTACAACTCAAAGAACATTTATTCACATACTTTCAAGAATACGTTCCTCCCATAACCCTCTTTCATAATCAACAAGACCATACTTCTCAAGCTGATCACACCATCCAATCATTTCACGAGCAAGAAGCTCTAATTGAGCTTCTGTTATTAACGGAACTTCTCCGGCATTTGCCTGAATCTCCTCACGAGTCCGGCACAAAAAATACAACCATGCTTCGTTTAAACATTGCCATGCTGCCAAACTCACATCTACTGCTTCCCCTACAAAGTTAGCAATCCTCACTCAACCATTGAAACAATGCCCAAGAAAAGCAAAAAAGTAACATAATAACATAATAGCACACCACAACAACGCACTATTCTCCTTTCTGTATCATGCTACTCTGTTTCTGCTTATTTTTGCTTTTTCTAACCTTCACAAACAATATGAGCTACGAGCCAATTGGTAACGCTCCAAAGAAGACGAATAGCTTCAGGCCAACGACTACTTACAACATCTGCCGCTGCCTTAAGCATCATCGCCTGAATCCGGTCCCCCATTGCTATTGAAACATCTCCAGAAACATTCAATACCCGTTCTTCCTGTACTGTCTGCTCCATTAATGCCTCCACTATCTCTCAAAACTTATAATCTCATTCAACACCGAAAATACGTGTATTCAACAAAAATACATATATCCAACAGAAAATACACCTGTTTAATAACAACTATATATCTGCAGCTGAAATGCGTATATTCAATATATATTCAACCGCAAATACGTCTCTATTTAATAGTAAATACTTCTGTTTCACAGTGAATACACCTTTTTAATAGTAATTGTCTACTCTTTATTCACAATACTAACACTTAGACTTAATAAATACAAAAACATAAAATATTACAGTTCCACTCAGTACGATAGTAATAAAACGCGTCGCGACGCGACGCGTTGACACTTCGGATGTCAAATTGTATATACTCCATAGATAAAAATATATACACAAAACACCCTACATACACAGAAAAATTCCATATTTCACCTCAAAACTCACATTATCTACTTCTAACTCTACAATAATATGTATACCACAGACTAGCATTCCAAATCACATATCGGATGAACTGAGAGCAACATATATGTACGACACTTATCGTACATAGCGTACATATATTGAAATATATATTAAGTTATATATCAAAATATATATATAGAAATATTATACATAAATTCTACACTCCAGTACTCATTCAATTAACTCTCATTCTTCATTACATTACTCCGCCCCTTACAGCCGCACTACTGCCCTCCTTCACTGCACAGCCTCTTTTTTTTAAATTCTCGATAATACCATTTTTACCCCTCGAAACGGCCAATATGCGACGAAAAATGCGTAGCAAAACAGCTGTGCGCCGAGGACCACGTCCTATAAGGCAAGTAATCCCTTAAAAACACATATTTTCTCATTCTCTATAGCTCACAGATCAGTTCGTTGCCTACATCGTCTACAATCCCTCCTATAGCGCCACGCAAACGCGGACGGCCCTCCAAAAAACCTCCCGTGCCAATCACTACACCTCCACGTTCGGCAGTAGAAGTCCATCCTCCACCACGCCCTGTATATATCGAGACAAATAATACACATATAGCACCATCTGGAGCGCATGTAATCACTGAAACAGCGCATATACCCCCTACAGAGACACATTTGCACCATCCAGTCTATCCTACAGGTTCTTGGACGCATACAACTGATGCATTGGGTCATTCCTTAGCCATTCCACCTACAATCACGCCTATAACTGTGCAAAACACTGCAACAACTACTCCTCCACGCCGAAGCCGTGGATTAAGTGTAAATCTTGTAGTAGGAGAAAGTGGTATTGCACGGGTTGTACAGAGTGAGCCTTCAGAAACAGAATTGCAGCAAACACACAAAATACAGGCGACAAAATACGCACAGGATACAGATGAGGCAATATATGCGCCAATATATGCATCTTTAGACAAAAAAAACGAGATATATGCGCACCCACATGGTACCTCTGGTACCTCTGATACACAACACGGGACATATGTGCTCAATACACCACTGGGCACACCTCTAAATGAGCGTACATGGACAGGCGGGCGGTCGGGGAATGATTGCTTGGCATTTGTGACGAGTCGGCAAGGTTTTGTCCGTGTAGAAGCTCTACACGGGCGGTGGTCGCCAGGCTTAGTTGATTTTGGTGTACAATTAAGCCCAGAAAGCCTGTGGGGAAGTTCAGGCGAAGAGGCGACAGATGATGAAAATATTATGGATGCACGAGTAGCAATGAAACGGCTTGTTGAACGGCGCCGTACAGTTGGATTAGGTTAGTTTTGAAAATATAGAAGCAGTATGGGGAGTATAAGGGTATTGAGTATAAATACACAAAAAGAAAAAATAACTGTGTATGAAAATTAATTTGAAGCTTCAGCGGAATATTTTTATATTTTGAGTAAATCTAATTATAAAAATAGGATTGGATGAATGCCTAGGAGAAGTGTGGAATACACCGTCGTTTCAAGCAGGAAAACGGCAACGACGGCTGTGCTGTAAAGCATGCCATATGACATTTCGACAATTTTGGGTATTACAGGCTCATGAAAAAAAATGTAATGTTAAGGTAGAACGGAAGAAGTGAATGATATATAATTAACAAGTATAAGCAAACACCATTTCTTTCATCAGATTATTTCGACGATACAGTAGAAGATTGTATTCCATATTTTCATGAAGATACGCGTTCAGAGTACAGTATTTCATCACCTATGTTAGCAGAATCGTTATCGAGACATTTAGACACTCCACGTAAGAGTACGGCATAATAAAGTAAATACATAAAATTGTATAACATAACAATGGATTAAATCATGTAGCAATGAATTATCCAGCTTAATAATAATCAATATGAGCTTCAGATTAGCACAATATATCGAGCAAACATTATAATATAAGCCAATGTATGTGAAGACAAATTAGAAGTATAAGAGTATGAAAATGGGACAGAGCATAAATATTTCATCTTCTTTTTCTGGAAATAAATAACATTTTTTATGTTTTTACATGTACGGTGTTTTATAATAAATAGTTCAGCATTTACATTTCATTATTACATATTTTCTAGAAATATACAAAAGCCTTTGTGCACAAACATTTACATCCAGAATGATATTTATATAGGTCTTGTCATTACATGAATACATATATTTCCTTAGTATTATTCTGGTTATTTGTATAAAACTACCACTTTTCCTCAAGTGTTACTTTGAACTGCTCATAATCACTCCTCCGGAAAAACGACAACTCTGTTTCATGTTCTACATCTTATCAAGACCCATAATGTTTATGACAAAGTGACCTACGCACACCGTAAGCAGAAAGAGTCATAGATGGATCAAGCAACATCCATTCTTCATGATCTAAGTTGATAACACGATTCGATGTCTAAATATCAATTAACATCTATTTGAAATCAATAATATATTAAACTTTTGATCCATAAGCATGAGAATAAATCTTAAGCGTATCTATTGAATTGTTAAAAACAATTTAAAACTTTTATGCAGGTTTGCTGCTTTAACTAAGACAAACCGAAGGGAAACGTAGAATACAGCTGAAATGCCGGCTGTTTACTAATTTCTTAAAATATCAACAACAAATGCCATTCTATTACTCAATACATCTCTAGAAACCTCTTTGAATACGCTGCTGAAACTCTGACACTGTTGTTTGCTCAAGATCAACATCATGAAGAACCAAATACTTAATTGTTCGGTGTACAAATGATTTGATCAACCTGACTGTTAAAACTGCAGAAGACATTGAAAATGAAACAGAGAGAGTGTTTTCAAGATACTCTAAAATCTTTATACCGTTTCTATTATCTATAACACTTTGAAGCTCTATCGTAAAAGATTTAAGTTTATGTCTTAACGAAATTTAAGAGCGCTAAAAATCTTAAATTCATGTTATAAAAAGTTAAAAAAAATATTAAAAAAACATTAAAATATTAGAAATTAAAGTTCAACATTAAACAGAAGTCAAAATGCTAAAGAGTTATTAGTTGCAAATCAAGGATTAAACAACAAATTAAAAATTTAATCTTTTAAAAATTAAGTGTAATTAAAATTTGCAATCTAAGTCGCCTGAAAGGAAATAAGTTTTTAGTTAAATTCTTTTTCTACACTTCTGTTTCTATTAAACACAGTGCTCAATTCAATGCAAAACTTAGTCTTGAATAAAAAAGAATTAACCTAGTGAAACAACAATTTAACCAACAAATAATTAGTAATTAAGTTATACAAGCAATAACAGAGCATTCTAAGGAAAGAAAGACTGTCAAACTAATAAAATTAAATAAAATATTTAAAACTACTTAAACAATTAATTTTATCAAGAAATCAGTGAAATTTTAGAAAAATTAAATTAGAAATGTTTGCAACAAAAACCAGATCCAGAACCAAGGCTAGGACGGGAACTGAAGAACGTATTATTATTGACTTAACAGAAGATGCCACGCCCAAAATAACTAATAACGATTCAGCGTTAAAAACAACATCAGAAGAAGATTCATCAAGCGTTATTTCTTCAAATGAAAAATCTTATAATATTTCAAATGGTTCAGGACTTGCAAGTATATGCTGTGCAATATGTTTAGATGCTCCTACAGATTTAAGCGCAACTCCATGTGGTAAATCTAAATACAATACAAATAACCTAACTGACACACAAAGGCCATTTATTCTGTCTTTCATGTATCCATAGAGCGATTGGTCGTGGAATTTGCCCTGTCTGTAGGCAACATGTTAATCGACAACGTATACTCCCCCTTGAAATAATGCTTGCACCAAACAAAAGCGAATAAAACAAATATAGTGACTTTAGTAACTCTATTAAAACAGCTTTATAACAGTTTTTGTAAAACAACATTTGAAAGTAGCTTTTACATAGTCTTTACATAACTTACAATTTCTCATTTTATTTACAACACAGTTGTAACTTTAATAAAATAGTTTTTATACAATAAATTTTATACAACAGCTTTTCAATGAAAAAAATACAACTAATTCTGAACTTTCAAAAAACTCATTTAAGACTCATTTCAGCTCGTCTATGGTATATTTCATTTTCAAATTATATGTTTTAACACATTTTTAAAATAGTGAAAAAAGTTAATGACATGAATTAATATGCAATAACTCACAAAGCAGAAACTATATCTATTATAATTGCATTAGTTACATATATTTTAGTGCAGTAACAAATTCAAAATCAATAATTATAAATATTGAATAATTTACAGACAAGTGATTTAAAGTGATTAAAAATATTATACATATTTTATTCAGAGACAATAGCACTTTACAGTATTGAAAAAATGAAATCATTATTTCCGATTTTATATATTAAACAGATGATATATATAATACGTTAATCAAAAAAAAAGTGTATTATATATAGCAAACCATATTTGAAGCAACAATAACAATTATAATTATTAAAAGAAAGATGAATTATTTCTTCATTATCAATAAAATCTATCAAAGCATTCTATCCATTAAATAATTCAGCATAGATACTAAAAAAATTATCAGACTTTATCAAAATGTCAATTAAAACCTCTCCATATTAACAATCACGTATAAAACAAATTAAATATAAAAAAATATATTGTATCATCTTAAGTTTCTAAATCATACATATTAATAGTAATAAAATAATCATAAACACAAATAACTATTTATTAATATCATCACTATACATCAAAATAAACAATATATCTAAAACTACAGTCTTTTTAAATATGATTTCCTTAGATTATTTTTCTAAAAATAATATAACCATCTACAAAAAAACTTTTATACAATACTCATAGAACCAGGGTAAAAAATAAAACACTTTTTATTATAAAATAATTAATCTATAGGTAATATCAAAATTTAAGTAAACAATATTAGTAAATATACAAGTTAAACATATTAATATAAAATCAATATATTACTGTCTAATAACATCAATTAGTTAAAAAAAAAAGTAAAAACAAAAAAAAAATTGATACATATATATTAACCTTATTTAATTGTACTTAGCAAGAATAACAGATTACTAATAACTTAACCAAAACATTTACTAAAATAATAACATATTAATTTTATTGAAAAAAGGCAAATATAATCTCTTTTTAAATTAAGTATGGATATGCTTATCATTAGAAAAATATTTTATAACAGAATACCAACTCTGAAATAAAGTAATAATACATTAGAAAACAGATAACAATAAATAATAAATTAACAAAGTAAATTTCAACTAAATTTGTTCTAAATAATCCAAAAAAGGACAAAGACGGCTAAAAAATAAAAATTATTTTTCCTAAAACTCATAAATTCTTATTTTTTAATTATTTATTAAAAAACATATTTATCTAATATAACTATTCAACAAAATTATTCCTATCAACAGTATACACTTAAATTTTTAGAAAATAAATTTACAAAAATATCATCTATAAGAGTACAAAACTCCTAAAATATAATCTGAGCTTTTTTAATTTTATCAACAAAAACTCTCATCTAGTATTCATAATTAATAACATTTTCTATAACAACTCAAACACTTTGTCTTTTTAACATTTTTATGATTCATCCTAAACTAAATTTATTTTATTATATATATTTATTTAAATCTAACTCTAAGCTTAAATTTTAAATTCTAGATTCAAACTTTTTCACTTAATGTCTAGCACTAGATATCATAACTATAAAACTAAATTCAACATATATTGTCATAGTATTAATGACAAACGAAAAAAAACAAAAATAAGCAATTAATACAAAAATAAAATTTCTTTTACATTAATAACTATTTTAATACTTAATATACATTTTAGAAACTTTTAGCTATTTTCCCCGCTTTTCTAATATTTTTCTAGTATCTTTACACACTTAACGCACGAGCCTTATTGCAGAAAAATAATTAATTAGTCTTTACTTAGCATAAATTTAGTATCTATTTAACACCAATTTAGTGGCAATTGAACTTATAACTTAACAGTAATTTAAAGAAATATTTAAAAGGCTTTAAACTAAAAAAATAACATAAAGTTAGAAAATGCATTTGTACCAGCTTAACCTTAACATTGTCTGAATTAGCACGCAATTGATGCCAATTTGATACAAGTTAATACTATTAAATAATAACAGTGTCACTAAATTTCACTATGTACTCGAAATACTAGATACTGTCAGTCTCAATATTTTTAACACTTATCAATGGATGTCAACATTTATCACTATTTACCAGGACCTGTCTAGAAGATAAATCAGACTAGACGTGGATATTAACGAAATGATGTGTACACGGCGGGGGTATCGCTGAAGATGACCAAGACGTCCAAGTTTTATCAAAAAGGATGCCTGCAACTTAAAAACCACACTCTGAAGGACGGGGCGCCAGGTCAAACAGTCGCCGCACCCCCGCTTCCTTATAATACTGCTAAGAATTCCTCGGGGATTCCCTGAATGGAGACTTTTCATCCAGGTGTCAGTGTTCTTAATACACCGTCCAATGTACAGCCTGGAGTTGATACTGGCAAATGGATTTCTGTTTATCATTGGCCAACGGCCGGATATACAGTTTCCCCATTACATGATACTGATATGAAATGGGCTCTTCATACAGGTATACCAATAACAATACCATCAACTATATCATCACCAATATCTACTTCAATACCAACAGCTATATCTACATCATTACCATCGACTATATCAACAGCAATACCACCAGCTATGTCTACAACTATATCCACACCTTTTGGGCCAGATACAACAATACCTTCAACTGATGCACATGATACATATGCTTATTCTGTATGGACACCATCAACAAATCATTCGACAGTGCCATCAACTGTACAAACAACATCAGCTGTACAGGCTGTACAAGCTATGCAAGCCGTCCAAACAGTTTGTACATATTCACCAGCACTAACGCAGTCAACACTAACGCAACCAACATTAACAACATTAGCATCATTAACACCGTCTTCACTAACGACGCCTACACTTTCATCTGAATGGACATCTTTTGGACGCAAAGAAAAACCAGCAAATCATGGTACAGTAAGTAGTGGACCAATTCCTGCTAATCCATTACGTATTTATAAAGATCCAAATGGCGTCGATTGGATTAGTTTTGCATACAGTCGAGAACGTATTCGTACAGAATATACCATCCGTGGTGATGTTGAAACAGTTGATCTTGATACGCTTCCTGAAGAATTTAAACAACAAAATTGTGTAAGTAAAATGCAAAAAATATTAAGGAGAAATGGAAATATTGTAGAGAAACAATAGCATATAGAAAAAAACTTTAAAAACATGACATTTTCAGCATTTTCTTAGCACTATAAGCAAATCTTATTGCATTTATACATCTATACACATATATTTATCATTGCTTTTAACAAATGATGTTGTCTAAGCAACATATTACCTAGGCAAACATAACAGCAATGAACTATTCAAATGTATAAATGAACATTTTCTTCTCCTTTTTATGTTTTTTTTTTACTTAAAGTCTCACAAAAACCTCATAGATTTACCCACGTGCGCGTGTACCACCAGAACAATATACAGGTACACGACATCGCTATGAGACAGAATGTAATTCAATCGGATGGGCACTTTCAAAATTAAATCCATGCTTACGCAATAAACGTGGGTTAATTCAGCGTGCAGTTGATTCATGGCGCAATAAAGAACCAAGTTTACGCAGTCGACGGATTAGACGAATGGTTGCACTTAATGACTTACATTGCACACAGGAAAATAACATAATACATGAAAATGCAAATACATTAAGTGCATTGGATACATCAGTTGTATGTATGTCATCAAACACGTCACCATTACCACCGCAGTTTCGGCAAGTTACTTCATGTAATGTGATGACAAACACGTTACACGGACTACATGAGATTGGAAAAAAGACAGGGAAATCAGAAAATACAGAAGAAGCAGTATTGAAAAGACCAAAATATATTCTTTTAGACGACAATAGAAAAGGAACACGTGTACGAGTACGTGTTAGTCTAGATGAAGTAAGTTTAGAAGAAATTCCAGACGCATTTCGACGAGATCATTGTGTGTTTCCACGAAGGTTTGTATCAATACATGCATCATACGGAGAATCAGAAATAGAATATGAACAAACAGAAGAAATAAAAAAAGAACAAGCAATAAATGAAATAGGATGGAAACTTGCTTGGCTTAATATGCGGTTATTTGCAAATCGACCAAGTTTTTTACAGCGTGCAGTCGATGCGTATAGAAATAAGATTGAGCTAATTACATGTGAAGAAAAATGGGGAACACGCAAAGGACGAAAAGCATGGCTTAACAAAACAAATTAATAAAGCGACTATACTAAAAATTTGTGGAAAAGAGTATTTTTGTTTCTTTTTATATACGCTTCTCTACATTTATTTTCTCCTTACATATCCATCTATCTATAAATATATATACACGCGATATACATTCATGGCATTTTTCTTTATAAGACAATAAAATAATTAATATTTGGAAAGGCATTGTTTTAAAATAAAAAATCATTTCTTTTTTGACATTTAATTTAATATCTTATAAAAACATCGTAATTTTTTAATACTATTTATTAAATGCATAAACATAAATTTAAATCACTTAAATTTTCATAAATCGCATCATATCCTGTTTTTGAATTAATAGTATGTTATAATCTTACAGGAGCATAGCATGACTTCATAATATTAATATATTCATCAAACATAAAACAATTTTATCATGAACTGATTCAAAAAAGTTTATACGATAATTGGTCTATATAAAACAGTTGTAACGTACTTACTTTGTTAGAAAGAATATTATAAGATAGCATTCTTACTTTACTCCGAAACCGTGTAGTTACACTAACAGCAAGAACACCATTTCGGATTGAACAAGCAGCCAAATGGTTTAAAACTACATGATTTGGATTCGGAAGGACACTTTGGTCATCTTTCATCGTCGAATTAGAATTTAAAATAACTTTTTCCAAATGAGGTGGAAGAGAAGGGGGTATATATGATTCCGGAAACATGCAATGTGCATTATTTTCTAGTGCTGCATGAAGGAAAGCAGGAATCTCATTCGTATACGTTTCAGGTGGCTTATTGACACGATGCTCTAAAATGTATAAAGAAAAAAACATATTTTAAAAATTATATACCTGTTAGTGATGATTGTTTATCATTTTGAAGTACAGAAGATAAACATGTTTCGCTTACTTCTATATAGTTAAAAAGATTCCCAGAAGAATCAGTAGCAGTTGCTAGTTCATCAGAACATTTCCATTCATTATCTACATAGAACTTAAATTTATGCGTTCCTTTTGAAAGATTAATCAATACAGTAAAATCGTTTGTGCTGAGAATTCTCAAACAAATACTTAATTAATATTCAGTATTTTACCTCTTGTTCAATGGTATTTTTTTCCCCCAGTCTGTAAATGTACCAGTTACATACACATTCTTGTTATCTCCTTTCCAGCGAAGAAACACAGGAACTGTATTTTCTACTGCTTCCCTAAGTATATAGATATCTATAAACTTAATTAAAATAACCTTTATCTTGTTTAATGTCAAGAGCGATATTTTCATAATTAGACGAAATTGTAGAATGATTTTTAATGTCATGGTCTTTAATATCATATTTATCACAAGAATAGTCACTAAATGAATAAGGTTGGTTGTTTTCAAAGCCTATTTTATTTATATCTTCTAAAGAATGAATATCAAGCTGTTCTCTCTCTGTCTCAGAATTAACACTAGAAGAATCATCTTCAGCATCAGAATGTTGAATTTTTTGAGAATTTGCATCCAATTTAGACCCATTTTCTCCAGAAATATCACTTTTATGTCCTGAACTCTGCGGTATAGGATCTTTGTCTAACATACAAACACGTTAATATATAATATTTTTTCATGAAAAAAAAAATAAAAAATTCATACCATATCTTAAATTTTCTTGAGAATATGTATTTCCCATTATTCTAATGTGTCTTTTACTAATAAATAAAGTTCAAATAATAAGCTTTTCTATTTATTTAAAAAATACGAAATTTCATTTAATCAATATAAAATTTGTCGACTTAAACTATCCGCTAGGAATTTCATAAATCTTAAAAAGATGAAACAAAAAAGCGTTAAATGCATCCACTTGAATCAAAACATTCATTTTTTTCTTAATTTTAAATAATATATTTTTGTGTTTTTTATTGAAAAAAACAATATTACAAATGTTTTAAGCGAGAAGATACAGAAAAAAATCATATAAATCATCCAAAAACATTGCTTAGAAAGAATGTAGTTATTTTAATTATAATAATAAGTCTTACGTTTCATTACTAAATAGTTTTTATAAATACTTTGGAAATCAATTTACATAAAACAATTAAACATAATCATTTATTTCTATTACACATAAAAAATGTTCATTTTGTTATATTTAATATAGACAAACAATATATATTTTTTTAGATATATATTTATAATAATTTCAAATATTTATATAATCAAAAAAAGATAAATATTGCATTTAAAAGTTCAAAATAAAAAAATACCCATTAGTCAAAAAAAAATTAATAACTAATTTATTCTAAAAATAACTAATATTTTTTAAACATACATTAAATTATTTCTAACAACATATAAATAAAACAAAATCACGTATATAGTTTTATGCTTTTATTTTAATCACCTAATCACAACTTAGTGTCAAGACATTCATTCGTTTAAAAAACATCAACTATGTCATATAAACTAACAGGAACTATATACATTTATCTAACATATACAATGTTCCATTGGAAAAATTATACTAATATTTTAAAAACAAATCCTATCTATTGTCAAAATCGTTTAGTTCTTCTCTATTTTATACATTTATTCATATGATTCTAGGGTCAGAGATAAATAAAAACAATAACAAAACAAACAATCCAATACAAAGTTATAATAAACACCATTTTCATCTCCAGCAATTTAGTGCAGGTTGCCTTACGGGGTTTTTATCAGGAATTTTAACTAAACGTCTTGGGAAAATAGCCATAGTAGTATTCATCTGCATTTTCATCCTTTCAAAAGTTTACCCTAATCCTATATTTGCTTATTAACTTATAGTACTAAAGACAAAATCCTTTTATCACCTTATAAAACCATGGAATATACTTATACACTTTTCTCGAAAAGTTTGGCTTAAAAAAAGAAAAAAAACAAAAGAAATGGTCACAAATCTTCTTCTCAAGGACTTAGTATTTAAAGTAAGAAATTACCTATCATTATTTAATACTAACGGCACCAAGTCATCCTTTGCAGCTGCATTTGGATTCGGTTTTTTATATTCATAAAGCCCATCCATATTGCAATATTGTCTAAATTCACAAACTTCTTATCTCCGTCTTGTTCCACCAAAACCTGTTGATCTTCTCATCGTATACGCAGATGTATTATCTGTCATATCTCTATAATTATCTCTATATTCTTCACCCATAAATTGATGACGATAAAACATTCCATTTGGATGTGTATAACGTTCTCTTGATCCACGCATCATATAACTTAAAGCAGCCCCTCCTAAAAGACCGCTCCAAAATCCAGGTGTCCATATAGATCTTGATGAATGATACATTTTATCATAATGCGGCCCAGAATAGGGAGGTGGAGGTCCTCTTGGATGACCATTGCCGCCCCCACCAAACCAATTCCATGGAAACCTGTAGCTTAAGAGTTACTCATAAAAAGTATACAAGTTTTATAAGCTTACCAGTTCTGTGGAGATATTCTGAATCTTTTAAAAAGCAAACAAATAACATAAATAACGATAAAGGAGAAAAAAAAACGCAAGAAGAAACTTATCCATATATTAATATTATTCTTTGACATAAAAAACGAAAAAATATCATTTTTATAATGCATCCGTCCCTCTTCAGTTAAATGAAGAGTATATTCTACAAAACAGCTCCCTTTAAGCACATATTTACTATTAGAACCATCATATCCCTATAAAAACATTAAAACAATGAATTTCCCTAGAAATAACCAATTACTTCACAAACAACATCTGTTCTTCCAAGTCTGTAATAAGATGGTAAAATAGACTATTATTTTTCAAAAAAAAAACAAAAACATAAAAATGTAAGCCTACAGAGCAACTCCATTGAATATCTTCTGAATCATAATCACCACCCATGTTTTTGCATTGTATCACACTTGGCTCATATAAACCCTTAGATAAAATAAAAAATATCCAATTTCTTCTTTAAAAAAATACCTTTGCATCACCACCCACACAAACTATCTGAGGAGAAGGAGAGAATCTCAGAGATCTCGTATATTTTTCCTATATCTTGTTTATTCATAAATAACATTTAGAAAACAAAATACCTTATAAAAAGTAAGAGCACGAATTTTAGAAAGTAATATTCTATCATTCAGCTGAAAACAACTCACAACAACAAGTAATAGAAGAAACGGGGCAATTTTCAACATATCTTTTGTATGATCATTAAAAAGTTTATAATTACAAATCAAACGTATCTAATTTTTTTTTTAAAAGACAAACAGTAAAATATCAAAACCCAAAGTAAAACATATGCATTTAAATCATAATACAATTACCACTTAAGGATGTTCATGCAGAACTTAAACCCGTAATAGACAAATTTCTAACTTTTTGAAGTATTTCATCTATTCTTTGATCTAAATCACCACTACTATATTGATTTCGTACTTGCGACGTAAAATACTGCTGAACCTTTGACATACGATCATATCTAATTCTTTTAGAGTCCTATAGATATTTCTTTAATTTTTTTTATACCCATCATAACAAAATTGATATTGTATTTTTACTAATGCTTCAAATGACGCATCTAAATATGGAACTCTTAAGTCAATAAATTGCGGTAATTCTTCAAGAAGCTGATTATTCAATGTAGTATATAAATCCTTCAATGCAGAAGCTTCTCTTTCAACCTTTTACCTTATTAATACTTCTATTCATGGAAAAATGTACTTACCATAGGCAATTTTTTAATATCATCTGACGGTTTATCAGTCAAACGTTTAACCTTTGCACGTATTGCATCATAATCAATCAATTTATGATTTCTTTTTGTAATCGCGGCATTTATCTCTGGGAAATACATACAAAACTTAGAAATAGGATCCAGCACTGTTATACGATAAATTTCATCCTTTTCAAACCTATTAATACTTCGTATAAAATACTATACACATACAAGCTCTTTAATTGTTCGTGTATCAAAATCCTCTATTGCATGTGTATAATGTTTACTAGCACGCTCTTTATGATGAGCATCCACATAAAACTCATCCATCGCTTCTGCAATCCGCAGTTGAGATGCTGACATCGCTATATATCATTTATAAACAAATAAAAATAAAAAACTCAGAACCCATTACACCGAAGTGAGTCTAAATAACCCTTTGCTTCACGTTGCAGCCTCTGTACAGCCTGCTCTAGCCTAAAAAACAGTCAAGACGTATCTTCTGCCTTTGTTATCAATTTTACGTGCGGTAACGGCGTTCCTCCATATCAAAATCACGATCCACAGTCTGAATAGATCACTTAAAAGTCTATATTCAGAAAAAAAACTCACCTTCTCCACTTGTCCTGCCTTGATCATCACCTGTAGAGAACAGTATCAGAAAATGTCATAAAACACAATATAAAAAGCAACAAAAAAATAATCTTCAATTATGAAAAATACACAAACAAATAAAGAACACGTATTCAAGTAAAATCCACCAAATTTATTCTCCTTTTTTACTTACATGAGTACCTGCTCGGTTGACAGCTTTTTTAAAACCAGCCCTTAAAAATTAAATTTATCTTCAAAAAATCTATAACAAACCAGCTCATTGTGTAAATACTTTAAAAAAATGTAAAAAAGTCTCTAATCTTAGGGAATATATTCTTAAACTTATAAACAAAGCCTACTTTTAAAAGATTCTATTGTACATGATCGATAAAACGACTTAGACAAAAAATACAAATGCAAAAAATAATTAAATATATAAAACATTTAAAATACATTAATTAAACAAAATATTATTGAAAAAAAAAGTATTAATATATATATATATATACCATTAATTAGTAGTATAAAAACAATTTATAAATATAAAAAAATGATCCAACATGCAAAAAAACAAAATATCGCCAATAACCAATGCAGAATTTCACTCAAAACCCTAGAATTAAAAATAAGAAGCAAACAAAAATATAAAGAAAAAACTTACCAACTTCTCCTGCTTTACAGACCAAAATTTCTTTTCCCCACTCAGTACGAAGAACATGTTTAGCTGAAATACGACGTTCGGGTGAAGGATCAAGGATAGAGTAAATGACATTCCGACAATGCGTCTATAAATTAGAAGAAAATAAAAGAATAGAAAACAAAAATACCCTTTGCAAAGACTCAATAGGCTCATAACCTGCTTTATTTTTTCTTTCTTCAAGATACTTATCATAAAAATCATCCTCGTCCTGCTTAGCTACTCGCCATAAATGGCGTCCCGTACGCATTGCCATGTAAATTACACCCGTTGCCCAAACATCTACAGCACGAGGATCAAATTCCTTATCTGTATACTCCTCTGGAGCAATATATGGTATGGATCCACAAAGCCCACATGTTAGATGTGCCTTTTTTTCCCATGCCATCCTAAAACATTCACCATTTCCAAAATCAGTGATTTTAAGGGCACCATTATGTGTTAAAAGAAGATTTTCAGGTTTCAAATCCCTTAAATATATTAATACAAATAATAAAGACATTATACATAAAAAATAAGTACCTATGTGCAACTCCCATCTCATGCATATACTCTACACCTCGCATTAATTGTTTAAAATAACAATCGGCTTCTATCATATCAAGTTTTCCAGATGCGAGAATTAAAGAATACAAATCACCACCAGCACAAAATTCCATAACTTCACAATAATCCCCTTTAGAATCTTGCAAAAGATCAAGAGTGTGAATAACATTCGGATGTCGCAAAGAAGATGAAATACAAAATTCAGAAGTCAAGCGTTTAGTATACTTCTTTGTAGATTCTGAAGGACGTCGACGAAACTCCTTAATAGCATACAATTGCTCAGCATGTGCATTCTCAGGATCAGCCTTATGAGAAATACGTACCACTCCAAATGCACCTAATCTATTTAAATACTTTTTTCGAAAAAAAAATAAATGAAAAAACAGACCTTTTCCTATTACTTCATGACATTTTCCATACTTCTGAACCAAACTAGCACTTGTATTTGTGTAATCCTTCTCTTTTTTAGACAAATCTGATCTTTCTGATTTCATTTTATTCATGCAACCATTAATGAGACTTAGATTATTTGCTTGCGGAGTATTATCAAGAGCACACATACGCGCTTCTTTCTTGGCATTCCCGCCAAGAAAATCACGAAGCATTGAACGAAGTTTTTCTTCACGTCGAACTCTTCGAAGAGTATGAAAATGTGTACCGTCTATTAATAAAGTAAAACGATCAGAAACAGTCCGGATAATCCGATCACTACTTGTTTTCAAAGGGTCTTGATTTTCATTCACACTTGCTTCAGAAACCTTTGGAAGCACAGATGTTTTGTCATTTGTGCCAGTTACTTTACCATTCGACTCAGCCTTATCCTTTTCATGTTTCTTTAATTTATGAGAATCTGAATCTTTTTCAGAAGACATAAATATGCGATTAAACATCAACATAACCCGCTTGGATTGCACAGGTGTAGACAAGGGTGGTGCACGTGCCTGGTTGCTAAAAGTAGATATATCATTTTGACCACTCAAATCTATAACCCCATCTATTCTATTTTGCTCTTCTGCGCTATTCATATCATCCCTAATACTAGATTCGTCTATAACATTCTCAGTGCCCTTAGAATTTTCTTTCAACTCTTCTTTATTTCCATTTTCCTCCTTATTTTCATCTAAAGAAGTTGCTATTGTAGGATGTGCAGGATGCATTGCAGAAGAAGATGGAGGGACCCAACTAATAACAGACATCTTCCTGACATATGAAAATGACAAATCCTGAACTTCTATTGATCCACAAGAACTTTCCTGACTTCTTTTTGCAACATCAACTCCCATATTTCAACAGCAAAAAAAAAAACTAAAAGCATCAGTATAGTATAACCAAAAACTAAAATACTCACAAAATGAAGAATAATATCCAAAAATACACTGCTTCAGGAGATATTTTCTACTATTTTGTATATATATATATATAATGCTAGCAAAATATCAAAATTTACAAAAAAGCGACGTTCGATAACCTGTTGCGGGTCAACAGTAAAACAAGAAAAAATTGTCCAAAAATTAAATCAAAAACTACTCTAAATAATATATTAATAATTATGTGATTACAAAAATGACGCCTAGGAATCCAGTGAAAACAAAAAATAGCTATCTTTTGCTATTTTCAATGTTGTATAAAGACGGTAAATTATAGAATGGAAAGCAGTAAACAACATTTATATAAATTATACTTAATAAGAGATATTTTTGAATATTTGAACAAAATTTATCTTTTGAATGTATTATATTTATTGTAAAACCATAGAGGACAAATCTTACCTTATTAATTGTTTTTTGAATTGTAGAGATCGTCATTTTAAAATCTTTGTTGGAAATTTCATGAACTACACCCATCGTATTCTCCTCATATGAAATCATTGGATCCTTGCCATTAAGAGTTACCCAATCATGTTGCTTTAAAATAAGTTAAAAAAAGCGTTTAAATTGAAAACTAACCCGTAAATCACACATTTTGATCCTTTTTTCAGGATCTTTCTCAAGAATTTTTTCAAATAAATCCTTTAGCTCAGGAGAGACATGATCAGGCACTACTATTCTAAATTTGTAAACAATTATATCATCAAAAAAAATTCATTACTTCTGAGTTTTAATAATATCATACAGTTTCATAATGTCAGATTCATTAAAAGGCAAATACCCAAATGCTAAACACCACAAAGTAATACCCATGGACCAAATATCAGCAGCCTTGCATGAAACAACATGATCAAAGACGCACAATTCCTATATACTAAATCACAATCGCAAAAAAAAATAAATATATACTGGAGCCATAAATGCAGGTGTTCCCTTTATCCTACAGAATGAATCGTTATCTCCAGTAAACGTCTTTGAAATACCGAAATCAGCAATTTTCAATGTTCCATCTTTAGAGAGTAACAAATTTTCAGGTTTAATATCACAATGACATATTCCATGAGCATGAACTAAAAAAATATTAATAAATGTAAAAATAAGTATTCAAATAGTACATACGATACTCAATACCTAATATTAAATCACGAAACCATTTTCGACACTCATTTTCACTATACGGACTAATTGCATTATTCACATCCATATCCATAACAACACCTTTTTCACACAACTCTAAAACTTTATTTGTTATTAATAGATACCAACGTGATAATTAATCCTACCCATATATAAAGAATCTCCATGAGGATCATCTAGCACTTCAATCATACTAACTATATTTTTATGATTTATCTTTTTCATAATATTAATCTCTTTTTGAATAAAATAAAGCGGGTTATCGCTTTCTGCATGATTACATAAATTCCGATAAAATGGAAAGTCATCAGAAAGAAAAGAACCCGATGAAAGTTTAGGTTGCTGAAAACGTGAACATTTATGAACTTTCCGCAACTGAATCTTAGAAAAATCTTTAATAGCCTACATTTTTATCAATTTACGTAGACATGAAACTAATGATCAGTGAACATATTCTTTACCCGTTAACGTATCAATACACCAATTAACAGTACCATAAGAACCTTTCCCAATCTTCTGCTTAATAAGATACTGATTAAGCATTTTACATCCATCATCATTCTCTGTTGTAACTGCATCCAAAGTTTCCTAAATCCATTCAATTTGTCTCTAATATTTTGCTGAAAAGTACCTTAAAATGCGGCTTATCATGAAAAAAAGTACCAGAATCCCCTTTAAAAGACAGAGGATCAGATTTAGGTTGAGAGAAAGATGATATTTTGTTTTTTTTTCCCAAATTATCGTCCAAACATATATCTGACAAACTCTGCATGAAATAAAGACGTTTTTCATCCATTTTTCAGACAAAAAACACCAATAAACAGAAAAAAAAACATAAAATATAGAAAAAAGCAATTTAACACTAATATTCTTAACTTTCTATACCCAAAATATTGCTTTTTATTTTTTATCTATGCATGATGTTGTACATCGAGATCCACGAGATTCATCTCTTTAACCATTTAAAAAATTAATCTATGACTATTTATAAATTATTTATATTCAATCGCTCTTGTAAGCTTCTATTTAAACTCTTCATACTTATTGTTATAGGTAAATCTATTTACAAAAAAACTTGGAATAATAACCGGCATCTTGAAACAGAAAATGACAATTCATCAATGGTTCATTCGCAATGTAACACGTTAAATGCAGATGACGAAGCAAAACTTGTATTTGGAGTACTTTATTCATTGCGCCGTATTAGCAAAAAACTTGGAGGGCCGTGAGTATACATATGCACATATACAATTTGGTAATAGACATAGAGACAAATCATTTATCTCGTATCGCACTCCAGAATACAAACTACATCATTATGAAACAGCAAGCGGACTCAAATTTGTTTTACTGACAGATCCTAATTGCAATAACTTGCTTCATGTACTTCACCAAATCTTTGTTAGTCTTTATGTAGAATTTGTTGTAAAAAATTCTCTTGGCAATCCAGAGTGCCCTAAAGATGATGTGGAAGTTGAACTGTTTGAGCTGGCACTAGATCAGTTTATACGGTCACTTAAGTAAGGTTACATATATATATCCATACTACTAATTTTAAACAGCGAATTTTAAACGACAAATCTCAAAAATGCACAAATAAATATGCAAAATACAAGCATATGTAAAGAGAAAACTAACTATATGCGCAAAAATACTAAATGTATACACTAAGATACTAATTACAACTACTTCAGAATAAAAATATATGGCAAAATCAAAATATATATTAAAACAAAGTTATATTACAAAAACTTAAATATAAATTACAAAAACAAACAACGCATGCAAGAATTCTGTATATACTATATATATACGCAAAAATTCTAAATACGTACTTCAAAATAAAATTATACACAAGAAAATTTTGTATATTTAAAACCACAAATTTTCGTTAAGGCTACGGTATATAGATTTCTAAACTCAATATTATATATCTCAAGATTTATATGAATAGATAATGTATGAATAATTCTATAGATTTACACTCACAGTGCACTTTTTACACTTACGCTACACTAACGGCACAGCAACCGACAACAAATAAATAATAACAATTCTAAATGTTAAATGTTCAAAGTTCTACAAAGATTATAGACATTCCAAAGAAACTTGAAACAGATTTTAGTACATGTAATCCTCAAAACTCTGTTAATAGTATTTCATCAATTACTCGATGCCGTCCGAATATTCTTATGTGCGGCACACCAGGTACGGGCAAAACAACACACGCATTGCGACTATGTAGACTTTATGACTTGCATCACCTATCAGTCGGGGATATTGTTAAAAAAAGTGGATGTCATAAAGGTAAAGATGCAACTTGGGATGCGTATATTGTGGATGAAGTAAAAGTATTTATTTTATCATCTGAGGGTAATTTTTAATGTTTTAGAATAGCTCTTGAAATATTTGGAGAAAGATATACAACAAGGTGGAGTGGTAGTTGATTGGCATACGTGCAATGTTTTTCCTGTACATTGGGTGGATCTGGTTGTAGTATTACGTACACAACATACACTACTTTGGGATCGGCTAGTTGAAAGGTAAATACAACTTAATTATGAAAATTTCAAAAATAACAAATGGATCAGGAAATATACTCTCCGGAAAATACAAGAAAACAATGAAGCAGAAATCATGCAAATTGTATTAGACGAAGCAATAACATCATTTGGATCTGAACGAGTAATGGAGCTAACGAGTGATGTATTGGAACAAGTGAATGACAATGTAATGAAAATAGGTGAATGGATTCAACAGTGGCAACAAGGTGATAAGTCAAGAAAAAAATGACAACTATAATTTCATGCGATATTTGTCATTTCGATTAATTATACACTTTAGATCAATTCTTACTCTTATTAACATGGGTTTTCGTATTAAGGATAGTGTTTGCATTTATCAAGAAGAATCTTTACTTTCATTTCTTACAATATTTTTCAAAAATGATAAAAGTTTCATCAACGCTTTTGTACGATGACTCAACATACATTTTAACGAACGATCCATTTCAGCGTATCTAAAACATTAACTATCGAAACTTAAATAACATATAACTTACGTTTGATGATTATCAAGTGGCTATTGTTGTGCAAATAGTATTAGAGATATTTTAGCTAAAAATATTTCGTTATTACCTGAAAAATCGGATCCCTAAAAACTATCAGTAAAATTAGAACAAGTATTAATTCAACAGACCATCCAAATACAGCAGAACCACGAGCAGGCACAATAGTTCCCTAAACAAATGAATATTGCAAATTTCAAGTTTCTAATTACTTGTGTTCTTCCTTCAAAAATATGCACATCATGTCCAGGCCCTTTACAATATGCAAATTTACACACAGCCTCCGCTGTCTTGTCAGAAAAAGGAGTTAAAATACGCACAAGTCCTTATATTATGAATTAATTTGCAACAAATTTAATATATATACCATCAAGCCCAAGACTAGACAAAAACCACTTTCTGTATTGATTTAAAAAGGTTTTAAAATCCTTTAAGACCTACATATATGGTCCAGGGAGTCCATTAAGTGCTGTGAAAGAAAGACTTGTATCCTCAACAATTACAGGTTTTTTAATCTGTTAAAATATGTCAGAGTGATTTTGTGTTTTTTTTTTTTAATATACAATATCTACTGCTCTTTTACATTTATCTATTATTATTTCGTCTAACTCTCCTTGTATTTCAGGTACTTCGAATAGTCAGTATCTTTGTGTTTAGTAAAAACATACGTTCTAAAAAAACACATGTTAATTTGAATTCTATATTATAAATTGCCTTAATTTCTTCGGCCTTTTTTACATTTCCTGTAACAAAAACTATACAAATCAGATTTTTGTTAAAAAGAATTTTATCTATTTTTTCTACCTATTTCTTGCATTTTTTTAACAATAAGAGTAATCTAAGAACGGTAAAATATAAAATGTTAAAGTATTTAAAGGAAAAAATCATAAACATATTATCTATATGTCACAAAAACATTTTATCTACTTATATATACAAAATAAACTATATGTATACAAAAGAGCCTTTGATAAGAAAAACAAATCATTTTATATAAATAAAATGTATTTTGTAGATTTTTACAAAATGTCACTTTCGATACATTCTCTGGAACATTAATTCTGTATATTTGCAAAGAGATATGTGCTTAAACTTTCCGAGATGTACTATTCCTAGGCAAACTTTTAGTAAAAGGAAGGAAAGTTTTCCCGCCCATATAACTCTGCAAAGGCTCAGGAATATCTAGACCCTAAAAATATTAATTATTGTAATAAATGAAAAAATAAACAACATCTGGTGTTTGATAATTTTCTAATATACAACATAATGCTCTAGTCACAGCGCATAAAGTAGCATTTAAGCAATGCACATATTTTTTTTCTTTATCTCCTAAACGCTTAATACCACAACGAATCTCAAGATTTCTAGACTGGTAATCTGTACAGTTTGAACAACTTACTAACTCCTTGTATTCACTTTGAAATGGAAACCAAGCCTCTAAATCATATTTTTTTGAAGCAGCATTATTTAATGCACCAGAGACAATAGAAACAATTCGATAAGGGAGTTTGAGAGACATATAAAACTCTTCAGCAACAGAAATCATTTCTTCAAACATAATCCAGGAAGATTCAGGAGAAGTAATCAAAAATTGTTCAATCTAAAACAATTAAGCAACAAACCAAAAGCAGAAAGAAGAAAAACCTTATCAAACTGGTGAACTCTAAATATCCCCCATGTGTCTTTTCCATGTGCACCAGCTTCTCTTCGATAACAAGAACTATATCCAGCATATCTTGAAAAATAAGCATGTATTTACCACCAGAAGACATGCTTACTTAATTGGAAGTTGCTCATTAGGTGTTTCAAACCATTCATTAGAATGAAAAGCAGAAATTGGCTGTTCAGATGTTGCAATAAGATATTTTTCATCATCTCCATCTATAACCTAAAGAATAAATAAAATACAATACGAAAACAATACAAACCTTGTAAAGTTGTTCATCAAAATCATCCAATTCAGCTGTCTTACTCATTATATCCTTATTCATCATATGTGGGGTTTGTAAAACAATATAACCTTTTTCTATAAGAAAATTCAAAGAATAATTAACCAACGCTTGACTGAGAAGAACACCGCATCCCTTTAAAAAATAACCTCTATGTCCTGCCAATTTAACACCTCTTTCTGGATCATATCCATCTAATCTCAATAAAACCTCATGGTGAGATAAATTACCCTTTTTTTCAATATAATTCTCTGGAAACCATGTACGAATTACTTCATTATCATCCTTATACAGGTTTTTCTTTAGAGGAAAAAAACTAAGATACTTACCTCATTATTACTTACTGGAACAGAATCATGAACAATATTTCCCACTGTCTTGAGTGTCTGCCTTAATGCCCGTTCTTTCTCCGACTCTAATACTTCTGCTTCCTTACGTTTGACTTGTAACTCCTGTTTCTTAACAAGCAAAGGAAGTACATCTTCTTTTGACTGAAAGAATTAACAATATTGTCATTTTGTACAAGAAAAACCTTAATCTTAGCAGAAATTTCTTTCTGAAGAGTATTCATCTCCCTATTTAAAGAATCAAGAATAAACCTTTCTAAAATATAGAACTAAGCCTTTTATCTTAAAAAACAACATATGTACCTGCTGTCCATGATTTATATAAAACAAGAATTTGATCAACAATTTCAACTGAAGAGCCCCGTTTTTTTTGAGATTCTTTAATCTTCTCTGGATCTCCTCCTTTTTCTGACAGGAAAAGATAAATATCAAGCATTATTTAAAGAAAATTGATCTTTTAATGGGCTTATTAATCCTTATCTTTTTTTTGTCGTTGATATAGAAATAACGTTGTTGCCATAACAGAATCTAAGATCAACGACTTTTACCACAAACAAATGAAAACATCTAGTAGAGCACATTTCCACCCACCAGCAAAGGTAAATATATTATTTGAAACTTCAAAACTCATTGTTAAGATCCATACTGTACTTTCTCAAATTCTTGGAGCTTCTATGTGGTTTTTCATACTTTATAGGATGAAACAAGATGGACCCGTTATTTTGGTAAGGATGTGCTTTAAGTGCTATTTTACACTTCTTACAGTATTCTAGGGCCTTAAACATCCCTGGGAAGTGCGTGTTTCCCCTTAAATATGGATTTTAAATACTAATTTTTGCAAGGACCATAAATCAGATGAAAAACATTAAAAATCACAATCTATCGGCAAATAAAATACATAAAGGAACATAAAAATATATACTACGTATATTTGGTCAATCAAAATGTATAAATAGACATGTAGAGGATTACACCAACACAATACATGTTTCTCCAATCTATTTATAAAGCCAATAATCATCTTTTATATGTAAACTATACTAGACACTCATTAGACACGAATCCATTCACTCAATATAAATGAAAAGCATTAAAGTATTCATGTAATTTATATAATTAAGCATCTACTGAATTTAATACATATTAAAATTTTAACCATGTTTATTGGCTGTTTGCTTTCAATATCCACAAATAGACGTTAGTTTGTGATAAAGATATATTGATTGTAAAAAAGTAAATGACACATTTATTTTATATCAAATCTTATCAAATAAAATGAATATTTAAACGACTTTTTTTCAGAAATTAAAAGATTAAGATTTATTTTAGATAAAAGTATTAAAAGAATATTAATAAATTGCTAACCATTTTGAGAGATGTTTTGTATATTTCAATCAATTATAGAGAGAAGAAACCTTCGATATCGTGCGATTTAAAATTTTAAAAAATATCGTAATATTTTAAAATAAAAAAGAGCAGTAATTGCACTAAATTTGTATGTTTACTCGCTTCGAGAGATCATATTTCTTTACTTATGAGGACTGAAATAACCTTGTAGCTTTTACACAACCATTTAGTTCCTTTCTAATAATATTTTAGATCAAGATAACCTAGATGTTTTTACAGTAAAGAACATGTTAAATAAACATTCATGTAGCGAAGAAGATTTAGATATACAAAAGGAAAAAAGTTTAGAACCTCTTAATGAGATAAACGTTTTCAAAAACCCTATCACTAGGCAAAACATTCATTTAGAAACACTTTCGCAAGAAAAAATTGAATATTTAATAAAAAAAGCACAAAAAAACCTTGAGGCTCTTTCAAAAACATCAAGTCCTAAGGAAACAGACCATCGAAAAAGCACTAAAAAAAAGTAAAAAATCCAATCATGCCATGCTAGTTCTGAAAAAATAGCACTTTTAAATGGAAAGGTGATCATATTACGCCAACCTATATATCAAAAACAGGAAATATTAGCTCTATAAAGCCAGAAGTTTTAGAAAAAAGCTATAAAGTAATTAACGATGATATCAACCAACCAATTCACTATAAACCACCATTAAGTCGAAAAGAAAAAAAAAAAGTAAGTTATTCATCACGCCAAGCTTTGAAATATCGTGATGAAAAATACTTCTCAGAGCAAATCTAAATGCTTTTGTCATTTGCTTGCAATGGAGAGTAAAGTGTCATAGTTACACTGATCTATCCATCCGTGTTTAATGTTTTTTATCGCAAATACTGAAATTTATTAGGAAAAGGAAAAAACTGCTGGGAAAGACTGGTTTCACATGTCCAAGCCCGAGCTAACACAGTCTCTCAAGACAGAACTGCAGATCCTGAAAATGAGAAATATCTTGGACCCCAAACGACACTACAAAAAGGACAAGAAAGACCTCCCAACATACTTCCAGCTTGGAACAATGATTGACGACGTCCTAAATACACCCTTTGAAGAGTTTTCCAAGAAAAGAGCCAACACCATTCTGGACGAAATTTTGCAGGATCAGGACAAACGTTTATATTTTAAGAAGAAATACAGCGATATCCAGAAAGCCAAGATGTCTGGAAAAAAGGCTTTCTACAAAAGGCTCAAGGAAAAGCGGAGGCCGTTCCGCTAGTGCCTGCCCCTTGCTCCTGCATCCCATTGCACACGCTTCCACACATCTCTACAGAATGCTCCAAATCCACATGCTGCACCGCCTCCCATCAACCTCCCATCAATCTTTTGCTATCTATTATATTCTACTGTTATATTCTGCTATTTTCTATGTACATCTGCACACACCTACCCATACACCTGTACATATATACACTATATATATATATACATATATACATACCACGTATATACCATAGTTATATCACAGTGTATATACCATAAATGCACTGTAGACATACTCTTGGATATATCACAGCTATACCACACACTGTACACCATAGACATATCATACACACACTATACACATACCATAGTGTATATTGCACAGTATATACTATACACATATTAAATTATATACTACAAACCACACACTTGCTGTGTGCTGCATAAGCTGTGCTATCCACGTGCTGTGCACACTACATTTATACAGAATATCCACTCTGCCACTGACACTGCACGCTACACTGCACACTGGAAACTGTGTGCACACTTAGCCATGCCATACGCACCGTGTTCTGTGAGTATATCTTGCACTGCACTACACTATACTTTGCACTACACTATACTTTGCACTACACTATACAGTATATTATACTATACACTATACTTTACACTATGCTATACAGTATACACTACTGTATACATTGCTGTATGCGTCATACATATAGTATAAGTGTATGCTGTGCAGCAGAGTATATGCACAACGTGCATTGTATACATTTATAGTATATGTATTATATATATAATACAGCACTCTCTGCTGTATATTTGTGCTGTACATTCCATTGCTGACTACGCTGTACAGCTATACATGCTATACACTGTATACACTATATATGCCATACTTTGGCACACTGCAGCACAAGACACTAGACATGCTGTGCATGCTGTAGCTGTGCACGGTATATACACTGCAGCTTAGGCAGTGGCTGCACTCACTGTACATTCTATACATTACACACTACGCACACAGCAGCAGCATATACACTCTATGCACACTATACACACTATGCACTACCATACACTGTAAATAGTATGCACTATAGATATACATTATATACCATACTATATACCATACTATATACCATACATATACATATACACTATATACTGCAGATATACACTATACACTGTATACACTGCATATACGTTGTATACACTATAACTATACATACTATATATACCGTGTATGCCATATATACTATACATACGATAGAATGCATTCATACACACTATACAGTATATATACAGTATACACTGTAGACACTATAAGTATATATACCATACACTATACACACTACATACTATGCACACAGCTGCAGCGTACACATCTATACACGGTGATAACACAGTGGTCTGTCGCTTCTACCATGCACTGCACACTATACATGTACACTGTATATACAGTGTATACCATATACCATACACTATACACTATATACCATACATACTATACATACTATACATATGATGCATACTATACACACGGTACACACAATACATATATACACTTACGCCATAGCTATATACCATACACACCATGTACACACTGTACACACTGTGTACCACTATATACACTGCACAGTATACACTATCGATGCTGTATATGCCATACATGCACTGCACACCGACTGTGCTCTGCATACGCATACACTACGTCCCGTGCACACTGCACTGCGTATACACTGCACACACTATACATATTATGTATGCTGTATATGCAGTACACACTATCCATACAATCCATGTAATCCATGCAATGTACACTGTCTATGCTGTACACGCCACCTAGCTACACAGCTATATTGCTGTGCGCTATATATGCGTGCACACTGCATGTTGTCTGCCATGTACACTGTATACTCTGTACTGTGCCCAGTGCAAGTGCACGCTGGCGCACACTCACGCGGCCACACCGTGCACACGGCGCCGCACACTGCACGGGCTGTAGCAGACGGCATGGCGCCCTCATTTGCATACGACCTCATCCTCTGGATGATGAGCGGTATGTCCCCCTTTCCTGCGCGCTGACCTCAGTCCTCGTCGACCTCTTCTTCCGCGACGTCCGTTCCCGCGGCTCCTTCCGCATCCCCAAGCGGGGCGCCGTCATCTTTGTCGCTGCGCCCCACGCAAACCAATTCGTCGACCCCCTCCTCCTTATGCGCCAGGTGCAGCTTGCGGCTGCACGGCGTATCTCCTTTCTCATTGCGGAAAAGTCGATGCACCGCTGGTTCATAGGCCGGCTTGCGCGACTTGTCGGGTCGAGTATGTGCAGCCTGCGAGTGCGCTGACGACAGTTCCTGTAGCGCGGCCGTTGGACCGTCTGTGCTGTGGCACCGGCCTCGTCCATGTGGACGGCGGCGTGTTGCGAGGACGCAACACGCGGTTTACAGAGGAGCTCGCGGACGGGGCAGTGGTGGTGGTGGGCGCGCGGGGCGAACAGGTAGTGGAGGTGAGCCGAGTGGAGTCAGACGAGGTCGCAGTGCTGCGCGCACAGGGCACGCAGGGCACAGGGTGGGCGGCGTTCAGATACGGGGCAAAGGTCGACCAGAGCGGGGTGTATGCGGAGGTCTTCCGGCGGCTGGAGAGCGGCGGGAGCATCGGCATCTTCCCGGAGGGAGGGAGTCACGACCGCGCGGACCTGCTTCCGCTGAAAGGTGTGTGCAGCGCATACAGTGTGCAGCATGTGCAGTGCGTGTGTATAGTATGTGTACCCTTATAGCATGTAATGCACGGCATACACGACGTATATTCACATACACATACATATATATACATATATATACATATATATACATATATATAGATATACACACGCATATACACGCATATGCATATGCATATGGCATATATAATATATACTATACTGTCATGCATACACATATATGCATACAATCAGACGCACTGTGCAGCAGCTGACGAGACAGCGGGGGTGGCGGTCATGGCGTTGGGGGCTCTGGCAAGAAACGCAGGGATGGAGCTGAAGATCGTGCCGTGCGGGATGAACTACTTCAACGCCCACCGGTTCAGGTCGCGGGCGGTCCTGGAGTTCGGAATGCCGCTGGAGATCCCGCAGGAGTTGGTCGACAGGTACCGGGCGGGAGAGCGGCACGAAGCGGTCCGGGCGGTCTTGGATATGATCTACAATGCTCTGCTGGCGGTGACGGTGCGGACAGCGGACTATGAGACGCTGATGGTGAGTGACGTGTGGTTGCAGTATGCAAGCGGTGTCCAGCAGTGTCCACTCTTGTCGGGTACAGAGCTATCCGATGAGTGTATATCCAATGGGTGTATATCCAATGGGTGTGTCTATCGAGCATGTGCCAGTGGGTGTGTTGAGTATATACAGTGGATTACATGCAAAAGTACAGTGAATGTGTGCAGCGGCATATATAGTGGTATATACAGTGGTATATGCAGTGGGAGTGTACATACAGTGGGAGTGTGCGGCGGACACATCTGCAAAGCAAATAGTATGCAAGTATGCCAACAAGAGTGTATACTTGCGTTACTTGCGTGTGTTTGTGTATACTTGTATATATATATGTATATACTTGTATATATATATGTATATATGTATATAAGTGTGTATATTTGTGTACAAGTGTATATACATGTATATATATAGGGCACACTGGTGAAGGATATACAGTGGAGTGTATACAGTGGAAGTGTGCAAAATGCAGCAGCAGTGGATATGCATGTTGGATGCATGTTGGATGTGTGTTAAAGACAATGCTGATAGAGACAGTTTATCCAGGCAGGGAGGAGGCTGTATAGGTCGGGGAACCGACAGCTGCCTCTGCAGCAGATTGTCGAGCTGAATCGGCGGTTTATTCAGGGATACAATCACTACAAGGAAGATCCAAGGGTAGTAAAGTTACGCAAGGCGATTCTTGCGTACAACCGGGAACTGTACTTGCTTGGAATCAGGGACCACGAGGTGCAGAGTGCAAAATACAGTGGGCCGAAAGTAGTACGGCTGCTGGTATACAGGAGTATCAAGTTTCTGGTGCTTGCAATCTTGTCCCTTCCAGGAGTGGTTTTATTTTCACCCATTTTTGCAGCCACGAGAATTATATCGAAAAAAAAAGCAAAAGGTAATGGAGGCAATGGGGTGCAAGGCTCATATAGATAGAGGCATTGGATGCATCGACGGTAAAGATCGAGGGAAGGGATGTACTGGCGACATGGAAGCTTTTAGTAGCATTGGCGCTTGCGCCAACATTGCTTTTGTTTTATTCAATAGTAATTGCGTGCATTGTAGTTTATTATCAAATGGTTCCGTATTCAAAGAAGTGGATCTGTGCAATGATTGTGATAAATATGGTTTTGATATCAGTGTTATCGTTTGCAGCACTGCGGTTTGGGGAGAGCGGGCTAGATATCTACAAGTAGTAGCGGTGGAGCGTTTGTATGTTTTCTGATGAGTTTAGGTCTCTAAGGCCTCTATTTTTGAGTTTGAATCCTACATCGGCAAATACGATTTACAAGCTGCGTCAGACACGAGAGGCCCTGGCAATTGAGTTGACAGAGCTGATTAATACGCTGGGTCCAGAATTGTTTCCGGATTTTGACCCTGGCAAGGTGATTGCAATGCCTGAATACATGATTCAGAACAGCAGGACTTGCCAGAGTCATAGTCGGACTGCATCATTTGATAAAAGTGATGATTTAAGTAGCTCTAGAACACTGTCATGTGCCTCTACACTGGATTTGTCACGCAATACTAGTCTTCAGAGTTTGCCGTCTCTGCAGCTTTTTACAAGCTATTCTTTTGGTTCAAATAGCAAAATAGACAGTTTTTACGAAGACAATCAGAAAATAAACAAGAATAATAAACTTAGTAAGAGTGAAAGCTTTGAAGAAGTTTCAAAAAAAATTCGAAAGGCTATGAAACAAAGAATACAAAAACGAAATGTTAAAAAATTGCATGTATACCCTGAATTCAATTTTGATGTTAGCGATGAAAGTGATTATTTAAAATCTTCTTCTAGTATGAGTCAAAGCGAAATGGAGATAGAAAGTGAAACAGAATACGAGTATAGGGAATCGAAAAAGGAATTGTAGTTATTTTTTGTCTAATTATTTCTATCGAGCATCTTTCAAATGTTTTATTTCTATTGTTTATAGTTTTACATATAAAGTTAATTTGGCTATGAATTGAGTAACGTGCTATGAAACATATAATAAAAACATATATTGTTTGAAAATACAGTATGATATAAAAACACATTTTTCCGTGCTGCATTTACATGATAATAGCCGGTACCTTGGTACTATTAGATGTTTTAGGGAAAAAGCGAAAACACACCTCAATATTTTGATCAATGCTTTTATGTGGCAAAATAGACCCGCCATTAACATAAATTTCATCCTTAATCGTTACTTTTTTAATCAGACCAAATATAAAACAAACTAAATGTATTACCGTCCTCACCGAGTACAGTAACATTTTCTAAACGTGCCCATTTTCCTACAGTGGAATTCCATCCAACAATACTACTTTCAATCCATGCATGATTCCGTATTTTGGAGCCTTGTAAAATGACACATCGTTTAAGACGTACTCCATCGCCAATAATACAGTCAGGACCAATGACAACATTTGGTCCAATGCGACAATTATTGCCAATTTTGGCTGAAGGATGAACAATGACGTTTCCCCCATAGATATAGGGACTTGTATTGTCAAGACAAGAAGGTTTATATTTGGCTAAAGATGACAAGTAAAGGCAGGTACCAGTCAAATAATCCTTTGGTTGTCCAATATCCTATTAAGTAAGTCAAAAACCAATATATATATATATTCAAAAACAACCATCCAATATCCTTCTAAATCATAACTGTGTAATTGTCCTTCACTAGCCATTGCTGGGAAAATTTCTTTTTCAATACTTGTTGGACGCAAAGAGATACGTTCCAAGATAGAAGTATTAAAAACGTACAATCCCGCATTGATTTTGTTACTGACAAACTCTACAGGTTTCTCAACGAAACGTTCAATTTCTGAACTGGAGGGTTTCATCACGATAACGCCATACTTGGAAGGTTCCTCGACTTTTGTAACCGCAATAGTACCTTCAGATTTATGAGATTGATGAAAACATAGAAATTGTGTAAAATTGTATTCGCAAATAACGTCCGAGTTGAGTACGAAGAAAGGGGAATTATCTTTTTCAAGTATATTGCGTGCAAGTGCGAGTGGGCCTGCTGTACCTAAAAAAACATCGGTTAATAGATGCACTAATATTTTCAAAGTATAAACACATGGTAGACGAATGCATCTAGTTAAGAGAATGATTATTTGTGTACCCTTAAACCAAAAATTTCATTTAATAACTCTGAATAAAATGTGTGCTTATAAAAACTAATTTAGTTAAACAAGCACTAATCAATAGTGTAATTATGATTAATTTGTGCTCTATAAAAACCTTAAAATATAATGTTTGATAACATTCATTCGGTACTCTTATAACTTTTTTTATGCATACCTAATGGCTAGAATATATAAGATGTTTAGATAATAAAAAGGCATTCTCGCCCTTATAACATACCTCATTTTCCACGGAAAATGTTATACTAATGTGATATTGTTGTTCATATTGTTTGAGAGTCGAAACCATGATTTCCGAACAATAGTTAACCGCCAACACGATATCTGAAATAGAAATTTTATGTTATTCATTCATACTTTTATGCATTTAAATTATCTACCTGTCACCCCCGCTGCTGCCAGAGCCTCGATCTGGTGAACTGTACCGATCAGTGCAATATGAATACAAAAAAAAACACTGACGGATTATTGGTCGATTTCCAAACTAAATTTATTAGCTTTTCTACTTTTATATCGTTTATAAAACTTCAACTAAAGGTTTTGGCAAAGTCAAAGTCTGTAGCTGTTAGATGTATTCAAAAACTTGATTTTGCGCATAGGTGCGCAAGTGAATGCCTACAAGTGGTCGTAGTCGTGTACCATACCCTGCTTTTATCAGAAATTATCCTACTGAAGCTCAATTGCGTTGATAGTTTAAATAAAAATATATTTGTTCTTCAATAGTGCAAATACATAGATTCTGCTCAGCCTGCAAACAGTAGCATAATCCACCTCTGTACAACGCAAATCCAATGTTCTAAAACGCACCTCCGACAAGAATTAATGCTTTCATTGTACAAATATTTCAATCAAAGATTTCAATCAAAATTCAATCCAAATCGTTTAAAAACATAAAACCGATTTTTATAAGGAGATTCCTCAATTAACGTCTTTTTGGCGCTTAAAACTATCTTTTGTATTGTTTCTATACTTTTTAACTGTTTTTCAATTATTTCAAACGAAATACGTTTTCAACTAGTGATTTTGAAAATCTCGTGCTACATTCTATTAGGGTTATATCCTAATATGTAACATATTCAAAATATTTATATAATATATATTATATATATCACTTAATAATCTTTTTATTGAAAAATATATGTTTTTCTGTCATTTTTTCCTGTATTTTTGTATTATTTTTTCTTTTATCAAATAAGACTAGTTGATACAATTTCCGAAAGGATCTACCGGTATAACAACCATATATTTAATAGATCAATAAGTTTGACAAATTGAAAGACTATATGTTGTTTTGACAGTAAAAATAATCTTTATTTACTTACTTATTTATAAATTTTGGTTTTTTATCCTTTTTTTATGTTTTTCCCTGGATTTAGCTAGTATTTTTGTGTAATATGATTCAAAAAGAACGTATCGACTTTATTCAGGTAAAAAAAGTGGAATAAATGTTCTTCTTATAGCTTTAGAAACTTCCCTATGAATTGTCTTTTAATATATTTTCATATCTTTCACATATTGAGATTTTAGTGTGCATGCTGGTATGTAAACGATGGTATTCAGTGGCAACACATCCTTTGGTTTGGAAACAGCTGTATAAGCACCAGCAGTGGAAAGTTAATTATGAGCGTATTGGGCATTGTGAGGAGTGGGCTCAAAAAGAAATGCAGCGTCTTCGTGATTGGGTAATGCAGCATCCACAGCAATGTTCTCTTGAACAAATGTTTAAGCAAACATTACCAGCAGATAGCATGTTTCGTCCACCTCATATAACGTTTTTATCAAACACAGAGCTTGTTTTAAATTGGCGGTTTTTGTATCTTCAACGTTATCGGTTGCTTAAGAATTGGGAAAAGGGTGCATATGTATGTTATACCGTGCCTCGAACATTAACACTAGAATATGATGAAATGCATGAGGATGGAATTTATTGCATTGAATTTAATAGAAATTGGATTGTTTCAGGGTCAAAAGACACAACGATCCGTATATGGGATTTACAAAAAGGTATATGTCACAAAGTGTTTCGTGGACATCGTGCAAGTGTACTAACTCTTCAATTTGATGTCAATATGAATATTCTTGTTTCTGGATCAAGTGATACTTTGGTTATTATTTGGAATTTAAGTTCAGGGAAGATACTTTCGATATATAAGGGTCATACAGATAGTGTTCTAAGTCTTTGTTTTGATACAAAACATATCGTAACTTGCTCAAAAGATTCTACAATCCGCATTTGGCATCATGTTGATCATGTAAAAGAGGGAAAGCGGCATTATGTTCATGTACTTAGAGGACATCATGCAGCAGTTAATGCTGTTCAACTTAAAGAAGATCGAATTGTGAGCGCTAGTGGTGATCGGACGATTAGAATATGGAACGTATATACCGGTGTTTGTTTGCGAACAATCATGTGTCACCAACGTGGTATTGCGTGTTTACAGTTCGATGGCAAACACATTGTATCAGGGAGTTCGGATCATTTAGTTCGGTTATTTGATGCAAATTCTGGTCAAGTACTACGTACTTTTGAAGGCCATTTAGATCTTGTACGGACAGTTCAGTATCATTCACATAAAATCATTTCTGGCTCATATGATGAAAATATATGTATATGGGATTTATTTTCTGGAAAATTATTGCATCAAATTAAAAGCAAAGATACTGGTCGTATTTATCGAATTGCATTTGATGATATTCGTATCATAAGTTGTGGACAAAAAAAACATATTATTGTATATGATTTTGGGCATAATATAGATACCACTTTTTTCTAAAATATACATGCAACAATATTAAATTGCGCTTATGTCTCTGTACTAATTAATAATAAAATCATGTAAATACACAAAATTAAAAACATAAAACATTTATATTAAAATCTAAATCTAACAAATTCTTTGTATTTGTTTACTTAAATTTTATACTTTTAATCATTTTTTTACATTCATCTGTAGATTTATTTGTTATAATTCACTGTAGCTATGTTTTATCGTAGTGATACTGAACGACGATAAAAAAGATATCATCAATTTCTTTATAAAATGGTTAATAAAACACAGAATATTTTAGAAGCAATTGCAATTCATGGTCGTACGATTCCAGATTCTGAAAGAGCGTCGTTTTTTCTGTATGCAAAGGTATACATATTTGGTATTTTTATAGATAAATAAAAGACTGATAAACAAAGATTATGTCATGGCCGGGAAGACGGGTATCACTTCTGCATTTATCACAAGATATTACGTATTTGCCTCAATCTACACGCATATATGTTCTAAATAATGACGGAACTGCTCCAGAAGAAACAGCAGCAACTATAGCATTAGGGATTCCTGTTTTTGAATCATATGAAATAATGTCTCCAGAAAGTAGTCCATTTCAGCTTTCAGATGAATATCGGCGTTCTCAACAAAATTTTTCTCAGAAATATGAGCGTTCTTCATCATTGAGCTCACCAATTGTGTTACGTGATTCACCTATGTTTTGTGGGAGAACAGGGCTATCTAGTCTTCCAACACAAGAAATTGTTGAGAATACAGAAAATGTGGATACGGTACGTCGTCGTTCAAGTTCTTTGTTCTCAATACGTAGTGCAATACTTCCTAAAACTCAATGTGTGGAATCACAGAAAGCCCGGTCAAATACTGATTCACCTTTAAAATCGAAACGAAATTCACACAATCCTATATCTTTTTCTAAGAATCGTTTTGCCGGTGATGAATTTTTGAGAAATTTTTGTCTACTTTCATCAGAAAAAAAAGAAAATAAAAGAAAATTATGTGAACAGAAAAAAATAATAACCGATACAGATCGATTGCCTGATGACCATTCTAAAATATCAAAAGGTACGTTTTATATTTCTTAACATATTCCTGTATATCTTTTTTAATTCTAGTAGAAAACAGCTTTACTGAGAAATTAGAATCGGATGTATTTACTAATGATTCTAATTTTTTTAATACTAAATGCGATGAAAGCTTACAAACAGTTGACACTGATGAATTAACAACAGGTTTTAGTAAGTACGCTCCTCAGATTGCTACAGTAGAACTTGAAGATATGGTTCTTTATGTTTATTTTCCTACCAATCAAATTAAAGAAATTTTAATAGAAATAGAATTTGTTTCCGTTATTCATGAAGCTACTGATTTAGGCGCAGATGGGCGTTGTTATTGTTTAAATTTGCAATGTCTACCCAATTGTCAAAATCCTGCAAGTGTTAGGTTTGATCTACAAAAAGTTAATAACAAAAATATTCATCTTTCAGATACACAAATTGTTACTGAAAATTTAGAAGAAGGGATTGACAAAAGTATTATAGATGTTATAGATCTTACACATGAAAATCTTGAAAAAAGATCATGGCAATGTTTTTGGCAGGTTCATTTAGACGCATTTGATTATGAATATCCGGGAACATTAAATGTCCAAACAAAAGTCGATATTAGACCTATGAGAAATGCTGTTGTAGTTGGTTTTTCTTCTAATATAATATTTCTTGAGCAAGATATTAATCTTTCAAAAAACATGTTAAATATGGGTTTAATACAAAGATTTCATATTTATGGACCGCCTGAATTACAATTTGTAGCTATAAAATCAATGGGGATTTTACATTGGAAATGTGATAGGATTCCAGTAAAAAATAATGAGTCTGATTTAGAAGCAATTTCGACACAACCTGATATCTATGATTATGTTATCCGAATAACAAGAAAAAAAGAATACGGACTTAGTGATTTACTTATTGAGTCAGAGGTTATAATTCCAGAGCCGCTTTCAACATTAGTACTTGCATCATGTTTACATATTCCTTATTTTAAGATTGATTCAGAAATTATTCAGTTTATGAAGACATCATTACCATTAATATCTTATCTTATTGATCCTGAAATGCAAACTGGCTGGAAATTAATTTCTTCTAGCAAAGATGATTTATTAGATGGATCTCGTGTATTAGAATATCAGCGTATTTCTAATGATTCTGGTTCACTGGATATTCATATTGAAAAATTATCACCTCTAAAAATGCTTAAAGAAGCCTTGTATTTGAATTCAGAGAATTATATTGATAATGTTGACATTGAAATTTTTTCATTATCAGTTTTACAATACTGTTTATTGTATAAGGTATTAATTATAGATCCATGCGTTTATGATAATATATTATTACATTTTAAGCATGATTCTAATCCTTCGTTTATTACTTTAAATGGTAGGAAAATGTCTTCTGGTGTTTATTCTAGATTCAATGGCGATATATATGTTTTGGCAGATGATTGGCTTTATAAAGATTCATTTCTTAAATTTGAAATAGGTTGGGTAAAGGATATATCAAATCATAATTTAGACAGATTAAATTTACCTGTTCTTCCTAATAATGGAATTAAAAATATGACTATCACTGTAGATTCTGATTTTGGTATTTATATAATAAGTTATATTTATTTTTTAATTTTTGATTTAGGTAAAATTATAGAATTTAATTCTGACAAAGATATAGACTCTAAACTTAAAGTTAATAAAATAAGTAAACGAAATATATCTTCTTCAGTAGTATCAAGTATTTCTATTTTAAAGATAAACACGAAAAAAGACATTAATAAAAGAAAAAAAGAATTAACACGAAAAAAATTAATATTTAGGATATTTTTTGTTATTTTTCTGTTTTTCTTAATCCCATTTTTAAATTCAACACATTCTTTAAATAAATTGAAAATGAAAATAAACAGATCTTTAGATATATTTCAAAGATTTAAAAATACGTATTCAGATTCTACTATATTAATAACTATAAATGAGCTTAATCAACGTCTAAATAATTATGAATTATATATTAGAAACTTGGAGAATATTATTTCTGAAAACTCTAATTGTTGTCGTAATTTTACCACTAATTCTTCTGATAAGGTAGTTTCAAAAAATGGGAATAATATGTGGTTTGCTGAAAGACAACGTTTCAAAAAAATGTTTGAATGGTATGGTTAATATGGTCATTTTAGAATTGTAATTTCATTTAACAATATATGAGAGGATTGCTTGTTTTAATGTTTTAATGATCTTTGCAGCAAATTATTATGCTATGATTTGAAGGAGAGGAGATGTAATAGAATATTTATGTATATTAAGTATTATTGTATATTTATAAATAGCAGAAACTATAAATATTTATTTGACATTTGTTATATTAAAATATATTTTTTAGTGTTTTTAAATTATTTTAAGATTCAAAGTTTAGAATTAATATAATTATATTTAAATTTTGAAAAAAATCTTAATATTTAGAGTTTCCATATTTTACATAAAAATACAATATAAATATCGAATTTTGGTTACGTAAATTTAAAACTTCGTGAAATGTTAGTATTAATTTTTCCACCATGATAACTTCCTTTTTTTTTTTTACTCTTTTCTGCTCTAAATTCTTTTCCTTTAGTAAATATTAGATCTCTATTTGCCTTTGTTCCATATTCGTCTTGTTCTCCTTTGTATGCAATAGCATAACTGTTGTCCTTAAGAGAATTATGAGCAAACTCTACTTTTGATATATCAATTCTTGAAAAAGATGATTTTTTCTTTGGTTTTTCTTTTACATCTTTTTTTTCTTCTAAATTTTTTCCATTATATACTTTCTTAGAACCTAAATTATCTGTTCTAATAAAAAAATTAAATATAATATTTAATAAAATTTAAAAATTACACTTCTTTTTTGTCCAATTGGATATCTGGTATATTTTCAAAAGCAATTTCATTTTCCTTTTCATTTTCCTTATCAGAATAATTTGTATTTAATATTTTTGTTTGTGTTTCATTTTCTGAATATTCTTTTTTTGTTTCATTTTTTTGTTTTTTAGACTTTTTTATAAATATTTCTTGATCCAAAAGAGTTTTTTTCCTTTTTTTAACTAAAAAAAGAAAGAACTATTCGTATATATATTAGAGACTTATTACCTTCATTATTTTCTTTCGTTTGTTCATTTTTTGGTAATTTTTCTTTTTTTTCTTTAAAAAGTTTTTCTGAAAATAAATGTTTTCCTTCATTTTTTTTCTTATTGTACAAATTATATACTTCAATTAATGATTTTATTTCTTTTTCTTGTAGAAAAAGTTCTTTTTTTCCGGTTTCTTTAACAAAAGTTTTAGCCGTCTTAGTAAAACCACTTTTTAACAAAAAGTAATAAACTGATATTAGCAATTCATCAAAAATTTCCATTTTTTATGTATAAAATTTATATAAAATTTATTTACTTAAAACCTACTTGCTTGTTAGAGATATATAATAAACGATGCGAAAAGTTTATCTAAAAATATCACAAAGTTAAAAATAACAGTTAAAGTATGTTGTTAAAATTATAATATAATGAGCTCTGAAAACGAATCAAATGATATTAAATCTCGTATTATTCAATCTCTTTTTTCATATTCTACAGAGAGTGGTGAACGTACGTATATATTTTGTTTAAATATTTTTTGAGATAATCTAGTTCTTGAAAATTACATAACACATATTAGAGTTCTTGAAGAGTCTCATTATTCCTCTCCTTCACGTTTTGGGTCTCAACATGCAACACGGAAACAAAGATATATTTTAATTTCAGGTAGACAATAAGGTTTTTTGACATAATTTTATATTTTTTATAGTAAAAAATGATGGTAATGTTCAAATACATAAATCAAGAGAAAATAATAACGGCACATTTTCTATTGGGAAAACATGGGATATGAATGAGCTTCAAAGAATTGATAATGTTGATGCATGCAAGGTTATTGTTACTCTTCAAAAACCATATCATTGGATATGTGAATCAGCAAAAGATAAAGCACTCTTTATTGAAGTTCTAGTAAAAATATATAAGAAATTTACTGGTGGAGAAGTCCCTGTTATGAATGGTTTTGATGAAATGAAAAATTCGGATATCATGAATTACGTACCAGAAAACATATCTGTTCTAAAAAGACATTCATCTATCTCATCTAATACTCAAAAAAATAATCAGTATCAGCGACCTTCTTCTGCGAGATATGTATCAAGTCAGTTCTCTTTAGGCTCTGATTCTTTTCGCTTTCATAAGCCAAACAAAAGTTATACAGAAGAGGTATATAGTTTTTTTGTCAATTAATATTGCGGATTTGATTCTAATTTATTTCAGCAGCTACTACGAAGACAAAGTAGTCTATCTCGTTCATCAAAGAGTAATTCATTTGAAAAAAATAGGTATTATATTGTTATTTTTTATGAAAATTTATTCATAAAATTCAGAAATAGCGACCTTTCGAAATATGAATACGAATTGTTTCCCAATAAAAATTCTGATAATCTAGCATTTGAAAATGATGCCATAGAGGCTCATGATAATCTTATTACTTTATCTAATAAAGAATCTTCTGAAAAAAATACTTTTTCTACTAACTTGTCTAATTCTTTAAAAAAATATAGTGATTATGAGGGTATTAAAATATTTAATAATGAAAAGGATACAGAAGACTTTATAAATTACATTGATGGAGTGTTAGATGATTTTGATTGGACTGAATTGGGAAACACGGAAAGATTAGAAGAAAAATTAAAAGATGAATTATCTACATTACAAACTGCAAATATATGTGCAATTATTGAAACTAATGGCAGAGCTGTGGGGTTAGGTGAAAGACTAATGTTATCAGTTAAGGAATGTGAAAATTTGAGCTCTTTGCTTGCTTTATATTCCTTTGGATTTAATGTTAGTGTATACTTTCTTTTCATTATTTGTAAACTTAGTTTATTAGACTATTAAAGATGACATTTTTCATATAGAAACCCAAAATAGAGGATTACAAGTTCAAACAGCGAATCAGAAAAAGTTAGCATTAGAATTACAAAATTTACTGGTAATCAATTATTTTAATATTAAATTTTGTAATGCTTAATTTACTAAGGATACACTTTCTATTGATGCTCATGATTTAGAAGCTTTAAAAAAGACACCACTTGATTCTACGACAGGGATTGTAGATATTGAAAAATCTTTAACTTTTTTATATAAAGCTCTCAAAATATCAATAACATCAGAAACTGATAATGAAACACCAACAGGTGATGTTATAATAATGGAAGGAAAAAGGGCGGAATATGAAAAAGAAAGTAACGAGTTTCTTTCTCGATTAGCTCATTATTTAAATATTAGATTCCAGGTTTGTATATTTTAGTTATATTAACTCTAATTTAAAATAATAAAGTTAGAACTTGCTGATATTATACATACAGATTATTCTCCTACCCCAAAAATATTAAAACCTCAATTAGTTAGTCATATTTCTGCATATGTATCTTTTTATCATTATCAAAGTTTTATGCTTTATGCAAGACAGCTTAATCCTTCTATATTTGCAACATTTCAAGAGGTAATACTGTTTGAACTTTATATCGCTTAATTGATTTCGTAGTACTATATTAAATACACTAGCGGGTTTTATAATAGCGATTTTGAAAAATTTTTTAATGTTTGGAGAGTTATTACGAAAAAAGATATGTTAGAAGATGCAGATTTTTGTATGTTAAAATTATTATTACTTTTATTAATACAAATTAGTATTTGTTTCTGTTAAAGAAATAATATATAACATGATAAATACAAAATCTGCTGATGTTAAGCATTCTGGTACTACAGTTAAAACATCTCGTGGACCCATTACAGACGTTTGGAAATATGAAAAAAATCAAGAAACTGGTATTCCTGTCAATGAAGCGTTTTCTCATGTTATAAAAGAGATTGTGAATGTGGTTAGTCAAGAACATAATTTTATTACATTGTTTTTTCATATGTCATCTATAAGAAGGCAGAATTATGATGAACTTGTTTCTTGCAATAATACTCGTGTTGATATTGTAGAGGAACTTAAGGTAAAAAATCCTGTGGAATCAAATAGATCTTCAGCTAGGTCTGTTTTAAATATGATGTCTAAAATTATGAATTCTTTGGAAGAAAATACATTGAGTTTTGGGGAGTTTTGTTGTAGGAATGATCCTATGTAAGCTAAATTCCAATATTTTTATCATTTTTATTTAGTGTTAGGTCGATTATTGACAATGTAGAATTTTTAAAAAAACATTTATTAGAATGGAATGAAACTGATCAAGAGTATTTGATGCGAGTTTTAAATAAGTTATATTCTAAATATATAGAATATTTTAATATCTTTATTGATACTCAAATCCAAGCAATAGAAGGGGTTAAATTAATTAATAAAAGGAAGCAGGGAGTTCTTCCTTTTTTTAAAATTTTTCCTGTTCGTATTTATATTGTTTCGTCATGATCTAATAAATTCAGAGTTTTGTTGAAAAATTTAATAAGCAAATTGTTAATTTTTCTGATAATACAGGAACAAAAGAATTATTGTATAAAGCTTTTGAAAAGATAGAAAATGCTATGTTTAAAACATTTAAGCAGTTGGTTCGTGATGCATGTAATTTAAATAGTGGTTCAAAAACGGACGTTGAAGATAAAGATCTTTTAAATTATTATATTATCATCATTGAAAATATGTTTCAATATATCGAAGAGATTAAAAAAAAGAATATATCTATTTTGAAATTATTTCAAGAAAAAGCGGTTAGAGAATATAAGGAACATCTGAAATTATACATTGAAAATATTATTAAACGACCTTTAGGTCGCATTGTGGTATGCTTTTTTAAATTTAAAAAAAAAATAACATACAAAGGAATTTTCAGAAAACATGGACACTTTATTAAAAACGAAAGCTATAGAAGAAATAAAAAGTCTAATAGAGTTTTCGCCTGCATCTGTAAAACGTATAGCGGCTTCGCATGATATCAAAGAGGTGTTGAAGGGAATTGAAATCTTATATAAACGTATTGAAAAACACTTCAAAAATGAAGAAAATTATTATCATGGACAAATAGCAGCGATTGTTTGGAATAAAATAAATGATGAATACAAATTTAATATAGAAAGTTTCCATCAATTAGTTGCGAATTATTATAAAGTAGATGGTATTCATATAGATTGGTCATATGATGATATCAAGTTCAGTTTTTTTAGAAAAGGAATGTAGATTCATATTCATAGTAAAGCATATTTGTTAAGTATTTGTTATGGATATATTTTATTTTTAGTATTAAAAATATTTGAATAAAATTAAAGATAATACAAAATGTAATTTACTATATGACGAATGTAAGATACTTCTTTTTAGAAATTATTCCTCTAGTAGGAATTGAATAGCCATTTCAATATTATTGTTTGCTCTCGTTAATGCATTTACGGCTTGGTGTCTTGTGAATCCCATAGCCACTATAGATTCAATTTCATGTTCTCTTGCTCCACTGAGTTCTGGTCTCTCTGAAACCCCACTTATTGCATTTAAAATAGAAGCACTAGTAGGTATCGCATGTTGTGTCTCATTATTATTTGATTGTCCTGAAATAAATATAGAAGGAGCATCACTAATAATTCTTGAAAAGATCCGTTTGGGTATTTGCCAGTTTGCACCAGGAAGCCATTTAAAAACATAAAAACGACCTACAAGCCACCCTATACCTGCTGAAATTATACTTCCAGGTGATTGTGCAAAAAGTAACTGAAATGAAACAATATACATATATATTTTATTTGACATAATCAACCCTTTTTTATGATTAAAAGATGGAGAATCCAACACTTTGAATTTATAACTTGAAGGTATAATCGTATGATATTGTGCTAAAACTGAAAAAAAAAGTGCAGTAGGCCCAGGAGGAATATATTGATAACGTCCACTACTTAAAGGCTTTACAACAACCCCTAAAAAAAGTGGTGTAAGAATAGATGTATAAACTAAAGATAAAATGATAAATGATGCATATTTTCTAGCTCCAAAATGCCGCTCCACTATTCTTAAACTATAAATCATTAAAATACCAAATAAAACCTCTCCTGCATTTGCATAAATCATTTGCCATGTAAAAATTCTCCAATACTATATTATACATGTATAATCAGCTTAAAAATATCTTTCTTTTTAAAAATTAATACCTGATGATAACTTAAAAAATGAGGAAAAATTTGAATATGAAAATAATGCTTTATACCAAAAATACTTGCTAATGTAGAGTTCAAAACGGTTCCATATAGAATACATTTTGTAATTGGCGTACTTTGGAGTCCTTAAATTAGATATTTTTTATTTAAAAAATGATAAAACAAACCTGATGGTGTTAAGCTGAACATATTGGAAGTGGTTGCTCCGGAGACGGATTACTAATATATTATTTTTCTCGACGTCATAGAAAATGAAAACTCTGTATTTAATGAAAATGCAGCGATTGGTGGCTGGATCTGGGCTATATTTTTCGTTTTTACGATCTAGAAAAGCTTCTTTTTGCTATTTGTCTCCTAGTTTTCGTTTTTTTTCCGCTTCAAAACACACATTGCCTGATCTTCCGTATGATTATAATGTTAGTTGAAGAAAGCTCTTGAATAAGGGTTTAATTAGTCTTTTTAGGCACTTGAACCTTATCTTTCTCATGATTTGCTTGAGGTAAATACTTTTTCTTTGTTTAAAGTCCTTTTTTAAAATTATAGCTTCATTATAACAAACATCACCGTGCTTACGTAACAAATTTTAATTTAGCTTTGGAAAAATATAATGAATATGATTCTTCTGTGGACTTAGCAACTCGTATGAATCTTTTAACATCTATTAAGTTTCATGGTGGTGGTAGGTATAGGAAAGATAAGAACTATTGATTTGAATATTTTTTATAGGTCATATTAATCATTCTTTATATTGGGAAAGCCTTCTTCCACCAAAAGAAGGTGGAGGACAAGTTATTGATGGGCCTTTAGTTGATGCAATTAAAAAGGAATGGGGAAGTGTTGACCAATTCATTCGTACATTTAATACACATTTGTCTGGGATTCAAGGAAGTGGGTGGTGTTGGCTCGTAAAAATACCTTCAAGTCGACAACTTTTTATTCAAACAACGATGGTACTTTTCTTCTTATACTCTTTAGTGTCTGATTTGAATAGAATCAAGATCTTGTTACTCAAGGCAAAGTTATTCTTGGAATAGTAAAGTTACTTTATATTGTTTTATAAATAATTAATTGTTTTATAGGATGCGTGGGAACATGCATATTGTAATTCTAGTATTTCTAGAGACTAAATACTAAAATGAAATAGATATTCAATATTTTAATAACAAAGTTAAATATTTTGAAAATATATGGAATGTAAGATTCAATTGTTAATTAATTTTTGACTAATGAAGCAAAAGGTTATTAACTGGAAGACTATGAACCAAAGATTTGAACAATAACTATAAATACTATATTATAATAAATATCCAAATATGGTTTTAAATTCTGAAATGAAAAGATCATTGCAGCATAATTTATTGTTACATATGCTATAAACATGTCGCTTCATCCGAATGCATCATTCATCTTCCTCTCCTTTATAAAGAAACTTTTGTACAATAACTTTTTCTGCTTTGCCTATAATAGGCGTTAATGGTTCACGTGCATCCAATACATTTCCAAGATCATCTAGTCGGATCTGTAGATATTAATATGTAATCTAATTAAATAGTTTTCTACCATTTGTGTTTTTTTAGATAAACATCCTTTTTGAGTTTTTGTTTTCTTTGAATTAGATTTTTCCAATGTATGATTAGATTTAGACTGTCCAAATTCAGACTCTAGGAGTTTATCCCACCTTACACCTTTTTTTAAAGGCGTAAGTTCCCGTGGAATCCAATTATCATCATCTCCGGGACCAAGAGTATAATCATGTGTTTTTTCTTTTTGTAATTTTTTCCGTCTGAGACGTGCTTCAGCTGCAAGTTTAGATTGTGATTTTGCAGTTGGTGATGGCGGGCGTAATTGATTTTTTCTTACAATAATTCTATCAAAATCACATCTATATATCCTATTTTGGTATGTGTTTTGTCTCGTCATTTTGGTTATTTCCCCTAGAGTTAAATAATTTAAAGATCGATATGGAGTATACAAATTCTGAGAAACAGCATTATGTTTTGTTGCTGGTACATGAGATTGCAGAATAGGCGTAAATAATGTTTTCGACTCTATTGTTCTAGGTCGACTATATAAACCTCGTTCTTCATTATTAGTTTCTAAATTTCTAAAAGTAAAAAATTCTGTTTGATTAGCAATTTTTTGTCTTGAAGGTGAACCAAGTCCGTTATTTGTAAAAGAATTGGTATTTTTTTTAGGAGTGTTTTCAGATATTATTTGTGAAGAATGCAATAATTTTATATTTTGAGAAGTTAGTAAAGCAGTTTTCCTAGAAACAGTCGTCTGATTTTGAAATAAATAATATAAACGAAATAATACTGATTAACTTACCTTTTTTATTGTTTTTTTAGGTGATCCAAGACAAGCCCCTTTTTTTGGACTTGGTGTAGAAACTCTTAAAGCACCTGTTGAAATACCATCAACTTTTACATTTTTTGTAGGTGTATGTGATATTTCATTTATATCATTTCTCAGTGAATTTGGTGAGATATCGCTTAATACCATAGTTCTTGAAGCAAATGCAGGTGCTGTAAGACGCGATTTTGGTAATTTTGAAGGATTCTGAAATGTATGATAATTATGTGTATTACCAGAAAGTGATTTTGTAGGGTTAGACAATATTCTAGCAGTAGATAAGGAAATAGATTGTTTCAACATTATAGTCATAGATGATGTGGGTTTAGATTCAGATAATAATGTTTTTGGTTTTGATACTTTTCTAGATAATTTTGGTGATTCGTCTGATATTATAGGTATGTTCGTTTTTTGTGATGACAATTCTTCAATTAAATGAAACGCTTGATTTTCTTCGATTTCTGTTGTCAATTTAATGTTACATTTATCTAACAAGGAATCTCTTTTTATATTTTTATCCTTTGTAGCAGCTGCCAGAGCTTTTTTAGATTCCCATTTTTTTAGAAATCCTTGAAGACTAGAATTGTTTGATACATCTCTTGTAATTTGTTTTTCTTGTAAACTTATACACGCATCTTTTTGCTTTGTTCTCTTTTGTTGAGATAGTTGTCTCCACCACTTCTGAATAGAAATACATGCTTCTACAATTTCTAAATAACGCATTCGTACAACCCAACTACGCCATGCAGCTTGAATAATTATAGCGGATCTCCTTTGTTTACAAAAGTTTCTTCTGGCAAGAATAGTAAGATATTTAAACTGAATAACTTTTGCTGCTTGATTTTGAAGAGCTATTGACCTTCGTGTTAAATAACCTCGTATATAAGCTTGCATTTTAGTACAAAAAGACATCTGTATTTGAGAATGATCAACTTCTTTTTCAAAAACATAATTCAATATTTTATTTTGTTTTTGTGATAATAATGATGCAGATTTTCTTCGAGAAACAATTGATGTTGGATGATGAGCTATTGTATCAAGAATAGAAAACCTCCGAACTTCTTTCCTCCGTTTTTGACATGACGAAAGTACTGGGGCCAGTCTCCCTATATCACTTTTTCTTTTTTTAATCTTCCGTTCAACACTACCCGGTGCTTCCATAAACAATGTATTTTCTTCAAACGGATTCGAAGAATACAATGCAACATCTTCGTCATCTTGAATCTCCATACGTCGTTGCTGTTCCAACATAACAGAACTTTTTGTTGCATATAAATAACTCTGCCGTCGACTTTTCTTTTTTTCTTTAGAATTTTCTTGTAGACTTAAATTCTCTGCTGAAAAAAGCACTGTTTTAGAAGGAAGGAGAACTGTCTTTCTCCTTGATGAAACATGTCGTGGTGGGGTTTCCATTGTGTGCAATCGTTTTTCTGCTGATGTAGGTGTTCCAAAATAAATCACATTGTCACTTAAATCTAGAATAGTACTACTAATCTTATCATCTTCTTTCTTCTTAGGAGTTAAATTCTCATCTGGTATGTCCATTATTGAATATTTATCAATGCCTATGTTTCTTGTTAAAAAAGCTGCCTTGAAGATTATCGATTTCTCAAAACAATCGTTGTTGCTGTGTCAGGGTTAGGTCAATGACCCAAGTTTATAAAGACATTATTAAAAGATGAAAAAATGTGAGAAAATGTATAAGAATTGTTTTGAATATATAAAATAATTTATCCATTTAATTGTAGCATTTTTTTTATTCTTTCTTCAGCAGCTCGTGCTCGTTTTTCTCTTTCGATACGTCTTTGGAGGTCGGGAGATAGATTACGTTGATCTTGTAAGGCTTTTCCTATTGATAAAGGTACAATTGGTTTTTTTTTTAATTTTTCTGAATTTTCGTTCAACGATGTCTCGGTTTTCATAAGTTTTTTTAATTCATTTTCTCGGTGTAATTTTTCCTCTTGTAATGTTTTGATTTTAAGTTCTTTTAAATATTCTTCTCGTTTTTTAATTTCACTTTCTGTTAATGCAGAAGGAACATGTGCTGATCTCCAGTCCCATTTTTCCTCACCTAACTTAGCCCGACATTGTCTAAATGCATATTGTGTTGTTTTATCACCCGCTATTTCATATGCTGTTTTTCCATTTCCATTTCTTATAGTTGGGTCAGCACCTTTTTCCAGTAATGCAGTAACAATATGTGATAAAGAAAGTGAGGATGAAAGATGAAGAGGTGTAGAAGTATGTTGATATAATGAAACAGGCTGAAATTCGAAATCATATGATAATGAATTTTTTTCTATATAGTCAATTAATTTTTGAGGATTACCTTCTTTTATAAGAAGAGCAATTTTAGAAGTCTTTTTTTTCTTGAATTCAAGTGCTTTATCTACTTTTATTACTTCGGGAATATTTGTTACATTTGTTGTAATTTTAGGAAGAGTTTTAACCTCTTCTGGATTGATTTCAACTATTTTTGCCATTGTGAGTTCATTAAAACATCTAATAAGTTCATTTTTAGTAGCTCTATGGGTAGTAAATGGAATTTTTCTTAAACGTTTATCAGTTACTGATAAAACTGAATTTTCATAGCCGAAAAGAATTTTGTGATTAAGTTTTCCTGAGGCTTTAACAAAAATTAGTTCTGATTCATCCAATGCTGACTTCCACGATATTAAGAGCTGACGGATTTTCTATTAAGAAGTTATATAAATAAATATAAATTAAATATATTAACCATTTGCAAAATAGCTTCATTATGCCTTCTTAAATTACTTCCAGCAGAAATAGCCGCCCCTTTTCCTGAATCATGGGTGCTTTGTGATCCACCTTGCTTTCTACGTGTTGTATAATGATGAAATGTTTTATGATATAATATATTAAGTTCATCTATTTTAAAATAACCTTTATGATTTTTATTTTTTGGGTACAAGGAGACAACCATTCCTGCAAAATTTCCTCCCCCGACCATTATTAATGTAATCGTTCTATGCTTATTTTCTGTATTTAATTGATTTTGACGAAGAATGGAAATAAATGTTTGTGAATTGTCATAATTAAAAAGACATCTATAAAATCCAATATGTATAGATTTTTTCAGTTTATTTGATGATGTCCATATTATTGGATCTTTGGATTCCCGTAGCTGTATAACGTTTTCTTCAACAGGTATTTGCGTCTTTGATATAAATAAATCTTCAGCCTCATCTAATTCTGAACTTTCAGTTTCTGAATCGGACCCAGAAATCGATTCTGTTATATCTGTGCATATAAGTATAGCTTTTTCATGAAACCTATTGGTATATATATATACCCTCTAATACTGCTTCAAATTCTTCAAAATCTAATATAGGCATTTTAGCAGCATTTCTTTTAATATTAAATTGGTGCCAGTCTGTTTTTACATGTATTCTATGTTCCTCCTGAGAATTAAATTTTATTTCTTTGCATATAGAACATGTTAGTGGTATCTCTTTGTCAAATTCATAAATCGACTGTTTATCCACTTTTTCTGGTAAAATAAGTTTTTTATCTTCTTCTACTAATGTTGATAGGATTTCTTCTGAAATATTATAAATATAAAATGGTTTAATTGGAAGCTCATCTTTCATTTTTATTTTTTTAATAGAAAAATTAAGTCGACGTTTATCAATGATTAAAAAGCGTAAAGATATGTTTGTTTTTATGATACTTTATTTCAAATCATAAAATAAATATATTTTTCTAAATAAAAAATATTGTTATTTAATTATATTTTTATAATTATTTTTTAATTCATTATTTTTATATTTTTGAACGTTTAATGTTATTTAACATTTTAAAATTTAAATTATTAATATTCATCAAGTTTTGTTTTAAGTTCATTTTTAAATTGGTAGATTATCTATATTTTATAAAAAAAATCTTTATATATAAATCAATAATTTAATCTTAAAATTTTGATTAATTATTTGATTTATATTTTGTATATTTTCTAAATTATTTTATTAAATTTCGTATATTAGAATTCGACTTCTAAACATATAACATTGATCTATTTTCTTTAATCTAGTCAAAATAAATAATATTTTTGAATAAAAAGTTATACTTTTTAATCTATATTATAATTATAATTTTATATAATCATAAAAATATGATTAAATAAATTTGTAAAAATATATATAAAAAAAAACAACACAAAAAAACAAAGAAAATTAATATAAATGTTTTATTTTTATATAAAATCAACAAAAAATATTTTTTTAATAGTGAATTCTGGTTTAACGAAATGTATCAATTACTACCGATCTTATTTAAAAGTTTTGAAAAAAAATAAAGATTTTAAGATAAATTAAAATTTAAAAGAAACACCATCTGTTTCTTTTAAACTGAAATTATGTATACTACAGGAAAGGCTGCGATTCGAACAGTGTAAATATAAACTATATTAACAAGAAACATACCTGAAATAATAGGAAAAACTTAAAATATTCAGATGTACAAAACAAAGTACGTTCAGCAACTTCAAACGATCCGTGGGGACCAAGTGGAGCAGATATGAATGAAATTGCACGCATGACATTTGATCCGTATATTTTAAAAATGTTACGAATGTTTTTTTAATAAAATATTAGACATAGCTTTGCAGAGGTTATGGATATGCTTGATCGTCGAATGAATGATAAGGGAAAGAACTGGAGACATGTCTTTAAAGTATATTATAGGATATTTATATATATATAATAATGGGTTTTGCAAAGGCATTAACAGTCCTTGATTATTGTTTACATAGTGGATCAGAAAATACAATAAAATGGGCAAAAGATAATATATATATTATAAAAACGCTTCGTGAGTTCAATTATATTAGTGATGATGGTAAAGATCAGGGATCAAACGGTATTCCTATCATTGTCTATAGAGAGTAAGTTAAGTGTTTTTAGTAAGAATAAAAGCAAGGGATATTACGGAATTATTGCAGGATGATGAACGTCTTCGTTCTGAACGGAAAAACCATACACATATGCATGGTCGTTTAGGATTTAAACATGACAATAGTTATAATACATCAAGTAATACTTTACATAAAAAATCCCCTTATAAAAAATCATCGCCAGCATTAGAAATATCTGATGATGATAAAGAACTTCAATACGCTATAGAAGAAAGCAAGCTTCAGTCTGAAAACGATAAACGTAGGTCTATATTGAAAGCTAAACAGGAAGAAGAAGAACTAGCACTTGCTCTTCAACTTAGTAAAGAAGAGGAGCAATTACGACAAATGGCTTTGCTTCAAAAACAAAGAGGTGATCTTTTATTTGAAAAAAATTACCAACAACTGCAACAGACATCTAACTTTTTTGATAATCAAGTCTTTAGTCCTATACAACAACAACATGACGTTGATTATATTCAAAATATATATTTAAATGCACCTAATACTTTTCAGTCCCAACAAAATTCTAATATGCAAAATATTGGGTATTATCAACCTCTACAGAACTATTCTCAATTAAATTGTCAACAAATAGGTTATCCTCAAATTCAACAGACTATGCAAACAAATAATCCGTATTCTTCACTAATTGATACTCAATTATCTCAACAAAATTTTCCATTAGATAATTTTTATACTAATTGTTCCCAAGATCAATTTAAATCTCTTAGAATGAAATCAAACAACCCTTTTGTTCAAATAACAAATTCTAGCAATTATAAAGATAATTTTAATACTGCTGATACATCATTAGATTTATATAAAAACCAACAAAATGAACCAATTCAAATGAATCAAAATACACAAAATCTTTTTTCTGAAAGACCAGATGCACTTTATCAAGCTAAACTGTCTTCTTTACTCCAATCAGGTAATCCGGGTATTGATACATTTGGAAATGTTGGCGATCTTCGTATTCCTAGTCAACATACAGTTGGTGAGTCTGTTAATTCTTATGGCATACGAATAAAAACTGAACCGACTGGTATTAATTCTTTTTATAATCAGAAAATGAAATCACAAACAAATTCCCAACTGAATGTGCAAACGAATTCACAAACGAATTTGCAAACGAATTTGCAAATGAATCCACAAATAAACCAAGTAAATCTGCAAACAAATCAAGTAAATACCCAAGTAAATCCGCAAATTTCTTTTAATAGACAGCCTATTATGTCTGCACCTACTGGTGTAGGATTCACAAACTTTCCTAGTGAACAAAAAAACATAAGATATCCTTCCATGGATTATTCTACTCCATTAGCCACTCCAGGAATTAACTCATACAGCTCTTATTTACAACCTCATACTTCACAATCACAAAATAATCCTCCATCTGCAAGTTTAATTGAATTTTGACTTTATTTATTTCTTTGTTTTATGTTTTTTATTTATTAATTTATTAAAAAACTAATTTTATATTTTTATTTAATTTTTTATTATCTTTAACTTCGTTTCAATTATCTTGTAAATATTCTGATCTTTATACTAAAAGATGAATATTTACTAATTTGTGATGTTAAGTTTAGATAATCAAACAGATTTAATAAGAAAGAGATCAGAGTTACAACTTCCATATTTCCAACTAAATGAATCAAATATTTCATATTCTACTGATCCGGAAACATCAGTAAATACAAAGGATGGCATTTCTGCACCAAGTGCCAAAAAACCAAGAAATAATATAGGTAGTATATTTTTTTATATGTATATTGCTTAATATTATCTATAGTTTATTCTCAGCCAGATGATTCTGGTATTGGAAATCACTTACAGTCTCAGCTTTATTATGCATTAGAATATCTTAAAGTGAGTTAAAGAGGAAAACATAGATAAATAAAGGGAGTATTGATAAATATACTAGAAAAAAGAATCCCCAAAGACATTACAAGATATATCTCAATATCTTTCTATGTCATTAACAGCAGAGTTTATTGATCGATTACGGACAAATGAAAGAATTGAATATGATCCTTATAAAGATACATATTATTTTAAACCAATACATAATATTCGTTCTGCTGAATCTCTTGTTTCTTTTCTAAGCTCAAGCGTGACAGCAGTAGGCATTATGGTTAAAGATTTGAAAGAAGGGTGGTCTGGTGCTATGGATGAGATTGAACGGCTCGAAAAAGATGGACAGATCCTTGTCCTTAGGACAAAAAAAGATGGTCTTCCAAAGTCAGTATGGCCAAATTACTCAGAAGACCAAGAATCTGTTGATAAAGGTTTCTAAGGAAAAGAGTAAAATGGCTAATTTAATACTAAACAGAATTCAAAGAGATATGGAATTCATTGACAATACCAGCACCATCTGATCTTCCTCGTGAGCTTGAAAAGGGTAAATAATCATATTTCATATATTTTTTTTTTAATAAAAAAAGTTGGGCTAAAACCCACTTCAGTGGATCCTGCAACAGTAAAAAAAATTCCTATAACAACTTTACAAAAGAATAAAAAACGACGCAACCCTAGAGGGAGAATCACAAATACACACTTAAATAGTTTAAAAGACTATAGTGATAGAAGACTTTAATATTTATTTTTGATGTATATGCATTTATTTTTGGTGAGGTAATATATATAAATATATATAGAATAAATTTTATAACAAAAATGTATTATTAGATCGTTTCTAATTATCAGAATTTATTTTTTTATGTTAATGAATTTTTGATTTTTCTAACCAGTTTCTCATACTTTTAGCACTATCATGACCAATACGAAAAACTTTCCGCTTTAAATGATTTTAAATATTATATGTATACTTACACATATATTCAGTATCATCTAAATGACGAAGAAATTCAATTCCTTCTGCAGATCCACCATGAGGATTATGAGCATGATCAGCTATAAGGCATATACGGGATTTAAAAGTCTTTAAGTAAATAACTAATTAAAATAAATATACAACATACCTCCATCAAAATGTATACGAGTTCTTTATCCATAATTCTATATAGTTAAGTTTAAATTATTAATCAAGATATATATACAAATTCAAAAGTTTTTCTGCAAATAAATAATAGTGTGTGGAAAAAGTTCTTAAGTCAACGTTTTGAGGACATGCTTTAAGAGCATTTCTAACACGTAGTGACAATGCATTAGGGAATTCAATATCGACAAAATTACTGTTTAAAAAATAAACTTTCATTTACGATCATATGTCAATTATACTTAATAACCAACATCTCTGCAAGCCAAAAAGGGAGATCAACTGAACTTCCCTCGTTTATCTATGCATCAGTTCTTAATAAATATAATCTTATCCTTCAATTTTATTTTTTACATCACTATCATGGTTTCCTTCCAAATAACCTAATCCTGGCGCTGTATGTTGAAAAATACATGGTAGTTTCTTAAAAAAAAAGTAAATATAATGTTTTGTGTAAAAATTTATATATTTACCGTGTTTTCACAAAGAATATCTTCAAGATCATAGTAATTACTCATTTATTTAAATTAAGAGGTTGATTGATATCGATCAACTTAAGATTAATCACGTTTATAAAATTATTTTAAAAATTTAAAAGAAAACCTTATATATAAAGCTTAAATTAATTAATATGGCATTATATAGCAGCTCTTCTGATTCGGAAAGTGGAGATGATGATCTTGATGGCTTAGATTCGGAAGAACAAGAAGCATCAGGGCTCTTTTTAAAGCGACGCAAAAGACACCGTGCAAAAAATGAGAAAGATCGTGCTATGCTGGGGATTTTTATGGACGAAAGTGATGATGATATGTCAGGATTATCAGAAAAACAGTTAAGATACAAGTATGTAATTTCAAAATTAAAAAAAAAGCTAATTTTAAATAGACATGTTCGTTTTACGTCTTCAAAAGATTTAGATGGTCTAAGTAGGTTAAATGAAAAGTATTCTACACCAAAAGAATCAGGAAATGCAAGAACAATAGATAGGAATAAGTTAGAATACTCTTCTGGGGGTTCAAAGATGCTACATAGTATTCCAAATGAGTTACAGACGCCAAAATCTTTTGGACAATCTAAAGCATTTAAAACAACTAATTCAAATACACCAAATCACTTCAAAAGCTCTGGATTTGGGGCAAAAATAATGGAAAAAATGGGTTATGTTGCTGGTAAAGGTTTAGGATCTCAAGGACAGGGTATCTTGAATCCTGTAGAAACAAAAATAAGGCCAACAAGAGCGGGTCTCGGCTCAATAAAAGAAAGAACACAACAGGATATTGAAGAGTCAAAGAGATGGAATAAAGAAGTAGATGAAGACCAAAAAGATCAATATTCAAAAAGTTTATCTGAGCATAAACAAGAAAAAAAGCATAAAGAAAAACTAAAATACAAAACAGCAAGCGAAATAGCAGGTGGAATGGAAGTCCCTCGTGTTCTTCAACAAATAATTGATATGACGGGAAAAGATGTTAAGTTAATTGAAAATGTCTCTGGAACAATGTCGATCCCAGTAACTTTAAGTCATAATGATGAAATGTATCAAATATCACTGATTGCTAGACATGACTTGGAAATGTATGCTACCGAATGGAAACAATTACAAGATCGTAAAACATACATTGAAATGGAAGAAAATAGGATAAATGAAAAAATAAACCAAGAATCAATAAAAATACAGGAGCTTGAAAGAATTATAGAAGAAATGGAAAAAATAGAGCTATTTTGTAGGAATAATCCTAAAAATAGCCTTGAAATATTAAATGATGTTTCTGAAATGCTAGAAAGAATTCAAATAGAATTCTCTGAAAAAATAGAAACATATCACTTGGATGAAGTCGTTGTTTCTATTCTCTTCCCAATAGTATGCTTATAAATTTATCTATATTAATTTTTTTTAATTTTAAATTTAGATCAAACAAATATTTCTATCATGGGATCCTTTAGAGGAGCCTACTCTTACTTTAAATTTTTTTTGCAAATGGAAAGATGTTTTAAGAACAGGGAACATGTTTAATTCAGATGAGGTAGATAATTCTTTTTCATTAAAACAAAGGTAATTACTTACACTTAAGCATATATATATTAATATTAAAGAACTATGACCCCATTTGAAAACATGCTGCAATATCTATGGATTCCTAAAGTCCGATTAGCAATCAATAATGTATGGGATCCTCATAATCCTTCTTCTGCTCTTCTTCTTTTTGAATCATGGAAAAATTTATTATCACCATTTATTCAAGACTTTATATTAAACCAACTAATACTTCCAAAACTTCAAAAATCTGTTTCTGATTGGAACCCTCGAAATTTTATTAAGAAAAAAGATCATCAACTTCCACATATTTGGCTTTTTCCTTGGTTGCCTTTATTGAAAGAAAATACGGAAACTTTAATTGATAATGTTAAAAGAAAATTTAAAATAATATTAAGTTCATGGGATATACGAAATGGTCCTATAGAAGAACTAAATGCATGGAAGGAAATTTTTGGAGATAATCAATTTGAAAAGTTAATGTTAAATTATTTATTACCTAAATTATCTACATGTCTTCGAGTGGATTTTGATATTGATCCAAGTGATCAGAAATTAGAACCTTTAGAATGGGTGTTTTCTTGGAAAAATTTTTTTAAGCCTTCAGTGTTTGATCGATTATTTGCAGCAGATTTTTTTCCAAAATGGATGGATATACTTTATTTATGGCTTACTGATTCAGATTGTAATTATGCGCAAGTTAGTGAATGGTTTGTATTTTATGAAGATTTTTTATTTATTTACTTAATAATAATTTAGGTATCAGTGGTGGCAACAAGTATTTCCTTCAGAAATGCTTAAAATGCCTATGATCCGTGAATCTTTTGTAAAAGGGTTGGATATGATGAACCATGCACTTAATCTTGGAAAGGATGTTTCTGAAAAGTACCATTATCTTGTTTTCATTTTTTATTATTTACAATTAATAGATTGCCTCCTCCTATAACTGATTTTATAGACTCCATAGAAGCGAAAACTAAAGAAAATCCATTACCTAAGGAATATAAAAAGCAATTTTGTGTTGAAGATATTAAATTTAAAGACGTTGTTGAAGAATTTTGTGCAGAACATGATCTTATTTTAATACCTCTGCGAAAAGCAGATGAAAATACAGGAAATCCTCTCTTTAGAATCACTGCAAGTGCAAGTGGTACAGGAGGTATTGTTATATACATTAAAGATGATGTTGTTTGGGTACAAGATTTAAAAAATAAAAATGAATTTAGTCCTCAATCTTTAAACCATATTTTAACTTTGGCACAAAGATCAAGTTATCGGATATAATTAACGCTAATATGAAAAATATCATTTTATTTATTGAATTTAAAAGTTGCAATTTTATTGTAAAAAAAGATAAACATTAATAGAAATATTTCTTACGAAACGACGATTTTCAACTACTTAAAGACTGTTTTATTGTTTGAAATTTGCAAAATGCGTACTATAAAAAATGCTTATACTCATCTGACATCTAAGGATTCTTATGTATATCCCGAGTCTTCATCTGTGCTAATTTCTATGATGTCAACAGAGTTATCCGCAGTTAAAAATTCTGAAAAACAATCAAAAAATATTCTTCAAGGATCTAATGAAAATGTACTCAAGAATAAATCAAGGTCAAAGTCTCCAATGAGTTTTGCATCACATTCAGGTATTTATACGTTTTTCCTTATATTTATTTATTTATTAATGTTTTAATTGGCGAGGTAAATATAAAAACTCAAGATCAAAATACAGGCTACAGCTCATATTTTGGATATGAAAGGGTTATTATAAGGTTTAAAGAATTCATTAGTCATTTATTTTCTTATCTTTTAGAGGAGATAATGATTATTACAGATGGTTACAAGACTATGCAAAAAGAGACATGTTTACAGATTGGGTTGAAAGTGCTTTTGGTAAATCTGTAGGAAGATAAAGGATACGTATGCATTAGGTTTTAGGTTTTTTTTTTTCTTTTTAGGGAGAATTATTGTCATTTTCAAATTTTAAAAATTGAAAATCCTAAGTCTTTTTTTTTTCAACCTATCATTAACTTATTATTCTGTTTTCAGAAAAGATATTTATTAAACCAGCATTAATTGATTCATATATTTGCATAATTTGTGATTGATTTATTCATTTTTATAAAGCACGAGTTTCTAGCTTTCATTATATTTAGAAAAAAAAGACTTTCTAATTATATAAATAGATGTAGTTTTTGTCATAGGACTTCTTTAACAGACAACAGATTCTACATTTTAAATTTATATAATAGAAAGGGGTTTTAAAAAATTACTAGTTTGATTATGCATTTAGAATTTTCATCTCTAAATATCTTTGGACTAATAGAGTATGTTGAAATAAATATAAGGTATTTGTTTTGTTGAGCCAAATGCTTTTTAATTTAAACTTTTATAGTATTTTTGTGATATAGTATTTCACTAAATTATTTTTTAATTTTTTGTTTAAATACAAGGTATGTTTATTACTATTGTTTTTAGAAATACTAATGCAATTACAAGTTAATTAAAGCTTTAAAAATTTTAAAACTTTATTTATAGTTTTAAACAATTTTAAAAAAAATTATAAATAAAATACCTAAAGGTAATATTTATAAAATGTTATTCTTATACAAACATATTTTTGTAATTGATGAATAAGCATTTCAAACTAGAGTTTCTGATTCTTTAAAGTGATTTTTTATTCTTATTTTCTGACTTATATATTTTTATATCTTTTTTTTAATAATGAACAAGGCTAATTATGACTATATATAGATTATTCTTTGTATAAAATTTTTTTAAGGTACTTTTTTACTTATTTTAAGCAAAGATGATAATTTATAAATTGGAATTACCGTCTGATATTTGTATAAAACATATGTAGAGACAAACGCTGCTTTAGATCTGAGCTTTTCAAATCATAATCATATATGTAAATTCTAATGTTTTTAGATTTAACGATATTTTTTTATTTTGCTATAATTTAAATTTTTTTTAACTTTTTAAATATCAATATTTTAAGGAATTATCTGATTTAATATTGTTAAAACTTTTGATTTATTTTTGAAATAAAACATGATTTTTGATTTTTTTGATTCATATATTTAAAATAAACGAATGTTTTTTATTATTTTTTAAAATTAAGGTTAGTTTAAGAGATTGGTTTTAAAAAAAAACTTTGATGAATGTTGATGACGAGTCAGATTTTATGTTTACTGTTGACAGCTATTTCTACCATTCATGCTTAACTGAGTGATTAAATATATCATAATTATAGTGTTTTGAATATAAACGCTGACTATTATTATTTAGCAGGGTCTTAATGTCGTGAGAAGCTTTCCTTTGATGATTAATCGTTATATTTTTTATGGGTTTTTATAGTGATTAAGGTATGTATTTTAAAAGAAATATTAAACTGCACTGGATGATTTTAAACTATTTAATGACAAGCATATGTCAGAGTTAATACATTGAAGAATATATTAAATTCTGATGCAAATATTTAATCTTTTGCAAAATTCTATTTATACTAATAAATCAAATTAGGGTATTTAAAAAATTAAAGGTAAGAATATTTTATAAGCACAAACAACATGATGATATAATTACTCATAATTCACGACGGTCTTATTAGCCATGCGGCATTGATTAATCTGCTTTAAAGCACGATAATGAGTACTGAATAATTTGTGTTTATAATTATATCATTTAAAAATGGGGTTGACATTTAATGATAGATGTAATTGAGTTATGTTTAAAAATACTTTTATGATTGATTTAAATGGATATAATTAAATACATTTTTTTATCATTTTTGTTCACTTATTAAACATTTTGCTTATTTTTTTGAAGATTTTTTTTTTTTAGAGTTCCCATATTTTGCTTCTAAACTATCTATTAAAGTTTCCATACGTGTTGTTTGTCTTTGTTGTATTAATGCCTGAAGTTGATCTTCTCCTTTTATTTTTTTTAAAGTCTTATCTAAACCAAGTTCTTTTGCAAGCTCTTCTGCTTCAATTGCTTCTTTTTTTGCTTCATTAAGTCTTTTACGCTTCTGAGCAGATGTTTCTCGTGAATAATTTTTATACTTTTTAAGTTCTTTTTGTTCAATACCTTCATCAATCATTGCACGGAATCTCTCTTCATCTAAAAGCATGTTACTGCATAAAACATACGAAAATATATCTTTCATAGATCCTTTGCATTGCTCATAGGCTAAATATAAATCTTTCTTCTCCTCATCCGATCCTAATAATACTAATAAATATTTTTTAGAAAAAGAGAATTTGATTACACCTTGATATGAATTCTTAAATTCTTCTAATGTTTTCCCATCTACAACACTTTCATAAAGATCTTTTATCCATTCAGACCAGTCAATGTCATCTGCTATCTCATCTAATCTTCCAGTTTTATCATATCTTTCACGTCGTTTTTCATCACTTAAAACACCATACGCAAAAGCAATTTCTTCAAACTTAGCATTAGCATCCTTTTTCTCTGATTCTGGTTTTTTATCTGGATGATTTAATAAAGCTTGTTTACGGTATGCTGATTTAATTTCTGCTAACGTTGCATTTCTACTTATTTCTAAAACAAAATATGGATCAATTTCATGAAAATTTTTAGTCAAATTTTCTTTTGACATGCCCTTTTTTAGTTATAAGTGATTTTTGAATAAATTTATTTTTTTTTTTTTTTAAATTGAATGTTAGTTCTATTAAAATAAAGGTTATAGGAAAGTTATTAAACTGATAATTATACTATAGAAAATTAATAATGATCAATAATTTTATATTGTATAAATACATATTTTAAGGTTAGGTTTACATGTTCTCGATTATTTTTCTGAATATATATCATAAGGTTATACAGCCTTTTGTTCTGGATAAAGAAAAAAAGCGATAGATATAATACAATAAACTGCTATAAGCATAATCCCTTCGAGCCAATTACTTTTACCGTCCTAAAAAATGAATTATTTTTCAATAAGCAAGATTATTGGATAACTTGAATTAAATAGTTTATAATAAAAACGCTAATAAACATAATAACCGTTTCGAATGTCTTAAAATACAGTGTAAGGGGTTGTCCAATAATCCACCCAATAATAATAAGAGAAGGAGTAATAAAAAGTGCGATTTGCATGGAAGAACCAAGGGCGACACCAATAGCAAGATCCATTTTATTTTTTATTGATACAATTACAGCCGTAACATGTTCTGCAGCATTTCCTAGAATATAAGTATTGAATTTAAACTCTTTATAGTTATTTTACCAACAATAGGTATAAGTATTAAACCTATAAATGTTTTGTTAACATTATATGAAGCAACAAACAAATCAATTGAATCAATAAGATATTCTGCACATATTGAAACTAAACCTGTAACCAAAATGAGAAGAATTCCAGAAATAATGGGAGGAATAGATTCTTTATGACTATCTTCAATAACTGTATCGTAAAATTCTGTATGTGTTTTTAGCTACTATACATTAAATCTAAGCATTTAAATGGATTAAATCACTTGAAAAATTAAATATAAAAAGTATATAATTAACAAAAATATTGATGTACCACGTGATAATATAACAATGCTTTTATTTGTTTCATCTGTACCAGGCAATGATAGTCTAAAGGCAGCAGGTATTAAAAGAGAACTTGTTGCTACTGCCATAAGAGATGACATAGTTTGTGCAAGAGTCATATTAAATTTCTGTTCTCGATAATATAAACCACCTGCAATAAAACATATTCCAAGAACCTTGAGATAAATTAATTTGGAAAATTTATTCAAATAATAAAAATACTAATAGGTCGTTTGATAAAATAGATCCTAGCATAGATGTCTGTACAATTCTTAATTGCCCTTTACTCAATGCAATAATGGAAATGATCAATTCTACAACATTACCGAGACTAGAAAAAAAGTAAAAAAAGCATTGTATAATCTTACAATATACCTTGCATTAAGAAGACTTCCCGTAGTCTTAAGGTATTAATACATATCAATTTTTCTATAAAATAGACAAATACCTGTCCAATGTTCATGGAAAGTTCTTCAGTGAGAAAACTAAGTATCTAAACACTTTTTAAAAACGTATACACGAATTGTTTACTGTATTTTACCGCTGCTAAAGGAATAATTGCTATAAAATTAAAAATAAATGTCATTGTGTGATTCCAGTCAAAAAATCCACTTAAAATACCCAATGGCACAAAAACTAGAAAAATATTCACGTAATTACTTAAAAGAATTGAACGGGCAACTGAATATGCACTCCATGTACTATTTTCTTGGCAAGAATTATTATATTCATTTTGTAAAGGTTCTTCTGATTCTACTGGGCTACCATTATGGAGATAAAATAATTGATCAGGTATTCCTGTTAAAAGTCTATTTTTATGTGTTTCTGGACTTTCTAAATATAAATATTATTAATTTAAATACTTTAAGAATTGTTTATTTCTTACGCATAATAAAAATTGATTACGAGAACAATTAATCGAAGATAAGACACGAAAAATGAAAATATAAAATGTTTAGTGAATTATAGATTTATTATTTTATTTATAGTATTTATTATTTATAGCAATAAATTAAATGCAAATATATTAATATGATGATTATTTAAATGATATTTTGATTGCAATGAACAAACTGCCAATGAAATAATGAAAAGATCTAGATAATAATATTTTTAAAGCCATACTTATTGAAAAACTTGTTGTAATAAAAATATTATATATATATCTTTTTATTTTGACGTAATATTAACTTGATTAAAAATGATAAGATCTTGTTCCACTTTTTTATCTGACAAAATGATATTAATAATTGATTTGTTTTTTGTTCTTTTTTATTCTTTATGAAACGGATATATTAGACAAGTAATTATGTATTTCTGTATTTAAAGAGACAAAATCTGCAATCGAACAAGAGAAAGTAAACGAATAATCTTTCTTGAATCATGTGTTTGCCGATATTTAAATCTTGCTATATCATGCTGGCTTTCTGGAATTGGAGTAACGTGCTTATTTTTTTCCATGTTTTTTAGCCATGTTGAAAACTCTTTTTGTATATAATTGATGAGCATTATTGCATCACATGTTTCTGAATATTTAGTTTCACTTAAGTTCTTTTTTTCTTCATCAAAGGTATATGAAATAAGCTTCCCTTCTTCTACTTGCATTATTTTGTCTGTTAAATTTTGGTTTTTTAATTGCTGATCTTGGGATTTTTTATTTTGATCTGTTAAAAAATTATTTTCTATATTCTTTAAGATAGAAACTGAAAAAAATGATTGTTCTTTGTCTTCTTTATTTTCTTCTATAGTTTTATTTAAGTAATTTATATTATTTTGGTTTTTTTTTTGAATTTGATAAAACGAAAATGGCCTTTTAGATAAGAATTGAATAGGTATATTTCCTTCAGCAGACTGAAAATTAGGAAAAAATTCAGATTGTCGATGCTTAATTGATGGTATTTCAGGAACACTAGGAAACTCTTTTATACTAAGGAATTCTTTTACTGAATGGCAAGAAAGAACCTCAGATTCTTGACTCATATTCTACTTTCTCTAAATATTAATCAATTAACGCAAAAAATTTGTTTTAAAGTTTACAATGTAAGATAAAATCAAGTTTTATCTTTTATTTTAATAAAAGAGTTTTATAATGATTTATTGTTATCAATATTTTCCTAATGACCGCTTATATCGGTTAAAATATTGATAACGTAGATATCATAAATACAAAATGCATATATTTACGAATAATTTAATTTAAATAAATAAAAGATAATAAATGAATATTTATTCCAACAATTATTTATTTCAAATAATGATATCAAAATTAATTATAATGCTATTTTTTTTTCCTTTTTTTATCTATACAAGTATCCAATTCTCCTGTAAACATATTGTTTTAACATTCTACAATCCGTACAATCCGCTTTTGCTATTTTTCAAGGATTAATTTCCAAACAATAAAACTAACTAAATGCGGATACATTTGTATATAAAATATAAATAGATAATTAGAGCTTAAAAATGCCAAAAAGTTCCAGTATGACGTATAAGTATTGAAAACCATAAACATGCATGAGATGCAGTATATGAATGGTATCACTTTATTCTATATGGTGAGTAGAAAACAAATAAAGATAAAAATAAACGAATTGAATATATAAATGCTCACATAATATATATCTGTATAAGAAAAAATTATTTATAAAGAATCCATCTACCCTTGCCTGCGTAATACCAACCAGAAAGCGTTGGCATGATCTTCGAAATCATGTTTGTTACAAGCGTTTTATTAACATGGCGCCATTCATCTCCATGATTGCGTATTTTAAGCCATATGTCTTTGCTTGTTATAACAAGCCTTTCCTTGACTAAATCCCGCTTTTTCGAACACTTCCACTTGTATAAAGCATCACGGCAGCAATGCCGTATTAACCGCCGAAGATTCCAGTCCCCCACTGTTGCATAAACGCCTACTGCTCTGTCAACATGCAGAATTAGCCCACTATTAACAAGCTTTCGCAGACAACTCCGTATTGTACGGCAAATCTCAATCGATTGTGACCAGCTCGTCCCCATTGACACTTCTGATGCACTAACCCTGTTCTTCCCGTCCACCTGGTCCTGCTCACTCTTCTGCCTCCCTCGCATAACAATACATTTTGCTGCATACTCAATCTCTCTATCCACACGTAAAACCGACACTGTAAACTCACGTAAACTATTTTCCACCGCTCTGTTCAACACAAGCCGTTCCAGATTCTGCATTGTATGTTCTTCTTCCTTTATCGTCCTAAATGACTCCACTTCCTGTATTTTTTATACATTTTTCCCACTACCATAATACATACTCCCAACCGTATGCTTCCATACATCACTACCGGCTCCTTATTGTGTTTTGATAAAAATGATTCAATCACTGCCCGCTTCGTGTCCACATCTACTATCCATGCCTTTGAAAGAACCTCCTCTTTCAGCCGCAGACGCTCCTCCCACCCCGCTATCTCTATATTTGGGTCGTTTACTACCTCTACCTCTGTCAGCCGATGCCGTCAAAAGACCCGCTGCCACAGCGTGCATCCTCTCCCCCATACCCAACTTTATCACCTGAATCTGTCGGCGCCCATGCCACCGTTGGAAAGTCCCGCGGACCCGGATCCGCGTGCCAATCTCAAGTTGACCCTCTGCATCTGGCACGTCTGGCACAAGCTGCCGATGCTGGTCCTCCTTCAAAACGAGCTCCGCTATCCGCCCGCTTGCATCGTCTACTGCCTGCCCATCAGACACCGCGCATACACCACGCATATAGCACGCATATACTCCGCATATACTGCGCATACAGCCCACTCTCTAACGCATATACCCGGCCATCCGGCCATATACGCCATACGCACCATACGCACAGACACTGTTCCAGCGCATATATGCTGTATTCCTGCGCATACGCCCTGTTTTTCACGCATACATGCTGTGTTTGCGCGCATATACCCCCTTTCTGCATACATGCGATAAAGTCCCGCGTCTCATAGCGCTCCACAGCCACTACAACCCCCACGAGATGGATCCAGCGAATCGGATGGTTCAACCAGAAGAGCGCCGGTCCGTCTGGAACACGGTCAGTTCTGCTCTGTGCAGCGCTTGCCTGTTGTTGGCTTAGACAACCCTCGAACCCCTTAATTGCACGCAGCGTATAGACATCGCTCGCAAACAGCTTGACCCACGTGTGGTAGACGGGGGAGTGGCGGAAGAGGACGGGCGGGTAGAACTCGGACGCTTCGCGCCTCATGCCACAGCGGCACAGCGCAGCGCCCTCCTTGTTGCCATGGCAGCGGGCGAGCAGGGCATGTTTGGCGTGTTCAGGGGGTATATTCAGGGGATATAGAGAGTATTGGAGATATTAGGGGTATTAGGGTGTTTTCGGTCTATTTAAGGGTATTTGGGGGGTATTAGGAGCATATTGAGGGTATTTTGTGTATCCGTTTTCCCGTGCCTCTGGTCTTTCATGACAGCTTTGTGGGTGCTCTTCTCTGCATTTTGTCTTTTGCAGGCGCTTATTTTAGTGTTTGGAAGTCAGACTCTACTGTTTAGACGCTGTATTTGTGTATAATGCCCGGTGCTGTGTGTTTGCACGAGCAGGGATCGTTTGGAGTGAAACAGGAAAAGTAGGAGAAACAGCAGAGTACAGGGCACTGCTATTACAGTCAGCTTTTTCTTTTGTTCTTTATTTTTGTTCTTTATTTTTGAATATTTTTAAATGCAGTTGGATCTGCAAAAGAGTGTGCTAAGATGGAGAGTATCGGGGCCAACAAATGTGCAGACGATATATGGCCAAAGAATATTTAGTCGGGAAGCGGTTCCGGCATGGAAAACACAGGTGTATACAGAGGTCCCGGAAACGGGTCTTGCAGAGGTGGGACAGTGTGTTTTTTGCCATTTTATATGGATATATTGTGTGGGCAATTGTTTGCTGAGGATATACAGGTAGCATTTGTTGGAAGAAGCAATGTAAGTTATATGAGGCGTTCATTGAATACATGGTTTGACGCAAAAATGCAAAAATTTCGTCAAGTGTTCAGGCTTTATTTGAACGCGGTGTTTTGCTTTATATTGTGTCTGATTTTGTCTAGACAGGAGTAAGAAAACGAGTTTTTTGAAAGGGTTATGATGAAATATAGAAATCTACATGTATTAATTTTCTAACAAATCAATCACTGGCTAAAACATCTAAAAAGCCAGGCCGTACACGAAGTATAAATGGATTCATTATTCCGGGAAAGATTGGTCTAGTTGATCTGCCAGGATATGGTATGGGCTCAAGGGAAGCATGGGGAGTAGAAATAATGAAGTATTTAAAGGAAAGAAAACTGTAGAGAGGCTCATTTGCATTAATATATTATTGATGGCGTCTAGATTGAGAAGAGTGTTTGTGCTGATTGGTAGTGATTGTGGATTTAAAGAAACAGATAGAATGATGCTGAGTAATTTAAATGATTTGGGTATTTCATACCAAATTCTTATTACCAAGATCGATAAGCTAAAGAAACATCCAGAAGCACTTTCTGCACTTTTTTTTGAAGCAAAAAACATTATAGAGACCTATGGAAGTTCCGGATTCCCAGAAATACTTGGTATAAAATGTATACAGCCTGTTGCTGGCATTAGTAATCTTCGTTGGGCGATTCTTCGTGCTTGTGGTTGGTAATTTAAAAAGCAGCGCCAAAGATCTATAGAAAACACAAAAATATATCTTATGTTTCTATTTTTAATAATACATCAAAATTCGTGAATTTGATCTGAAAAAAGATACATTATATTTATCTTTAATATAACCTTAATAAATATAAAATTGCATTAAAACTTGAAATATTCTATTTTCTGGAAAATTGGGTTAAAAAACTAATTGTATATTTTTAAATCATTACTAATCATCTATTATTTTAAAGATTTATGATCTTTCCTGATGATTTTACAATAAATATACTTAATTTTTACTAATAACTAGAAACTTTAGTAAAATTTCTATCTTAATATTCTAACAATATAAACAATATAATATATCTCGAAATGTAGCTTTCTATCTGACATTGAAACTCTTCGACAAACTCATTCATTTTAATAATTTCAATTTAGTAACATGAAATACAATCAAGTAAACATTTTAATACCAAAAAACATATTTTCTTTAAAAATAATATCATTATTTCCGCCATAAAATATATACCAAAAATTTATTTTTGATTTTATAATTTTTAAATACAGCTATTATTCAATAAAAATAGTATATAAATAATCCCATCAAAATTATATAAATTGCTTAAATATTATAAACAATTTATAAATCTTTATAAAATATATAATTTTTTTCAAAAACATATCTATTATACATTTACTTTATACTTGTTTACATAAAGTATTATACCATTATCCATCAAGCTTTGCAAAGCACTTAGAAAAACGCTGCATCGAGATGACACAAGGTTTTGGAAAAATCTCTAAAAAACTAAGCAAAACACACAATAAACAAATAAAATTAAAGCGTGGAGGTTATAGATGCACATAATACATATATATAATAACTAAAATGTATTTAGCACGAGTGATTCAATCTAAAAAAGCATCAATAAAGAAAGCACAAAATCTTCAACGAGTAAACTATTCAACAGATTTTTTTTGAAAAAAAAGCTAATGTATTCTTAAAACAGGCACTGACAAAGTCAATTAATGAAAAAAATGAAGCAATTTTGGCACAGCGTGCAAGTTATTCCGGGAGTTTTTCATTAATCAAACCAAAAAAATTATTATCAAACTCTTCAAAAAAAAATGCAAAATAAATTTATTATAATCTATAATCCAGCACCAAAGCACCATCAACCGTATATTTAAAGCATCTATTCATTATTTAAGTGCTTATTCACTGCTCTCAAACAATGTCAATTGCAACAAAAAAAACACCTATATCACACCGTGGGTTAGGATTGTGACTGAAAAATATATAAGAAATGTAGATTGATCGGTATCTTTACGATCAAAAAAGCAAGAGGATATGCCATAGCAGTCTTTTTGTTCAATACTAGACTGCTGCCATTTACTTTTATACATTCCTCAAGAATAGTTGACCTGGTCAAGGAATCTAGCTTTAAAGTCTTTTACAGACAATTTGGAAGTTGAGAGCTGACGGCCAGGAAACATTTCAAAATCAATTGCTATTTTGATCTAATTTCTTTACATGCATTCTCTGCTCTAAATACATGTTACCTGCAATCTACATATGTCTTTTTTGATAAACCATTCTGCAGATATTATTCACATATAATATTCATTCATGGTTATGCATTATTTACATACATCTATAATATTGTCTTTTACTACTCAAAAATCTCTACAAGTCACCAACTAGATACTTTTATATATACAGCTATTTTCTGTTGTCCCACTATATGTTTTATTTTCTATACTAATAATACAGTATTTTCTATATTTATTAATACAGTGCTTTCTATACTAATAATGCCATATTCTCCCTTCAAATCCTGCTCCTAACATCCCATTTTCACCTATTCCTTCACTCTTACACTAAGTTCCATTACGATACTCTACAGCCCAACACTCCCTTTTAATATACCCCTTTGATACAAACATTTAACACCAAATAACCTCGTTATCTCATTCTATTTTTGCATATTAAGCTATCTTAAATACTAATATGTGTTTATATATTTTTCATTTGCTCTATATACACCCATTATGTGCATACTGACACCATCCTACAACTAACTTGGTTTTATTCTGATATTCTATACTACCCTGAATCATTCTATACTATCTACATCATCTACATCATCTATATCATCTATACAGTTTGCATCCTATTATACTTATACTGCCTATATTATCTCATTACTCGTTAGTCGACGCCTCTATATACTAACACTATACAATATATAGCAACAACATAATAATACATATAATACTACATAATATATACTATTACATACTATTACATACTATTGCGTACTACTACGCACTACTAAACACTAATACACACCTTACACTGCACTACATTACACTACACAACAATACACAAACACCTCTTCTCCTCTCACTACCTTCATTCCTTCACCTTCTACTGTTCATTTATACTGCTTATTTATTGCTTTCTTTCTCCAGTTATCCCATGACGTGCATAGTCTTCGCAACGCCTTTACTGTGCACTGTGCTCGCGGAGATCAAAGTACCCCGTAAACGCACACACAACGGACATTAACCCCTGCAAAAATATACAAAATATAAAAAATACACAACTTACCCATGTTTTACTGCAAAACCCTATTAAATTCTTATCTAAACACCCATGCAGCAACAGTAGCACTAAAAGTGTACTGTAACTCAAGTCGCCTTGAGCTCCCTCATTTACCCAGCATCGCCTCTCAAAAGCCTGTTTCTCCAATTTACCACTAATCTAGCTTTGATTAGGCGCTTTTCCTGCACGACAGGAGCATTTCTTGTATCTTCTGAGAGGCTGCAGGTTAACACTGAATCAGTTATAATTAAACGTATTTTAGCCTTTTTTAGTAGGCTTTAAATCGTTTTTAACACGAATTAACCCTAATACCCACATAGTCTCTCCTTATTAAGTTAATCCCTGAGACATGGTGCTCCTCCTTACATATTTTTTGTATATTGCATTCTGCAGGATAGGCATCAAGCCTAAGAGGCGGTCAAGTGCAAGTTTAGGCCAAGTTCAGTGCTTGTTTGACTTTAGTCTTTTGGTTAGACATCAAACTAAGCTTAAAATGCATTTAAAATACATTTTTCCTTGATGAATCGCCTCAAAGGCACGATTATGACGCGTGTCATAATCGTGACAGAGCGCGCTAGAATATGAAGAAGCTTGCTAATGAACAAGGGCCAAGGATCAGAGTAAAAACGGGTAAAAGTAAGTTATAAGTGGGCACAGAGGAGTGGAAAAACAAGACATTGTTATTTTTTTCAAGAGAGCTTTGAGAGCAATTATTAGGGATATATTAGAGAGAAAGTGTCTCCTTTTATCTTGGAGTTGAATAAAGCATCAGTAGAAATATTGTATCGACATAGTATCGGTAAAATATTAGGAATAATATTGGGAGAATAGAAGGATTTGTCAGAAATATAGTAAAAAACATAGTGGTTGCAGTAGAAAGGACAAAGATTATTATTTGTGACAAGGAAATTGATATTTGACAAGATAATTATATATTGGAGTGAATAGTGGAATCAATTTTGATAGAATTTGGTCCATAAATAAGGAAAATATAAGAAAATTTATTAAAGACTGAAAAAATTTTATTTGGAGGTGATTGAGGATATATATTGTATAATTGAGAAGATATATAGTTTGTAAAACATTCTAAGGTACATAAGGATATTGAAAGGTACTAGAAAATATCAAAAAATACAGTAGAGTATCAAAAAATAGAGAAATACCAAGAAGTATTAGAAAATATTGGGGAAAAGATGCTTGACAGACAAGCACTGGGAGAGTTTATTAAGCAGCCAGTTAAATGGGAGATGATTGTATATTTGGCAGAAAAAGCAAGCAAAGTGCTACAGTGTGTATCGGCAATAGATAGAAGAATAGGGGGAAGGTATAATGGAAATATGGGATATAAGAATTTTCCGACTCTAGAACACTTTATATCGAATCTTTGTGAGCAGTCAAATGTACAGGTGCCAACATTGATGTCGGTTCTTGTATATCTTGAAAGATTACGGTGTAAGCTTCCACGGGTGGCAAAAGGGATGATATGTACATGTCATCGTATTTTCCTTGCATCACTTATTTTGGCTGCAAAATATTTGAATGATTCATCACCAAAAAATAAGGTATGTGTAGAAAAATGGAGGGTATATATGTATTTATATGAATTAGCACTGGGCAAAATATACAAATAACCTTTTTTCATTAACGGAAGTGAACCTTATGGAGAAACAGCTTTTGACGCTTTTGGATTGGGATCTTTCGATTACTATACAAGACCTATATAAGGTTTTGGCGCCTTTTTTAACGCCTATAAAGCATACAATAATGGCCTGGCAAACGACTCGGTCGGAACAATATATGTCATCACCTTTACCTTACTTTATGTATTCTTCTACGGGTTGTACTCCACCGAAATCACCAATATGGACTAAAAGGTTATCATTAATGAGCTCTCCTGCTATGATGCCATCTCTTTCATCATCATCCACTGTTTCCAGTTTAGCAGAAAGTCCAGACGAGTCTTTTGCATCTGTCTCCAATATGCAGACCTCTTTGAAAAACTCCAGAAGACAGCTTTATTATCAATATTTAAAGGAGCAGGACTTTAATCCTTACAAAAGTTATATGTTGTCATCACCTACGTATTATTTGTGATATAAGAAAATATGGACTATATATTATAAAAATTTTATGAAAGAAATTTATTTTCTTGGTTTTTATATTTTTATCATTGAAATATTTAACGATTTGGAATAACTTATGATATACAAACTTGATGTTTTTATTTTGGAGATTGATTTTGGTTAACGGTAGTTTTTTATATTAACTTGAAGATGTTATGAATTATATATGTATACATTTATCTATTCATTATATTTTAATTGATGTTTATTAGTTGTACGGTATTAAAAAATTCTTTGGTTTTTTTTAAATGGTTTAAAAAATTTTCTTAGAATTAAAAAAATTAAAGTTATTGTTAAAATAATTTCTAAAATAAATTTTTAATACATTCTTGAAGTATGCTGTTTCGTAATCTTATCTACGTCAATCTACATCTACAGAAAAGTCATTTTAGATCTCACTAAATTTTTAGCTTAATTCCTTATGAAAATTTTCATTGAAAATTTTCAATTAACCTTAACTTTTATTTTGAAAATTTTTAGCTCAAAAATTAGCATTATTTTTTATTTATCTTTTTAAAATTATTTTTTACAATTTCCAAATTCCTTTATACAATAATTTCAAAACGTATACAATAATATTACTTAATACACTTTTAATATAACCAACACCATCCCATGATCCATATAATCTATCTAAAAGCTTGAAAATATTTTATCTTAAACATTGCTCTATATTAAAAAACACTTCATTTTAAAGTATTCTATTTCACCTCTTTTACTATTTTTATCAATAAAATATATCTTCTATCGATTTTATATTTAAACCCGTTTCAAATTTTATATTATTTCTACACCTTTACAAACATATATTATCTACTTAACTACACTACCGTGCTTAAACTAATTCTTGTATTTCTTTATTTATTCCTTAGTCAAACCATTTATTTTAAAACGCTTGCTAATAAAATACAACACCCGTCTTCCCTACACTACCGGCTTAAACATTAATTTTAATCTTATAATTCTTTATTCATTTTTATTTATTACTTTCAAAATATTTTTTTTTCTGAAATTTCAGAAACTTCAAAAATACATAATCAATATCAAACATATTTATTTTCCAAAATATTCATTTTTTACTTAAATACATCTTTTAAACCTGTAAATACCACTAAATTTAGGTAATATTGTATACCTAACTCTATTATACCTAACCCTAATTCAAAGAATTGGGTAGAGGATTGGAGAGAAAAGGTAATCGGTATCGATGAATACATAAGCATTGAATGATAAGAAAAAAGACAAAAGAGAGAGTTTTTTGTAGTGTTTTGGAGAAAGAAACAGAAGAATAAGCTCTTTATTAGAGCAAGAATCTTTGTTATCTTATATATTATCTGAAAGGTAAAAAAAAAACGAAAAAAAACGGATTATTAAGTAAACAGAGTTATAAACAAACATTGAGTTTATTAAGATATTGTAGAACAGAAAAAGAAAATGGATGAAAAGACAGAATATGTTGTTAGAAAAGACACGGTGTATTATAATTATGTTAGCAGCTTTGAAGAATTAGACAAGCCGTTGAAAGATCTGGAAAAAGGAACAGAAGGAGTATGTTCATTAGAAGAAGATGAAGAAGATGAAGATATTAATGCATTAATTGATGAGCTTGATTCTCAAGATGGTGACCAGGAAGATAATATGGAAGATACATGTCCTCAATCGCATCGAGCGGTTCCCGAAGAGCTATTAGCAACAGATACACGGATTGGCTTAACAAGCCAAGAAGTAATTAATAGAAGAAAGAAATATGGGCACAACAAGATGAAGGAAGAAAAAGAAAACATGGTTGTTAAATTTTTGATGTATTTTGTTGGACCCGTTCAGTTTGTGATGGAAGCAGCAGCTATTCTTGCAGCAGGTCTTCAGGATTGGGTAGATTTTGGTGTGATATGTGCATTGCTTCTTTTAAACGCTATTGTTGGATTCGTTCAGGAATTTCAAGCAGGGTCAATTGTTGATGAACTTAAGAAAACCCTTGCTTTGAAAGCAACTGTTCTCCGGGATGGACGACTTGTTGACATTGAAGCTTCTGAAGTTGTCCCTGGGGATATTCTGCAGCTCGAAGAAGGGTCTATCGTTCCAGCAGATGGCCGTATTGTTACAGAAGAGGCATATCTTCAAGTCGACCAGTCTGCTATAACAGGCGAGTCTTTGGCGGTAGAAAAACGTAAGGGTGATAGTATTTATTCATCATCTACGGTTAAACGTGGTGAAACATTTATGATTGTTACTGCTACAGGTGATGCAACGTTTGTGGGACATGCAGCTTCTCTTGTTAATAAAGCATCGTGTGGAACAGGTCATTTTACAGATGTTCTTAATCGTATCGGTACTATTCTTCTCGTGCTGGTTGTTTTTACCCTCCTTGTTGTTTATATATCAGCTTTCTATCGGTCGACAAATACTATTACAATTTTAAAATTTACTTTGGCTATTACTATAATTGGTGTGCCGGTTGGTCTTCCCGCTGTTGTTACTACTACTATGGCTGTTGGTGCTGCATATCTTGCAAAAAAGAAGGCTATTGTCCAAAGACTTTCTGCTATAGAGTCTCTTGCTGGTGTCGAAATTCTATGCTCTGATAAAACGGGTACTTTAACAAAAAATAACCTTTCTCTTGCAGAACCATATACTGTCGATGGAATTTCTTGTGATGAGCTTATGCTAACTGCTTGCCTAGCAGCTTCGCGTAAAAAGAAGGGTCTTGATGCTATCGATAAAGCTTTCCTTAAAGCACTTCGGAATTATCCCGCTGCAAGATCAGCACTTTCTAAATATCGTGTTATTAAATTCTATCCTTTTGATCCTGTTAGCAAAAAGGTTACTGCTATTGTCGAATCACCTTCTGGTGAAAAAATTGTATGTGTAAAAGGTGCACCTCTTTTTGTTCTTAGGACTGTTGAAGATGATCATCCTGTTTCCGAAGATATTCAAAATGCTTATAAGGATAAAGTTGCTGAGTTTGCATCTCGTGGGTATAGATCTCTTGGTATTGCTCGTAGAATTGGTAATTCTAATTGGGAAATTTTGGGTATTATGCCTTGTTCTGATCCACCGCGTTGTGATACTGCACGTACTATCAGTGAAGCCATTCGTCTTGGTCTTCGTATCAAAATGTTAACAGGAGACGCTGTTGGCATTGCAAAAGAAACTGCTCGTCAACTTGGCATGGGTACTAATGTTTATAATGCTGAACGCCTTGGTCTTGGCGGTGGAGGCGATATGCCTGGGTCTGAAGTATATGATTTTGTTGAAGCAGCGGATGGTTTTGCTGAAGTATTTCCACAACATAAATACAATGTTGTTGAAATCTTGCAACAACGTGGATATCTTGTTGCTATGACCGGTGACGGCGTTAATGATGCACCTTCTCTTAAAAAGGCAGATACTGGTATTGCTGTTCAAGGAGCTTCTGATGCAGCACGTTCTGCTGCTGATATTGTCTTTTTGGCTCCTGGTCTTTCTGCAATTATCGATGCATTGAAGACGTCTAGACAGATTTTCCATCGAATGTACGCATATGTTGTTTACCGTATTGCTTTATCTCTTCATCTGGAAATTTTCTTGGGTCTATGGATTGTTATTTTTAACCATCTTATGATTCTAGAACTGGTTGTCTTTATTGCTATTTTTGCTGATATTGCTACCTTGGCTATTGCATATGATAATGCACCATACTCATTATTCCCTACTAAATGGAATTTGCCTAAGCTTTGGGGTCTTTCACTTCTTCTTGGTGTTGCTTTAGCTATTGGATCATGGATTGCCGTAACTACGATATACGTTAATGACAATGCTTATGGTATTGTTCAAAAGTATGGCAACATAGACTCTGTTATGTTTCTTGAAATTTCGCTCACTGAAAATTGGCTTATTTTTATTACACGTGCTAATGGTCCATTTTGGTCATCATTACCGTCATGGCAATTATTCGGTGCAGTATTTCTTGTTGACGTCATTGCTACATTATTTTGTATCTTTGGCTGGTTTACTGGAACTAAAGAACATGGTCTTGAGCCTACTTCTGTAATTACTGTTGTTCGTGTTTGGCTTTTTTCATTTGGAGTATTCTGTATTATGGCTGGTATCTATTATTTACTTTCTGATTCTGTAGCATTTGACAATATTATGCACGGAAAAAGTGTTAAAAAGAACACAAAGCAACGCTCTTTAGAAGATTTTGTTGTTGCTTTACAAAGAATGTCAACAAAGCATGAAAAAGGCGAATAGTAAATAATTATATGTAATTTTAAGGATTTATCCTATTATTTGCTTTTAAAGTATAGGATAATATATATCTGCATAAAAAATAAGTAATGTCTAGAATTCATCATTATATTCTCTTTGTTTAAATTTTTAATGTTTTTTTTTTTTTTTTTAAATTTAATACTTTGTATCATATATTTTTACTGGATAAACAAGTTCCAAACCTTTATCATGAAGTGTATTTCTTCAAATATTTAGTAACTTCAATTTTTTTACATATTTTAGTCAAGTTAGTATAATAATGAATCTCACTAATTATATATTATAATCGACTTAAAAAATAAGTTGAGATTACCTTTAATATTAATAATATATGATGATGACTTTTTACTTGAAATTTTAATAAATATCAATTTCAAAAACAAAAAATAATAATTATATTGTATTTTAATCTAACTTTAATATAATTGTCAAAAATAACAATCAAGCATAGAAACTACAATATAACTAACAAAAATATGAATTATAAATTTTAAAATCATTAACATATTGAATATTTCTATTTTACAGAATCTATATATAAAGAAAAATATCTTTATAACACTGAGCCATATCTAAAATTAATTAGAATATTTAAAAATTATTAAAATTATATTTAAATATAAAACTACGACTATTTTTGTCTGGTCGTATATTCATAATTTACATACCCAAATGCAGTTTTAATGGGTTTAACATAATACTATATTGTTTTTCAGAAAAAAAATAAAATAAAATAAATAAAATAACCTCTTCAAAATTAGATTTGACAACATCTTCTTGATCAACAGGAACACCTTCCATTTTCATCCTTAATGTAGTTCCAGTCATTCCCTGATCAAATATTAAAATTAGTTTAGCGTAATGACCTATTAATTAGCTTTATTCTAAACTAATATGAAAAACCTCACCTTCTGGCCAAGTTCCCAATCTCCATAACTGAGTGATTTCTTTTGGTTCAATCAATTTTAAAAATTCACCTTGAACATTTCCTCCAAAAAGAGAAAATTTACCTCCAACTTTAGGATCAATATGTGGTGACGAACGTGTCCATGTTTTTACACGAGAAAAATCTATAAAAGTATTATACAGCTCAGAAACAGGAGCTTGAAAATCAATATTATCAGAGATCAATACAGTATTGATAATTGAATGATTTCCTATTCTTGAAGCCGATTCAGTCCCATAAACAGCTTTAGTAGTATTTACACCATTCCTAGAAACACTATGATCTACAATGGGCTCAGATGGCTTTGGTGTAACACCTTTGTCGACAGATAAAAGAACATCTTTCCCATGAGCTGATTTGTTATTAAAAAGCAATACAAAAACAAATACAATATATACTTTCTATAAGAACTTCCCCAAGAAGTGACAACCGCTCTTCGATCTGCGGAACAAGCTCAGATTTGATAAATTCTTTGATAATTTGATTTTCTTTTGTTTCAGAAAACACCTCTATTTCAAACACATATTGATCAGTATCATAAGCAACTTCTGGGATCGTTATAGATCCAGAAACATCTGTGCCATCTACTAATCTCCCTGATAAATATAAGATACCACAATTTACATAGAAAAATCCATAAAACCATTAAATTCAAGAACAATTTTCAAATCATAAATAGTAATAATCTTTCCTTTCCTCATAGAAACATCTACATCGCCAGTACAATCCGTTAACTTTGTAATTGATGCAAAAATACCGTTTTTTTCCGCTGAAACAATCAATTCTTTTGCAAAATATGATTTTGTCCATGGACGACAATCTTTACTCGTCCAGTGCCTATAAAAATATAAAATAATCAGTAATTTTAATAAAAATAACCAAAAAACATTCACCAATTTCCAGGATTACGAGATGTTGCAGACATCTTAAATTTTTGATTTTTTTGTAGTTAAAGATCTCTGATAAATCTCCGGAAAAAATCTATTTCGAAATTTCGAGACGTCTAAAAACTGTTAGAAGAGATAAAAACAGGTGAAATACAATATAGATATATGGAAAATAAGAAAGTTTTTTTTTAATTTTTTTTTCATATTTTTTGCATTTTTTGAATTTGGTAGATATTAATTATATATTTAAAGAAAATATAAATGTTTCATTTCTACAAATTATAGATATTTTGATTATTTTTTATATTTTAGTATATTATTTAGTTTTCAATGAATATTATCTATATTTTATATAGAGTCATGTGGAATAAGATAAAAGCAAAGGACGGATTAACATGATTAATGTAAAAAATAAGAAAATAAAACGATGATCTATGCAATATTATCTAATACGTATTTTTTTGAATATATTTTTAGATTAAAAATAATAAAGTTCTCTGGAAACAAAAACTTTTATATTTTATTAATGATAAGATCAAGTGGATAATGAAAATAATAAGATTTAATAAAATTAAAAAAACTCCATTTTGTTTATATTGGTTTAACTTGTTTTTAAAGTAACAATGACGAAATATAGTAAAAAATTCAACTTTTAAAGTTATTAAAAAGATCGATTTTACTTTTTACAAGACTCAAAAATACGAAAAATATAATTGATTAAATCACTGCAAATAATAACATAATGAATAAAAAACCAGCCAAAACATCTAAAACAATAATATTTCTTTCAAAATATACATTTAACATGTGAATCAAAATCATCTAAACAAATTGTATATACAAAAATACATTTTATCCAAAAGGTATACATTTTCTTAACTTATTTTTTTAAAAAAAGTCAAGTCTTATGCCCCTAAGATATCCTCTGGAACACTTTTAGCCGTAAAAAACAAACCATCATCATCTTCTAGACTTCGTCCACCATGATATTAATAAATTCCTGCTCATTAACTGCTTGAAGCGTTAGTTCTGCCACAAAAAGAAAAATAAACCCACTTTCACCGTCCTGATCAAGATCAAACTCATCAATCATTGCTATCAGCTCCTGATCATCAATATTCTCACCCAATTCTTTTGCAATGCGACGGAGGTTACGGATATTGATTTTCCCCGTCTGTTCATCAGCAAACAAGGCATATGCACGCTTGATTTCGTCAAGTGGATCCCGCTCAAGAATCTTCTCCGCCACTACACACATATCGTCACCAGTCATCAAGTATACACCGGACTCCCTACTCACACGCGCAAAATCCTCATACACAATCACTCCACGCCCATTCTTCCCGTTTTCCCTCAAAATATCCAATACTTCTCCCTTCTCCGCCTCAAATCCAAGAGCACGCATTGCAATCTATTCCCATTAGAAATTCCCTCCAAAAACACTCCTACCTTCAATCCATGGTAATCAATGACTCCATCCTTGTCTGAATCAAACAGTTCAAACGCTTCTTTGATCTCATGCCGTTGTTCTTCCGTAATTTCTGTCCGCATCTGAGATCCTCGTACAGTCGGCGAATCACCGTGCAATCGCCGCCGCTGTTTCGCTGAAAACATCTCTCATGCAGATTTTTCAATTAAATACACAGAAATACTCCTTAAGACGCCTTTTTATCCCTTTTTCTCCTTCAAAAACACCACTAAATCCCCTATTTTTCCTGCACTGTTCTCTCGTTCTTTTTTTTTGACGTTAAAATCTCTACGTTGAAATCTCCCGTACGACCTCTTTGCCACCTTATTTCCACAGCCAATCTTTCGGCAAATCTTAATAACATAAAATTCTTATTTGATAGAGCCAAACTGCTGCTAATAAATACAAATACACATCAGAACATTGTCTGCTGTAAAAATACAGCAAATACTTATCGGTCCTGCCCCTCTAAGCCCTCGAGATTTCAAGTAAATACATGCAACCCAGGTGCAGCGGCACAAATACATACTGAATACTCCAAAAAAGCAGGAAACATATAGATACACAGCGATTCAGCAGAAACACTGCAGAACCACCTTGAACAGCGGTTGCTTTGGATAGACATAGTGTGTTTCCATGGAAACACAGCGCATCGTATCAGCAGACTGCCTAGCAAACGCAGCGTCTATCAAATTGTACTAGACAGACTTGCACGTTTGCAAGTGCCAGTTTAACACTGTCGCCATACAGCCAGCCAATATATACAGTGTACTGTGTACAGTATAAATATACAATATACAGTATATATAATATATACAATATATACAATATGAATATATACAATATGAATATATATGCAAATACAATAACCCCGATTAGGGCTAAACACAGTTTAACCCTAATTCATATAGGGTTAGGGCTAGGGAGAGCAAAATTAAACAGCGACAATGGAGAAACAGAAATAAAAGAAGAAAAAAGAATAAAAAAAGAGACAAAAAACCAAAAAATACGAAATATATTCGCTGCAAAACACAGAATTGAAGAAAGCATAAGCTTTAAACACAAAATTTGCAGCAAAACGTGGCTTCAAAAACATGTTTGGTCAAAATACAAACACGTTTGGGCGATTTGGACAGCAGAATTTGGGAGCACAGACACCACAACAGGGATCAACGGGAACAGGAGGGCTGTTTGGAGCAAACACAGGAGTTTTGGGGGGATCTGGTGAGTAGGAGAGCATATATGCGGGGGACAGGCTAAAAGATATTTTTTTGGCGTATTGACATGCATATATGCGTGTTTTTGAAGAAAAAAAGCTAATCAAAGGGAAGGATTTGGGCAGACAAGCAGTTTTGGGAGTGGAAATTCAGTATTCGGGCAAGGAACACAGCAAACATCTACACCGGGATTTAGTAGGATAAAAATATACGTTTAACACGGCTAATTGCGATGTACACAGGCTTTGGAGGGAATAAAGATACTTCAGGATTTGGGTCTCAGACGACAAATGCGTTTTCAGCACAAAAGTATGCATTTGGCGTGTAAAGAAGGCACTTAATGTTGGGTAGTCTAAGTACACCGTCTAGAGGCGGGATTTTTGGGCAAAGCAGCACGCCTACGACCTTTGGGAATACAAATACGACATCTGTTTTTGGGAGTTCCTATGGAACAAATACGTTTGGTGGAATGCTGAATTCTCGGATGCCTACACAAGGAACCAGTAATCCTCCGTACCAGGTGACACAGGAAAAAGAAGCATCTACGGGAGGGATGCAGCATTTTCAGTCAATTACGTGCATGCCAGCCTATCAGGCAGCGTCATTCGAGGTTTGGGGGACATGTGGAAGAGTTTTAAAAAATTGACAATAAATGTATCTATAGGAGCTAAGGTTGCAAGATTATGCACAAAACAGACGGTATGGGCAGCAGCAGGGGTTATTTGGATCCTTTGGTTCGGGGCAGACTACAGGGAATATCTTTGGATCGGGAAATCAAGGGTTTGCATCACAGCCTTTCGGTATTTTTGTTTTATCAAAGTGATTTTTTTTATTCATAAAGGATAGGGACGTCCTCTGGGATGAATATGTTTGGGGGAACGCAAAACACGGTTAGTCCGTTTGGACAATCACAGCAAAACCAACAAAAGCCCTTTGGTTTTGGGACATCGAATACCTTTGATGCAAATAAAAATCAAACAGGAGCATTTTCTTTCGGGAATTCCGTGAATTCGACACAATCGGCATTTGGATCATCTTCTACGAATCTTTTTAGGACAGGCTTTGGTAATACTCAAAATCAGGATAATAAAACATCTTTCGGGACAACTGGTATAGGCTTTGGCCAAAATTCAACCAATACGTTCGGTTCGGGTTTTGGTACGACTAATACCGGAACCAGCATTTTCGGTTCTACTCAGCAACAATCTACACCATCACCATTTGGCCAAACATCAACATCACAAAACACTACTTTTACTTTTGGAGGAAATACAAATACAACCGGCAGCGAGAATACAAGTACAACACTTTTCGGGAATCAAACACAACAGTCCGTAACACCGTTTGGTCAACCACAGACCCAAAGTACTACATTTGGCTTTGGAGCACCCAATACTACTACAAATACCACAACTCCTAATGCTACAAATAGTATTGGTTTTTCTTTTGGACAGCAAGATAATCAGCAAAACAAACCTACATTATCATTTTCATCTAATTTATTTGGGCAAAACAATCAAACACAAACGCAAAATAAACCATCTTTTAGTTTTGGAAATACAACAGGGTTCGGGCAATCAACAACGAATACTAGTCTATTTGGGACTAACAATTTGAATACCAGTTCGTCTACTGGGCTTTTTGGGTCAAATGTAGCATCTGGTTCCAACACCGGTACCGGTTTTTTTACTAATCAACAATCCACTGGAGATTTGTTAGGGGCAAAATCTTCTACAAATACTTCTACAAACTTGTTTGGAAACAGTTCTACTTTACAATCGAATACCAATACAACTGGAGGCCTTTTTGGAAATATTGCGGGACAATCTTTAATCAAAAATACTACCCAGCCGTTAGAAAATAGCTTATTTGGAAATAGTCAACAACAACAGTCTCTTTTACAAGCGTCTATTGATAAAAATCCTTTCGGAAACAACCCATTGTTTCAAAGTACGAATATCAATTTTCCAACAAATTCACCTGGGCCTATTGCAACACCCCTTGTAACAAATTCGCATAAAAAAAAACCGGCCATGTTACCACATCTTAAACTAACTCCTGGGTCCTCATCGTCAAAAAATTTTCAAAATTTTAAAAGTCCTTCAAGTATTAACTCACCGACAATTATTTCTGCAACAAACCATTCGTTGTACTTGTTTGATAATTTGAACGATGAAACTATGCTTAACATTAATGCATTTTTCCCGAGATCTAACATTAAAAAACTTGTAATCGATCGTAAACCATCACAAACAAATATCTTAACAGGTGGTGCAGATCTTGGAAGTTTCGAAAAGAATTTCCCGAAGGATACAAATCATGACAAACAAAATCATGATCACTCTTCAGTGGAACATGAAAATCCAGCAACTGAGAATAATTTTGCCCAAGAATCGCCTAACTTAATAAATACTAAACATCAAAATAATGCCAAAACAGATACCACTTTGGACCTTTTACAATATGATTTAACAGAAGATGATAAAAAGGAAAGTAATAATATGTCTTACTGGACATCCCCTTCAATATCAAAATTACTAGATTATACGTCGGATGAATTAAAACATGTAAAGAATTTCAAAGTTGGACGTAAGGGTTTTGGCCAAATTAGTTTTCAATCACCGGTTGATTTAACAGCTTTTGCTGCCTTAGAGGATATTCCAGGGACTATTATCATTTTTGACGAGAAAGTGTGTACAGTATATCCCGATGAATCTCTTAAACCTCCACTAGGATGTGGAATTAATGTTCCAGCAATAATAACCCTTGAACGTTGCTGGCCGTATAGCAAAGAAAAGCGTGAACCAATAACAGATCCAAATCATCCAAGATTCCAGCAGCATCTAGATAGACTTAAGCGTATGAAAGAAACGGAATTTATTGACTATATCGCAGATACAGGTGCATGGGTGTTTAAAGTAAATCATTTTAGCAGATGGGGATTGCTTGATGATGATGATGATGATTCTGATAATGAAAAAGTCGAAGAAAACCAAAACGAATTATTAAAATCTCAAGAAATTAAAGCTCAATATACGGAAATCCCTTTCCCTCCAAGAGTATTATCTTTGCGTAAAGAGGGATCGAAACCGCCGACTAAACATGTTTATGTCGAGTATAAGAAAAAAGAATTAACGCCTAATTATGCATTGTCATCTAATGATACATCGTTCGGGGAGAACACAGACATAAGCGAAGAATTTCTTAGCGCAAACAATTCATTTGATTTTCATTATCCAGCATCGAAAATCCCAGGCTCATTTACGCCTGAAAATTCGTCAGAAATTACAAATAACTTTACATCAAATAACAGTATTGAAACTGATATATGCGAAGAAACAGAATCAGGTGGTTATTTATCTTTCGATGACCCTGACACCTATGTTAATTTACACGATATAAATGATATGAGTGATATGAATGATATAAATAATATAAGCGATATAAATGATTCAAGTAATATGAATGATGTGAATGATATAAACGATATAAATGATATATCCAATACATATAGTATTAATGATAAAAATAGTGACTTAGAATTATGTTTCGAAGATGACTTAAAAGAAGTAAAAACTGTATCTTTTAAAAGACAAAGTGATTTGCATAAAGAGTTTCATGAAAATTCATTGTTATCACCAAAATCTCTATTTTCAAGGAACATTAAAACTTGGCCAGATTTTTTAAATCTTTCAGTCGAAAGGTTTAATTTGCTAAATACACCTCAAAATTATGTTAAAAATGATCAAAATTTTTCTGACTTACAGTTTGACACTGTTTTTGATAATTTCAAAATAATAAAAAAATATGAATTACAAGATTTAGATAGAGATTTGTATGATATGCAGCAAGATTCTTATTCACCGGTATATATAGTTTATAAGAAACAATTTTCTGAAAAAAATTTAGGCTTGTATACCGGAATCAAACTCAGTTATTGAAATTCCCGCAAAAACACATTGGGGATTAAATAATGTTCTTATTATTCCTCTTAATAAGAACAGTAATCAACCAAAAATTTTGTTAAAGAAAATAGATAATCAAAAATCAGTAAATATAATCATTCTAATGATTACATTAATTAGTAAATAGACTTTGGATAATATCGAATCAGCTTTGAAAGTGCAATTAGAACATACGAATATTCAAATAAACAAATACGGATGTCCTGAAGCAAATCCTAGTTCTACACTTACTTCAAAATTATTCGTACCTTCTTTTAATGATTATGAAGCGAATGTATTACAACTGTGTGAAATCCTTTTTGACGAACCTATTATTCATTCTCATAACTTGCACTCTGAACTTCAAAGAATGCAAATCCTTAGAATGCAAAGAAAAGAGAATCTTTCAAACTGGTTAAAAAATATTGTTACTACAAGTGTTGAAAACGATCTTAATAAAACAATTGACTCATCTTCAAGAATGTTTTTATTATTAACAGGTTATCAAATAGAAGAATGCTGTATAGAAGCATTAAAAAACAGAGATTTTTGTCTTGCTAATCTTATTCCTCTTATTGGTGGGGATGAACTTATTCGAGAAGATTGTCGAAAACAAATTACTGATTGGAGAGAGTCAAATTCTCTTCCTTCTATTGGTAAATATTATCGTATAATGTATGAGTTAATGTCCGGCAATACAGAGACATCGTATGGCACTGGATCTAAAGGTTCGGAAGAATATGCGCCTACTATACATATATCTGAAGGATTGGATTGGAAACGAGCATTCGGATTAAAGTTGTGGTATGAACTAACAGATGAAATGCCGATAGAAACAGCAGTTTTAAGCTTTCAAAAAGCTTTTAGTGAGGATTCTACTATATCATCTCCAAAAATACCTCATACCGGAAGTGCAGATAATTTGCATATAGAGTTTGATGTATTATATCATTTATTATTGTTATTCACTGAAGAAGATTATCCTTTGGAGAACGTTGTCGATTCTCTTACTTTAAATAGTCCTTTTAATTTTGAAATCCCATGGCTATTATATATTATTTTATCACGTGCATACGGCGTTCGTCATTTTCAAGATTATGGTACTAATTTTTACAATAAGGATTTAACAGATAGCAAAATCAGTATTCTTGGCGATCAACTAACTTTAGATTTTGCGTCACAATTAGAATCAAATGGTTTATGGTACTGGGCAGTTTTCGTTTTGCTACATTTACAGCATACTCATATGTAATACTTTAATATTAAATTATTTTTTTAACTTTTATCTAGTAGAGAAAAGTCAATTCGTGATATTTTGGCACGAAACATAACTGAATATTGCAATGATGAAAGGAAGAAAGAATTAGATATATTTTTAATACAAGACTTAAAAATCCCCAAAATTTGGATTTTAGAAGCTTGTGTAAGTAATATTTAGATTTTTATTACTAAATATTGATTATTTAAGGCTCTTTATTCTAGATATATGAATTATTACCAAACGGAAGAAGAATATCTTCTTGATGCTCATCTATGGAATGAAGCACATAAAACTCTTTTAGCATTTATAGCTCCTCAAGCAGTAATATATTCTGAACTCGATGTTTTATATTCTTTCCTTAAACGCTTTCAGAATACAAATGCAGTTTCTACATGGAAAACCGGCGGACAAGTATTTTTTTCAATCCTTGGTAATTAAATTAATCTTTTTAGGTTTATTTAGATTATATAGAACTTGTGAAACTTAGTGAGAAGTTGACATCACCTCTCATTAAAGATCAAAATCCCGAAGTAACACAAACTCATAAAGATATTATTATGAGGCTTTTACGAACGTTGCCTGTAATGGATACAAAGCTCTTTGAACAATCTGTGGCAATGAAAATTATGTCAAGCTTTTTCTCTTCTTTTATAATTTCGAACAACATTGTGGTAATGATAGGTTTATTCTAAAACATTCTTTAAAAAATATTTAGACAAATGAACATACTCGAGTTTTACAAATGAATTTAACGGAGGATGAATATTTTAATAAGGTGAAGCAGTTATCACTAACATATTATAAATATATAAACTCCACTGTTTAATATACATTTATTCTGCATGGGTAAATACCGAATCATTTTGATTTATATAGTTATTTATTGTATAAAAACAAAACCAGGCATTTCATTCTTTAGTAATAAAATGTTGTTTTTAATATGTCTACAATAGCATATCCGAAAGATGACATCATAGTTTCTTTTGTCTATATTTTTAAACCTTTAATATTTTGTCCACGTCGTAACGCTAAAACGTACCAATAACACAAATTGTTTGTGACACTGTAAATTGTCATCTTTTAAGATGACTTTAGTAGAATCTTCTATAGATGTTGGTCGTATATCAAGTTTTTTGGACTTATCATCAGATTTTATAACACATTTAGCGTCAAAAGAAAATGTTACACTTTTATTGTCTGGTATTCTTCAAAAAGCAACTGAATTTGATGAATTAAAGAAATCAAAGATCATATTAGAAGTAAATTATGGTAAATAATACAAAATATGTTTTTTTTTCGCTTTTTTAAGTATTTTTTAGAACAAGAAACACATAGTGCAAATGTAAGATTGCAATCAATTAGAAATGAATTAGAAACAAGTTTGGAAGAAAATAAACAGCTTAAAGAAAGAAGTTTAACATATAGTATGAATTTAGTTTTATTCTGCAATTTTTTTTGATAAAAATAGAAACAACAAATGAAAAACTTGAAACAGAAGTTGCATCTTTAAAATCAAATAATACAGATCTCAAAGAACATGTATATGGATTAGAATCAAGAAACCGCGTTTTGGAAAATGAAAAGAGGGATGTGATTGATGTACTTGAGAGAAAAACTCAAGAAACATTACGTCAAGAAGAAGAATATCAAAATTTAACGGAAAGATATGGAAAATTGAGAAAAGAAATGAGTATTATTGAAAGTGAAAACCAAGAATTAAAAGACAAAGAGATTACATGGAAAGTATGTTGAAACTTTATTAAAAACAATGATTAAATTCAAATATAGTTTAAGGAACAAACTTCACAACAAGAATTAGAAATTTTGAAAAAAAATATTGAATGGTTAAATAAAGAATTAGAGGAAAAAGTAGAAGAATTTTCAGAATATCGAAAAGATAAGGTGAGTTAGTTTGAAAAAAAGGTTTATTAAAACCAAATTAGTCATCTCAAATTTCTACTTTACAATTAGAATTAGAAAACACTATTGCTGCATCTACAATACATGAAAAAAGTGCAAATACATCTAAAGACCAACTTGAAAAAGTTTCTAATAAACTTGAAGAGACATTGCTTAAACTTAAAGAGTACCAGGATAAAATTGTTGAACAAGAAGAATCTTTTAGAAATGAAATGGACATTCAGCATAGATTAATGGAGCTTTTAGAAGAGAATTCAAAAAATTCCAAACAACGTATTGCTGAACTTGAAGAACAACTGGATCAAAATTGTACTAAAGAAGGTCATGAAGCATTAAAATGGATGAATATTGCAGAAAAGGAAAAAAATCGTGCTGATGTTGCAGAATTGCAACTTGAAGATTTAGAATTACAAGTTGAAAAATTACAAGCAGAATTAGTTGTTTTACATGATCAATTATCAAATAAAATTAATAAAAATGGTGAAATTCCACTAGGAGTTGGTTTATTGTCACCATCTACGCAGTCAGCTAATAAACTAAAAAAATCAGGAATGTCATTAACAAAATTATACTCTGAATATATTACGACAAAAGAACAGTTAGAAAGCGAAAAAAAACATAACGAAAGAATACAGAATAATTTAAATGATCTTTTATCAGATCTTGAAAACCGTGCACCACAGATTCGCGAACAATATCAAGAATTATCACGATTACAAGTAGAAATGGCAGATATAAGTGAAATGCTGCAACAATGTAATGAACTAAAAGAAAAATTTGAATATGAAAATAAAACATTAAAAATTCATATTAAAGATTTAGAAAAAGAAAAACAAATTTATTTAGAACGTATGATTTACTTATCCAGAACCTATCGGTGACTAATTTAATTATAGAAACAAGGGATTTAAGTAGACAAATTCAATGTCTTTTGTATGAAATGGAGATCCAAAATTATAGAGGGGTTATAATAACTCAAGAAGAAAGAGATGCTATAAAAAAAATGTCAGAATCCAATCTTGATGAGCTTTCAGATACTCAACTTTTAATATCAGAACGCTTGACTTTATTTAAAGATATAAAAACACTACAAGAACAAAATCAAAATTTACTGAAAGTTACAAGAGAGCTAGGAGCACGAATGGAAAAAGAAGAATTAGAGAACCGCGAAAAATTAGAGAATTTACAAAGTGTTGCTGTCACAGAAGCAAATAAAGTTATTGAAGATATGAAAGAAGAAATAAAAAAACTTAAAATAAAGTTAAAAAACATTTTTAGTTATTTAAAAGCTAATTTTTTTTTAGAATGGATTCCTATATACGTGAAAGAGACATGTTTAGAAGAATGTTAGTATATAATGGACAAACAGACCCTCTTGATTCAGAAGACTTAAAGCAAGATCAATCAGATAGCATTTCAGCTATTAAAAGTCAAAATGCTTTACGTGAACTGCAAATTCAATTCGATGAATATAGAAATGAAGCATCAATTAACAATAAAACACTTTCTCAACAATTACGTGATACTACTAATCATAATTCTAATTTACAAATTCAACTTGCAAAAATGACCTCACAACTTGAGTTGTTTTCCGAAAGATATAATATGCTTAATGAAAATATTGATATCTTAAAAAACGAAAGAGATAATGTTAGTTTAAGAAATCAACAAATGCAAGAAACAGTAGCTAAACAGGATTTAAGACTTTTTCATCTTTCTGAAGAAGTTATTGAGCTTAAATCTACTATAAATAACCTTAAAACAGAAGCAACGAATTTGAAAGCAGAAAAAGAGCTTTGGAAAAACATTGAAACACGGCTTATTAATGACAATGAGAATCTTACGATTGAAAAAAATCGTTTAAATAAATTATTGAGTGATCTCCAATCAATATTAAATGAAAAAGAAAGAATAGAAACAGAATCTCGTCGACGCTTAACAGAACAAAATGAATTAATAGAAAAAGAACTTCAACAAGCACGACGTAAAGCTATAGAAGAAAATGAAGAATATAAAAAACTAGTAATGCGAAAAGAACATGAGTTTTTAGAATACCAATCAAAAATTAATAATCTTACTACAAAATATTCAGAAACACACGAAAATTTGATTATAGCACAAACTACTCAACAAAATCTTCAATCAAAAGTTGACGAATTGAGCATCCTTCTTAAGTCTACAGAAGAAAAATTACTAGTTTATCAAAAAGATGCTTTTAAAACATCAGAAGACACATCATGTTCTAAAGAACAAGAATTAGAAATAGAAATAACAAATCTAAGGTATAAATGTTATATTTTTTACTATTATTTACTAAATATATAATAGAAGCTCTTTAGATATAGCAAAAGCAGAAGCTGTACAAGCAAAAAAAAATGCAGATCAAATGAAATTAATCAGTCTTGCAGCAGAAGAAGCATTACAAGATATGAATAATATTCATGATGAATATAAAATTGCAGTGGAAAAATCATTAGAAAATAAAGAAGTATTAATAATTTTTAATTTTATGTTTTCATTAAACTTATTTTTAGAATAATATTAAGGAATTAGAACAAAAAATAGAAATCATTTCTAAAGAATTAAAAACAACAAAAGAAGAATTGTTACAACTTCATACATCTCAAAATGAACAACACGAAAATTTTGAAAACCAAAAAAATGAACTAGTTACTAAAATTGAAAAACTTAAAGAAATCGAAGAATCTTCTATCAAAGCCCAAAACGACTATCAAGAAGACTTACGAAAACAATTCCAAATAGCTCAAGAAGCTCGTTTAAGTTATGAAAGAGAACTTATTGCTCATGCAGAGGCCAGAAATAGTCTACAATTATTAAGACAAGAAAATTTTGACATGAAAGCAGAAATATTAAGTTTAAATAAAGACAATGAATCATTTAAATTTCAACTTTCTGCTTCTGAAAATAGCTGGAAAGTATTAAAGGAAAATTATGAAAAAGAATTACACGACATTAAAACCAGGTTCATATAGAATATTTTTTATTTTTACTCTTAATCAAAAGTTTAGGTGTGATGAACTTGTTCAACAAAATAACCTTTTACATACTCAATTCGAAAATATAAGTCTTCAAGCTTCAAAATTACATAAAGTTACTAATGAAAATGATACATTTAATACGCATGATTCAAATAATTCAATGGAGCCTAATAAATCTATAGAAGATTTAAAAGAAGTAATCAAATTTTTAAGACGCGAAAAAGAAATAGTAGATTGTCAATATGAACTTAGCATACAAGAAAATAAACGTATAAAACAAGAACTTCAAAAAACACTAAAATCACTTGATGATACTAGATCTACATTAAGCTCTGAAAGACAACAAAGAAATGATTTAATTAATTCTGAATCACAACATCAAGATTTAATGAGCAAAATTAATGAATTAAACATATTACGTGAAAGTAATACAATTTTGCGTACCGAAAATAAAATAAATACTCAACGACTAAAAGAACTTGAAGATTCAGTTCAGAATTTAACATCTCAAATTCAGCCTTTAGAAGGTAATATGTTTATTTTATTTAATTTGTAGCACTAAAATTATAAAGATCAATTACGAGTACTTCAAGCAGAACATGAAGTAAAAGAATCTCAATTGAAATTAACACAAGAAGATAATGAAAAATGGAAAAATAGAGTACAGCAAATTTTACAAAAACATGGAGTATTTTTAATTAATTTTATTTAATTATTACTAACATTAAAAGCAAATTGACATTGAGGAATTTAAAAATTTAAAAAATAAACTTGTTTTATTTGAAACTGAAAATACTAAAATTTTGCAAGAATATCAAAATGCTAAAGAAGAAATCGATAAACTTAATCTTCAGGTATTACATTATAATTTTTTGTATTTGTATTAATTTATTTAGAATACAAATCTAGCTAATGCATGGAAAACAAAATATGATCGTTTATTAAGCCAAAGTAAAGAAAAAATTCAAGCAAACAGATTACAAATAACACAAAAAACTCAAGAATTAGAAGTTAAAGTGAAATTAGAAGAAGAATTAAAGAAGGAAATAGCTCTACTACAAGAAACTATATCTAAAGAACGGGAATCTAATCAAGAAAAGGATAAAATTAAATTAGAAAATACTGTAACTTCTCTTGAAAATGAAAAAATACAATGGGAAACGGAAAAGAAAAACTTAAATAAACTTCAAGAAGAAATAAAAGAAAAAGAAAAAATATTTACTGAAAAAATAGCTGAACTAGAAAAAGTTAAAGAAAATAGTGAACAAGAAACAAAAAAACTTAAGGCAAAAGCGCTTAGTTTTTTCAGAGAAAAAGTAAAATACACTTCTTTTATTATTTCTATATAGCTTACAAAATTAAGAACGCAGCACTTGAGGAACTTAAAAAAGTTAGAACTCAACTTAGCGAACTTCAGAACACAGATCAAATACCAAAAAGTTCTAATATGGATGAATTCATTGAGAAAAAAATACAAGAAAGATTATCAGAATTACAAAAAGATAAAGAAAATGAAATAGAATTACGAGTTAATAATCGTATAAAAGAAATACAAAAAAACTTTGAAAATGAAAAAATAGAAATATTAGAAAACGCAAAATTAAATAAAAAAATTAACGAAAATCTTAATCAACATAATATAGATTCTATTATTGATGATCGTCTAAAAGAAGAAAAAGAAAAATTAAAAAAAGAATATGAACAAGTTTTATTAACTAAAGAAACAGAACTTAAAAAAATACATGAAGAAAAATTAAAAGCATCTCTTGAACAAGCTAAAAAAAATACAACACCAACATTAAGAGCAGGTCCAATAAAAGAACAAATAGAAAAAGTTGTATCAAAGCGTTTATCAATAGAATTATCTAAAGTTCAAACAGAATGGGAAAATGAGACTCAAACAAAAATAAAGGATGCATTAGAAAAACAAGAACTTGAACTTAAAAATAAATATACACAAGATGTTGAAAATTTAAAAAAAGAAAATGAAATGAGAAATAAATTAAAACTATCTAAAGCAGAAAAACAAATTTCTAATCTAAAAAATAAAATATTACTATTAGAATCGAAAAAAACAGAACTATTGGAAGATTCAACCAAGTTAGATGATAGCGAAAAAGAACATATAGAAACAGAATCAGACATTCCAAGTTCAATTAAACATTTTGATGATAAAAATGAAGAAACTGCACTAAGTAAAAATCTCAAAAAACAAACAGAAGAAAAACAAGAAGATATACCTATAAAAACAGATATACCTTTAGAATTAGAGACTGTGACGAATACATCAATTAATAAAGAAACAGCTGACACTCAAACTACATCCAAAACACCAACAAAAGTACCTCATAATCAACTAACATCTCATCCAAAAACACATTCAAAAACTCTTTCTGCTACCGCACCAAGATTTATTCCTACAAAACGAATCAGAGAAAATAGTCCTATAACCACTGGATCACTACCCTTAAATTTAAGAAAACGAAAAGTAAACGAAGATACAAGATCTGTAAATAAGAAAAGTACATAATTCGGTCATAAAACATGTGTATTATTATTATAGAATATATTGTAATTTATATTTTTTGCATCGATCGGTACAGTATTATCTTAACTATCAATAAAAATATCATATTTTCTAAATATTTAACAAAAAATGAGTAAAAATTTATTAAATATTGATTTTCCTTGCACAATTGCTCTTGTTTTTTTAAAAACTTTCTTTAAAACACGCTAATTTTCGTAGGATATCAAGATAGAGGGCAAATTTCCTATTAAAATTGGATCAGGCAGTGTAATTCATCCTAAAGTGCTTATTGACAGTTCTTTTGGACCGTAAAGAATATTTATACGTATATATATATGTATTTTTATTGTGAATTAGTGTTTTTATTGGAAAAAAATGCATCATTGAAGAAAATTGTACAATTAAAGCACCAGACGAACAAGGAATCTGTATTAATGATACATGCATCATTGAATTTCGATCATTTGTTGAAGTATCTAGTATAGGATCTGGTACACGTATTAGTGCTGGGTGTTTTTTAAGTACAGGTTGTCATTTGGGTGAAGATTGTAAAATTATGCCAAAAACACGTTTTGAAAAAAAAACGTCCTTACCTGATGGAACAGTAGTATATGCAGATGGACAACAAAGGATTCTTGATCACTGCCTAAGGGTAATTTAGTACTTTTTATTTATTTTTATATATTTATTAAAAAAAGGCGTCCAAAAGAACACTTATTGAAAAACATGCTGAATATTTAACAAAATACTTAGGAAAATACAACCAACTTTATATCCCTCAGATTTAAGCATTGTTAGGCATTAATCTTCTATCTATAATTTCTAGCATATTTTTTCTGTCTTATTTTTATTACATATTATTACATATATTTCTTGATTCAGAACATTCAAATATATTTTAATATCAAAAAAAAGAAAAAAGGTAAAATAATCTCTTCAAAGAGATGCATTTTTTCTATTTATTTCATTAAATATTTTAAAACTCAACAAGGACCCACTGAGATTCGAACTCAGGTTTTTGGAAGACATAACATCAGAATCCAATGGACTAACCAACTATCCTATGGGTCCAGGAATAGCTCTAGAGCAGCAAATAAATTACTTAAATATCGATTAAATATTCAAGATTTTCGATTTCTAATAAAAAATATTTAAGGAAATTTACTAAATTTTATTAAAAAAACAAAAAAAGGTCTTAAAAAGAGAAAGACAAAGACATTAAGTAAAAGCATCAAACAGGTTTATTTTTCCCTGTTTTAAACAGGTTTTAAAATGGGAAATACAATTAAGTGGCTTTTTCAGTTTCCACCATTTCAGTTTATATCAAAAGAATTCAGAGAACTCTGTATTTTAGCAATCCGTCAGGGGCCGGTACCTAAACACATTGCTTTTGTAATGGATGGAAACCGGCGGTGGGCGAAACATATGAATCTGGAGTCAGCAGATGGACATAGTCGAGGATTTGAAAATATGAAGCACGTATGTCGAATATTTTTGATAATTAAAAAAGATTTAACTGTTAGATCTAGATTTTGGAGGTTTGTTATAAAGTAGGAGTAAAAGTTGTGACAATTTATGCATTTTCTATCGAAAATTTTAAAAGATCAAAATATGAAATTGATATTATTATGGATATCAGTAAAACACATTTGGCACAACTTTGTTCTCATGGGTAAGTGTGTTTTATGTGTTTTATTATGTATTTATTAGGATTATAGGGATATGGTAGATGAATATGGAATTCAGTTAAATGTTCTTGGTCAAAAATCATTATTAAAGCCTGATCTTCTTGAGGTTATAGAAAAAGCAACTAATATGACAAAGTCGAATACAAGGTAATCTAGAACTATTTTACCAATAAAAATAACAATAATAGAGTTGTTTTGAATATATGTTTTCCATATACTTCTCGTGATGAAATTACTACTGCAATACGTGAAATAGCAAATAAATCAAAGCTTGGGAAATTAGATACAGAAAAGATCGATGAAAAGACTTTAGATCAGCACATGTTCACTAATGGATGCCCTCCACTCGATATGCTTATACGGACAAGTGGGGTTCAACGGTTAAGTGATTTTATGTTGTGGCAAGTAAAGAATCAATGATAGATAAAACATTCTGTTTGAACAGTATTTAGTGTCATAAAACAACAAAAATTAAATTTGTAAGTTGCTATTGGCCCGAGTTTAATGCTTGGAAATTTTTACCTCTTATTCTTGAATACCAGTTATCAACATTTAGGTTTACTTATGATACAAATATAAACATATACAACTGACTTGAAACAGGAAAAAAGCTTTTTAATTTTTTGCCAGATAATGCACTATTTTTTAATATAAATAGAAAGGATCATGCTATTAAAATGTATACATATGAAGTCATTTAAAAATAAGTTAAAAATCATACTAACACTCTCATCTATGTATTTAAATATTCAATTGCCTTTTGCCAAATAGACATAATATATTTTTTACAATATTGTTATAAAATGTTTTTTTAGTTTTAAAATATATTTAAACTAAAATTGGTTTTAAAATAACACTTGATTTCCTCTTTTTAGCCTCAATTTCAAAATTATCATCAGGAAAATGCAAGCGAGTTCTTTTATCATTTCTTTTGGAAACTTGATTCATATTTGATATAACAGAGCTTTTAAAATTATCAATAGTATTATGTTTTTGTAAGCTAAGCCCTGCTTCAGAATTCATTAAAGACATAGATTCTTTTAAACATGGTCTTGTTTTAGCAGCACTATGTGTTGAAAGATCTTCATCATCAGTAGTATCTTGCTCAATATTATTATAATCAGTATCATTTATTTCTTTAGTAGGAATTCTTTTTGGTATTTCAGTATCTCGCAATTGAGAAAGCGGAGGAGTAGCATTTATAGTAAAACTGGATCCCCTATCAGTTGGATAAGAATTAGAAACAGAAAAAGTATCAACAAGCATTGAATTATTGTTGGAAACATTAGTATTTGAACATTTATCATTTTGAGAGAGAGAAACATTAATATCTTGCTTTTCATACTGAATAAAAAAATCAGTTATAAATAATAAAAGTAATAAATACTAACATGGTGACTAATTTTTAAAAGAGGCTGAAAATATTGTGAAAATAAACGCTGTTTATTTTCAGGATTTTTCACAACAGTCATTTCATCATTTATATTTAAACGTGCACTCTTTTTTGCAATAATATATCTTGAAATCCTATTTGATGTAATATCAGCTATAAACCCTTCTTGAAAAAGCCTTTTTAGAACTTGATTTGCATTTTGTCGAGTAGACCCTATTTAATAATAAATACAGTATTCTGCGCATTAATCAATTAAATATTTACCCAATCTATCTGAAAATTCAACAATATTTCTCGGAAGCCCTTCTTCCCAAACAATCATAAGGCCTCTTCTAAACAAAGCTAGATCTTTCATACTCTCATATAAAACTGGTTCAGATTTTTGAAGAAGACAGGAATAACAAGAATGATCATCAGGTAAACGTTCATCATTACCTGATATAAAACCATAACACCATGCATGAACCCATGATTGACATACATAACATTGAATCTAAATACTTTAAACATTTCCTTTTATAAATAATAATTATGTACCATATCGCCATCCTCAGCAGTATCTCCACATTCACAGCGTATTACACTTATGTCTCCACTACTCTCTAATACCAGATTAAATTTATTTCTTATCGTAATAATTTTGCTTTAATAAGTACCTTTTGCTGTAGTTTTAAGATAATTTAAACGCTTTCTTTCTTCATTAAGCTCAATTTCTTTCTTAAAATTCAAAATTAATTTGGATACACCTTTCGTTATCGAAGAATTCTTATTTATATCTAAATTTGTTGATACATCTTCTATTTTAAAATTTTTCGCTTTAATATCATCCTCAAAAGACAACTTTGAGTGCATAGGAATTGGATTTTGAGTCAACTGGGAAAAATTGGAATCAAGAGGCTGAGTAGCTTCAAGTCTTGAATCTTGAGTATGTGTAACAAGCTAAAAAGTCTATTTAATAATTCTAAAAACTTAATTAAACATACCATTTCTTTAATGGCAGCATTTTCCTTTTCATATTGCTCATTGTTATATTTCAACGGAGAATGACTATGAGGATTTTGTTGAGAAATAGAATGCAATGGCTCAAAACAAGTTTGAGATTCTCTTGAAGAATTTAATATAACAGTTTCATTGTTTTTTCGGCCAATTTCTAAAACTCCTACCCCAGGAACATCTTCTTCGGCAGTTAACATTTTAATTTGCTTACTATAGTATTCTTCATAACTTTTACATTCAGACACAGCATCTGCTATACTCGTAATTTTAAGTGTTATTCTATTCAATAATAAATACAAGTTAGACAAATAGAACCCTTACGCATGAAACCCAGTATCCATAGATCCGGCCGTTTGCTTGTAAAAACTAGTGTTTCCAGGATCAACTGCAAATGTAAATGGTTTCTCCATCGTACAATCACGAAACATCGGTGGTTGATAATCTTGAGGCGTTGTATCTGTATAAAATAGCTTCATCGTGATATATCTATGCATATTTTCTAAATCTAAGTTTAGATTTGAAATCCTAAATTCAAAAATATACCCACCCGGTAAGGGTGAAAGATTCTGAGTCAACGTAATCAAATTCCTCAATAGCAACTGTATACACCGCTTTGCATACTCTTCTTCTACACCAAAGCTCTGCTTTTCCCCTTTTGAATTAACAACATTCATAATAGGCTTCATATCTCGTCCACAATATGCAAAATTAAATGTATATGATTCAAAAATATTCGTCGAATCATTTGGATCAAAATATATTGCAAACAAAATCGATCTTAAATACTTCTTAGACAATGCATCATAAACACCTTGGTTCTAGCATGGATGAACATATATTTTACAACAAGAAACAAGTAAACCAAATAATCCAACAACAAATCTGCTTCTTCTGAAAATCCTCTCTTAATCTTCATAATCCTAGTGCCTGAATTCACTGCTACTGATGATTTATTTGGCTTTTGGTTATATCTTTCTTCTGAAAAATTATCATCAGGAAAAAGACCTCTAAAAACACCATCAATCACGCATATATCAAGGAAAAAAACACAAAATTCACCTCACATACAGAATACACCCAAATGACGCTTCTATCATTGTCTGGATCAATTGTTGCGATGTTGATGGCGTTGTATGCGTCATCACTGATGGCCGTTGTAGCTTGTAGTTAATCAGAAACTTGTAAAATGATGTGATATTAAAGACTACCTGTGCCTGTGCCACCATAGCTCTTAAAACCACCTTTTTTCTTCAATTTCTACGTCAAAATTTATGTTTTGATTTAATTTAATTTTTTGGAAGATCTCAGAGACGTTGAAATTATAAAAGCTGATAATCCAATATAAAAAAAAATACATAAATCCATGAATAATATAAAGAATCTTCAAAGTAAAATTGAAAAATGAAGAATGGAATAAAATGTTTTCGCCGTGCTTTAGTGTCTTTTATGACATTGCATCCCATAGATCATTAGCAAAACAACCATTAAGCAGCCTATCTTAATATTTTAGCATAGATAGATTCTTGTTTGCAATATAAGCCTATTTTCCATGTGTAGATATAAAATATCTAAGTGTCTGTATTCAAGATAGCTGTAGGACAAGTATGATGGGCAAAATACTTGCTTATGAAGAACCGTGTGCATGTATTCTTCTAGAACATCTGGACTTTATGTGTCAAGTTTAGTTGATATTTTTTAAAGTATCTTTAAATCATTTTTCTTGTTTTTATAACGAGGTTTTTTAAAAACCGGAGCAAAAAACTTTTACCCATTCAAATACCCTTTTTCCAACTAATTAGTCTTTTTTTGAATTCTAAACACACAAATCAGAATATTCACCATAAATCTCACACAACTCGCCTTTTTTGCTGTATTTATACATCATTTGATTTCATGCACCTTCTATAGACATCCATTTTATATATACACATTAGTCTTTCTTAACATCTTTGCATCTACACTCAGCTCCCCCCCAAATATACACTTATCTAAATCTAATTCAACGTAAACCCGCCCCCTAGATACATCTTTCAAACACTTTAAACACCCTTCTACATCCTTTTCCCCAGGCATCTGTATATACTTGCACAATCAAAATTTTTAACTCAAACCCTGGCTTTGGTAAACTTGCTTGTCCAAATATGTTCATTACACTAGTATTAATCCTAATTAATACGCCCTAAAATCGTGTTTTTTTTAAAACCCCACTAAATACCTATTAAAAATTTATTAGGTATAGCTATTAATAATTTTATACTATATAAAAATCCTTGTTTATATTTAATTCTTCTTTATGTATAAACAAAAGAGCACTGATCTTCTCACATTTCTTCACAAGTGATATGCCATCTTGTTCATCATGTATTATATATTATACCTTATCAAAAGACATTATATTTTATCTATAACGTATATAAATATCCGTAACGACATATTATAAAACCAGCCTCCCTATATGAAAAAAACTCTTAAAAGCTCTATTAAATTATATAAATTATACTGAATATCACGGAAAACACCTTAAAAAACAAACATGCATTAGTCTAACCTGTCTTAATGGCATACAAACAATGTCTACTCAGGAATAAAGAAACCCCACATTATGGGTGCCTTTATACTAAAAACACTATTTTAAACTAAGATCAATATTATCTAAAAACAAAAACTCTAATAGCCAGCCCAATATTAAGAAAAACAATAGTGCATTGTGTTAATAGTCAGAAACTAAACTAACCACGTGTTAGCAAAGAGTGACAAAAACATATTTTTGAAATTAACTCTAAAGCTAAAAAAAAAGAAAATAAAGCAAGATGGAGTATAGGAAATATTAAAAAAAGAACAAATACGACTAGATTTATTTATATTTCTGTTTATATCCTTGTTAGATTGGTAAAAAAGAGACTGAAATATAAAGGTCAACATAAGTGTGCAGCATTAGGACATTGAGAACTGTAGTACAGTGGTCGGGTTAATACGGGTGTATTAACATTAAAAAGGAGTATTTGGGATAGGATTACAGGTCTCTGGAAGACTTGCCATGGATATCTTGGAATTGATTAATCTTAAGCATAACCGTCACCGGGGGAGTGGTTCCCGTCCTTATATATGTACGTGGGAGGGATGTGCAAAGGTTAACAAAGCACTATGGAGGGCATTTTGTGTATTGGTGGCTTATATATGGTAGGAATTTGGACGCAGGTCAGATCTTGTTCGACACAAAAGAATCCATACCAACGAGCGTCCCTATTTATGTAATTATCCTTACTGTGGCAAATCGTTTATTCAGCGGTCGGCATTGACTGTGCATGAACGGGTGCATACGGGTGAACGCCCACATGTTTGTGAATGGCCGGGTTGTGGGAAATGTTTTAGTGATGTAAATATATGGTTTATATTTTTCAGCATGTAATTTAATGGGTATAGTCTAGTTCACTGGCACGTCATCGCCGGATTCATACGGGAAAACGGCCGTATATTTGTGAATATACTACATGCTTGAAAAGGTATGCATTTGTATGTTGTGATACAATTTGAATAAACGTTTCAAGTTTTTGTCGTAAAACTACACTTACAAAACACATCCGGCGTGCTCATCATAATCGAGTAAAAACAGATGAAATTGATGTGAATGTTTTGAACGGATCCTCCTATATTACACAGGATGTATCTCGTCCATTTTTTATAAAGGATGTTTTTAAGGATCCAAACTATCAACATTATACACCGCAAATGTTATCGTCTATGTCCATGCATTATACAGCGCCAACGCAATATGAGCCGCTTACGCCTCAGTCGTCTGTAATAAGGGATATTGATGATGATTTGGACCACTCATCACCACAATCTATTGTTTATACACCGTCACAGTATGGTTATTTGCCATATTATCAGCCGTCATTTGCACTCAACAATACAATGTCGCCTTCTATGTCAACATGTTCTCAAAAACAGTCAGATAATTATTTATTTGATTATCAATCCCAAATGGTATCCAATGCAAACCTATCTCCTACACAGTATGAATATCCTTCTCCTCAATTGGGTCTTGTTCAAGAAGAAGCATCACTCTGGGAGTGGCCAAAAGACTCCAATAATCTTACACCATCTAGTATATTTAATACTCATGTTTGAATTGTTTTCATTTAAATATCAGGGTTAAACTAATGGTTGGCGACTAGTTTTTTAGTAAATTCGTAAATCATAGGAGGAATTCAAACACTATTATACAGTCATCTGCTATTTTTTTTTAGATAATTGGACTTGAAATCATATTTTCATGATTTTATAATATTTATGTCGAAACAAATTTTTATTTCAAAATATCTATTATTTTTATTAAGACTATATATATTATCATTCATCTTTAAGACCTTGATACTATCTGATTTTACATTTTTAGATTGTTTTAATCTAAATGTACTATACTGTTTCACTAGTGTCACATGTCTTCATTAAATTTTTGTTTTATTAAATACAATACATATTTAATAATATAAAAATAGCACTACAGACTAACTAAAAATTTTGTTCTTTATATTGGTTTTATTATACAAGCATAATTTTCATTTTATTTTTACTATATTTATAAATATTTCGTCCATTATTTGTAAAAAATATATGCTTTTCTTATTTAAAACATATAAAGTTACTAAAGAACACATTAAATATGTCTTTATATATTTTTATGTACAAATTGTACAAATTATTTATCTGTTCTGTTATCCACTCAAAATCAGTATTTTATCGATTTTTAATCACGAACTTTTTATTTGTAATAAAAAAATCATCAAATGAACAATAAAATAATCATTAAAACATCTCATAAGGTACAATTTCTGCTTATTTTACATAAATTGTTAGAATATCATATTTATTCCTATAGTTTATTGCTCCTTATTTAGGTTTTATCAATTCATTATCACTTCTTTCTGGAGATTATGTTCTTACAAAAAAAATAAAATGTCGCAGATTTTTAAAAAATAATGCATATGAGTTAAAAAATACAGTAAGACAAGTGTATTTTTCAGCATTTTCTAATTGAAGAATTTTTTTTTAATACCTAAATACTTGAAAACAAATTTTGAATATTTAATGTATAAGTTTTACAAAAAAAAATATTATGAAGATAAAGCTACAAAATCTGGTTTGGAGAAGGCATTTTCTCAGCATAATAGGTTCAAGATTTCCATACTTGTGCCATATCGATCATATTCAACTCTTCAGTCATTTACAAAAGCAAAACATTCAGAATCATGCTTATCTAAAAACTCGCATTCTTTAAAAACATACTTAAATTTATGTCCTGTTTTATATGTGAAATGTTATAGATCTTCGAGTCAAAATCATAATCGCTATCTTGCAGATTTGGAAGAAAAAGCAAATACATACATTGACGATCCTAAACAACAATATGCATTTTACAAGGTATTTTGCTGTCTATTTAACAGTATATTATTTATAATTAAATAGGCATTATTAAATACTTATCCTGAATTCATAATATCACATTATGAACGCTCCGGAGCAGCAAGAAATAAAGATTGTGATTTGATGTATGCAAAAGCACTAGAAAATACTGGACAGTTGGAAAAAGCGTTGATTGTGCGAAGATATATAAACACTGATCCTCAAGATGCATCCTCTTCTAGCATTGCGCAAAATTCTAACAATATTTTTTCAAATACTCAAGAAAAATCAAAAAATACTTTTAATAAACACTCTTCATTTAATCTTCCATACAAGTCTATGTTCCAATCCTTTTCAGAAGATAGTAAGAAGAATCCAATTTACGTTATCACAGAGGAATCACGACAAGCTAAAATTTTTAAATGGGCTCGATTTCTTTTATCATTTACTTTTGTTGGATATATATTTCTTTTATTGTCTTCAATATTTGCAGAGAGTGCAGGTGTACTACGATCAATAAGTAAATCTCAAGATATTGAAGCTTCTGGTGATAATTTACCGGATGTGAAATTTAATGATATTTGCGGAGTTGATGAAGCAAAAGAAGAGCTTCAAGAAGTGGTTGATTTTTTAAAAAATCCACAAAAATTTACAGCACTAGGAGGGAAACTTCCTAAAGGTGTATTACTTATAGGTCCTCCTGGGACAGGGAAAACTATGCTTGCGAAAGCCGTCGCAAAAGAAGCAGGTGTTTCTTTTTTTTTCATGGGTGGTAGTGAATTTGATGAAATGTATGTTGGAATTGGTGGTATGTATTTAATTATATTTTAAACAATTTTAACACTAATATAAGCAAAACGTGTGCGTGAGTTATTTAATATAGCAAAAGAGAAATCGCCAAGTATTGTATTTATTGATGAATTAGATGCTATAGGGAGCAAAAGGAATCCAAAAGATTCCGCTTATATAAAACAAACGCTAAATCAATTATTGGTAGAATTGGACGGGTGAGTTATTATACATGTATATATATAACTATAATAATATGCATAAGTTTCTCAAATAAAGAAGGTGTTGTTATTATGGCAGCAACAAATTTTCCGGAATCTTTAGATCCCGCACTTACTCGTCCTGGTCGTTTTGATAAACACGTTGTTGTTCCTTTACCTGATGTTCGAGGAAGACTTAGTATTCTTAAACATCATACAAAAAAAATAAAAATAGCTCAAGATATTGACCTTACTATTTTGGCTAGAGGCACTCCAGGTTTTTCAGGTGCAGATCTTCAAAATCTAGTAAATCAAGCGGCAATAAGAAGTAGTAAATCAAATTCTACATCAGTTTCAATGAAAGATTTTGAATGGGCTCGGGATAAAATTCTTATGGGTATACAAACTATGTATTATAAAGTAATATTTTTAATGTTGAAGGAACTGAACGTAAAAGTGCATTTATTACAGAAGAAAGTAAAAGAAATACTGCATATCATGAAGGAGGACATGCTCTTGTAGCTTTATATACTCCAGGCGCAATGAAATTGCACAAAGCGACAGTATTTTAACTTATAATTTTAAAAATTTAGTTAAATTGTTCTAGATTATACCTCGTGGAAATTCTCTTGGTATGGTTATGCAATTACCAGATATGGATAAAGATAGTGAATCTAAAAAAGAATTTTTAGCCAAAGTAAACATTATAATTTTTCAATAGTTTTTGTTAATTTCGAATAAGATTGATGTTGCAATGGGCGGACGAGTTGCTGAAGAGCTTACACTTGGAAAAGAAAATATCACATCAGGATCATTAAGCGTATAGTTATTCTTAAATTTGTGTAATTGTATTAACATGAGCAAAAAGGATATTCAAAATGCTACTGCTATAGCAAAAGCAATGGTGACACAATATGGAATGAGCGATAAGGTCCTAAAACATTTGTTTATTGTCTTTTTGTTTTAATACTCTCTTTTAGGTGGGTCCTGTTGCATATGATCAAGATTTATCACGTTTGTCATCTTCTACAAAAGCACTTGTGGAATCAGAAATAAAAACACTTTTAGAAGAAGCACAAGCTCGTGCAACAAACATTCTTAAAACACATAAAAAGGAATTAGATCGGCTTGCTAAAGCTCTTATTGAATTTGAAACACTGACTTCTGAAGAAATAGAAAAAGTTGTTCGTGGTGAAAAAATTGATCATTTAGAGTAAAAATATAGGCACATCTACTTAATTCAAACATTTATCTATTTTCAAGCCTCATTTATGTATAATACTTAAAACTAAAATATACTCTATTAATAAAAACATACTCAGATATTTTAATTTCTGTTATTCATTTAAAAATTAAAATCAAGCATTTTCTTAATTTCTTATTATCTCATTGTAACCTTTAGCTTATTTTATCTTATATTTATATGTATTTTTGTCTTCTTTCATACGCGTTATATATCCACTTTTTTCTATGCTTTGTATATCGTAGCTAATTCACCCTCTCCCATTTTCTAACCCCCTCTAAACATCCACAAAACAAAAAAAAGAAAATTTAAAGAATAAAGCCAAATATTGAGGAAAAATAACTTTTGGGTATTATATATATTTGTATTTAAAAAAGCAGTCTTTTTTTTCCAGAAAAAAAACGTCAAAATCAGTGTATTTAAGAAAAATTGTCTGATAAGTAAAGATTAATTGTTATATATACGTAGCTAATTGGTAATTTAAGTTAATGTGCATTCAAGTTTAAATTTATATACTTAAAAGAATGGAAACACCTTTATTATCCAATTCTACACAGCCTATATCTGTAAAAAATAATCAAACATGCATGACTACAATACCAGGACTGGAACGATCATCACATACATGCTATGCATCAGAATCAGACAAAATGGTATATACAGATGCTCCAACTGTTGCTAAATTTTCATTTGGACCTATTACACATACAACAGTCGTAACAACAACTACTACAACTACTACAAATTTTCCACCTATTGTGTTTTATCCGCCCAAGAAGAAACATGATTTTGATTCAAAACAATATCCACTTTATAATGTTCCTACACCTGCTTGCTTAAAACGGTTTTGTTTTGATATTGATGGAAAACCTGCATATTTTCGTGAAAGTGAGGATCCATATGAATCACTTCAAGAAGTAATACTCAAAAAAGTATTTTGATAGAATTTTAACACTTTGTAGTTGCAAAAAGATATTGAACGTCTTAAAAAAAACAATGAAGTCACAATAACTATCACAGAAAATTATGATCATCCTTTAAAACAGAAAACTACAGAGCTCATAGAAAAAGAAAAAAAAGAATCAATTCTAGAAACTGATTCTTCATTATCTGAATCATTTCAAACAGTACATACCAATTCTACGATTTTATATCAAGAACGGCAAACGTCTAACACTTTAGCTACATCTAAAGATGAATCTAAATATATTAGAAAGAAACTATCTTCTGATATTGAAACAAAAAGTTTTCATAATACAAATGACACACTTTCTTTAAATATTTCTAATAATGATAATGTTTCTGCAAAAAATATACATAATTTAGATTTGGATAAAAATATTCACAGAAATAATATAAATGATGCAGTTCATGATCATATAATTTCTAACGATTTAGGTGATTTTCAAAATCAGTCTTCTATTGAATCTAATTTATCATCTCATCAATTTCTTCCACTTCCTTCACCATCTCTTTCACCACGTATAACTACTTTAAATTACGCGAATGAATCTTGTCTTACAACAGAAAAAAATGGCTTGAATACCCCTGAAACTATCAGTGATGAAAGTGAAAAAAGTACTCATGAACAAATAGATCCAAAAGAAATCAACAATGTGCTTGTTTTATCAGGTCAAGGGAATTCAATAATTCGAATTCCGGAAATTTTGAATATTTTTGATAATTTGCCACCTAATGTTCAAACATATCTTATACATCATTTACTTCGTCGATGTAATAAGACAACTTTGCAAGTTGTTGCTAGTGTAGTTAATCCAGCTCTTAAACGGGATTTTCTTGCTCTTCTACCATTTGAATTAGCACTTAACATTTTAAAAGATTTAGATATAAAATCTCTTTGTCGTGCGTCTCAAGTATCAAAAAAGTGGAAACAAATTGTTGATACAGATGAATGGATTTGGAAATTGCGTTTTGAAGCAGATGGATTTAAATTGCGGGAAAACGAGCTTGATCAAGTTATATATGAAGGTTGGCATTTTCAACATATAAGTTCAAATAATACATCATTTCGTATGCTAAAAGAAATAAAAAATATCCCATGTACTAATTCAAATATTACGTTCTCTAAAATTAAAAAATTTGGAAAATTTCAAAACATACAAGATAAAAAATATACTCCTATAGAATGTCAAGGAACCACAGAAAAACATTTTGAAGAAATAAAAAATAAAGAAAATCATTTTACTTTTCCAAAACAGTATTTATTTAAAACATTGTATAAAAAACACCATATTATTCGGAAGAATTGGATGAATCCTAATATAAAACCACGGCATATTTCATTTCGAGGGCATGGTCGAAATGTTGTTACATGTTTACAATTTGATGCAGATAAAATTATTACAGGATCTGATGATAGTAGTATAAACGTTTATGATACATCAACAGGAAGACTTCGAAGAAGATTACAAGGTCATGAAGGAGGCGTATGGGCATTACAGTATTTGGGGAATACTCTTGTATCAGGCTCTACAGATCGTACAGTACGTGTCTGGGATATTGCAAAAGGTGAATGTACACAAATTTTCGAAGGACATATATCAACAGTTCGTTGCCTTCAAATTTTAACGTCTATAAACATAGAAGTTATTCACAATGGAATTAAAAAACAAATAAATACATCGCTAATTGTAACTGGATCTCGAGATTCTACTTTGCGCGTATGGAGACTTCCACAGCCTGGTGACGCTCATTATAGACCATCGCCCCCATCCTCTCCAAATGAAGCTACTGCAGAAAGTACTAGTGTTTCTATTAATCCTTATTATATAAGAACTTTAATTGGTCATACAAATTCTGTAAGGGCAGTTTCCGGATATAATAATATTTTGGTCAGTGGAAGTTATGATAGTACAGTTCGAGTTTGGAGAGTTTCTACTGGTGAATGTATATGGAGACTAGTTGGACATTCTCAAAAAGTATATAGCGTAGTAATAGATCCAAAACGAAATAGATGTGTAAGTGGAAGTATGGATTGGAAAGTAAAAGTTTGGAGTCTTAAAACAGGCACGTGTCTTTGGACATTAGAAGGTTTCTCAATATTTAATAATTATTAGCAAGTATTGATTAAATATTATAGGCCATAGTTCTTTAGTAGGTCTTTTGGACCTTTCATATGATTATTTGGTATCAGCAGCAGCGGATTCTACATTACGAATATGGGATCCAGACACAGGAAAATGTATACATGTACTTTCTGCACATACAGGGGCTATAACATGCTTCCAGCACGATGAAAATAAAGTAATTAGTGGCAGTGATGGACTTCTTAAGATGTGGGATGTCCGAACAGGTCGTTTTGTAACCAACATACTTACTGATTTATCGGGAGTTTGGCAAGTTCGATTTGATGAGCGTCGTTGTGTTGCTGCAGTACAAAGAGATCATGTTACTTATATCGAAGTTTTAGATTTTGGTGCAGCAGCAGATGGTGTACCTGAAGAAGAAAGGGGTCGACGAATTGTTGTCGATAATACTATTTTAATGGATGATTTGATTCAAATAAATAGTGATGTAGTCTAATCAGGTTGCATTATTTTTTCAATTTTTAAGCGTCAAACATTTTTCTCTTGAAATATTATTTAAAATAAATCTAAGTACGAACTGTTTATCTAATATTACTAACATAGGAATATTGTTTATCAACAAGATTTGACTACTAATATATATTAAGTCTGATTTTTAGCATAGAATGTAAAGTGACGCTATAAATTAAATAAAACTTATGATTTTTCCTTTTAGAACAATTTATTATTATACATATTTCATATCTTAGATTTTTAGAAATCAAAAATATCTTCAAATCATTTAAATTAACTTCTGACTTTTAAATATATTTTTCTTCAAATTTTTATAATACCGAAACCATAAAAAAATGAAAAAATGCCAACGGTTTCTCATTTTTCGCTAAAAAGACTTAAAGTAAAGCCTAAGAAGACTTACAATATCCGTTTGTGCCAGGAAATCATTCTTATATATTTTTTCATTTTTTATTAGATCCATGTACTGCCGAAATGGCTGCTATGCTCGGATGCTGGGCAAGTCACGGAAATAAACCTGATAATGTACTTTGCGAAGCCTTTGCAAATGCATTGAAAAAGTGCATGGAAAAGAAGGTAAATTATACATTATTGTAATTCAATTTATCTTTTTATAGATTCAAAAAACTAAACCAGTAAATACTATTAACTATCATCTTGCCCGTCTCAAAAAATTGTTATAAAGCAAAAGACATATACAAAAAGGATAAATACACATATATAAAGCATCTGTTGCTTTAAACATACATAAGTATGATACAAACAGATGTTGATATCATTTCATAGCAACAGACGGCGTTACTATAGCAATCAACCTAGATCTTAGCAACAAAGATATGATAAAACCATTTTTCATTATTTTATGTTATTTTTCATTCTTTGATTGAATATATTCAATCAGCGAATGAATTGTAATAATCCTAATATTATATTCTTTCGAAAAAATTAAACAATCATCTCTTCGTGACATAGAACCATCTTCCTTTACAAGTTCACATATTGCTGCACCTAGATGTAGCCCACTTAGCTTACACATGTCTGCATCTTAGTATTAGTTTATTTTTTATAAACTAGATATACCAATGGCAGCTTCTGTATGTCCCTGTCTAACAAGCACACCGCCTTCTCTTGCTTTTAATGGAAGTACATGTCCAGGACGATTAAACAACTGAGGATCCGTTACAGAAGGATCAACAAGCATTCGAACTGTCAAAGCACGATCTCGTGCTGATATTCCGGTTGATGTTTCTGTCCATAGATTTAATTTTTTTTTTTACAAAAAACATCCCCAAATACCATTAAAATCAACTGTTACTGTATATGCCGTTTTCATTTTGTCTGTGTTGCATGCAACCATCATAGGAATATCTAATAAATCCAAACGCTCCGCTGTTAATGGTACACAAACAAGTCCACTTAAAAACGTCAAAATCTCTTCCAAAACGCCCCAAAATCTCTTTAAAAGACACAGTATCGTACCTTGTATATCGAACCATAAATGCCATCTTCTCAGGAGTCATATACTGTGCTGCAAGCACTAAATCTCCCTCATTTTCACGTGTTTCATCATCCATTATAATAACAAAACGCCCCACTCCTAAACAAAAATAAGAATTACTATACCATCTTCCATTGCTTAGAATTTATGAAATCTTACGGAAATCATCTAATGCTGCTTCAATTGAATCAAACATTTAAATTTTAAGGAATCAAGTTTTTGTGCTACAAAATCTTTTTAAAATATCTGTCAAAATACCCAAAAATTAACAAAAATCGATTGATATTCCTAAAATAATGTAAATATTTATATTATTTATATTATACATACAATATACAGTTTATATATCCATTATATGTTCATAATATATGTTATGTGATATTGTACTGAGTCGATATATACAGTACACGGAGTAATGCCTAAATATATTTGTAAATAGATTTAAACATAAAGTATAAATACTATATGTATTAAATATATATACCATGTATATTATATAAACCACAAATACTTTTTAACTATATAATATTCATTCATTATACAGAGCCTTGTAAAGCCTTATAAATCTTTTAAACTGTATTCTTAGTTAATATTTTATTTACTAAAGTGTGAAAAAAAGAGTTTTTGAGATGAAATATTAATATTAATATATAAAACGGTTCGTAAAAACATCTCGTGAAATAATTAATAAAAAGTATAATAAAAGGTTTCTCAATGTAACTGGTCATAAAGAAAACATAGTATGTTATTTGATGCAGTATCATGTACAATACCGCCAATTCTGGATGCCAAATCTACAACATGTTTAAATATTGTTGATTCTGCAGCATTTTTATCTGAATATTTAGGAAAAGCAACTCGACCAAACACCCATGTATCACAACAAACAAGCACAAACGGCTCACTTGAGATCCGTATGGTACTACAGAATGCAGGAGCAAACGCCCAGCTGTATAAAATTCTACAGCATCTTGAAACATATGATGTAAAAGATATTCAACTACCAGAAAATGAGAAAGAAAAGCGATCAAAGAAAAAAAAACACTCTAAAGATGAATCAAAAGAAAAGCATTCCAAGGATGAACCGAAGAAAAAACATCTTAAAGATGAGTTGAAGAGAAAACATTCTAAAGATGACTCAAAAAAACATTCGAAAAAGAAAAAAAAAAGTCGATCAGATGATGCATCTAATTAATCATTATCTACATGTAAATGTATTTAATTAGTTGTGGATTAGAAAATATATTTGTTAAAACACACCTACATCAGAAATAGCTAGAGGATATTCTAGAAACCTTAGGTAAGTATATAAATATATATATACATGCAGTTAATCAAATACGGTTAAGTTATTTTTGATTTAAAGTTATAATGTTTTAGCTGAAAGAGACTATGCTTTAAATTGCTAAATTTTGTCTGATCTTGTCGGAACTTAATTCATTTAACATATTTCCACCAGATTCGACTTTTCAGATAAAGTTTTGCTTAAACAATCATTAGGTTCATAACTAATTCTTCTTTCATTTAATCAAACTTAATTACATCGGCATTAGTTTTTTAACTCTGTTTTTCTGGTTTTAATGATGATATTTTAATCGATTCTTTTAAATCTGATATTTTACCCTGAAGAAATGGAACCCATTTTAAGCAACTAGGTTTTACTGATTGATATCCTTTTTGTATCCATTTATTACATATGTCTTGAAGTTTACTTTGATCCACTCGAATTACAAACATTTTTGAAACAGGATCATGTACTAATGCATCCAACCTTTCTAATGCAGAAATTACATCGTCTGGCGTCATTGATGTTCTTTTAGAAATTTCCTGGATACTAATTGGTTCTCTCAAGTTGCATAATTCATAACACATCCTAATTTTCCAATAATTCCGATATGATATTAATCCTAAATATGACAAAGGTTTCTCTGGTGTTCCCACTTTTCCCTCTCGTTGACTTAAAAGATAACTAAACTCAATTAAAAAATTACCATATCCTCTACGTTGGTAAATAGGAAGTGTTAGTATACAAGATACATTATAATCGCTACTTGATCGTTTTTCCTTTACTCCATTAGCAAATTCTCTTTTGGTAAAGTAATTACTTTAGAAAAATAACCTATGAAATGGCATCCTACATCATCATATTCTGTCACAATATAAAACAAAAACGGCTCAATATCATAATACAATGTTTTTGATTGTAAAAACATTTTTGCAAGAAGACAAAGATTCTGACAATAAATCTAACCCATTATTAATTTTTAAGAAAAAACAAAATCTAAAAAAAACACAAGCTTACCGGACTTTTCCGTCCATCCACTTCAAACACAGACAATGATCCATCTCGGTAAATCTCATCACCTGGAGGACATTTTATTGGACATTTTAGCTATATAATTCTATCAGTTTCTTGCTACTCTGCACGTGACTTACCCTATGTCGCCAAGCAACATATTCACTATTCATATATTTTAAACAAAATTCACAAATATAAATCACCCTGTTTCGACTATATTCTTCAGGATATGGCGAAACGTACCATGCATCAATCTCAAAATTACCAAATTGAACCGACTGGATCCCAGTTACTGAAGTCGCTGTCATATCAGCTGTTTGTAACATATTGGCACGCAGTTTTTCTGCTTTATTTCCTGCTTCAATAAATGCTTCGCGGTCTATTTCTTCAGGTACTGTTTTTGACGTGTCTGCTTCATCTGCTGATAAAATACCTCCAAATGGTAGATCAGAAAATCTTCCAAATATACTTCTAAACACTCCATTTTCCCCCTCTATATTTCCCTTGAATTTAAGCTGCTGTAACATACTCAATTCAATTTTAATTATAATATAAAGGCTCTCAAGAGATCGACGCTCAATCTGTACATGTACGCGCCGTCCTTGAGCATTACGAGCTGACCATGGTAATTTTAAATACCGAGGACGAAGTACTCGGTCACTTGTTATATCTGATGTCTTTTCCTGTTCAACTAATTCTTCCTGGCCTTCCTGCTATATTTTATTAACTAAAATTTTCAAATATTGCCCCAGACATGCTGTAAATAGCAGTAATAAGTAACATTAAGTAACAACTAAGCCGTAGATGAATAATAACTAAGCAATACATGTATTTTTCTCCATTTGACCCATAAATACATCCTATACACAACTTATGAATATCATGTATGCAATATTCTGCGTACAAACGTTTCTATCCCATATACACTTCATCTATACGCTTTCTATGTGTCATATGTATCATATATGTATCATATATGTATCATATACCCGTATTATATCTGTATTATATGCATATTATATGCATTGTATATCTGTACTCATATGTTTATGCACATATTAATATTCTGCTTATATATTTCACATCCTATTCACTGAATATGCGTATTATATGCCTTTATACACCTTTATATGCATGTCATATATTTTCATATGCATAATATATGTATTATATGTATAGTATATGCGCGTTATATGTATTGCATTACACTATACCTTCCATTTCCATTATAATTATCCTATTTTATGCCAAAAATCTCCTTAAATAGTCAATTATATATGCTCTTAATCGTTCTATATTAACTTGTATATTTTTTATCAGATACACCATAAACTAATTCAACTGTTCAATTATACAGCAAAACTCAATCATACGCGTCTTTTATAGTGTAATATATCCCATTATATATTTTATACCGCTCCTAAACTGCATATATTGTATATACTGTATATACTATATATTTTCATCTTTAATCAGTTAACGTTCTGGTATATAAGCATATTTCACTTAAATACGTATAATCAAATTATCTTCTGCACCACTGGTCTGCAAAACACTTCGATTTGCTCAAATATATGCATAATACACACATATACACACATATACACACATAATTAGAGCTATAACACGTAATTGATGCTATATTAGGACTATATGCGTGATTCTGTGCCATTATATAAACCATTTGTACGTAATCAGTATGTATATCGAGATATATGCAATATTTATTCTATACAAAAAGTGCAAAATAGAGCTCAAATAGGCGCATATAATCACCAAATACGCGCATATAGCATTTAAATAGGCATATACAGTGCTCAGTGATGTATTTAGCTTTGATTTGACTTTGAATCAGGTACTATATGTATTAAATATCCGTATTACTTGTATATTAACAGTGCATCTACAACAGCAATATGTGCTCATGTTTACTCTGTATTCTGAGGCATTCTGAGGCAAAAACTTACCTTATTCATAGTGTTTAAGCTTTTATTTCAAAAATATCAGAAAATATTCTGAATCTACTTTTATAAATCTATTTAGAGTTTTATCATCAATTATTCTTATCAAAATCGTTTTTACTTTATTTTCAAATTTTTTCTTATTTATTCTGTTATTTATCAGGTTATTCAGGGTTAATAAAATTAACTACGTAGCTAATGGGGCAAAATAGACATATTTACGGTGTTTATTAAATAGATTTGCAGATTGTGTTTATTGCAATATAACATTTATTACAACATTTGCTAATTTATCAGTTTACCAGTTATTTATAGATATCTGGTTAATTATTAAGATTATCAGATTATTAAATTTAAAAATATTTGCTTCAGCACGGGATTCAGTTTTTTATTTTTAATTTTCTGTAATTATTCCTATGCCAGTTCCATTTGAAGCGCTTATTCCATTTGGTATTATTGTTGGATTATTTTCAGTAACAGGTGGGATGCTTACAGCAGTTCAATATTTTGAAAACAACGGCCATGTAAGTTGTGCTTTCAAAAATAGGGTAGTACTAAGCAGTACTGTGTATATGATTAAATATAAAATTGAATATAAAATTGGATATAATATTTTATATAGTATTTAAGATAATACTGAAAGTGCTGAATGGTATCAGGAAATAAGTCAGCTGTTTAAAAAATATATTAAAAATACGTTAGTAAAAGCAAGGATCAATTCAATAGAGTCGGGATCATATATTTATATAGATTAATACATGTTGGAATACACGTCAAAAAATGGTTAAAGATTTTTGATCTTTACTCAATAAATATACTTTTTAAAGTGTTTTTGAGTACATGAATATATCAGATTATATTTATTCAGTGTTGATGCATTTAGTATTTTTATTCAATGTTTTTATTCAATATTTTTATTCAGTGCTTAGTACTTTTATATCTATTCATCAATTTTATATTCACTATTTATACTAACTTTTTTGATAGAAACCGCGATATGACCTAGATCGTTGGGATCGGCAAATGATTGCGCGTGATCAGCGATTGACAGGTGCATTACGTATTCAATCAGACAATCCTCGTGCACCTTCTGCATTTGCCACAAATAGTGAATGGAAGGTGTGTAAAAATACAAATGAAATACAGAGAAAAAGTATTAAATATTGAAACAAAATGTTTAATATTTAGATAATGTATTCAGTATTGGGAAAAAATAATAAATATTAAGACAAGATATTATATATAATATTAAAACAGTACTCAGCATTAAATATTAAATGCAGAAACGTTTTATTATATTAAGATATTTGTCATTATAATAAAGCTCTAGTTAATGCTATTCTCTGTCTTTCTTAAAGTTAAATATTTATTAATAAATAACAGATAGAACCGACAGCTATCTAGAAATACTTCAAGTTGTTTCTGAAAAGTTATGGGTAGAATTAGAAATAAATTGTTAACATAGATGTTAAAAAATGGCTGTTAAGTAATTAATAAACACATTTATGAGCAGTGATCATAGAAAAAACCATAATTGATTCTTATGACTAATTGATTGTATTTTATCAAAAGATGCACAACACGCAATATAATACATAGTTTATAAATAATTGACATATTTTTATCTGTATATTTTTTTATATTTCTATTTTTCCTCATTATCCTGTTACTTTTATGATATTATCTATCTGTTTTCTTATCATCTTATTTCATTAATCGAATTCTTGTTCAATGGTTTTAAAGGAAAATGGCTCAAAAGCATAACCTTCACCCTGATAAAATTTTGACATTGCCTCAACCCAATGAAGCCGCAATGAATGTAACATTGCACTTGTACCTATTTATTTTAAACACATGTAATAATAATTGGAAAAACATACCTTCCATTAAACATAAAATAAGAACAGTTAAGACAAACCAAAAGGCAAAAATAAAAACTAGTGAAATAGCACCGATAATACCAGTTCTTTTGAACGCATTTGCTAGTGTCATAGACCATAAAACATCACTTAATTGATTATGTGCAAGACTCAGAGCCCAAAGTCGTAAATAACTAGTATTTATTAAAATATGAAAAACAAGTATTTATATTACCTTGCACAATGCGATAAACAACCTAAACAAAACTCGATTGTATGAATAATTTGGTGAATTAATACTTCCATGAAATCAAAATGATTATCTATTTCATTTGAAAGAATGGTTTCATTTGTATCATTATCATTAGATGAAGTAGATCCTTGACTTGTAATGCCTTCATATCCCTGAGATATTGCTCGATCATGGTCATATTTAAGGATCAATGGTTTTGCAAAAAGCATCCATGGAATACATATTATTGCTATGAAGAGAAGAAACACTTGTACATATGCTTGTCCTTTATATAAAGGTTCTTCAATTTTCCCTGGAGATAAAAACATAAAAATTAACATGTTGAGAATACCCGGAGGTGGTGTTTGGGATTTAGACCAATCAACACACCATTTGTATATAATAGCGAAAACCATATAGCCAAATATAGACTCAAGAAATAAGAAAGAAGGAAGAAATTGAGTCCAAATGTCTAACGAAGATTTAAAAAATATATGATTCGTTAGTGATAACATAAGAGAAAATGTCATCTAACAATTATAAATCTTATTTAAAATTTAAAAAAATTCAAACTTACATGAATAACACCAAGAATAACAGACATTTTCATTTTATACGAATTCATAAATATTAAAGAATTCTCAGAACCATGCCAGGCACTATCTATACCAAATGGATACACACCAACTTGTTTTGCTAATAAAACAGAATTTTCTGAAGATTTAGGCCATTCCCAACCAGATTTAAATAATTTCATTGGTCTTGAAAAAATGTCATTATAAATAAGTCCTGTATACATAGAAAATATGCTCATTAAAAGTATAATATAACGCCCATGAAATGCCATATCAAAAATCTTGCACATATTAGTAAAAATATATCATTTAAATCAAAAATTACCTCTCCATAGTTCTTTTTTTCAAGTTTTTTTTCATTTAAACATAAATATAATGCAGCAATGAACATAAGAAACCCATGACCTAAATCCCCAAACATAATAGCAAATAGAAAAGGAAATGTAACGATAGCTATAAGACCAGGATTTGCCTCTCTATATGATGCAACACCATAAGCATCTATAATTGCTTGAAATCCTTCAGTGAATTTGTTGGTGCGATGATAAGTAGGGGGAGTTTTTGATGTTTTTATTTCATTTAAAATAGATGGCATTTGAATGCATGCTTGTTCTGTAACTTTCCTCAAAGTACTTCGTACTAAGTGTAAACTATTAGTAGGACACCAGCCTTCACTAATTAAACATTTATGATTTTGATCGTAAATAAATAAATTCATAATTTGGTAAATTGCAGTTTCTTTTCTGATAATCGTCATCCAATTAGCTATATTTTCCGCAATTAATCTAAGTTCTGTATATATAGTTTGTTTCGTATTTTTTAAAATAGACATAAGATCATCAATAGCAAGATTTGTCTCTTGTATACTTGTATATCTTTTAGAATATTCATTATCTACAGCATATAAAGTAGCACCCAAACTCTCTGAGATCTTCCGAATTTTGTTGTTAATTTCTTTTCCATGAGAAAATACAATAAACACGTCTTTATCAACAAGTTCACTTGTGACAGGATCATTGATAGGATTTGATATCTCCACATGGCTCATATAAAGATTCCCGCGTAATACCCTCCATAAAATTCTCTCAAATGCAGATATACAAGAACGCGGGATAACTCCAGCAGTAAAGCTATAAAATATAAGGATTAAATCATACAGAATTTCAAGGAAAAATACTCAAGACTTATTCCCACTATTCCTGGAATATTCATAAGATTTTGCTCGACATCACTTTCCAACAACGGTATCATATCTGGATCACTTGATGTAGACATTTTTCGTGCATTATGATCCTGCTAAGCATATTAAATTACAAAATAGAACAGAATACAGGCTTCAAATACCTTATTAAAAATTTTGTCTGTTTCATCAAGTACGTGACGCAATTCTATTAACTCTAAATACTGCTTTTCCAATGTTTGATAAGATTCATTTAAACAACGCACACGATTCTCAAAAAATGAAATTTTTTCATACAACTCATCTGTTTGATGCAGATTCGATGCCTTAGTTGCACTATCATTACTACGTACCGAAGATATCTTAATATCTGTTTTTTTGATCTCTCCATATAAGAACCCTTATTTTCATTTAAATATATAGATACAATATACACATGTACATACGTAGTTGGCGTCCTACTTCATCTAATTTTCGGATTTCTTTGACAAATGCTCGTTGAAAAACATTAATATCTACATTTAACTAAAATCTCATCAAATCTTGATTAAAAAAAAACAGCAAATGATTCTACATCTCGAAAATGAATAATTCCAAGTTCTCCAAGTGCAGAAACAGTCAATTTTGCCACTTCTACAGGAAAATAAAACTGAACCTATGTATTATCAATATTCACTAGTTTTTTTTTATTTTTTAGCTTATTACTAAAGATATTTCTTCAGAACCTAGGATCCAATATATTAGCCTTATAAATGACTAAATAAACACTTAAACTCACGATAAAATGTAGAAGATGACATGTTTTTTCTGTCTTTTCTTCAAATAAAACTTGACAGAAATTATAAGGTTGAAATCAGATCGATAGAAAAGTGAACGATACAACATGCGCGAAATTCACAAATATTAAGGGTATCATAAGAATATATATAAAAAGAAGAAAAACTATAAAATATACATGCAATTACTTTTTATATTTTTTTTTGGATTTGTGAGGTACATAAATAGTTCCATTTTGGAGCTCTTGTTTTAGAGTATCGTCTATGGTATCGATGTGTTTTTGTGAAGAAATATAAAACATAATGTCTCTATAAATAGTTAAAACCAGAATGATATTTTACATCAAAAGATAGACCGTATATAGATGCTTACCTTAGCTGATCAGAAAGGTCTTGATTTTTTTTTTTCGAATCTTCTAAATCCAATTTTATTTTATTATTTTGAGAATTTAAGTGCTCAATACGCTGCATTAATTTTGAATTTAGTAATTTTTCATCTTTCCATTCTTTTTCCATGTGTTGTGCTATTTCAGAAAATTTTTCTACTTTTCTTTCATTAAGGGAATTTAGCTTTTTTAAGTCTTCTGTTTTTTTTTGATGTTGATTAAAATCCTCTTGTAATTCCAAAAGTTTTTTCGTGACATTAGAAGTCTCTTTCTTGGCCAATTTTTCTTCTTCTAAAGCCTTTTTCGCTTTATCTGCTGCTTCCATAATCTTATCTTCATAATAAATTCTTTGATATTCAAGCTGGGACGTTAAAAGATATGTATATTCCAAGCTTATTGATTCTAATTTGTTTTTTAGATCTAATTCATTTTGTTCAGATGCTGCAGAGTCCGTATTTGCATAGTAAGAAGTAGTTGGAAATTCAAGAAGACTCCCATCAATTTTATTTTGAATTAATTGATGTACATAACTAAATATTAATAACATCAAAAAACTGTTTTAAAAAGTTACCCATCACCCGCATAATCCCACACTCTTTCTGTTTCTATGTCCATAGAATAACAATGACCCGTATTTGTATAATGTTCATAAGCATGTGCAAGATCATAACGACCACAGCCAATATGCCCGCAAATTAAACTAATTAAAGTAAAAAAAAACTAATATAAGTAAAAAATAAACCATATCCATAAATTTTTTTGTGTTTCGCAAGTAAAGCAGTGGCTATTCGTCCTAGTTGCATTTAAAACATCTTTTTGTTGTGAATACCGGCATACAGGACATCTTTTTATATTAGTATTGAAACAAAAACAAATTTAGACAAACATATTCCCTCCCCATTTACTTAAGCATTGACAGTGAAACGTGTGTTGACACCTAAAAAGGTTAAATTGTTTTCCTCATAAAAATATAAATATACAATATGGTTAAAAGTCCGGTAACAGATGCATCCATTCTTTCTAAACAAACAACACCTAAGTATTATATAAATATAAATACAATATGCAATCAAAAAACACACATGTTGGAAGTTCACGTAAACGAAGTGTCGGTGGTGGAACAGGTTTCGTAGATATTGGTGCTGTTTGACACGTTTCAAAGATATCAAAAGCCGATAAAAATGGATCATCCGTATTAGATGAAGATTCTACCTTCGATACCTGCTTAGACTCAAAAGAAATATGTTTAATAAACATAGTATGACACTTTTCCGGCTACAAAAAGTTAATTTAACTAATGAATACGTAAGAATCCAAACTTCTATCGTATTAAATGGTTTTCCATTAAAAGTGTTATAAAATGCTTTGGCATCCTTAAAACGCCTAAATTTGAGTAAAACCATGTATCTATTAGGCGCACTTGTTCTTTTTGGTTGTCAGCTCCATAAATAATAAAAGGTAGAAATAAGAAAAATATATAAAAAGATCAACCGAATATACATTAATTAGTAAAAATCGATTGGTCTTTTTAAAATAGTATTGTTTTCTTAAATCTCTATGTATTTTTGCAAAAAAAAAATCTTACCGAATAAATCTAAAATGACTAACTTGGTTCTTCACATCCTCGCCTACAAATCCTAAAAAATCAAACGTTGTCATATAACTTGGTACTGCAAGTACAGCAACAACTTTATCCTTTGATGATAATTTCTCATTCCCCCATCGTTCATCTACTGTAGACATTTTTTCTTCATCACAACGATAAATTTGGATTATACCAAATCCAAAATTCGAAATTCCATGTTTCTGAGAACCTGCAATGCCTTCACGTAATGGTATATACTGTGCACGTGATATTTTATGTGTTGATCGCGGTTTTGACAAAGGAGTATCTTTGTCTTTTAGCAATTTTTGTCGCTCTTCTTTTTGTGATTCCACTCTTGTTAGTTGTTCTTCCTTTTCATCCATATCTAACCACTCCACAAGGATATATTCTATCCGTAAATTCTCGTTTTTCCACGTACTATTTATTGGTCGTTGTTTCCCTTTATTTAAACTAATAGGCTTTATTTCTTCATGAAACAAGTCGCGTTTTGCACCCCAACTAAATTCTGCTGCTCTTTTATATATATCTTGATAATATTCAACGTCTTTTGAAGGAAGACGCTCAAAAATAGATGTTTTTGGCGGGCTGGCTGTTTGTTGAATTTGATACACAAGATTTGTTGCTAAAGACACACCAAAAAGCTGCTTAAGAAATACTTCTAATTCTATAGATGCCGTAGGATAAAAGCAAATATTTAAGTAATATGTACAGGTGAACATTTCACCTAAAAAAAGTCATTTCTAAAGAATTGATTATTGTCAACGATGACGCACCAGATTAAAAAAAACCTTATATATATTAAAGAATAAGATGAAAAATACAGAAACAAAGATTTTAAGTAATGTGTAAATGTTCCTGCCAATGAAAAATATTATAAAGGTTTTTGTTTATTATTCCATGAGTAAATTGCGCCGATTTTGTCCATAGGAATACCTAAAATTGGATGTACTGCCTTAATATGATCTGTAGCAAATATTGCTTGTTCTACTGTTTCTTCATGGTACCAGTTAAATACATTTTTTCCCAATGGTGTGTTATTATGCTCATCATCCAAATACGTAAATACATTTTGAACCACTGAAAGACCTGCAATGCAATAACATGTATGATACTGATCAGGATGTCTGTACCATATGAATGTTAGAAACGTAACAGTGCAAATCTTACTTTCCGGGTTTATCTCTAAGTCCACCGTCTTGATATTGACAGCATTTCAGGATAAACGCTCGTAATGCATCTATTTCATCGTCAATCAGCATCTAGACATCATATTATAGCTTAAAAACACACCCTTTGAAATCAATGGTTCTTTAATGCCCTTAATAACTCCAGAAAGTATCGCCCAACATCCACCAATCCACCAAGTATAGCATCCATCGACTAATTTATTTGTTCGACCAGAAAACCCCCCTTCTATTGTAGACTGACGAAATGCCAACCATCTCTATACCAATAGTTAACATAAACATGTATTTTCATACGTTTTTCCTAATAAACCATCAATTTTGGCACATTCAAATACTGTTCAAGCATTTTGTGTGGCGAACCAATTAAACACAAAGAAGCTAGAACACAAAATGCATATCCACCATGTGCTTCCGATCCTGGTGATCCAGAAAGGCCTCCTTCATAGGTCTGGCATCTTTCCATACATTAATTTCATCATCCATGCTTCTCTATCTTTTGTTACCTAGAAAGCCATGCTGCTGTTCCTTCCACCAATTCTGGAGTCATAATATTCAATAAAGATGTAACTGAAAATACGCAATAAACTGCTCTAAAAACCCCTTCTTAAATTTCTGTATTTTTTTCTATATGACCTACCGTGCATCTTTCTCACCCCCTTCATGCATCAAAAATCCACCATCTGGTTGCTTCAATTGGAGAATCCAATGATAAAGAGCTTTTCTTTTGCGTATAAGAACATGTTTGTGTAATAATCATGCTTGCCTATTAATGCAATTATATGCTGCATCTCCACCAACTATACAAAGAGCCATCACTGCTGCATATGTAGACGCCAAATGTGCAATTTGACCATGACCTCCGCCAAAACCGCCTGATTCAAGCTGCATTGCTTTAATAGAGCTTATTGTCCTGTATAATTAAAGATGAACCAAAAAGACTGTATATATATACACAATGCATATATATTACGCATACAATACGCATACAATACGCATATATCGCGCATACATCACGCATACAACTCGTATATGGACAGTTCTAACCCTCAATGATGCAGAATTCATTCATTTTGGCTCATTATGTCCATCTTTTTATCACACAGTACGGCATTTATTTTACCTTTCTTTATACATATCAACCGACTGCCCAAGTAGCGAATAAGCACATAGTGTCCAGTAGATAATCCAAGGCTGAGATGCATCTAATGCTATATATGGCTTAGGTAGAGGCTTTGTAAGAACATTAAGAAGATATGTAATATGAGACGTTAAATTAAGCTGTGGTTCATGTATATTATCTGACAAATGACGCATACATATACGCTCTGTCTCAAGCTGAACAGCAGCTGTTTCTGTCTCAACAATGTCGGGGAGAATTAGCGGGTGTATATTATGCATGTTTTATTGAAGAAACATTTCAATCATAAAATGTATGCGCTAATAAATTGTATTGTATGCGCCTTTTCCCTGTATATATGCGCCAATATTTTCCCTGTCTGTAGATATAGTGGATTATATATATTAAAGTAAGAACAATGTATATGCTATAATAGTAAGTTATATTGTGCACGTTCATGTATTAGGTACAACCAGTTGTCCCCAATTAGCAGATTCAATGAGGTACGTGTATGTATAATGTATGTGTAATGTATGCGTAGTATATGTGTAGTGTAATGTATGCATAGAAATATGTATAAAATAGAAAGTATATGAATGATGTGTGTTTTATAGATATTGAATAAGCACTGTGTGCAGTGTATGCAAGAGCTGTAGATTATATGCCAAAGTTCTGATATATGTGTATTGTAATGTATTAGATATAATTATTGTATAATGTATGTTTCATACAAAGAGTAGAAATGCAGAAATGCAGGATAGAACTGTTTATGGTGCAGTAGTAGTATCAAAGCATGTGTCAGGTTGCAGTACTAGGAGCTGCAAGGAGTATTATATTTGTATAAGTGATAGAATAATATGTGATGAATTATCTTAAGAAAAAAATCTTTCATGGAGCCGAATTACCTAAAAACATGTTAAAATAAAAGTCGAAAGCCTTTAACGCAAATCTGTAGTTTTACTTGGTCAAAAACGACTAAAAGAATGCCTCCGCCAGGTCCCAGACGGATAACTTTAGGCAAAAAGCCTTTATATAGTGCATGAAAGCCTTCTTCTTTGAAAATTGTCCATAAAGAAGGTATTGCCCAATTGTATTTCGGGATTTGACCGGGTATTCTGGGTATATTTTGAATTCGTGATTTTGCTACGTCAAATGGTGTGTTTAGTACTGTTCCGGTTATTCCACCAAGTGTTCCAGCAACAAAATTATTAAAGCGCTCATCTGTTTTCCATTTAAGAGTACGAATTTTATCTTGTACCGAAAAAATCACTCCAAAATATCCAGCATTCCATGTGACATGACTAGTTTAGAATTAGTTCTATTTTATAATGAATTTGGAAATTATACCGAAACATTGTTGCTTCTAGTCCATTATATAACGAAAAAAGACCTTCGGCTTGAATGATTTTTTTTATACAATCAAAAGAACCTTTATATTTTGAGGCGTTGGTTTTATCTTGAAGCCTGAATGGTTTATTAATTACTTTGAGACAGAAAGAAAGAAGAAATACCGGACTTTAACTAACTAGTATATAATTAAAAACATTTCGGTAGTGAATCATGATGAGACTAAAACATTACCTCAAAAGGAACCACAACAAATGATCTTTAAAAAAAAATATATCACTGAAACTTCTTTACACAAAATACTTACTCTGTAGCACCCGCTGTTGCACCTGTAATCAAACTTAAACCCTGATCCATCTTTTCTCGGCCAAACAGATTACGGTAAAACTTGCCCCACTGTTCATTGGCTGAAAACTTAGTTGCCCTTCAAAAATATATTATAAATGAGTCAAAAGCTCTACCAAACAGACCTTTTTGGTGCCTCCATTAATATGGGTGGGAGAATCCCTCGATATAGTCGATTCACACTACCATCATTTAACATGTGATTTGTGTGTATCAACTATACCCTTCTTTTTTCACAATAGAAATCAAGCAATCCATCATCCCTGTATATTCTGATCTTCCAACACTCAATTGGAACCGTGTTTTCACCTTATTTACCATTAATCTGCCCATAAACAACACCTGATGTATTACCACGTCCAGAGGGTACATAACAAGTATCTGTACGGAAAAAAAGAATTGATAAGTAGATTCTTACAGAATATCACTAATACTTCTGATATACCGGCTATTGCACCGGCTAAAAAGGTTACTGAAAAAGAATTTGGATTTTTAGATGTCATGTATTTTGGGCTATTTTCACTGCGAAAAAAGCGATTTAACACCGATAAACTGTCACTATTCAGTATATACTGTTAAAAAGGATATTTGATCCAAAAAATACCGTCTTTACACAGAAATCTTTTCCAAAAAACGCTTTTTTGTCTCCTGCTAAATACTCGTTTTCTCTATCATTAATTAACGTTGGATCACTGTTCTTACGATATCTCGTTTCCCTCCACCTTGAACGTCGACAAAAATTACCAGCAAACAAAATATTTTATTTATAGATAAAAAAGGGGCAATCAGTGCCAATAATAGGGAATTATGAATGGCCTGACTCAGGATCTTGTAGTACGAGTGCCAGTTCAGAGTATTTCGCAAAAGAACGGCGAAAAACGGCCCAATAAAGCGCCGCCTATTCAGAAACAAAAATGTGCACCAAATATCCTGGAAGAAGACACTTATCAGCAGGCAATTAGTGATATTATTAAGAGGGATTTCTTCCCAGACCTGCTGGAGATGGAAGCAAACGAAAAAATGCAAGAACAGGGCCTGGAAATGGCAGAGAACATGGGCAGTGGCGATGCCGCTAAAAACACATCAAAACCAGGAGAAAACACAAGATATACACACGAGGAGACAGCTTCCTCGGAACTGACTCGTAACATGTCGCTAGATCAGTTCCAAGCAAAGTATACGTCGGAAGATAATGCATCTTTTATAGATATCCTGAATGAACAGAATCAGAGGCAGCGGGATGCGTATGATTGGGCATGGAACAACAACAAAATCAATACTGATCGAGTGAATGAAGAGAGCCGTCGGGCACTGCTCAAGTCCTCCAATGTCCCCCAAATAGGATGGGTCGATGACCGGCCTTCCCAGCCAGAAGCTTGGCCATTCAATGTACTTTGCACTTTATACACAAAAAACACTGCTGACTCTTTAGCCGATGAATGCACTTATGTTTCACCCTGAAACTGACCACACAAAGCCAAAAATACTTCCCCTTGGCTTCGAAAAGTCAATTACTTATCATGCAACACGGATGCCTCCCGCTCAATTCAGCCGTCCTGCTTCTCCTTCAACAGGAACCGCCTCCAATCTCTATGACGAGCCCCTCGTTGCTGGCTGGGGCTTTGTAGACGAGCCCTCTCCATCCCCGCTTCTTTCAAACTCACGGACTCCTACCTCCCGGCTCCCTCAGACTCCCCGCCGAGCTTTCAAAATGCCCGATATACCCCACCGGGAGGCCCTTCACCACCGTATCACCGACCAGCTCAAAAAAAAAAAGACAAAGACGCCTATTCCTTCTCTCAAAAAACTGTCCACCCTCTCCACCCCCGATCTCCGCATGGCAATGCTCAGCCCTGGTGGCCGTCTCCTTCTTGCTGCTTCCGGACGTCATACTTCCCTCAGAAACGACCTCAAAACCCCCCGAATGTCTTCTCTCCTTGCAAACTCCTCTTCCGACTTTACTCCTCGTGCTGCATAGCTCCATACACTTGTTTTGTTTCATACATTTTGTTTCACACTCTTTTCATACATTTTCATACATTTTTTCTGCGCTCTTCCCTCACTTGCTTTACAGTATACATGGCTATACATGATTATACATGGGTTTTTCATTTCATCTTGTTTGTTCATATTATTCATATTATTTTATTCTATTTCACTCTATTTTATTCTATATTCCACTCTATTCCATCCTATTCCACTTTACTTCACTCTGTTCACGCTATCTACTTCACCCTCGACACATCCTGCTATGCCCCACTATACGTCTCGCACCGCTATTCGCTGCTATTGGCCACTGGTTGCCAACGCAACCAGCAACCACCTATTTTCTGTATCACTAAATATTCAGCTTTGTACGCCGCCAATGTCTTCTTTTTGCATTGCTACTGCAGTCAGCAGAGTCTACGCCCTTAAATACATACTATCTAATCGTATTGCCCGTCCGTAGGCGGATCCACTGCGGAATGGGGCGGTTTTTCTGCTGTGCTTTGGCAAGCAGGATTTTTTTCCGGAACTTTTTGTGTGATGGCTGCTTTCATCAGTATTTTCTTGGGCCCTCTTGGTGCTCACCATTTTGTCCCTCTGAACCGGCTTCTGCCACGATTTTCCCGCCACACACTCCCATACCCGATGGGTGTCCGCTGCCATACTAGTCGTCTTTGGTGATTCCAAACCGCGCCATCACCTCCACTATCCGTCTACGTTCCTGATCTGCAAGCTTCCCCATCAACCCCAACGCTACATCCCGTATTTCATTGTATGTATGGAGCTGTGTTATATGTTTTTTGACTGTCTTTCCTGCATCTGGATCTCTGCTCCATCAGCTCCATACCCCTGCAGCAGCCTACCTTAGCGTCGCCTGCAGGGCTTCCTCCCGTGACGTAAGCTCTTTCAGAGCCGCTTCCAGCGACGCCACCTTTGTTTCCAGCGCCTTTTTTTGTCCTTCATCGCTCTCCATCTCTGCTACGCTTCTCCTGCCCTTTTATTATCCTCTACTTGGGTTCTTTGTGCTGATTTTGCTTTGTGCAGATCTCCTTTGTAATCTCTTTGTATTTCTTTGTGTTCTACTACCCCAGCAGTTCTGCCTTACTCTTATAAATATCCCTTGTACAGCTGCTTTCTGCCATAGCTGCTGCTAGATTACAACTATATCTAAACGTGATACAAAGCTATATATTTAGAGTTTACAATGGTGTCTGTTTCTGGTGCAATCAGCCCTCTTTGTGCGGAGCCCCTCATTCAGCTGAGGGATACCTCGCTTATGGGCTCCTGGATGCGGGATGGCGCCCGTATACGTGCCATGGAGCCCTGGATATGGGTGTCTGAGGATGCAGAGTGCCCTGCTGCGGATGCAGAGGCCTCTGGAGCAGAGAATGTGTCTGCTGTGCCGTTTGGTGAGCAGATTGTGCGTCTGGGCGGGGCGTGCATGGGCAGCGGTGGGCTGTGTGCCGGTAGGGCAGTGGGAGGCGGTGCAGCGTGTGGATTAGAGCATTCTGCAGCGCTGTACAGACAATATACGCCTGCTTTAAGGCGATTTAAGTAGAATATTCTATTTTCTGCGGTTGTCGGTGGGTGTCGTGCGGGGATGTTGCTAGGCAACCGGCTTGGGAGCTTCGAAGCAGAGGGCGGATATACCGTCTCTGCAGAGATAAGGAGAAGGGGGAGAGAAGGAGGAATATACAGAGGAATATTTATTAAATATTTATTAAGAATCTGTAAATAGACTGGGTATTGAGTATTTATTATGTTTATTGTATTTAGAGTAGTTTAGATAGAAAATAAAAATGCTTGATTGTTTAGTGTATACGGTGTATACGATCTACGTACTGTATAGGTGCCGTATAGATGTTGTATAGAGGGGTATAGATAAATGTATATTTATACATGATAGATGGGGCCAGTGCCTGATACAGGTCAATAGATAAAGAGGGTGGCTCAGGACATACATTTTTCCCCGTCAAAGATAAACCAGTTTTGGATGGGCCTTTCTTGGGAGCTCAGGACATTCAGAACATCTTGGGCCAAGACGCCGCCGATAACAGAGGCAACAGGTGGCCATTTATAGGCAGCGTTTTCAGCTAAATGGCTAAACGTGGGTTATAAAGTGTCTTCTAGGGAAAAAGGCCTACATCAGGTCAGAATCCTTCAAAATCTGATCAGACAATGCAAGTCTCTGAGCAGTCTCTCTGACCAAAGAAAGATAATGCGACATTTCATCGGGAGCTGCAGGAAAACGGGAAAATCTTTTCTGGAAACACAGTAGTCCTTTTTCCGGGTCAAAAGAAACAAAGACAGTGACAGGCTTACCTATAATTCCGGGAAGAAATTGTGACACTTTCTTTGCATGTTTTTCTGTAAGCAATTTCCCATATTCATGGTTGACAACTTCTGGAAAAGGATGATATTGTTCTGTGTATTCTATTCTTGTAGTTTTTTTTGAACGACCAGATGCCTTTTTCTCTCTATATGGTGTGAAACTGTGTAAATAAAAACAATTAGGAACGATACATGCTGTATGTATGTTTAATTAGATCCACAAAGATATATCCATAAAATCCATACATTGCACAGGTATAAAACGGCACTTTTTGAGCCCTGCACACCGTATTCAAATGTATCTTTGTATATAAACTTTGCACACAATGTATTTTCATACTTACAATCAAATCTAGCTCTAATTCTGTTGCAATTACAACATCAAATCCCGAAAAGTAGTCGTCTGAAACATCAAAAAGAGGTGTTGTATTTATCTCGAGTGTTACAGATGGATTAAATTCCTTTAATACGCGAGATACTACATCTGCGTACTATGATGATTAGTTGTCCATTTTTCACTGTTCTAAAGCAAAGAAAACGCACGTTCATGCCTATATCCGACAATCCAATGCAAAACTGTGTTTTAGAATCTATTTTTTCGACTGTTCCATCGTCCAAAAGCGTCAAAGTACCTATACCTGACAAAACCAGATTTTTAGCTATTTCCTCCGCCAATTCACGAATATGAATAAGAAGAACACTAGAATTTCGTATTCTGAAGGGTTTCAGTGCATAGAAAGTCGTTTTTTCCCCTTTTCTACCTTTTTTGTGCCTGAATCCCCCATAAACGTATCTGACGATCATAAACATTGATTTCTTCTGTAAAAAAAACCGATTAGATAGATATATATATATATAAAAATATATAAAACCTTGAGAAATCTCTTTTTCTTTCATTTTTTTCTAAAAAAAATTAAAAATATTATTTTCTACTAAGAAAATAACATTTTTTAATAAAAAATCTTAATATTTGTTAAATAACACAGCATATCGAAGATCGCACATCTTAACGTTATGGTTGATCTAACGTCATAAAAAGATATATTAAGCGGATAAGTGAAAATGAGTGAGTAAAAGGGGGTTTTAAGGACTAAAATATATGTTAAAAGAATATTCTATATGTATACAAAAGACAATAGTTTTTTTGAGCAAAAAATTTATACATATTAAAGTTTTTTTCGTCAAAAAACTATTTGGTAAGAGGTTTTGCTTTTTTTCTATTTTTTTCAAGACATTAATGGTATATTTTTAACAGTTTTATTTATTTATAGTTTAAAAAATTAGTGGTTAATTATGATTTCGGTTTTTCAAGCTATTTAATGGATTTTTTTCCTAATTTTTTGCAATTAGGCTATTTATTTTTACAACCTGAGAGGAGAAGTGTTGATTAGTAGAATGTATCGTCAGGATTTAAAGTTGGACGTATTATTTTTCTGAGAGTTGTTTAATTATTAACTAGACGATCAATTGCTGATGTTTTTCGTGTTCATATTCTCTTTAATAAAGGAATAGATTCGCCTATTAACACAATTGAATCAAATACATTCTTTCATATCAAGCATGAGAATGTATATATTGTCGCTATAACTAGAAATAATGTGAATACTGCTTTGGTATTTGAATTTTTATACAAAATTATTTCTCTTCATAAAGGCTATTTTAAAGAGTTTAATGAAGAGACAATAAAAAGCAATTTTCCATTGATTTATGAGCTTCTTGATGGTAATGGTAGAAAATATTAAATAAAAATATAAATAAAAATAGAAATTATGGATTTTGGATATCCACAAAATACTGATATTAATTCGTTAAAAATGTATATTACAACAGAAGAAATTAAATCAGAAGACGACATTGTAACCCTTTTAAATGAACATGGCATTAGTGTACACTAAATGTTTTTTAGAAAAACAATTCTTCAAAAATTACAAGACATGTAACAGGTGCGATTTCTTGGAGAGAATCAGATATAAAATATCGGAAAAACTCTGCGTTTGTTGATATCATTGAAAATATCAACGTATTAATGACTGCAAGTAATATATTTTAAAAAAAATTATTATTTTACTTATTTTATTAAGATACTATTTTAAGATCTGATATTTCTGGTCAGATTATAATAAGTTCAAATCTTTCAGGCATACCAGAATGTAGAATTGGATTTAATGATAAATTGCATATTAATAACAATGAACCACTAACTAATTCGTATGTTGATTCATAATTAGAAATTATAGTATTTATTATTTTATTAGACCAGGCGCTACCAAAACACTAGAAGCAATGGCAGGGTATATAACTTTAAGGAATTGTGAATTTCATCAATGTGTCAAACTTAGTTGCTTTGATACCGATAGATCAATTATTTTTATTCCTCCTGATGGAGAATTTGAGTTGATGCGGTAAAAATCATAGAAAATATTATTGTAATTCTAATGTATACAGCTATCGTGTCATAGAAAATGTTCATTTGCCATTTCGGGTTTTTCCTATTGTAAATGAGATTGGAAAAACAAAGGTCATATACCAAGTAACAATTAAGGCTGCATTTAGTTCAAGTCTCTTTGCAAAGCAATTGGTTATTAAAATACCAACTCCTTTAAATACCGCTAGTACAAATGTTAAAGTAGACCGGGGAAAAGCAAAATATGTAATAGTATTATAATTAATTTGATTTTTTATAATTGATTTTATAGGAACCTGCTTCTAATAGCATTGTTTGGAAGTATTTTTTACGAATAATGTTGTTTTATAATTAATTTCATTTTAGAATTTCTAAGATTACAGGACAAATGGAATGTTTTTTTACAGGAGAAGCACTTTTAAAAACGATATCAGATAATAAACAGTGGTCTAAACCTCCAATATCATTAGACTTTTATATTCCAATGTTTACGGGTTCCGGATTACATGTAAGGTACTTAAAAATATCTGAAAAAAAGGGTTATAAAAGTGTCAAATGGTACTTAGAAGATTCTATTAAATTAAAGCTAAAAAAAATAGGGTAAAATATTTATCTAAAGCTGGCAACTATGAAATTAAATTTTAAAATACATTTTCAAAATTCTAATTATTTCAGCAAAAATGATACTATTATGACTGCATATTACATATAAATTATTATGAAGAACTAACTAATATTGATGAAAAACAAAATTTTAATTATAGTTTTAATATAATTAACTTTTAAATTTAAGAAAATTAATGTATATCTATGTATAGATTAATGATTATGAAAACATTGATTACATTGTCCTACAATATTAATATTAAATTATTTAGTAGAAAATAATACCTTTTTTAAAAAGACTTTCCTGAAAATCTTTACAGTCACAAGATTTACACGTATTGTTTATTTTGTTTGAATTAGGAACAAGTGAAGCCCGAGAAGGAAGGGATGGCTTTGTATTTTTTACAACGAGGGGTTCTGAGTTTTTAAATCCTGGTACGATTTTTGAATACGTACACGGTTTTGATATTGAAATATCTGAACGTGAAAATGTATTTGAAGAATCATACGAGTTATTTTCTAGATACGAGTCTGATCTATCCTCATTGTATGATGTATAATCGTCATCGGAAGAATCCTGAGATGTATTTTGAAAACTTGTAACATTCGAGTTTTTTAATGTTGAATTATGACGTATAGGGAATACGTTTTTTTTATAAATAGGTACATCGCTATTCTCAGTGTTTTTTTTGCTATTTTCTTTGCTAGTTTGTTGATCTACTATTGATATTTCTTCACTTAAAAAAGGGTTTTCTATGTTTTTCTCGCTAGAATGTCTTATTTCAAATGTTTCGTCACATGTTTCTTCATGATCAGTGGATCGAACAGATTTCGGTGCGGCTTTTTAACATTAAAATGGGAGAAAAAACTTTCCGAAATATACTTTTTTTAAATGATCTGGGAACAAACTCGTTTTCAGAACTGTTCAAATCCGATTTGGAAAAATTATTGCTTATACTTGAAGACAAAGACACCTTTGACTGGAAAGGCTGAACCATCTTCCCTATAGTATTTTCATTGTTGAAGGCATGTGCTGAAACTTTTTGACATTTAACATATTTCGAGCTTGATTTACATGCGTTATTACTAAAGTTGTTATTGACGTCCAACAATCACAGATAAATACATTTCTTCCCATGATTTCTTTAATTCCTGTATAGCTATATGGCAGTTTTTATAATATTTAGACTCCATATCAAGAAGCGCCGCCAAATTACTTAATTGAGTCGTCTAAATCGCTTTAAAACAAAAGCAAACATACTTTTTCGATTTTTCCTACCTCCAACTGCTGAATTGCATATATTCGTGTGTATATATTTTCACACGCTTCTTCATACTTAGCCTTGGCTACCCTCAATTCTTCTTCTATTCGTGGATCTTCCTTCTTTGCTTTCAGAAACCGGTTAGATACCGAATCATACGACAGTCGCCGACTTTCCAGCTTCTTGCGTGCCGTCTATTCATATTTCATCAATTTTATATATATGCCTATGTATATGGATTTACTTGATAGTCTTTAAATTGAACCAAAGAACGATCCATCGAACCCAGAACCGTATTAGATACGTCGTTGATAAACTGTTCCTGTATTTTTGATATTTCCTTGTGTGCTGCCCCATATTTCAGCAGTCCTTGCCCTATACCGGCAAAATAAGCATAAATGCTTCTTCATCACAGCTTCAAATCAACCATAAACTGATTCTGGGGGAAATCCCTCTCCAAAATCTAAAAGTGCTTTGCTAAAAGCCCCCATGACCGTCTGTTTCCCGTCTTCCCGCCGGTTAACTGCTTGTTTCTCAGCATTTTGCCCTCTAGCTCCCGCAAAAAAATACCCATCGACTTCACCCAGTAAGATATCGCCAAATAAAGCCTCTCTGTCCCTAATCCCCCGTAAGATTCCCCCAAATACTCCCAAAAATAAAACCTTCTTGTCTCATCTGCATCTCCAATTCCAGCTCCTTGAATTCCTCCGTTGTTTGTGTTGCCTGTTCCCTCCCGAGCTAAATCTATGAGTATATGCGCTCCGTATTCTCTGTTTGTTACCTTTTCTTTCGTCCATTGTCCCAATCTCCCAATTTTTTTTTGCATCATTTTTTCAAGCTTATCGTGACACGGCTTTTTCTGCCGTTTTTTAAAAAATTAAAAAAATAAAGCTTCACTTTTCATAATTCTTCCGTTTCTTCACTGCCATCCCCTCAATCCCTCCCAAATACACCTTTTTTCCGGAATATATGCTCTTCTTTGTCCTATTGTATGCGTTCTTTTCTTCCCTTCTTTTTTCACCACTTTTCCCCCCTTTTCTCTCGTTTTTTCCCGTTTTTTTTCCCTGTTTTTTCTGATACCCTTTTCTATCCTCATTCCCCGTTTGTTCCCTTTATATATGCGCCCTTTCTCCCTTATTTTCTCCATAATTCTTTTTTTTCCTTTTTTGCCTGCTTTTCTGCTTTTTTTTCCATCTCGTTTTTTTCTCTTTTCTATTCCTCCTATTTATACTTTCTCCGTATATCTCTATAACATCTACTAACGTCTACGGTCTATCGTGTTTTCGATACCGACAGCTTTGCAGGACTTTTTACTGCATCGATTGGCTGTTGCATGGAACTCGCGGGCGAGGACGCGTCAGCTGCGGCAAATAACGATATTCTGTCGCCTCCTAAACGTCCACGGTCAAGTTTTTCAGAATTCACGCTTCATAAACGCAAGGAAGCCTCATCAGCAGCAATAGGTAGAGATGGGACCATGATTAAGCATAAATAATGTGTTGACGGGGGGTTGTAGCAAGTGGAGATTCAATAGAAGAAGAAGAACTGTCAAAAAGACGAGATACAAGTGGAGCAGAGGAAGGAAATGGAGTAGAAGTGGTTTTTAGAGGAAACAGAAGAGATACAGAGGATAAAAAACATATTTATATGATGGAAGGAGAAAATGACAAGTATAGAGGGGCAAAAAAGGGAACAGGAGGAGCAGGAGAAGAGAAAGAAGGGGTAAAGAAGGAAGAAAGTGTAGAAAAGAAGCAGTTTGCGTCTGGAAGAGGAGATAGAGGGCAAAGAGGGGAGATAGGACGTAATACACTGTTTGGGCCAAGCAGTACAGTTGGTATTTGCAGTGGGTATGAAGAAAACAGGGAGAATAAGAGAGGGGAAGGGATGAGATATGGAGTATTGGGGCCGACAGAGGGATTGAGGGCGGCAGAAGCAGATAAAAAGGGAGATAGAGGGGCAGGATGTGCAGGAAAAGACCAGGAAGATGATGGAAGAGGGATGGGGGGCAGTAGAGATGGATTGGAAGGCGTTAGAGAGGGGTTGAGGATGAACAAAGGTTCAGGAAGCAATAGAGAAGAGCGGGAAGGAAGTAGACAAGGTTTAGAAGGTAATAAAGAAAGTGCAGGGGATAAAGTATCTGGAAAAGCAAGAACAGATAGGTGGAGTGCATTGGAAAGACAGGATATAGGTGTGGGGAGGGAAAGGAATATACCGAGACGGGAGCCGGGTAGAGATGAGCAGAAGAGAGTGATTGGGCCATTGCTGGATGGGCAGAATGGCTTTGAGGAGCAATATTATGTGATATCAGGGCCGTGGATGAAAAGGTACCGTGTGTATCTCGAAGAATGTGCGGGGGATGGGATGAAGATGGGGCCGGTAGACCAGACGTCATTGATGGTTGAAGGACAATTGAGACAAGGGATGGTAAAGGGCACGGATTATGAAATTGTTACATCTACAGTATGGGAGTATTTGGTAGCATGGTAATGAAGCAGCACTAGTAGGAAGAGGCTAAGGCGTGTAGGTTTGGTATTAAGGGAGAAGTGGTTTCCCGGGAGGCATTGGAAGCTAAAGAGAAGGAAAAGGCGGGGAAATTGTCTTTTGGTGAATTAGGGGGCAGTGTTGGAGCAGATTTTTATGTTTTTCGACTTATTCGGGTGAAACTTGGATGCATGGATGGACTTATTGGAACAAAAGGATCTGAAAGAGATAATACAAACAATAATGGTAATGAAACAACGTCAAAGATGCCGTCTCTGGTGACAACAAATACAATGGATGATTGTTATGAGCATTCTACTATGACAGACGTTATAGACGAGCAATCGACTGATGATGCAGGAGATCAAGAGTTTGAGTGGCCTTTAGATCAAACAATGGTGACAAAAAAGGTCTCGGAGGGATTGACAAAAACAGTGTCGTCCAAGTCGCCAGCAATTCCCACGAGCTCATCTGTGTGTCTTACTATTAATGGCAATACGATGGTTGCAACATTATTGCAGTCGATTCGTCAGACGTTAGGATTGGCGCCAACACAATTGGTTCAACTTTGGCATCAAGGAAAGCAAGTAATGACGTTATGGACAATGTTGCCTCAAGGAACGACAGTAAAAAGTCTTGGGTTGCCGTTAAATTCGGTACTTTTTGTTGAAACAACTGATCGGGCTGTTCCAGCACCGCCTACACGTTTAAGTACAGAACCATCGTCAGGCACGCTTTCGTCTATATTTGATAAAGAACAAACGAATTCTGAATCACTAGCACTACTTGGTATTCAAACAACGTCACTTTCAAAAATAGGTGCAGTTGGTCTTCAAAATCTTGGCAATAGTTGCTATATGAATGCTGCATTACAATGTCTTACACACACTTCAGAATTAACAACGTATTTTCTTTCTGGCGTATATCGTTGGGAAGTTAATTCCACCAATCCTCTTGGTACGGGTGGTCAAATAGCTCGATCATATGCTGCTTTGCTTAATAGTCTAGCACATACTAATACATCATCCTTTTCCCCGAAAGCGTTTAAAAACTGTCTTGGACGTTTCAATTTATCGTTTGCTGGGCATTCGCAGCAAGATAGTCAAGAATTGCTCGCTTTTTTACTAGATGGTATGCATGAGGATCTTAATCGTATTCAAAAAAAACCCTATTTTGAAAAACCGACTCTTAGCGATATGAATGATGCATTGATTGCCGAAACAGCTGACATTTGTTGGCAACTTCATCGGAAACGTAATGATTCTGTCATTGTAGATTTATTCCATGGGTTATATAAAAGTGTTTTGGTTTGTCCAGCCTGTGATCAGGTCTGAAAGGTTATTGTTAATTAATTAATCAATTAACAATTTGTTTAGGTATCAATTACATTTGATCCGTTTATGGATCTCACTCTACCTTTACCGTTCAAAAATCAATGGGTTTATCCTGTTACGGTTATACCGTCTGATATCAACAAAAAACAAATTCAGGTATAATTTTTCGCATAGATTTTTAATTTACACTCAATATTTCCAAAGATAACTGTTGAACTCGATACTTTATCAACAATTGCGTCAATGAAAGCTTATGTTGCATCTAAACTTAATATGGATGCACATGCAGTAAGTTGTTTTATCGTCATTTCATTAATGCTCATAATTTAGCTTATTTCATCAGAGATTTATGCGTACAAATTTTATAAACATCATACTGACGCAAGCATTGTCAGTACACATCTTTCACCTCATGATCAAGTTTATCTTTACGAGATGCCATCTTCTATATCAGACTTTGTCACTAATAGGCATAAAATTGTTATACCTATTTTTCATCAAAGAATCGAAAGAACATATCAACATCCTATAGCATTTGGAATACCTTTTTTTATTCTTTTAACACCAGAAGAAGCATGTTCTTACGATCTTATTGTTAAAAAAATTACAGAAAAATATAAGCAATTCATTCGTTCAAAAGAAATATTTCGGAATCAAAAACAGCAGAGTATCCAAGAATCTGATGAAACGATTACTGTGGAATTTCCTCAACAGTCTACAGAAAATGGCCATAAAAAAGAAGATGGCCTTCAGGGTGAATTTTTCGACTTAAAGTATTTTTCATCTCGTCATTCTGTCCTTCCTACAGGCTGGTCAGTATCAATGGATCATTTGCCAAAATTGAAAACAAGACTTCGAAAAGATACAAATACTGATAAATCTTATGATGACGATACTTTACTAACAGCTGAATCTGAAGATGAGCCTTTTTCTCATGGAACACCAATTTCGTTGGATGATATGATAGAGGACAGTGATTTTTCCATAACTAAAGATTCAAGCGATGATGAACTTTTACGTACAAATCCCGTATTAGAAAAAACAAGTCATATATCTTTAAAGCAAGAACATCGATCACGTTTATCGTCTGAAACGAATGTTTATGAAACCAAGGTACTTAAAAACAGTAAAGCTTTTATTCGTCAAGGAGAAGCTATTGTATGTGAATGGTCAGCTGAACATTATACTTCTATGTTTTTAAATGAAGTGGAAAATGGGTTAAAATGTGGTACCGTATGGGACGATGTTGAAAAATATGAAGACCCTTTGCTTTCTAGTCGCCGTGAGCCATCAACTATCCATTTAGATGATTGCTTGGATTTATTTGCAAAAAAGGAACAGCTAGGAGAGGATGATCTTTGGTATTGTCCGAATTGTAAGGAGCATCGTCGAGCAACGAAACAATTGGAGATATGGAAATCCCCTGATATCCTTGTGATTCATTTAAAAAGGTTTTCTAGCTCAAGAAACCTAAGAGATAAAATAGATGTTCTTGTTGACTTTCCACTTAAAGGACTTGATCTTTCTCAACGTGTAGCAGGGTACAGATATGACTCCAGTTCGACTAATGATTCTCAAATATATGATCTCTACGCTGTAAGTAATCATTTTGGAGGACTAGGTGGGGGTCATTATACAGCTTATGTGGTTTTAGAAGACGGTCATTTTTACCATTTTGATGGTAAACTGGTGTTTTACGTTTTAATGAATCTAAGGCTAACATTTTTAGATTCCTTAGTTGTACGAGTTCATGAATCTCAGATCGTTACGCCTGCTGCATATTTATTATTTTATCGTCGAAGAACAGATAAAGCACTTGGAGAATCAACTATGACGAAAATTACAGAGTATATATCTAAAATATCTACAGAGTCATATGATAAAATGAATGCTATATCTTCATTAAATAAATCTCCGGATCTGAGTATGCCAAATGAAAAATTTGCACCTGATCCTCACACTATTTCAATGCCAAATATGCAATTTAATATGACACACGTTGATTTATCTATAACACCGGATGACAGTGTAAATTCCAATTCTCAGGACTCTATAGAGTCAGGAAAAATTACATTTAGCGATGGATTTGACTACAATGATAAAGGAGAGTGTTTAAACTTTGAAACCTCTATATAGAAAATATTTTAAAATATTCCAGTTGTATATTTTCAATAATAAAAAAAAAAAACATTTTTAGTGAATCCAATACACATTAATAAATACGTTTCTTCCGTATTCCCATATTTTCTCTGTATATCTGTATATTTTGTATATTTTATTCATTCCATTTTAGAATCCTGGAGGAAACATTCTATTCATTATAGTTACCTTTGTAAACTAAAAATAATTATTAAATTCAACAATATATCACAAAATTCTTTACTTTGGGTACAAAATGAATACCTTTTCTAAATTCTTTTTTTTTTTTATCAAACACTGTATATTTATCTTTAGGTAACATTTTTGCCTCTGGTATAATTTCACGTATATGTCGTTCTAGTGCATGACATGTTAAACCCTTTTTTGCAAGAGAGTTTTGAAGAGTAGATATAACCAAGTCTACTTTACGTAGCCTTCTTCTTTGTCTTAATTTACGTGTTTTTGAAAGTCTCCATGGCATTTTCCTGTAAAAAAAATTATATAAAAAATTTTTATATAATTGAGGAAAAAACTATATACCAAAGTAATCCTGAAAATATAGGCATATTGGTTTTAAAAGGCCCAAACATGGTTTATTTTTAATTTTTTTAAAATGTTAATGTATATTTAATAATAAAAACAGCAAGATCGATAGATGTATGAAAATAAAGTATATAAAATCATATAAAATATAAAATAAAAATATCTACTATTAAATATCATGCCTTAATTTGAACAATTGAAATTTTAATGCTGAAACCTGGAAAAAATTAAGTGTCAGTTTTTAATAAAATGAAAAGATATGTGAAGATTGTTTTTATAAGGAAAAGAATATGATGCATTGGTTATAAGATGAATTGGATTATGAGTGTTATTAGATTCTGCTTTTCCATTTTCAGTAATAAATATATATAAAAATGGATATACTTTATAGACTCTTTTTCTAAGCGTATTGTGTATGTACGCGATAATGAATCGTCATGAACATTATCATCCGCCGTATTCTTAGAATCTATTCATTTTGAAATGGAAGAATTGTCTTGTATTTCTGTATGAGAGTTGGGATTTGCATTTAAAACAGAGCTTTCTGGTTCTGCTTTGCTGTTCTCTTCTTGTTTATTTTGAAAAGCTTGAGCATGCGATCTTTCAGATATATTTTGTGAAAAAGTATGATTTTCTTTTTCATTAGTTATATTTTATTTAGAAAAAATATTCTTGATTTTACCGTTGACAGAGTCATTATAAAGTTTTTGTATAATAGTATTTGAGGCATTGACAGATTTAAAGTCTTTTAACTGCCTTGCCGCTAATCCAGCGATGTTATTTAGTGTAATTTCGGCTTTTATAGATAAGTTTCGTATTTGTTTAAGACTAGAAAGAGTAGAATTTAATACAGAATCAAAAAGTTGTTTTTCAATTGTATTAATAAGGGTTTCAAAATTAAAATATTTATCATATATCTATAAGAAGGTTAATAGAAAAAGTAAATTTAAAATATTTAAAATTACCTTTTTATGATTTTCATTTTTAATATTTGATTTAATAAATACTTCAAACAATGAGACCATTTCAGATTGAAATATTACAATTTGATTAAAACTTAATTTAGATTTTTTAATTATTTTTTTTTTGCAATCGTTTTCAATAGATTTAAGATAAGTTCTAAATTATGATTAAAACGCATAAGTTTATGAGGATAAATACCTTATTTCTAATGCTTTAGTATGGATTGTTTTCCCTGATTCTTTAATATCGTTTATATTATAATAAGCATCCTTGCTATTAACATTTTTAAGAACGTTATTTTTTGATATAATTTTATTTTTTATTTTAGAAATCTCTGAATCTACTAATAAATTTAATTCAGTAAGAAGATTCTGAATTGTAGCTTTTTCTTTTTTATATATAATAGGTAATAACACATTTACTAAATCATCAATTAATAAGTTTTCTATTCCTTTACTAATTTTATTGAGATTATCAGTCCATAAAGATAGCATTTCTGAAATTAATTGATCATCTAAATGACTAGGAGAAGTTTGAGTATTATGTTTTTGTTTAGATACAGACTCTTTTGGATAAGTATTTTGATTTAAAGAAGATCCACTCCTAGGATATTAATAGATAGAAGTATAGTAAAGTGCTGACCTTTTATCAGATTGCACTTTTAACGTATCAGAATCTATTTCTTTGTATTGAAAAATACGTTCATAAATTCTTTCCAACTGTGGTTTTACATGTGTTTCCCATAAAAGATTAAATTTTGGAACAATATATGAAAAAAAAAAGTCCTTGAACTTAAATAAAATTCGTATAATTCGTGGATAGACCTCTTTCTTACAAAACATATATGTTGTTTTCAGCAATTGAATTGCATAAGGTTTAACTTGTCTGTAAAATGTAATACATTTAGACTTGTAAAAATTATAGGTTATTTGAGTGCTCATGTAAACAGTTGGATGAATACTTTTCCAGTAAATATTTTCGAAATAGATTACATATTTTTTCAAGGTATCTTTGTAAAATTCATTGCACACCTTAAAATACCTTATTCCTACAGGTTGTATGTGTTTTTGAATATATTGATATGCACTATCTTTCATATGCAGAACGTACGGATGTGCATATACATTGTACTTATCCCTTATGTGAAAAACAACAGGTTTCCCGTATTTATTCACATTTTCCTGAATATTTTTCAAATATGGCCGCACTGTCTCTACATGTTCCATAGCATATTCATGATATGTAGATTTTAAATAAGGATCTACTGAAGATCTAAAATGATGATAATTCTTGCATATTAACAGTGAATTTCCTAATGGATCTTCCACTGGACAGACAAAAAAAAGCTTGTAAATCATAAAAAACATAAAAAGCCTGTAAATATGTAAATTAACCCGTTCTTAAATACTATTATATACTTGAAAGTCAGCCCAAAAAAACGGCTAGATAAATGTTGTTTTTTGTATCTCTAAAGACCATTAGTTTATCAAAAAACTGAAGATTTTATGATTAAACCATGTTGTATGCGCTTTTTCTAATACAAAGACTAATAAATATACAATTTATCTAGTTTAAAGACAATATTAAACAAAAAGACGTTTAAATTCGTTTTTATATTTTGGTTTAAGTGCAGAATGACTATGTTTACTGCAATTAATGTGCTTTTTAAGAAATATGAAATAACGGTGATATTCGATCGAACAGGTGAAAGCTGATAAGTGTATATTAAAGCAATATATGCGTAAAGATTTAAGGAAAATATGCAAATACGAGACAAAATATACGTATATTAAAGAAACAAAGTGTATATATTGTGATAATGGAAGGCAAAAACGAAAAAAGTGGTAAAGCAAAACGATGGAAAAATAGACAGAAATAATAGGAATAAATGCATATAAAGGAACAAATAGACTACATATATGCTATGGGATTTTTATGCTATCATGAGATACTCATAGAGAGAATAGATAGGCTTTTTCGATGTTCGATGAGACAGAAAAAAGACTCGATATGCGACTGAAAATATTATAAAGCGGATGGATGGCACAAAGGCGTCTGGAAATGACCTTTTACTTAGGTTTTTTGAATCAGCGCACTTTAATTCTCATGTATGTTAAAAAAACGGGTTAAAAAGGTGTATTTTAACGCGAAAGAAGCTTTGTGTTGCGTACCTTGCCAGATATCCAAATAACATAGGTATTCATCACTATTTGTGCTCGAAATTGAAAGAGTTGGAATACAAATCTTTGTTTTTTACAGAATAATTAAAAAAAATAGGTTTTCAGCGGCTGAAATTGAGTTTTTTTTGCCACAATTATGGTATGTTTCTGATGAGAAATAAAGACGGGATATTAATGCTTGATAAGTCATTTGGCGGTGAATACTAGCACTGATTCGGTTGCTTTAGAGGTTTTTATTCTAGATCAGTGCAGAAGTTCGTCACATATTGCTTTAATGGTGTGTTTGGAGTCAAAATATAGTTTTTGATAAGAGTTAAGTAAATACAGGTTTTTTGGTTGTTTCAGGCACATTTCGTAGATCTTATTAAGGATCCTGAGTGTAGTTCGTTTAAAGCATGTAAAAGAATGTTTAATAAGATTCAACATATTGTTTTTGATGAAAGAGGATTTTCGGATTTAAATAATCTTAAAGTTAGGGAAAATATGTTTCCTTCTATTTTATTGTCTAGTGTTATCATGGGAAGTATTGCTGTTCCTTTATTGTCTAAAGCAGTTGGCCCAATTGCTATTGCTCAAGGTAGACAGTATCGTTCTCAGTCTAAAGAACCAGATAAAAAAATATTTCAACATATTTTGTTTTCTGATTTTTTTCAAACCTCAGAAGAGAAAGTTCAGGAGATCTTGCCAAATGATATGCTTTCTCTTCAATTAGATCAAAAATCATTTGATGGTAAACCTAATTTATCTGAGATTTCACAGTTCTCGAGTATATCATCGAGAGAAACTTTATTACTCTCATCGTATAATGATCAATATTCGTCAAAGGATGATGCTAGTGGTTCTCCTGAATTGTTTTCTAATTTCGACTCATGTTTTATGGAAGATTTATCTTCCAAAAAGTCGTTATATGATTCTTATACAGAAAACTATACGTTATTGTCTGGCTTGTCTCTAAAGAAGCAAAGTTTTTTACTTCAGTCTGAATATTTTAGACATGAAACAGCATTTTTTCAAGCGTTACAAGATATTTCTGATCGTTTAGTAATTGTTCCTGAGATGGCTCGTTTAAGTGCATTACGTGCTGAGCTGACACTTTTAAATAGCCATTTACCTGCAGATGTGTGTATACCATCTCTTTGTAGTGCAACTGTAGATTATCCTGTTCATCATCGAATTGTTAGAATTAATCCAGCTGAAGCAATAGTTTTAAACAGTGCAAAAAGGGTGAGTTATATTTTTTTATTTTTTATTTTTAATACTTTGAAAGGCACCTTATTTGCTTACAATAGAAATTTTGGAGAATGATCTGTGTTTTGATCCTGAAAAAATGAAAAATAAAGAAAAAATTTCGAGGATATTGTTTAATACAGAAAAAAAGAAGCGATTTTTTGATATTTTTAATAATTCTCTTTCATCATATGATTTTGATTCTGAATTACTTAAAGCTAATAACAGTGAGAAAACGAATGTAATAGAATCTGATCTTGGAGATATTGGAGTATTGTCTATTTATGATTGCTCTGGCGACATACCATATGAAAGATTACAAATTAATGGTTTCCGGGATAGCACATTGCCAGAATTTCCTAGTTTTGGATATATAGATGATAATTTAAGTTTTCGTTCTGAAATTTTACAAAAACAAGCAGAAGCAAATCTTTTTTTAAAAGAAAACTATTCTTTAGATTCATCCTGTAGTGAAAATTCAATGATAGTTACATATATGCGAGCAGCAGCGATAATGTTGGCCCGACTGGATTCTGATAGTAATAAATTGTCTAAAGCTGAAACAGCAGCTATCAAGAATAAGATAATTGAAGAAATGCAGCATCTTGAAGAGAAACGTATAAGTATGGATAGTTATGAGAGTTTTGTTGATAGTCGTATAAATAATATAAAATATAGTGAAATCAAAGAGAAAAATAAGAATTCTATAGGTAAATAGGAATCGTTAATATTAACGTAAATTGATCATATTGAAGCAAAATTATTTGAAGAAGATTGGGTTATGAAAGTCGAACGTATACGGAAATCCTCGCCATATAGTCATTTTCCTAATTGGAATTTAATTAGTGTAATTGTAAAAACTGGTTCAGATTTGAGACAGGAAGCTTTTGCTTGTCAACTTATATATGCATGTGAAAAAATTTGGAATGAATATAATGTCCCTGTATGGGTTAAGCGGTTGTGTATAGTTAAGTTGTAATATTATATATTTATATTTTTTTAGAATGAGAATACTTATTACTGGAAATGACTCTGGTTTAATAGAAACTATAATTAATTCTACAAGTATTCATACTATAAAAAAAAATCTAGTAGAGCAATCTTTATCTGAAAATTCAAAAGGCAAAATGTTAACATTGAAAGATTATTTTTTAAAGGTATCAGATCTTAATATTGTTATCTCTGCTTTAATATTTGATAAAGGTATATGGTGATGTTCATTCTCCAGAATATAAAGCTGCACAAGATTGTTTCATGCGTTCTTTAGCAGCATATAGTTTAATATGTTATATTTTTCAGCTTAAAGATAGACATAATGGAAACATTCTTCTGGACACAGAAGGCCATTTGATTCATATTGATTTTGGGTTTATGTTTACAAATACACCTGGAAATGTTGGTTTCGAAAATGCTCCTTTTAAGCTCACGACTGATTATGTAAATATTTTGGGTGATAAGTTTAATGAATGGAAAGATTTAATGAAACAAGCTTTTAAAGCTTTACGGAAAAAAACAGAAGATCTCGTATTACTTGTTAGGGTGATGCAAAATGGTATCTGATCCTATACTTGGTCGTTATTAACACAAGTTAGAATCTAAACTACCTTGTTTTGGCTCTGGTGCATTAACATCTATACAATTTGAGCAGCGGTTCCAGCTTCATCTTTCCGAAGCTGAAATAGATGAATTCGTTGAGTCATTGATCACAAAAGCACACTCTTCTGTCTGGACAGTAAGTCCCATTTTAATATTATCTTCTCATGTTCTCATTTTTAGCGATTATACGATCACTATCAACAACTGTCTCAGGGAATTTACTAGCCTATTAATGATTTCTTGTTTTCCTGGTCTTTAAACTTCTTTTGCATTATCTAAACTGAAAAAATATTTAATGTAATGGGAAAATGTACTTTTGTTTGAAAAAAAGAATAAAAAATAACTTATATAAAAATATACACAAATAGTCATCTCTTCTCTACATCTTCATTCAGTTTCTTGTATTCTTAAAAAAGACTAATATTTTTATAAAAGGTTCTAAAGGTTTAAACGCTCTCGAAGGACGATTGATCGACGAACAATCTTTTTTGTTTTTTTACATCTTAGAAAACCCATTAAAAAGCATTAAATGGCGGACGATAGATTGTGTAGGGTCTGCTGCAGTGAAGGCTCAGAGGATGAACCTTTGTTTCATCCTTGGTAAGATATTTTTTCTTAAATCTCAGTGAAAAACAGTGTTGACACGTGAGATATAGCAAATGTTCGGGAACGATTAAATATGTTCATGATAACTGGTAAATAAGGCCTAAGGAGTGTTTTTGAAGTGTAGTAATTAGTATAAGTCTTATCAAGTGGCTGCATCATAGCAGAAGAAAGGATTGTGAGCTTTGCCGGACGCCTTTTCGGTTTACAAAATGTGAGTGTTAAAAAGAGGCATAGAGAGGGTGGGATTGATTGGGAGGCAGTATATGACCCGAATATGCCGAAATCTATTCCGATTGTGCTTTTTCTGGTCCGTTTATTTAGGCGGCTGAGGAGATTAACGGTTCGATGGTTTCGAACAGGACTTGCGCTGTTTTTGTGGCTTGGATGGCTTCCATGGGTTACACAGTGTGCATGGAAGTTTTCTTTTAAGCTGGGAGATAGTTTAGTGGTCAAACCGTTATTTGCTGATACAACACGGGACTCGCAAACGACATGGTTGCAGTATGTTTTAAGACGAGGAGATATTTCGCTTAGGAGTTTATTTAAATATAAGACGATCAAGTATTTTTTCAAAGATAATGATTGTTTTTGAAGGTTAATCATTTTTAGTAAAATTATGATAGACGTTCTTGAAGGACAGCTTATTACTGGTATTATTGTGATTATCTTTATTATTATTTTGCTTTGCCGAGAATGGGTTATGGGTATTAGTTTGAATAATGATCATCATTTTGAATCTGCGGGTTTTGATATAAATTCATATACCGATCCTTTGGGAGAACAGAGGATGATAGAGCAAACGTTAAATGAAATCCCCTCTGATAATATTGATGATGATGCTGATCAGTCTGTTTCTGCAAATGAGCAAGATCATGAGAGTTGCATTGCTTCTGTTCATTCTGAGGAAATCCCTACTCACATAGCTCGTCCATTAAAAATGACATTTGGCCCTGAAGAACTGAAATTAGATGATGATGATGATGATATAGTTTTCAATAAAAGAGATGAGATTTTTTTCGAAGGTTCAGATGATAATTTGTCTCAATCTACATCGGGATCTCCAGATCTTAAAATGATTCATCAAGGAATGAGTCGGCATCGAGAAACCTTGATAGAGACAGGATTGTCCAGGCCGAGGTATACTGATGAGCAAAACAGGGCGTCTTTCGAGGATTCCTCTGCATCTTTACATATGGAATTTATTAATGTGCCTGTAGAGGATGCACATATGGATCGTCGTAACATAAATTTTGCAGGAGTTGCTGAGTCATTAAGTCAGAATGGCTCAGGATATGTTGCAACTCAAAATGTTGTTCAAAGGGCTAGTGATGGTTCTATTGTTCGTGTTTTGTCAGCACGAATGAGAAGTTTTTGGGGGTTTACAGAAGAAAATATAGAAAACAGAGAACATGCTACTGATGAGGCGGATCAAGAGACGCTTTTGAATATGGATAGAGCAAGTTCTGGAACTTCGAATGCTAATGTTAATCAAGAAAATGATGATTTACCGGATGAGTTGGGGGAAATTGACGGAATTATTGAATTATCTGGAATTCGAGGACCTATTGTGGGTCTTTTTCAGAATTGTATTGTGACGTCTATTTTGATCGCTATATTTCTCGGATTATTGGTACTTGTACCATACGTTTTAGGGAAATCTGTTATTCTTATTACTGTTTGTTTTTTTTTTTTGTAAAAAATGTTTTTTTGATTCAAGATAGGTTCGAATACCACATTATTTAATACAGTTTCCAGAAAGTACAATTCAAAAAATTTTCTTGAGTATCGTTGATGCAGTTGTTTTTTTTATCTTCCAAGTAATTAATAGTTTTATGATTATAGGGAGAATATTATTTAATATAATAATTCTTAATATATTCAATAAGGAATCTTTTATAAAAATTTTTAAGTCACATGCTATTATGAAATCTATAGCCAATAGTGCTCTGTCTAGAATTATGCAAAGAATTACATCTATTTATTTATCAGGATCATCTTCTGCTTTAGATAAAGAGGTTATATTTTACGTTTATGGAGTAAAAATTGTTATTCCGCCTCGGATAATGACTCTTGGGACTAGAAATACTGTTTTTGATAGAACAGTATCTATTATTATTGGATATTGTATCTTAATAACTACTGGTGCATTGTATTTGAAGAAGCATTCTTCTCTTAAAAGACGTTCACGACAAGGAGTGATTCATCGTGTAATGAATGATACACTTCAACAAGCGAGTTTGATTATTAAGGTTTTATTTAATTAATTTAAATTTGATCTAATGTGTTTAGTTTGTTATAATTGTAGGAATAGAAGTTATTATATTTCCTATTTATTGTGGAATACTTATAGATTTGTCGTTATTGGATTTATTTGAAAATGCTAGTATTAATACGAGATTGGCATTTACTAATTCGAATCCCTTTATTAGTTATTTTTTGTAATATCTTCCATTTTACTTTATATGTATTTACTTTATTAGGCATTGGTTTATTGGTACTGCATATATGTTTCAATTTGCTTTATTTGTGAAAATGTGTCGTGATATTGTCCGTCCTGGAGTTTTATGTAAGTTTTTTTTTGCTATTGTTCCATGTTTTATTTAGTATTTAAAGTTTTTATTCATGATCCTAACGATGCACAATTTCATCCAATTAAAGAAATTCTTGAGCGTCCTATTAAACTTCAGTTACGGAAGATATTTACAAGCGGAATTATTTATTCTTGCTTAATATGTTCATGTTTTTTGAGTGTTGTTTATTCTGCAAAATATTTTTTTCCGAATCTTTTTCCTCTTCACTTATCAATTAAGTATTTTTTCGTTGTTGGTTTTCGTATTTCTAAATGCTATTAGTACATTTCTCTTTGGTATTCCCTTTGATATATTGGCTTTACATATTTTGATCCCATTAACTCTGAAACTAATAAAGCCTGCTGTAATAACAAAAGCTTTGTGGTTATGGTGGCTCAAAACTATAAGCGCTAAGCTTCGTCTTACTTCATTTATGTTTAATGGCCGACATCCTCAGGAGGAAGGAACATACGTACGGAAGTCTCTTATGGCAAAATTGTTGATAAAAAAACTTGATGTTAGTGATAATTCTCAAGAATCATTGAAGAATTTAGATGTTGTTTTTGTTCGTAACGGTTCGTTTTTAAGAGTACCTTTTAAGGATAATATTCCTCTTCATAGAGAATCGATGTTTATACCTGTTACGGAAGATAATGTGAGGTTAGATAAGAAACAAGATAATGGAACAAAAGACAGTCCCAATTTTACTGTAGTCTACGTTCCTCCGTCTTTTATTAAGAGAATAGTTGTATTCTTGTTTTTGGTTTGGATTTTTGCATTTTTAATAGGTGTTATGTTAACTATTCCTCCATGTATGCTTTTGATGTATTGATGTTTTATCAATACTAATGGGTCAATAGTAGTTGTTGGTCGGCAAATTTTTGCATTTTTGTTTTCTGGGCGCGAATATCATGATTTTTATACATATATTTTTGGATGTTATTTTCTTGGAATCCTAATTACATCATTATTCTTTTTGTATACTTACAAGATTTCACTTAAGAATAATATGAGAAGCTTTCTGGAAAAATCAAAATCATTTAAATCTGTAATATCATGTTTGAATATATGTTTTCTAAGGGTGAGTTTTATTTTGATTCGAAAATGTATTATAATATTTTGTTAGCTTTTAAAAGTGGGATATATGATTTTCGCTTTTAAAGTATTTTTTCCTGTCTTATTTGGTTTAATTATGGATTATTATATTATTATTCCATTTAACACATATTTTTTTCCAGAAGATGATCCTGTAGTGCATATTTTTCATGATTGGGCATTAGGGGTTCTGTATACTTTGATTATTGGACATTTAATCATGTTGAATACAGAATCCTTCTTAGCACGGTCAATGACACAGGTAAAGTGTTTTTAGGACTCTATATTTTATTAATTAATACTAGATTGTTCGTAATGGGTATATGAATCCAGATATTGTGCTTTCTACAAAATCGTTTATTATTCCTTTTGGATCAATAATGATCGCTTCTTTATTAGCCCCACTTGGTTTAGGCTATATCATATCAAAATTACTATGTAAGACTATTTACTAAATAATATAAAAGAAATTAATAATTCAAGATCGTACTGCTACTTATGATACAATATCTTGTGTGTATCGTTATTCGTATCCTTTAACACTTATTGGGGTCTTAGTTATATTGGTTTTAAAAGGATTTTGTATATTATTGACTAAATGCAATCAAAGTATTCGTGATGAAGTGTATCTTATAGGAGAACAACTACATAACTATAATTAACATTTATTTTATATAGCATATTTTAGTATATATAAAATAAATGTTGGTTATTATTGCAAGGCCATACATGTTAATGTTTGTCGAAATGTATGAAACATTATGCTTAGTGATATTAATAAAGTATATTTTTTATGTATGTATTGTACTGAATTTTAGAGGAATAAAATAGAAGGTATTTTAAAATAAATTCAAATAGTTTGATGTTATAATAAATTTAATGATTTGTTAAGTTTTTACATAATATTTATTTTATAAATTTTATTAATGAATTTAATTATTATATCTTTTTAATGTATTTGAAAATTGATTTTTAATTTTTTTCTATCTTTTAACATCTTTATAATTATAGCTTTCTCATTTTATAACGATTTCAATAGATAATTGTCAAATGATTTAATAAAAGATGTGCTTATTCCATATACATATATACGTCTATTTTTATTATTGATAATATTCTATATTAGTTTTCTTTTACGTTTAACTTCATCTTGAACATATTCTTTTTTTCTTAAATGACTTTCTATAATGATTCTGTTTTTGGCTGTATTAAATGGCTCTCATTCGCTTTGATATATTTCATTTGATTTTATATTGAGACATTTTTGAATTATCCATATTTTTTCAAAATATAGTAAATTTTAAAGACGATTTTGAACAAAAGCGCGAAAAGAAGCAATATTTACATTAATGCTTATAAATATTCTAAGATCAAGTGAATAAGGATCTTTCGTAAGAGGAATTTGGTTATTTTTCATAAATATAGACATAGTTAATTGAGATGACATATTTTGTCTTTTTTTATGTCAATATATATATATGAAATATTTGTTTAAAGTATGCAGACGTTACATTTAGCCGTTTGTTTTTCCTTTAGTCTGGCATTTGTACGATTACTGCTGTTATTTGTAGAATCCTTAGAGACAAGGATGGATTATTAGAAAAAGAATATCTTTGCAAAAAAAGAGATAATACTTAAAGTAAACATGTTAAAGGAAGCTTAGAAGATGGAAATACATACAAGATCTGCAATAGTGTGATGTTTTTTGAAGCAAAAGATTTATAAATGATTTCTGATCTTTAAAAATTAATAAAATGTTTTTATAAACAAGTTAAATATCTACCTTTTTTTGAGTATAAAAAGAGTATCTTCCTATTTAATAGATTAGTTGCATATTCTGCAAGAACCCATAGTAGAGTTTTTAGGAGGTATTGATTGAATATCTACTGTTTGTTATTTTTTTTAGTTTTGAATTTTTGAAAGGATGTTTTAGATCAAAATAATAAAAATTAGCTATTTTTTATTTTAAAAATAATTTTTTATCTACTTCCTCCTTGGAAATATTAAAAAGTTCAAGTATTTCGTCTACTACATTTTTAAGGTTGAGAACACAAATTCCAATAAAACTGCTAATTGCCCAGTTCTCATTTTCATTAAAAGAATATTCCTTTAGATCTAAATCAAAATGAATAACTTTTCTGAAAGCATTTTAATGTGTTAAAGTCCTTATAGATAAAATTTTACATTGAAAGATATTATATGTAGGATTAGAAGTAAAGCATGATGATGGGTTCAAAAAAATATGCATTTTTAATTCTTTTTTGGAATATGTTTCATGAAAAAGTATAGATTGTTTCTGTAATTTTGCAATTTCTGAAAGTTTTTTGATATGAAATATTCCTTCTGGTAATTCTAAAAAAGAAAATGCAGGATTATTAACAGAAAACACAAAAGTGTTTTTATCGTATTTTATAGACTTTTGAAACAAGTTTCTAGATCCTTCTTTATGAATTTCTACATTGTCATTTTTAACAAATTCGTTAACAGATGATAAGATCGTTTTTAGTAGAATGTATTTTTTTTAACTGTGTTTAAATATTTCTTTTGTTAGTTTAAGAAATATAAATGAGATGTTAATTTAACAAGTTTCTGTTATCTAGTTATTTTATAGCTTTTACGTTTTTTTTGTATTTGTTTCATATTGATATAAGAAAATTTATTTTAAATAAATATTCCATAAGTAATATATATATATATATATATTATTGTGAAAAACCTTTGGACTAGTATATTTTTAAAACAGTTTAAGAGCTTTATTATTTTATAATAATATTGTCTTGATTTTCGAAAAAATATCAAATTGACAATAGGTCTGATAATTTTAATATAAATATATATAACATATGCATCAAAGCAAATTGCTGAAGACAACTTCAATAAAATTCTATAGACTGTGTTTGATTTTTGTTTGTAAAAACTATATACTTGTAAATATATAGTTACCGTAATTTTGTAAGAAATAAAAATTCAATATTTCTTATAGGTTTTCCATGCTTCCAAAAAGGCTATTTTTTCATCAACACCTAGGTTGACTCTTGGTATTTTTGAAAGTTTTGAAAGAGATATTGAAACAGTTTCATCAAGTTCCTCTTGATAATTACTTGAAATAATGGGAGTTTTTGATATTTTTATATGAATTTTGTGTGATAATTTGAATGTAAGTCGAAATAGAAATGTAAAAAGAGACTTAGGATGAGGAGTTGCGAGATAATGGCTATATCTTTTTAAATTATTAGTTATAAAAAATAACATCTTGATTTTACTTAATAGACAAGGGAAAAATTCTAGTTTGAGGTGCAACTGATTGAAGACTCTGTGTAAATAAAAGTAATCCACGACCGTTAGAGGTGGTTCCCTTTTAAAATTATTAAAGTATAGTTAAAAAATAATGCCAACCTCTGGAAAAACAGAAATTATCCTATTTGGATATAATTTCGATAGATTGTCTAGTGTTGTATTGTTTTTATAAGAGGGTTTTTTTGGTGTTGAAAGCATATAAAACATAGCCTTTATACCAGAAACATGTTCGACAAGAACTGTGTTTGAGAAGGATATGGTAAATACAGGATTATATCTAGCAAATAAAAAAATTAGTAAATAATTAATAATGATGCGTTTTTACTTGAAAGTTAAATATAAAATATCGAGTGGAGAGCAACAACAAGAAACAATGATATCTTTAGGTTTTGGTTTTATGTTTGTATTTTCACTATACATTAATCAGTAATTTGTAATTTTTAAAGACAGACCTTGAATGAACATACATTTGAGAGTATACAGGAAAAATTCCACATAAAACCAATACAGTACCTATAAATATTTTTTTAATAAGATGAATAGTTTTAGGAAATATAGGTTGAAGGACAGGTGAAAGTAATGTATGAACAAATATAAAATATGTTATAAAAAGTATAAATATAAATAAATGTCGTATTAAAAATAAAATTGGCCCAAAAATAAAAAAGAAAAACTTTTGATTCGGCATCTCAAATGGATTTTGTAGGAAGGGTGCTAATCCTGTTCCTGGATCTAAGAAAAATTGTTGAATGATAAAAAAAGATAGATCTATTTGTACCTCTCCATTTTGTAAATTTTTCCATTTTCTGTGAAATAAAAGAAAAAGTATATCCCTTATCAAATATGATAATACTTTTATGTATATATTTTAAAATTGTCTTTGAATCTTTTCTGATTTTTAAAAAAATATATAAATTTAAATTAAATGTATATTTTGTAAATATAACTTATTTAATGCTTAATATGAATTTGCATTGATTTAATTTTAATAAAAAAAGTCTTTTTTTTTAAAAAAGAGTTCACAATTTTCTTTTTTTGTACTTTCTATAAAATCTATTTTTAAGATTATTCCTTATAAAAACTCTAAATAAACTTATTGATAATATAATAAAATAATGCTCCTATAAAATTCGTTTTTCTTATATATTTCCTATAATTTTATATTATTTTTATATTATTTATACACCTTTTTATTGATAAATTTTATATTTCTGATTTTATATTGCTCTGGATTTCTCGTATCGTACTTAATGTCATCAAAAAAAATAAGTTTTTAGAGAAATAAAAAGGTTAGATCTCTTAAGAATATTTATATTTTACAAGAACAGATGAAATAACTTTAGAATTCTTATTAAAAAGATTTTTTTATGAAAAAAAAAGCAAAAAAACAACTAAATTTCTGCTGAAATATTGAATATATTATTTTCTGTTTACGAGCGTATTTTTTGTTGAATTTTAGACAAAAAAGTGTCTTTTTTTAGATCACTTTTTAGTAATATCACAATTGAATATGAATATTCAGAATAATACTGATAATTTATTTTATGATCAAAAAAAAATTCATCAAAATCGTTCTATTTTGCGGAGAAACTTTTCGCAGATTTCAGACAAAGTTGAGCTTGAAGAGCAGTCTAGGGATGTAGATCCAAGTGTTTTACATTTGATTTCTCCTCACAAGCCCCTTTATATAAATGAAGGTGATATGGAGAAAGAAAAATTATTTCTTATGAAACAATTGCAAAAGATAAAGGAAGAAATTGAGAAATACCAAAGAGATATATATAAGCTTCAAAAAAGCAAAAAAGATGATGAAAATCGGAATCATAAAAATGAGGATGATCTTATGTATATTATTTTCTTTTTTTTAAAAAAATAATTGTTGATTTAGAAAATCGTTACTTGACTTAAACAATCATTTTTTGGCAAATAGCTCCGAACCTAAGATTTTTGTTGATGATACGATACCCTCTTCATTACCTACTCGTGTTGAAAATCCCATTCCTCAATTACGAATTTTTAATCAACTCAATTTTCACGATACTTCCAACAGAATCGTTTCTTCTGAAGAACATGGTCATTTGATTCGTGAGCATCGTTTAAAAGGAGATTGTTGTAATGGACATGTGTTTTTTGATGTTGAAATGCTTGTAGATGAAGGCACTTTATCTGTTATATCTCTAAATGTCAAAACATCTCCTTGGGCATATTCAGAATTGCATGAATTTCTTGTATTGTTGAGTTCCTTGAATAATTTGCATGAGTTGTTAATCTCATCTAGAATGATGAAGGATAAAAATGTTAATAATGTTTTTTACGGGATTTCCTCTTATTCAAAATTGTCGTCTATACGCTGTAATTTATTTTCTCGTTTATCTAATAAATACCCACAGCTTTTGTCATATTCTGGTAATTATGTATCCGAACCGAGTAAAAGGCAACCAGATGAGTTTTTTGGCATACAGTATTTACATTTTATTCATAAGAATGGTTTTGAATTAACTTTACATTGGAAAATAAAGATAGATAGTATTACAGCAGATGCTAGTAGCGATATTTCTGCTAATCCAAGATATCCTGAGAGTTGTATGTAGTGCTTTTTGTTTTGTTATTTGGGTTAATAGGTTAGGGGAATTATTTGATGAAAACAAAGCTTTACGAAAAATTAATGTTATGTTTCAAAAAATGATAAAATGTAAAGGAGTCTATAACGCCAGCATTCTTTTGTTATCAAGTGTGTTCCAAGTCGATTCATAATTTTATGAGTAAATAACATTACCACCATGGTCATACTTATTGGACATTTCGTAAAAGCTTTTTTAATTTCAATGAATATAAATAATAAAAAATGATACATAGCATTTTAAATGTATTTTATTTAATCTAGATAGTTCTTGTAACATATATAAATGAATCTATTTTTTAAGTTCTTGTTCTTCTAGTTCTTTTTTCTTTTGCATTTCACGTTTTCCGACTGTTTTGGCTTCTTTAAGAGCTCTGCGGAGTGCAGCATATGCATTAAATTCCCTTTCTTCATCTGTTATTATACGTGATTCAGGCTGAGTTATGGCAAGTGGCTGAGGAACAACTGAATCGACTGATACTTGTGTGTATTTTTTATCAAAATCCTAATTATATATCAAAATACAAATCTAGGACAATAAGAAAAACCGTACACAGGCATCACTTTTCTTTGTCTTTTTCCCTTTACGTGGCAAAACAATTAGATATTTCAAGTATAATTGAAGTCGCTCAACATTTTGCTCAAGTGATTCAAGAGATCGGTTACGGCGGCGATGATCCACTGGAATACCAATTGTCAAAGCATAATGACGTGATATACCGACTGCCTATTCAAATATTAATTAATAAATTATTAATATTATCTATTTACTCTTAATTCATCAAAAGTAAAGCCCCGTCCAAGCCGCAACTTGCGGTTATACTTAGATGTAGGTGCACGTACTACTGGACGCAGTAATTCAACTGGCCGTGGTGCTAATTTCTCTGCCTTTTGGCTTCTTGCTTTTCTACGGCGAAGTTTACGACCAGGCTGATCAAACCATGTCCGAACCCGTTTTTGCCAGTGTTTTCGGAAATGCTGGTTTGGAAGCATATTATTGTGTTTGATAGACATTTTGATCTGTTTTAATGTTGCTTTTCTCTTCTTTTCTGCTCTTTTTTAACTGTTTTTTCTGTTTTATCTTAAACTTTTTGTGACGATTTGTATCCTTCGTAGGGTTGATCCCTAAATTAATATGCCAAAGTTAACAGAGAAACATGTTGAATAAAGGTTGAAAAAAATGCAGAAAACTAGATAGGAATAATATTTTTTATTCTGTATATATTTTATGTATGTGATTTTTTTCTTAGCTGATTCGAAGTTGAAAATAATCCTTTCTTGTTCTGTTCCAGTCATCGGATTCTTTTGGTGTAGCAGGATACTGGTCCTGATCATATTTTTGTGCACGTGGTGCATGTGGACTTTCGTATTGTCGACGCTTTTCTTGGCTTCCTTTGCTGGGAAATGTTGGAAATAGTGCGGGGTCTTTTGGTTTTGGGTCTTCAGTAAAATAAGAGTGATTTAGTGCTTCTTGTGCTGAGATACGTTTTTTTGGATCTAGTGTTAGGAGTTTTGTAAGAAGATCAATGCCTGCATTTGTTAGAAATGGAAATTTTGTTCGCAAGCGAGAGCCTTCACTGTGATAAGGTTAAGAATTAGATTGATAAAAAAACAAGGCATACTTGAATTTTTTCTTTGGAAAATTTATGTTTTTTGAATTAGGAAGGTTGGTGAATCCGGGCCAGGTTTCCTCTGTTGGCATACCTATTAGCTCGAATATCTAAAATATAAAGCTTTGTTAATAAAAAACGACAATTTTTACCTTCATAAGCTGATCAATTTCACATTTTCCCCGTATTAATGGCTCACGTGTTAATAGTTCTGCAAAAATACATCCAATTGACCACATATCCACTGCAGTGCCATATTCTTGTGTTCCTAAAAGTATTTCCGGTGATCTTTGCGCATTAGTTTCCTGAATATGTATTTAATGCATAAAATTAACCAACCTGTACCATAAGGTAACAATTAATTGTGTTAATGGAGATGCTGGATCTCCAAAATATCTCGAGAGACCAAAATCCGCAATTTTGATCATTCCTCGGTTTGTCATTAGGAGATTGGACGTTTTTAAATCTCTATGCAGAACCCAGTTGTGATGCATATGTGCTGTTGCTGATAAAAGTTGTTGCATTAGTGTTTTAACCTCGGATTGCAAAAAGTTGTATGCCATGTCTTCCATTAAAGATCTCAAGTCGTGATCCACAAAATCCATTACAATAAATATTCTTGGTTTCTTAAGAAATATTGTTTTTATTAAAAATTTAAACTTACTGAGACAATGAGCTCCCGATAACGATTTCACGTATATTAACAATATTTGGATGTTGAAGCGCAAACAGGGTCCTTATTTCCCTTAAACTAGTTATTGGAAATCCATTCTTCTCTTTGTCAAGTTTAAGTCTTTTCAATGCCACTATTTCTCCCGTTTCAATGTGTCTGCCCCGGTATACAACTCCATATGATCCTTCTTCAATACGGTTTAAACGTTCATATTTTTCAACACTCTGGCATCTAGAAATACATGGAGCTTTTTCAAATATATTGTTTTTTTCTTTTTCTTCTTGGGATATTTCATATCTTGATTTTTTAACGGTTTTCTTAGAATTTTCTATGTTGTCTGTATATTTTGAATCATCTAAAGTATTTCTTGGACTAGTATTGTTATTATTAGAAGGATCATAAGAACGTTTTTTAGATGCTATGTCAAGTGAATTGTTTTGACTCATGTTTCTTAATAAATTATCATTATTGCTTATTTTTTCCTGTTTTTTTCGTAATTTCTCCGCTTTTTTTCGCTCTTTTTCCAAACGGACCCATTCAGAATGCAAAATATCTTCTTCTTCGTCTTCTTTCTCCCATTTAGATGTTTTTGGGATCATTTCTAAGCAAAATAGGTTTTTTATAAAATTATAGATGTTGGTGCTTTAACGTAGATTGTCGATATCGACGTCTCAAAAATATTAACAAATAAATTTATTAAGATTAACATAAAAAGAGGCTTAATGAGACTTAAACTTAGAATAATATCTTCCAATTGCTCTTTTTATTTCAGATGCTTTTTTTTTCCGTTTTTTTTCTGTTTTGAACGACGTTATAGAAGGCTTTTTTCGAGTATAAAAGATAAACCTGTAGAACGCACAAAATTGGCACAAATATTGGCAAAAACGATCAATGTACATTATTTACAGTGTTTTCTATCTTTTTATCTTGTTTTTAGGCGGCTGGACCGATGACTATTGCTTCTTTTATGCGGCATTGCTTGACTGATCCTGTGATGGGCTATTATACTCGCCATGATCCATTAGGTCCACAAGGAGATTTTATTACATCTCCAGAGATTTCCCAAATTTTTGGTGAACTTGTAGGCATTTGGATGGTTTATGAATGGATTGTCAAAAACAAGCCGACCAAGACAACGCTTGTTGAATTGGGACCGGGACGAGGAACATTGGCTGATGATTATTTAAGAGTATATATTTCCTATATTTTGGCATTTTTGTCATTTTGTAAAGACAATGACGACATTTAAAGACTATGTTCGGACGATAGAGTCTTTACGATTAATTGAAACAAGTCCTGTTTTACGTGAATCACAGCATAGAAAGCTTTGCGGTGCAAATATTTTGAAACGTGTCGGTGAATATGTGTTTCAGTCTATGAGTAAATATGGTGTACCTGTGTATTGGTATGAACAATTTGAACATATTCCTAAAGGTAAGTAATAGATGGGTATTTTTAACATATTAATGTTTTTGTAGAATTGCCGACACCATTTGTTATTGTTCATGAGTTTTTTGATGCTATGCCGATTCATAAATTCGAGGTATTTATGGTGTGTTAAAATAATTTAAAAATCTAATATCAAAAAGAAAACTAAGTGTGGTTGGAGAGAGTTTTTAGTTGATTTTGCTGAAAATCAGACCTCAAATACCGAGGAATGTAAAGGAAAAACTACGAATGTTCCAGAGTTTCGAATGACGCTATCGAAGCAACCTACTTATCACAGTTTGACACTGCCGAATATTTCTCCGCGTTATTCTGTGCTTCCTGTAACTTCATGTGTGGAAATATCTCCAGAATCGCTCGTTCTTATTGGAAAAATTGCAAACATGCTTCTTAATAATTCTAGTTATGCACCTGGATCTGCTTTAATAATTGATTATGGACCTTTGGATACTATTCCCATTCATACATTACGAGGGATTCGTGCACATCATGTTGTATCTCCATTTGAGGCCCCTGGAGAGGTAGATCTTTCTTCTGATGTGGACTTTCAAGCACTCAAAGAAGTTGTTCTTAAGAATAATGAACTTGATGTTTATGGACCTGTTGAACAAGGCACTTGGTTGAAAGCAATGGGGATTGAATTAAGAGCAAAAGTCTTGATTGATGCTTCTACTTGCTCTTTTAGTAAAAAAAGAATAGAATTGTCATATAAAAGATTAATTGAAAGGGGTGGTGGTGCTATGGGGAAAGTGTATAAAGTTATGGCTATTACTTCGAAAAGAAAAGATATTCCTGCTGGATTTTGTTAACTTTCATTTTTAATCTAGTATGCATGTATAAAAATTAAGACAAATGGTTTAATTTTCATTTTTGGATATTTCCTGTTTTATGTCTGTTGTTTCTATGTTTTCTTCTTGTTCTATTTCCTTACTATCATTGGGATAGTTATATGGGTCAATTGTAGAGCAATGTCTTTTCCTTTCTTTGTTTTCTTCTTCATCTAAAGGTCTTAGCCTCAACTCTATATTTGATACATTTAAATTTTTGATCATTTCATTTGGGATTTTTGATCTTCGTCTTTTTAAAGTAGATTTTGCATAGATAGGTGAATAGAATGCCCCTTTTTTAATGTCTGATGTAGCATCATTTCGAAAAACAAGTACAACTTCGTCAAGAGGTGTTTGGTTAATATGCATCATTGTATCATAATTACGAATATGATTATACAAAAAAGGTGTCTAATAGTTTAAATATCATTAAATTGAATTTTGAGTACATTACTTTGTTTTCTTCGCAATTTTGATTTTTAAGTGTTTCTTTTAGTTGAAAATATGAGTCTTCTTCTGCCAAATAATATGCTAGCCATTCTTCTCCTCTTTCAGAAACAGGCATAAATAGTGCTAGATCCAACCGACAGTCAGCAGATGGCTAACTCTTCAGTGCTTCTTTCATAGTTCTTATGGCTTACCTCTGAAGAAATAGTTTTTTGTCCAGGATCCGTTGTGAATTTCATCAATAAGAACTGTTGATCTGAAACATCTATATCAGGAAACACAGGAAATGAATCAACAACAGTCAGATATTTTCTATGAGGGTGTGTAAACGACGACAGGTCTTTAGAAGCATCTTCAAACATTGCTTCAATCGCTTCGACTTGTTTTTCCGGGTTTTCAAATTTATTGTTCTCTGAATTATCTGATTTCACTGATCGGAAATCATGTCCTTTTGTTTTTATTGTGTTTTTAGCACCTTCTGAAGAAATATACTCTGTACGGCGCAGAAAAGATACACCCGTAGAATTCCTCTGAGGCGTAGAAGAAACTTCTTTCAACAATGCTATATCCTTTGGATCCAATTTTACATTTTCTGCATTATCATGCAAATCTAATGCTTCATAAGGTCTAACTTTTGAATAAGAGGCTTCTACTATCATAGATTCCCTCAAAAACCCCTGGAATTATACTTAAATCCAGTGGCATGCCTAATTCCGGGTCTAATTCTATATGAATTGGTTCTTCCTGAATTAATTGTGATAAATATGATGTTTCTGTGTATTTATTCAGTGGAATAGGTATATTAAGCATTTTTGGCGCAAATGGTGGCAATGGCAATTGATTTTGGTACCTATAATACATTAATTTTCCCTTCAAAAGCACTATAAAAATAACCTAATATATGAAATATAATCTTGACGTCTTGATGGCATTTTTAGAGTGTATTTTCTTAAAAATCTTTAAAAAATATGTTTTTTTTTGACTTTTATATACTTTTGTGTTATTTTTACTCTTTGATCGGAATATCTAGATTATGTTGTTACGGTAGCGCTTATTGTGATAAGTAGCGGTTAGTGACTAAATTTATGTTGAGCTTTTTGAAGAGGAAGAAGAGCTTAAAATAGGTGATAAAGAAGCTTAATTATGCAAAATGAAAGATCAGAAACACATATTTATAGTAATACTTGTTTTTTTGCTAGAAAAACTGATAAATTTAGGTTCCAATGATAAATGGATAGTGCTCGAAAAGCTTCAGAAATTATATGAAGAATGGCTTAAAATGCGTTTGGATGAGAGTATCTATGAGGCTTTGCTGAGTTCTATCCGTTCTATTGGAGATTTTGCAAGAGAAAGTATTTTTTTCCGCTTTTTTGCGGTAGTTTTAAGTTTTAGTGGAAAATAGGGAACATATTGGAGAAACATACATAAAGTTTTTGTTTTCTGTTGTCAGGAATAGAGAAGACATTCCTCCTGGGCTTGTTGTTCAGTGTTTAAGGGTTATTGGCAATTGTTGTATTGATCATGGTGAGTTTAAATGAATGTTTAATATTGGTCTATTTTTATACAAGTATGATAGCTGAGAATAGAAAAAGAGTAGTGGATTTGTCAGGAGAAGATGTCTTTTTGGAGTTTTTGAATCACAAAGACTCGGATGTTTCTACTGTTTCTCTTACATCATTGTTGAATTTATGCATGGATTCTGGTTTGAAATTATTCGGTTGGTATTTTTATTTATTTACTTTCTTTAGATTTGGTGACAGAAAGACTTGAAAAAAAGGATGCACTTTCAAAGATCCTTAAATTCTCGAATCCAAATACCAACTTTGATATATTAGCAAGAATTATAGGATGGTTGATGTCTAGAGGTAATGTTTAAAGTATACATAGCTAGGAATTTTTGTTTAATGTCCAAAGAAACAAAAAAATATGATACTGATTGTTTTATGCATTTTTTGTCAATTATTCAATTTCATTCTGACAATGTTGTTGACATATTTTCCATTATTCTTATGTTTCTGCCACAGAATGATATACAATTGGAATTGGTGCAATCAGGAAAAATATATGAATTACTTAATTATTTTTATCGTGTGGTACCTTTTCAAGAGCATTTCAATTCTGAGAATAAGAGTATTATTTCTGTGTTAATTAATTTGTTTGGAGAAATAGCTGCAAATTATGACTATGTGGACCTTATTCTAAACAATAAACCTATAATGGATATGCTTTTAGGCCACCTTAACGTTGATTCTTTTGGTACTTTGATAGTGTGTAGTTGTGTGATGCTTGGAAACTTAGCACGAACAGGTATTTTATTTTTTCGTTTAAATATCAATATTAAAGTTATTTAGACAAAATTTGTATTTATTTTGTTCATGAATTAAATTTACATGAAAAGTTAATTAACATTATTAATTCTTTAGACAATCCGAAAGTTATCTATTCAAGTGCAGGATTTTTAAAAAATTTATCTATAACTAGTATAAAGTCATTTGTATTGGTACATGACTAACAGAACTAGAAAATAATAAATTCAAAATTGGAGAAGCAGGTGCTATAGATTTATGTATGAAATTGTTTTCTCATGATCTTAAATCAATACAATACTTGGCTGTTTCTATATTTAGGCAATTAATTATTGATGAAGGTACTGTTTTTTTGTCTGTATATTTTTAATCTTTTTAGAGAAAAATGCTTCTTTTTCTGTTAACTCTGGCGTTTTTGAGCAATTGTTAGAACTTCGAAAAAAAACAGATGATAATTTTATAATAATGGAAGCGTCTAGAGCTCTTTCTAGTATGATTCGTACTATTAATAAGTTTAAATTATTTGATATTGAAAAAAAAATAGCATCTTATACTGGTTTTGAAGATATTTTTAAGGATATGATTACTCAAACTAAATATCCTATCATACGTACAGACGCAATTTTTGCTCTTGTGTTGATTGCTCGGTCTTCTGAGGAAGAGCTTAGAAAAAATGCAATTAATCTCATACAAGATGAAAATATATTGAATACTCTTGTTGAATTGGGGCGAACTGGAGCAAAGGATATACGTGACAATATTCAAATTCTTCTCTTTTCAGTAAATCAAGGTATTTTGATTTTATTTTTTATATAATTCTTATTGTTAGAGCTTGAAAATGAGTCAATAAAATCAGCGCTTTTGTCTTTGAAACAAGATATTAATTAGTTTGTTTTTCACATTTTTATGAATTTTTGAATTAACTTTTTTTAAATAAATTTGCTATTTTTCGTACTAATTTTAAATTAAAAAAGGATGTTAATTCATTTAAAATATATATTGATGAATATTTTTTTATATTACAGATAAAGATTGGAATTTTTAATTTAAAAAAGAATGCACAGGTGTTTTAAGTTTTGATTTTAATGTCTATCTTTGGATAATATGGCTTCATTTGTTAAGGGATTTATTGTTTCAGTATTTATTAATATGTTTAAGCTTTGGGTTGCTGTAGCAACCTTTCTTGTGATATATAAAAAAAAGGGTTATTTAGGGATTTAAAAGACTGCATTTTAAGTATTTAGGAATTTATTAAATAATTGATATTTCTTCTAATAATAGTAGTGTTGACTCGATGATTATTTCGTTACTGTTGTTTATTGAATAATATAATGAACATTTTTTAAAAAAAAAGTGAATATTCTAATCGGCTTTTAAAAGTATTATTTTTTTATTTGAATATTTCTTGAATTTTTTTTTATTGATGGCAAACGGTGACAAAAAACTAGCATTTAAAGTAGCAAGGGCACTTTATGATTTTAATGGTCAAAAGGAATATAATGAGCTTTCTTTAACAGCTGGTGAATACGTGATTGTTGATGACATTGAAGTTGACGATATATGGGCTTTTGCTGCTTTGAAACGAGATCCTACGCAAAAGGGTTTAGTTCCTCAAGAATATCTTATTGTAGGATAATTTTTGTTGTTGAAATAAAGACTTATATTTTGTTTTTATGCAGTATTTGATGGATTCATCTTCTGAAATATTTGATTCGGGTTCTGAAAGTATTGATATTGTGAATTTTATGGAAACAGCATCAAAATTTATAGCTACTGAATCATTTCAAGAGAATGTTATAGATAAAGATTCTTCAAATGCTTTTACTCTTGGAAATAGAAGTGAATCTGAATATTTATATCAATCCTATTCTGATTTTAAAACTTATATACCTTTACAACCATGTTTTGTGCGAAAAACACTGAATAGATTACTTACTTTTGCAACAACTGGCACAGAAGATTTCTTTATTTCTAATTCTTTGGGTTCTTTAGACTATATAAAGAATCCTCAAAAAAAATATATAACTGAAGCGGATATACATTATATAGAAGTAAGCTTTTTTCATTCTAAGGAAATTTAATTGATTATAAGGATGGTCCTAAATGGAAAAGTAAAGTAGGAATATTTGATGTCTTTGTTCATGATCCGCAAAAGAAAATTTTCCCTAGCTACTTAAAAAGTCATGTTACATATAAAGTTACATCATGTTTTCCTACGAATAAAAATAGTCTTGGTATTATTAAAGTTACTGTAGAAAGACGTTATAGTCAATTTCAATGGTTTCACAATAAGCTTTTGAAAAAGTATTCATTGCTGGTATGGCCAAAGTTTCCTGAAAAGCAAATAACGCACAGATTTAATGATGAATTTTTGGAAAGAAGAAGATCGAGTTTAGAAAGATATATAAAACGTGTGGTAAAGCATCCTGTTGCTAGATATTCAGGTATTTTGTTTTATTGTTTACGTCCTTTGGTTAAAAAATGAAAGATTTGCTAGCTACTTTTTTGACCTGTGAAGATTCTCTTGAATTTGCTGAAAAAATGAAAGAACATGATAATGATTTGATTGTTGGTCAAAAGTTTTTTGAAAATGTCTATCATCCTGACTTTAATGTAGATGAAGGGTCTGTGTTTGTGTTTTATTTTTGGAAAAAGACTAAATTAATCTTTAGAGATGCGCCTATATTGTATGCGTTTTCATGTTATATTAATTCCTTAGATCGTCATGTTCCTTCTATAATTAATAGCTTTCGGAACTTGAGATATTCCATACACACAGGTGCAGATAAATTGAAATTATTCGGGCAGAATATTCTTAAATTAGTATCTAAACATAACTTTTCTGGCACTAATAGCAGTGATTCAAGTTCTAGGAATATTTGGTGCCATAAAGATGAATGTTCAAAGTGTGAAAAATTAACGAATATACTGAAAATAACTTCTGATGCGTTAATTTCTTGTTCCAATATTTGTAAACTATGGGCAATCAAACATTCTGAAAAAATTACTGCTCAATTGAATGAATGGAAACAACCTGCAAAAGATACTACATTTTTATATAAAATTTATTTAGCTACTTTAAAAAAATATTTATATGCTGATAAAATTGATCCTATGCATGATGTATATGACATTTATTTATTAATTATATTAATATATTCTAGAATGAGTCTTTTGAAGAATTGAGACAGCGTTATGATACTATTTTTAATATTATTATGGCTGAAATAGATAGAATACATGAAGAAAAAATTGACTCTTTTAAAGTTATAGCTATGGAGTTGCTGGACCAAGAAATATTGCTTCAAAAAAAGGTTTTTATATATTTTTTTTTTTTTTTATTTATTTTTTAGAAACTTGAAATACTTGAAAATGCACGTTCTGGGTTTGAATATGAATAACAGTAATGATAAATTTTAAAAAGGTTTTATCGTTAATTTTTAACTTTTTTTAAAATATATTTTTTAAGCTTATTAAATGAGAAATTGGTTGATTATATGTTTTTAAGTTATTTTTTAAAATGCTAAATTTAAAAAATTAATATTAGTAGAATAATTGCATTTTATTTCGTTTAAACCGCGAAATAAACTAAAACTTTATATTAAATGTATTAGAAAATGGTTACTAAAGTATTATGAGAATTTAAAATGGCTTTAACATAATGCTTTTTTTCGTTCTTCAATAGCTTATATATTTAAATAATGATTCATTTATATTGGTATTTTGATAATTTATTTAAAATGGATCATTTGTCTATAAATATGGATCATAATTGGATATATTTGAAAGTTTTATTATGTTTGTTATGTTGCAGTGTTAATTATAGAATTTGTATATTTTATTGAAATTATTAAAATAATTTTATCGTTAATTTTTTAACATTCAATAATTTTCAATTTCTAGAGTTTATTATTATCATTTAAAATAAGTTTATTTTTATTAGAATATCTTTATATTCTTTGATAATTATGTATGAATTTTAAAAAATAATTATTAAATTTCTTGAATATTTTTAGAGAAGTATTTTAAAAATCTATTTTTATTTCTGTATGTTAACTATGTATTTTTATGAGGATTAAATATTTGATTTATAGTTTGTAATTTGTTTGAATTATATAAATTTTTATTTTAGATTAATTATTGTGTATTATTTAAGACTCTAAAATGATTATAAATGTATTAGGTATTGTTATTAACATATATATGTAAGGATTATGGTTGTTTATGATATATTTTTATTTCATACTTATTATAAATTTTATTTTTTAGATAAATTAGTTATTTATAAATGATTAAAGATAATTTTACTATTATTATATTTTTTTGAATACTTAGGGATTGATATTGAAATAATTATATATATTTCTCTATAAAATATAAAATTTCTGAGATAAATAATTTTATTAAATTTTGTTAATAAATATATATAATTTAATATTTTTGGAAAATTTTTGAATATTTTTAATTTTGTAAAATATTATGAATTTTAATAGATTTTATTCAGATTTAATAAAATGGATATTTGAAGTTGGTTATTTAATGCTTGTTTTTATAATACTATAAATTATGTATGAAAGGACTTGATTTATTATCTATGGTTTACTAAATTTAAAACTTTGTTATTAAAAAGAGAAAATTATTATTGGTATAGGGATTTGTTTACAATTATTTTTAAGTTATAGGATATTTAATATAAATTATATTAACGTTAATTATTAAAGTTAATTTTGATTTTAAATATTAAACCTATTTAAAATATAAAATCTTTTGATTTTTAGACGTATTTTTAATTTATTTAGGTAGTATTAGACTTTATTATTTAATATTTTTCATGAATATATTCTTTTTTTGTTTAAAATTTAAAATTTTACTATTTTTGACTTATTAGTTTATGAATATTTTATAGAAAAAAGATTTGTTTTGTTATTTAATATTACTTTTATTAAGCATTAAAATATGATTATATATTTTATGTATTTATTTTATGTATTTAGTATGTTTTATTTTTTTTTTAAACATTATTTTGTTGATTTTGTAAATTTTTTTAGAATAAATATTTTTTTAAACTAATATTTTTGATTATAAAGTATGTTTTGTATAAATAGTTGATTAGATTAAAAGTATTAAAAATTTTAAAAGAAAAGAAAAATCATAATTTGGTATGAACTTGTTAATAGTTTTTTTGGATTTTTTTTTTCTGAAAATTTCATATTATATATTATATATATATATATTCTTTATTTATAACTACTGATAGATGTTTTTAAATTGTTAATTTTACTTATATCCGAATTTTGCTTAGACTTTCTAAAAATAAAATAGACTTGTTATGATACTTGAAAACTATTTTTTTGGAAAAAAAGACAAATATGGTTTAAATCTTTCAAATAATATCTTTTATAATATATTAAAGATCAATTCCTTATTCTTATGAATTTAAATGATTTTTTTTACTTTGTAATATTTCAAGAATCTTAATGTCGATAACGTCTGGGGTACTTTTATATCTACAAAAGTTTATATAATTTAAAAAAAAACAGTAAATAATGCAAAGGAATAGAAAATTACGTCATTTTAGGTCCATTGTTTTCATTTTTCTTCTTGTTTTTATTATTTTTCCTGTTTTTTTATATTTCGGAATTATGATTTTTGTAGACTCTTGGAACAGCCTTTACTCACTCAATTTACACAATAAGCCTGAATTATTTACTTTAAAGCACATTCTTTCATTTGGAATAAATGGGGAGATTCATAAATATCGTTTTTTGAACGTTAAAAAGCTATCTACACTTGATTTATTTTCATACAAACATTCCCTTAGAATTATGAAAAAATCTATGAAGATTAGACGTTTGACACGCCAATCGAGAAATTCTTACCATAAATATCTTCTATTTTATCAGAATAAAGAGTTATCTTTCTTGGGTTTTAAATGGATTTTAGAGGATGTAGATATTCCTGATATTGAAGATAAGCAAACTGTTATTAGTATGGCAGAAATTGCAAACAATGCTTATATCGATATTCCAAAAACAGGTGATTGGATAGAAGTTGGTAAAGGAATAGATGTATTAAATGATGATGTTTGGGATAAAAATGTTCTTCATGGTCATGTTTTTGCTGATAATCAAAATAAGACAGTAATTATTGCATTGAAAGGAACGAGTCCAGAACTTTTTGGACTCCATGACATAAGTACAGGTACAAAGGATAAGATTAATGTAAATGAATTTTAGGATTTGTGTTTGTAATTAATAAGGTTAGGATAATTTGCTTTTTTCATGTTGTTGTGGCCGAGTATCTTGGACATGGACACCTGTTTGTGATTGTTTTAATGGCGCTTATTCTTGTGATCAGCAATGTCTTGAAAAAGAGCTTTTGGATGAGTCTCATTATTATAATATTGCTTTGGTGAGTTTTTTTTTAAAAAAAATCCAAGTTTATATTTTTATGAAAGAACATTTATTATAATGTCTCTAACGTTTATCCTGATTCAAATATATGGATGGTTGGACATTCGTTAGGTGGTGCATTGTCCTCTTTAGTCGGTTTAACGTTTGGTCTTCCAACGGTCACCTTTGAAGCACCTGGAGAAAAATTGGCTGCAAAGCGTTTGCATTTGCCTCTTCCTCCTGGACTTCCTGATAATGAGTCTCATGTTTGGCATTTTGGACATACAGCAGATCCTATTTTTATGGGTACATGTAATGTAAATATTCTTAATCATGAATGAAATGTGTTTGATTGTTATAATAAAAGGGACCAACATCGACATGCTGGTATGGCGGATATGCAATGGAGACACGTTGTCGTAGTGGTCTTTCGTGTATCTATGATGTCGTCAACGATAAAGGTTGGAGGGTGGCGATTGGTACACATCGAATTAGACAGGTGATTGATATAATTAAAGATTATAAAGATGTTGCCAAATGTTTTTCACAGAAAGATTGTATGGATTGTCTTGAATGGAATTTTTATGTATGTTTTATCTTAATAAGTTAATTAAATGATAAACGCGTATTAGGATAATATTACTGATAACAAAAGTATTAAATACTTAAAATAGCTTTATATCGATACAAAGAAGGTATATATAATTTTTTAATATGTTTTTTATTAAAAAAGGAATTCAGATGATTGTCTACTTTTATAATTTAAATCATTATTTTTTATTACATTAATAAATGATTAAAAATATATCCCTTAGAATCTTATGATTGGTTTAGTATGGGATAGATATTAATCTTTGAAAAATGAATAAGTTATATTATCAAATATAATATGAAAGTAATTTTTATCACTATAGGCAAAAAACATATTTTGAAATAAGATGCTATAGCGCTTTATTAATTTAGATACAGTGTTTCATGTATAAGTAAATGAATATTTTAATTATTCATTAAGAATATGTTATTGGAGATATTGGAGTATAATCGAACGATACAAATCTGCGATCGTTGACGTTATATTTTAATTTCATTTTATGTATGAAACATTTTTTATAGCAATAAAATATGCTGATATTGTGCTTAGTATTTTTGTAGTCTATGGATATTAGTGTTTTTTTTTGTTTTTTAAATGTTTAAGAAAGACCAACGCTGCAGAAATAAAATTAACTCTTTTGGGACAAATTGCAAAACTAAAACTATATCTGGATTAAACATTGTTTATGGAACCTGTTATTTTTTTTAGAAAAGGACGTGCAAAGAATGTAAGGCAACGTGAGGATGATTCTGAATCCGAGGAAGAAACTGTTATAAAATCCAAGAAGATTAATATTCGCTCAAAGCAATCAGTAACAGCTCAAACAAATGGTTTTTCTGCCTCTTCTTTGTCTGATATACAAGATACATCTTCTAATAGTGCAGTTGATTCTGCAAATATAGCTTCCAATCTTACTGCAAATTCAGATCGTGTTATTAGTCGTCCTGGACCTGTTCAAGCAAGACATGTAGTTCCAACAACGTTTATTGACTATGCACCGGACGTGTGCAAAGACTATAAGCAGACTGGGTTTTGTGGCTTTGGTGATTCATGTAAATTTCTTCATGATAGGGAAGACTATAAAGCAGGGTGGCAACTTGATCGCGAATGGGAAGAGGTTCAGCACAAAAAACGTATAGCAGTGATTCAGGCAAAAGAATTAGACAGCCACTCTGAAGAATCTTCTAGTGATGAAGAGGATATTCCTTTTGCATGTTTTATTTGTAGAAAAGAATACGTTCAGCCTATTGTTACAAAATGTGGTCATTATTTTTGTGAACCTTGTGCAATTAAACGTTATAGAAAAAATCCTAATTGTATTATTTGCGGTTCTGGCACTTCTGGTATTTTCAATGCGGCTAAAAAACTTCAAGTATTTCCTATATTTTTCTCTTTTATATTTTAACTCCAAATACAGGCAAAACTTTCCAAGAAAAAGGCATTATCCCACCAGCACCCTTCTTCTCCGTCTGCTGATCTATAGTATTCTTACAAATCTTCTTTTCAACTTTTGTTCTTTATATCCTCACTTCTTTTTATACATATTATTTCTTTTATTGTTCTGATTCCTTCAAAAACACAAATAAGCACATAATTTTGCTATTCTTATGTCGTATACATTCATTATTCTTTTTTTATACTTTTCTTTTCTCTTCTTTTGTTTCCTCTTTACTTTTGAGATATCGCCGATTTTCAAGAAACCAAAATTTTTGGTTAATGAATAAACGACATAAATAGTCTTAAAATGTTGATATTTTACAGATATACAGAGATTAATTGAGCAGATCTTAAGAATAACTATTTATATTTATATATAGGAAAGTTGAAGACGTTTTTCCAGTGAAAATCTGGTATAAAATCAAGTATTTGTAAAGAGTGAAGAAGTCTTTTGGTATGCACATGTGTTATATATATACGATTGAAATGAATAAATTGCATTAGAAATGTCATTAGAAGTATTAAAAGATGTTAAAATTCCAAAATTACCGCGTAGAGTTAAGGTTTATGAGATGCGTGATGATAATTGGCATGATTGTGGAACAGGATATTGTACAGCAGTAATTGAGAATGAGGTCTTTGAAAGGATATTTTTAAAGTTCTGAAGGTTTATTTATATATAGATGGATGGCTATTTTGTGGTTAAATCAGAAACTAATATAGAACAAGTATTGTTGAGGAGCAAAATTGTATGTGAGGATTTATATCAAATACAGCAAAGTATGTTTGTTTTGTGCTATCTGTGTGCAGTATATGACTTATGGTAGAAACGTTAATTGTATGGCAAGAATTGGATGGAACTGATATTGCATTAAGTTTTCAAGAGGTAGACGGATGTGATGAGATGTGGTATTTCCCTGGTTTTGTCCGTTAAGAGTCTTTTTGTGCTCTTTTTAACGGCCTTTTTGGAAATATAGATTAATTGGTGTACTAGGAATTTTTTGAATGAAGTTAGGAAGACACTGTTAGCTACGTCTGGTATTTAGTATATTTTTTTTGCTATGTCTTAAATATTTTAGAAGTATTGAAACCACTGGACTTGGAGTCTCAAATAGATGATCATGTGGGTAAGGTATGTTTGTTTTTTTTATTTTTTTTCTTATTTCAAGATGAATTTTTTTCTGATGACGTAACCAAACAAAACCCATCGAGTCCTGTGATTTTGCCGGCACCTGAGCTTTCCAATCTTGTAGAGATTGATGCAATGATTTTGAAAGCAAATCAAACGGTTTTCGGGAAAGAAAGTTTAGCAAAATTTGTTTTAAATGAAGTATGCATTGTAATTACAAAAGGATATAGCATTTTTGATTGGTATAGAATTACATATCGCAACTTATTTCACTTTTAGATGTTTGTGAGGATTTAGAAATCTTGAATGATTTGCACTTGCTTTGTTCGATCATGAAAAATATAAGTTTGTATACTTTGATTCTTATAGAATCTCTGTAACAAGATTAGTTCTTACTAATGATGCTGCAATTATTGAATACATTTTAAGAGATGATATTATTTTGGGAGTGGTTGGAATTCTTGAATGTGAATATTTTTTATAATTATTTCCTTATTTATTTTTAATTTTTATAGATGATTCTGAATTTACTACATATAAAGCAAATTATCGTGAATATTTATCTGATACATCAAAATTTAAACAAGTAGTTGATATCAAAAATACAGAGATACGGAACAAAATTCATCAAACATTCCGTTTACAATATTTGAAGGATGTTGTTCTTGCTAGGGTTATAGATGATTTAACATTTTCTATTCTAAATACATTGATATTTTTTAATCAAGTGGATATTGTTCAGCATTTTCAACATAATGATGAATTCCTTAAAGAGCTTTTTGGACTCTTTAAGGATGATTCTGTTGAATTGAAACGTAAGTTTGATGCTGTTATTTTTATTAATCAAATCTGTAATGTTGGAAAAACGCTTCAAAGTGCATCACGCGTATCTTTGTATACAACGCTTGTAGCTAATAGTTTATTTGATGTTGTCCGTTTTGCGCTTTATTCTGAATCCTCAATATGTATAGCTGGTGCAGAAATATTAATGGCAATTATTGAATATGATCCTTCGCTTGTACGATCGTTTATTTTAGATCAAGTCAACATAAATGATAAGTCGCTTTTAGATGTTTTAATTGATTTACTCCATTATGAATCTGACCTTGGTATTAAAGTTCAGATATATGAAACAATTAGAGTTTTAATGGATCCTACTTCTATTTCTCTTGATTCAATTTCAAAATTTGATATATCTTTACAAAAATCTAGTGTATCTGATACGGATAAATTCTTGCAATTATTTTATGATAAGTCCGCTAAATTTTTGTTTGAGCCTATTTTGAAATTAGATTTACCAACAAAAGGTGTGTTTATGATATTATGAATAGTATGATTTTAAGCATATTTTTAGAAATTGACTCTATATCATCTACATTATTAATGTATTTATGTGAACTTTTGTGTTTTTTTGTTAAAGTACACTCATTTCGTAGTAAATTTTTTATTTTATCAACTAATATTTCATGCAAAATAGCTAGCTTATTTACATTTCCTGAAAAATATATACGTCTTGGTAGGATTAAATATTAGTTTATACATATATGCATGTGATTAATATTTTAAGCTTCTTTACGGTATTTTAGAACATGTATTGGTCTTAATGATGAATTTTACAGTCGACATTTTATCAAAAACAATCTATTTAGCCCTATTCTTTCGGCTTATATAGAGATAAATGATCGTGATAATCTTTTAAGTTCTGCCTGTCTTGAATTTTTTGATGTTATAAGAAAAGTATGAATTTATCATATTTAGTTTTTTTTGAAAAAAAATTAAATATGATATAGGAAAATATGAAAAGTATTGTTAATCATTTAATTGAAACTAATGGAGAGAGAATTAAGAATTTAAATAATATTCCTATTTTTGATCAACTTATTAAAAAATATGAACAATATCATGATAAATCTCATGAGATTGAAAATTCTAAAACGGAAGAGTAAGTTAAAAATATTGACAAATTATACTATACTAACAATTGTGAGTGCTAAACATACGTCTGTTGGTAGATGGTCGGATGCAAGACATGTTGATATTGAAGAGGAAAATTATTTTAATACGTCAGATGATGAAGATAAAGATGGTATAGAAAAATTAGATAATTTTGAAGAAAAGAAACTTGTAGATTATCCTGATGATGATGTTGAAGTATATAAGAAACCTGATTCAAGTAAGTCTATGATAATTTTATCATGTCATTAAGAATATAGATGACTATCATATCTATGATGATAATGCAGATTTTCCACTGTCTTCTGATAAAATTGCTGAAAAACGGCACCGAGATGAAGATGATGATTTGGGATTATTAACTTGTGCAAAACGAAATTTTGCTTTTGACGCAAAATCTACTTCACCTCAATCTAGTCCGAAAAAGATTGCTATTTCTATTGGGAATTTTAAAAAGGCTACGAGTTCTGAGTAGACTAGAATAATAATGAGATTTTTGTATATTAGGTATATTTATAGAGGGTTGGGTTTTGTATTTTATAAATAAATATTTGATGCAAGACATTTTACTATAATTTTGGATTTTATACGGTTAGTTACGTTTCTAGTATTTCGTATGTAGTGATTATAACTATTTTGAACTACTTCAATTACTGAGAAAATAAATCATACGCTTCATCATCTGATATAAATATTTCGTTTATGTCTTTTGTACTTATGTCTTTTTGCTTAACGCTCTGTTCTAAAGGTGATTTTTTTATATCGATAGTTTCAACGATTGGGTCTTTTGCTTTTTTCTTAGTAATGGTTTGCGTTGAATGGTGCTAGTAAAAGTGTTTAGTATTTTATTTTTATTTGTTTTCTCTACCTTTCGAGTTGTTGCTTTTATTTTTACTGGAATATCTGTGTTATTTTCTATATCAGTTGTACTAATAAATGTATTGGTTTTTCTAGATTTTGTAGTAGAAAATGTTGATCGTTTTGGTAATGATTGTCTCAGTTGCTGTTGTTTTAGTGATTTGCGTGAACATGGCAATTTTTGTGGCATTTTAATATTTTCTTTCGTTCCAGCAATATTATGATTACGTGTATATAGTGATGAAATATCTGTATAAGTGGTTCCTAATGCATCTTCAACAGAAACCAAATGGTGATCAAATTCTATTTGGTTGCCTGAAACAACAGATTGTTTAGGCATAAACAAATCATCAACCAGTGTATTTTCTTTATCATAAAGCATTGCTCTAAAATTAAATCGATGAAAATTAAGAAATCCATCTAAAAAATATTAATTTATGTTAAAATAAAAAAAAAAATTACCGTGCCAGCCTAGACAATATTAGTTTGTTTTTTACTTAAATATCTTCTTACGTTTCCTGACTTGATGCTTATTAGATGTCCATAAACATTTAAAACGGTCAACTGCTGCTGTATGTGTGTGTTGCATATCTAATGTATGAGTTACGTTGTTATGAGTGTTACTAAGGTGATTTGGTTACCGTAGAAACAAATAAATAGATAAATATTAAATACATGATTGATAACAATCAGTTAGTTAATTCGCTCCAAATATAAGGAAATATAACTCCACATGCTCGTAAGAAAACAATTGGTACGGTAAAAATATTGAGGAAGGATGAAGATAAAGCGAGATAAATAGAATAGAAAACAACTGCAAAAAAATGATAAAAAAGTAGTAATGGCCGTTGATAGATGCTTTATAGAGTCAAAATATATAACTTTTGTATTTGGGATGGTTTTCACCCTGATAATAAACCAATTGGACCATCAACAGCAGTGCCTCCAAGTTTAAAATATTCAAAACAGCCTTTTTGCAGAATACTTAAATAAGGGTCTAGCAAAGGCATTAGTTACATCAGATATAATCAAGATTTGATGATACCTGTTGGCGAGAAAAGAAAGTACAATGACTGTGCAAGAATATTGATCACAGAACTGAGCTTTTTGCGTTTCCAATGAAAAAGATACATTTGTTGCAAAACAAGATCAGTATCTTGAAAGGACGGGATAATTGCTGGAGATAAGAGATTCGAAAGCAAAAGTACATCGTTTAATGCAACTGTCATCCCGCCGCCAGTTAATGGATGCCGCATATTCATTGCATCACCAAGAACAATAAGTCCTGGCTTTTTATTGAGTGATGATGGTAGAAAACAGTTGGGCATTGAGCGGATTCTTTGGTTTTCAAGAGCTTCTGCAAATGAAAATTGGATGTTTTTCGGCAAAATCGGCATCACTATATCTTCCATGTATTTTTTAAGTTCACCTGTATTGTTAGATGGAAGCTTCCCAGGAACATCAATTAGAATTCGTGCATAATGTGTGGATAACTGGTAAATGAGGATGGGTGAGTGTTTGCTAAGAATAACATGACCATGAAGTGGCATTGGTAGAACTACATTCTTAAGTAGTAGTCCAACAAAATTCGATTTTACGATGACCGGTTTTGTGATAAATTGTTTCCGAAATGCTGAAAAGCACCCATCAGCAATAACAGTTAGCGGTGCAAAGTGCTAGTTGTGTGTAAGTATTGTTTACCATTGCATTGATTCAGCATTCATTCAAAATTTGTTCAGTGTTGTAAGCATTATTTAGATACAACAAATGCAGTTATCTCTTTACAGACATTAGAATGACGTTTGCAACGCCAATTCAGGTCTATAAATATTGTTGGCATTTTTAGATGTTTTCAAAACTATTTAAATGTTTTTATGTTCTATTTTGTGTTTTCTTTGTTTTTATTCTTTTTCACAGCTCTGACGCTGCTTTGTATTGAGATGCTTTTCATAACTTACTTGTTCAAGATGCCCTGTTGCTTTTAACCGTGCGGTTACCCCGAGGACACGTCCTGTTGCTTTGTTTTCAATTATCTCAACTGCCGTTGCCTCAAGTAGTTGCACACAGCGTTGTGCTTGTGCTTTTTGACGCAGTCGCTGCACAAACCGCCCATGATGGAATGAACGCCCACCAAGTGCCGCTCCGTGTGCTTCATACGGCACCTGCACTTGCTGTTCTGCCCATACCAGGTGATATCCGTTGACTCGTACTGCATCAATTTCTTCTAGTGCATCTGTTTGGATCAGAAAGCGTTTTTAGAGATATTTTCCTGCTGAAAAGGCTTTCGTGCTGTTTTATCCCTTAAATAGAGCATATGCACTGTATACGTGTAGTATATTCACAATATATTTGCACTATATGCATTTTATATGTACTACATATGCACATTATATATGTACATTCTATGTGTACATTCTATTTGTATATTATATCTGTATTATATATATTATATGACCATTATGTGACCATTGTATACGATGTATCTGCATTGTATCTGTTTGTGTTGTATACGCAGGCTATGTCTGCTATATATGCATTTTATGTTTATACACAATCTGTGCACTGTATTCATACTATATGCGTATTATATGCACTTTATATGCATTATATGCTTGTTATCTGTTTTATGTTGTCTATATGTGTACTTTATTATTTCCACACTATATGTGGACTATATGCGTTATATTTGTATTGTATGTACTATATCTGCACTGTGCAAGTTTTGTTTATATTATACGGGATATATGCGTGTTATATGAGTTGTATGCGTATTATATTTGTGCTATATGCATATCTGTGTGTTGTATGCACTCTGCCTTGCCCTGCAACATCACATACCTTCAAGTCCTAGTGCATACAGTGCTGCTACTCCGCCTGGCTGCAACAATTCTCCAACAATCCGATCTGGCTCAGATGTGTCGCGTTCTATCTAGTAAGCTAGGATTTTTGCTCTGCTAACCCACCAAGTAGCAGTGTTTGACGCTCCTGACGCCCAAAAATTGTAGCAAGTGGTGCTCCAAGGATTCCTAGCATTTATTGGTATCTTTTATATTCTTTTATACACTGATATAGGTTTACCTGCTCCTACAATAATACAGTCCCACTCACCACGCATCTCGTCAACCTTATGTGTCCGGTAGCAAGTATCGCTGTGGATTATAAGAGTACGGTAAATCAAGATTTATCTGTGTATATAACCATAGTTTGGCATTTAATAAATATATTAGACATAAATGTATATATGTCCATGTAAAATGTATATATAGTGTCTATAACTGTATATATAGATATATGTGTATGCAGAGAACACCCTCTGTATCATCTGTTCACTGTCTGCATGTGCACTCTATACATGTTGACTTGGATGTATACTGTGTAGATTATATATTATGTATACAGCATGGGCATAGTATGTGTATTGTATGCATACTGTATGTATACTGTATGTATACTGTATGTATGTTATATGAGTTATATGTATGTTGTGTTATGTATGTATACATGTTATACGCAGTATATATAGTGTATGAGTAGTATATATATCTGTCAGTGCGATTATCTTATATACAGGAACTGTATGCATGTATGCTATATGCAAAGTAGATGTACTGTCTATATAGTATATATGTACTATGTGTCTTATATGTATATAACAGTGTTATAGCATTGTGGTGCATATAGTAGGGTTGATGTATACAGTGTGTATATAATGTATGCAACATCATAATAGGTATATAAGATACACAATAAGTATATAGAATGCATGTAATATACATATTCTATGTATGTAGTGCAAAGTCTACATGATGGAAGGACATCTGTTCTACAGTCGGCCTGGGCTACTGTCGCTACTGTCGGGACCATCGGAACAAGACGAATACAGAGAATATGATTCTTAGTGTATGACTAGCGTTAAAATGTATTGCATTTTATGAATATTTTATACATATGTTTATGTTTACAACATATTTATAATATATTTCAATAAATATATGTATAGAATATTAATATTTTGCTTAGTAAGGCTGTAAAAAAAGAAATAAATATATAGAGAAATGGACGAAACAATACAAGAAAATGTTATGAATTTGTGTTAAAGAACGGTTTACAACTTGATTGAGAGACTGCCTACTAAATCACCATTCCGCCTAAAAAATTAGACATATATTGACAAAGAAGCACTGAACATACTATTACTTGCGATTCTTGGCCAGAGATCTGCACATTCTTTGCCAACTGGGCCTGTAATAGTACTCCCCTTCATCTCTCCCTTGGGATTAACAATAACACCGGCATTGTCTTCAAAATAAAGATGAGTGCCATCACGCCTTCTCCATGGCTTCCTCTGGCGAACAATAACCGCTGGCATTACTTTCTTACGCAGTTCAGGCTTGCCTTTTTTTACTGTAACAAGCACCTATTGCTGTTAAAGCTATTCTTATATAGCATATCATTACCATGTCTCCAACACTGGATGCCGGGAGACGATTCAGGCGTGCACCTGTCCCCTTAACAGAGATAATATAAAGACTCTGAATCAGTCGTTAGTCAAGACCTGCAAATAAATACTGCTGAGTATAAAACCACCAAGTGGTTTTTCAGCTAAAATTCCTGTACTTGCCTTTGCCCCTGAATTGTCTGCACAATTTATGATTGCACCAACTAAAAACATGTTAGTTTTCTGCAGAAGGCTTTTTTTTATAGGCGGAAAAGTGGAAAATATAATCATATTGAAAATCAATTAAAAAAGAAGAAAAAAACCCCCAAAAAAAGGGAAAAAAAAAACCAAAAAAAAGAAAATATAAACAAATTAGGCAGCAATCCGTACCTGGAAGACCAAGTGTTATTCTCAGCTTATTTCCTGCTGATCCGCGTGCTCTTTTTGACGACATTTTCTGATTTTTAAATTTTCTAGTGGTTGCTTCCTACGCTATCTCCTAATATCATATAGGGTTTAGCCCTAACAATATTTTCTTCGGATATATTTAAGAGTCTATAAGTGTGTTAACTGTTTAGGGTTAAACCCTGTAGCAATTGGTAAATATAGGGTTAAGTTTAAAATCTAAGCTTTATAAAATAAGCTTTATAAATAAGCTTTATAAAAATGCAAGCGGATATAGTGAGTTTTGGAGGTTTTCTTTGTATTTTTAGAAATATAAAGCACTTAAATGAGGGAAATGGCTTTTTATGTTAAAAATAATGGAATTTTCTGGAAAAATGACTCAATATCAATGCATAAATATACATATAAAACGCATACAATAGGACTTTTAGCAAATATGCAATATATGAATGAATATACAGGGTATTGATACATGCAGAATACATTAAAAGGTGTAGATAAAGGGCATTGAAAGTATCTAATAATTATGCAATGTATAAATAAAAAATATGAAAGGAGCGGGGCTGGTATAAGGTCGATAGCATGATATTGATATAGACGCATAAACGGTAGCATAATGTGTCTATATAAAGCACGTATATGTAGTACATGGTGCATATATACGTAAAAATTTAGTTTTAGGTTTGCTTTGATATAAGCGGATTTTATATAGCTGAAGGTTATTTTTATATTGATAAGATATTGGAGCATATATTAGACAAGGGAATTATTAAAGGGAAATATGATTAAAGTGTTTTTTTTTATTTTTGCTATAGAAGCTCTGGGTTTTCATTTTACTTTTGACAAAAAGTTGACAGAGTTGAAACATAATAGTGTGTATTTACGCCGAAAATATAGACACTTTTTGGAGAATAGTGTTTTACATTCTTTTAAAGAGAAAAAATATTCTACATTTATGAATAGACTGGTTTTGGGCTTTTCACATAGTAAAAACAAGGATATTAATGGTAATTCGAGGAAAATGGGTTCGTTTTTGAGTATGCAGAGCATAATGGGTCCGTATGATGCAAATACGGCGCATTTTCCAGTGTCTATCTATGCACGTCGTGATGAAAAAAAGAAAAAGGAGTCTATGATACCTTTATCAGGTCAATGGGATGATAAGAATATTGGTCCACCAATACACAGACTAGGTTTTTATAAGGGAGATGCTGGTGGATTCTTTGAAAAAGACAAGGCATCTAGGGAAAATTTATCTCATCTAAAGCGTTTATCTGAGTTCTTTATAAAGATCTTGCCTTCATGGTTAACGAATACTATAAAACATGATGTTGGATATCGTGCTTCAGTAGAAAAAGTAAAAAACAAGTATCACGATGTGGATGGGTATAAAGTGTATACATATAAGTATACAAATCGTATTAACATCCGTTCGTTTATTTTGGGGCATCGTCCAAAGACATGTTATAGTGTTTTTGAAGGGTCTGGGGTTAATGGTAAGGTAAAATAGAATCATATATAATCCTGTTATTTATGTATGTGGAGACCGGATTAAGAAATGTTTAGAAAGGGGTTCAAAAAAGACAAGGTGTAAGACTTCTTTCGATGCAACTTGTATTTGTGATTCTGCTCAGTATTTTAATTTAATTAAGGAGTGTCTTAGGGGTTTTTCTCAGAAGGATATTTTATCATTGTATGATTATTATTATTCTATTTGCAAGAATCCTGTCCCGCCTCATAGCAATTGTCTTAATACGTATAAATCAACTCAGGAAATTGTTTATTGTCCGAAACCTTATCTAAATTTTGGACTTGGATGTATGTTTTTTTATTTTAGATTTTCTTTAATAAGTATAGATCAGCTTGAGGAATGCATAGAACTTGCAGTACATGATTCCTTATGTAAAGAGTTTTATGATGCTTCATGTTTATGTGATTCTATTTCTTTTAAGAAATCTATTGTTGAGTGTATTACTGGTTCTATGTTAGTAGTGAACAAGATTCATTCTTTTCATCAAACAATATGTGGAAACCCTTTACATCTTTCTGGATGTACCAAACTTTCTATAAGTGAATTAAGCCGTCCAAGATCATGTATATCTATGTTTGTTGGGATTGTTCCTGATGGTATTTTGCTGTAAATAAGGTTTAGTTACTAATAAACTTAGGTGGTGTTCGAAGGTGTTTAGAAAATTTGGCTATAAATTCAAGATGTGGCAATAATGTTAATGCACCATGTATTTGTGATTCTTTTTCATTTATCTCATCTTTTGATACATGTTTCCAATTTTCCTCTCATGTTAATAGTGAAGATATAAGGTCTTCTTTAAATTTTTATTGTGCTAAATCTTATTTGTTGGGTAAATGTTTTGATGAAAATAAGAAGCCAACTAAAACAAAGATTTGTCCTGGTTTTTATAAGAAATTTGGATATAATGGTATATTTTTTCTCGCTTTTTTTTTTATAATTGATATTTATAGAGGATGTTCAACAGTGTATTTTTTCATTGGCAAAAAAGTCTATTTGTGATAATCCTCTGGACATTATTTGTCTTTGTGATTCTAGAATTTTTATTAATGGATTGCAAGGATGCTTTTATGAAGATGCTGAGAGAAGGTCTGTTATAGTAAGAATTTTCTATGAGACTCTTTGTTATAATCCTCATGAATTTTACGAATGTGATAGTCTTTAAAATATAATTTATATTAAAAGATATTCAGTTGACTGGTTATCAAGCAATTTCTGGCATAATATTTTTAAATAAATCTTTTAGCACATAATTAAATGACAATGCTTTCGTTTGTGTAAAATTGATTCTGTTTTTGGATTTGGGAATAATTACAGGGGAATAATGTCTTAAAATGTGAATTAAGTAGTGTTGATTCTTATCTGGATCTTAAAGGTGGAGTAGTTTCTAGCTATACTAATATACAGTATTTAAATTCAAAATGGGAATTTTGATACATTATAATTACAATATTTATTATTCTAATTAGTTTTAGAAGATAATTATTTAGTTATGTTTTTTTCTTGTTTTAGTTTATAGTGTTTGCTTATGTATTATAAAAATTATTATTTTTAGTGATAAAGTTTATAAGATAGTTATTTTCCCGATTTCCAGTCCATGAAGTGATAAGATTTTTTTGAATAGTTCTAGACTTTTGTTGGTTGTTTTTTGGCAATATGAGGTTAGGAAAACAGACTCCTAGAGATATTATTTCAGTGTTTTTGCGACCAACAGAAGAGCTTTCATCATTTTTTGAAGTGGATGCGTTTATTAAAGAAAAAAACTGTTTAATTAAGCAATTATATGTAGCTGTGATCAAGCATGGAAGAGATAACTTTAATAATTACAAAGAATCGGCGTTGTTCTTAATTTGTTTTAAAAAGTCGATATTTATATTAAAAGTTATAAAGATTATGAAAGACTTGGAAGTAAAAATTGAGCAAAAAAATGAAAAAAATAAGGGATTTTCAGTTAAAGTAAGGCTGAACGATGATACTGTTTCTTTTGTATTTTCAAAATTGATTTTTTTGCATGAATTTATGAGAAATATTCGTCAACATAAAGAAATGTTGGGTATGACTTTGAAATAGGATTTTAACGGGCCATGTTGAATCTTCAATAGATATGAAAAAGTCATATTTTGTAAATCAGAATTATGCTTGGCTTTCATTTTATAAAACTTGTTTATCATATGATGAGATTTTGTCTCAGTATGGTGATAATTTTTTTGAGTCATTGAACAGTAAGTATATCTTTGATGATTGTGACTTATAATTTTATTATCAAAAATGTCTGACTTTTTTTTGAAGCTTCATTGACTGAATCTGATATACCTTATTTTTCAGAAAAAATTCATTCGTATATTCATAAGACAAATGAGTATATAGGTCGCTTAAATACTGGTATGGATGATTGGATGAAACAAAAACTTGGCATGCATAAATCTCTTTTTATTGAGTCTCGAAATTTAAGAGTAAAAGTTTGTAGTTGGAATGTCAATGGAAAAGAGCCTACAGAAGATATTTCTGAGTGGTTGTTATATAAAAGTGATGATAATCGTGTAGATTTATATGTGATAGGGTAATTTTCTATTTTTATCTTACTTATTTTTTTACTTCTTAGTCTTCAAGAAGCTGATCTTAGAACTGAAGCGTATTTACGCAATGGTATTAAAGAACAGATTTGGAATTATACTATTTTATCTGTGTTAGGTGATCATTATGAAAAGGTATTTTTGTTTTTATGAAAACTATAACTAATATTTTTGAGGTTGTTTCCAAACAACTTGTAGGGATTTTACTTTTGATATACGCTCATAAAGCTATTTCTCCGTCATTGACTTCAATAACTGCATCTTTTATTGGTTGTGGAGTAATGGGAATAATTGGAAATAAAGGTGCAGTAGCTGTTCGTCTGATGATTTGGGATACTGTCTTTTGTTTTGTTAATTCTCATTTGGCTGCAATGATATCTCAAGTTGGACGTAGAAATCAGAATTTTCATGAAATTTGTCGGAGGTTATATTTTTATGAAGATCAGTCTCTTAAGAATAAAACATCGAAATCTCTTTTTGACTGTGATCATCTTATTTGGTGTGGTATTCTTGTCAATATATTTAATGTAATATCTTAATATAATCTAAGGCGATTTGAATTATCGTATTGAGATGTCTATTTTTGACGTAAAGGAGCTTTCTAAAAAGAAAGAGTTTGATCTGTTACTTGAATTTGATCAACTTAATGTTCAAAAGCGTTTGAATCGCTGTTTTGAAAATTTTATTGAAGCAGAAATTAACTTTCCTCCGACTTTTAAATATAAAGCAGGAACTAGTGAATTTGATTCAAGGTTTTTGGATTTTTGGAATAAACTTTTTTTTAATTATTAATATAGTGAAAAAAAGCGTGTTCCATCTTGGACAGATCGTATATTATGGAAAAGCAAAGGGATTGCAGTTAAGAATTACAGGTCTTATATGAATAATGTTATGAGTGATCATAAACCTATTAGTTTAGAGTTAGATGCTAAGGTATTATAGTCTTTTTTGTTTTTTTTAAAGAGTAATTCTTATTTAGATTGAAATATTGCTTGTGAATGATTACTTAAAATTGAGAGATTCGCTAATAAAAGAGTATAAAAGTTCTGAGAATAAAATGATACCAATGATTAATGTATCGGTTAATCATTTTGATTTTGAAAATGTTTCTTATCTTCAGCCTAAAACAAAGGTTTTTAGGATTGATAATATTGGTCAAGTAGTAGCTTTCTTATTGTTTTATTTTTTATTAATTTATAAGGTAACTGTAGATTTTGAGTTTATTCCAAGGAAAAAAGATATGTATATTTGTAAGCCATGGATATGGCCATGTCCATTTTCTGGTTCAATTGATCCTGGTAAATGTTCTTATTTATTTATTTTTTATAATATTTTAGGTGACTATCAGTATATTAATTTAGCTGTATATGTAGACAATACAACTGTTTCAAAACTTAATTCTGGAGAAGATTCTTTGGATGATATTTTGATTCTTCATTTGAAAAATGGGGGAGATTTTTTTATATCAATTGAAGGCATATTTCTTCCAACACGTTTTGGAATGAGTTTGGAACAACTTTCAAGATCAGATTCTAAAATTTTATCTGATACGAATGAATCGGTGGACTATCTTTGGAGTATTCCAAAAGAAATAATGAGAATGACAGAATATCTTATAAGTGAAGGAAAAAACATTGTAAGTATTTTATAAAAAAAAATCTCTAATTTTTAAGGACAATTTGTTTTTTGTTCCTGGTTCTGCTTCAATTATGATTCATATTAGGGAAGCGCTTGATACAGGAAATGAATTTGACTTAACCATTCTTGAGAACAATGAATCAAATGATAATATTGGTCTTTTTTCTATGGCTGAAACATTGCTAATGTTTTTGGACTCTCTTCCAGACTCTGTGATTCCATCTTCTTTTTACTATCGATGTTTAGATGCATCTATTTCTAAAGAAGATTCAATAATTGTCAATAGAATTTGAATCATTGCAATAATTGCTGATCGTTGTTATAGATACTTGATGCTTTACCGAGCTTTAATGCAAATTTATTTATATATCTTACAGATTTTATACGTGAGCTTTTTTACGATTCACCTATAGATACTTTTGATAGAATAGGTGGGATTTACTTGTTTTTTACTTGTTTTTACTAATATTTATTGAAAAAGTCAATCTTTTTTCTTCAATTCTTATGCGATCTCCTTTACCTAAAACCGAACATCATTTACAAAAACAGGCTATTTTTTTTGAATGGTTTATAAATGATCCATATTCTAATTTTTCTATTTAAATCTTTTTTTACAACTATATTGATTGGATTTTATTTTTTTCAAAAATACTTTTTGCACATAAAGCAACTTCTTATTTCAAAAGTATACATTTTTTTATACACTAATTCTTACAGTATTTCTTTTTTCTTATTTATTTTACTTTGTTTCTTTTGTTTCATCGATTTATGATATCGAAATTTTTAAATTAACCTTCAGCAAAAAGATATCTTAAAATGACAAAGAAATATTATGAATTCATATGAAATTGAGATTATATTCTATATTTTTTATATTTCCAGAACATAGAATATATTTTGAGTTTATTGGTTTAAATGGGTCCACACGTTATTTCTCATAATTTAATTTCACCATCTATGTTGCCAGTACGTGAGGTTTGGGCAATGAATTTAGATTCAGAAATGGCGTATTTAAGAGAACTTGTTGAATGTTATAATTGTTTAGCAATGGTATGTGTTTTTCTGGAAAAATGGCTTTTTTTTATTTTTGAGAGTATTGAATTTCCTGGAGTGGTTGCAAGACCTATTGGATCTTTTGAAACAGGCTCAGATTATTATTATCAGACGCTCCGGTGCAATGTAGACTTGCTTAAGATTGTTCAGCTTGGCATTACTTTTGCTGATGCTTCTGGAAATTTTCCTCCAGATGCGTGTACATGGCAGTTTAATTTTAAATTTAGTCTCAAGTATAATGGCTGCATGGAGAGGGTTTTTTAATGTATATTAGTGATGATATGTATTCTCAGGACTTTATTGAGCTTCTGCAAAAAAATGGTGTAGATTTAAAGCGGCATGAAGAATATGGAATAGACACAAGTTATTTTGGTGAGTTGCTTATTTCTTCGGGGTTTGTTTTATTGGATGGGGTAAAATGGACTTCTTTTCATAGGTATATTACACTTGTTATTGTGTAGTTTTTGATTTTTTTATAGTAGCTATGATTTTGGTTATTTGCTTAAAATAATGATCTGTGATTGTCTTCCGGTTGAAGAAGATGAGTTTTATGAGCTCATCCGTATTTTTTTCCCTAGATTATATGGTAAATAGGGTTATAACTGTATTTTAATGCTTTGCTTACTTGGTAGATATTAAATATATTATAAAATTTACAAATAATCTAGAAGGAGGTTTACACGATGTTGCGGATGATTTGCAAGTTTCTCGTACAGGTCTTGGTCATCAAGCAGGTCCAAAATCTTTTCTTGTTTCACGGGTCTTTTCTGAACTAAGAAAAAATTTTTTTAAAGATACTTTAGATGATACGAAATATGTGTATGTTTTGAAATTGTTTGGTTTTTTAACTTTTTTAATTCTCTATTAGAGGATATCTTTATGGACTGGAAAATTCTAATCAAGAAAAAGCTCCAGATGATGTAGAAACGAGTTCTAGTCCTACTACAAATAATTTCATATCAGGTTCTCATATTAATAATAAAGTTTTTTAGGTTATGGGAAAAGAGTTATGGGAAAAGAGAGATATGCATAAATTAATATGTTATTTAATAAATATGTATATATAGTTTAGGACAGGGGTTTTAATGTATTTTTTTTTGTATGTTTGACTGGCTCCGTTGTATCTTCCGTATGATCGGCAAAGATAGGCGTGGGCTGGTTTTCTTTATAAATACCAGTAAACATTGGATCCTTTTCTGCTAATTCTGCATATTTCAATAATGCCTCCCGAGGGTCTTCATCACGCATGCTGATTAAAGAAATGGAATTTCTAACATGATTTTCGTCTGGATTGTTGCTGCGTCCTCCAGGTGCATTTCTAGCAGGAGCAGAAGGTATTCTGCTTCGAATAGGATCTTTTCTAATCATTATCCTTTCTCTTCGGGCATTTGTAAGTTCTGTATCTGCTGTCTCGTCTAATTTTCCGTTTGGAAGAATAATACTTCCTGAAACTGCGCCTGCGTAAATGTCGATGGTTAATGATGAATCATCATCAATATGCCGAACTTTAGGTGCTTTTGTTAAAACTTGTTTAGCACCTTTGATTGATGATTTCGGGGAATATAAAACGTGTATAGCTGCATCTGCTGTTCCTGCAAGAATCTTTAAAAATTAGTTGTCGTTCTGACTATTTGAAGTGATTTACTTGATTGATTTTTGTATGCCAGAGAACTCTAATTACAGCAGAATTTTCAATAGATAGTTCTTTTACTATTTCCAGATTATGTGTCTTTAGTACAACTAATTTTCCTGTATTTCCTGTATCTGTAATAATAGATGTTCCAGTAAGTATATATTGTCCATCTGGTGAAAATACGATATTCGTTTCTGGATAATGACTTTGGATCTGGTCTTTAATAACGAGAGGTTCTTTAAATTTTCGCACATCCCATACTGCTGGTGTTAATTTTATTTAATTATAATGAAAGGAAATAACATACGTTTGACAGTATGATCTCCACCACGTGTAACCATTAAATTTCCAGTGGGTAAGAAGTTAATACATGATGTATGAGTTTCTTTTTCATGTGCATGAAGAACTGTTCCTCCCATTGGTCTATGAAAAGGACCTTTTCCTGCCCATAAAGATAAAGCGCCATCACTATCCGCAGTAGCAATAAAACTAGCATCATGAGAGTATGCGGATGAACAGACTTTTATTTTTTTTCCAGACACTTTCGACTTGTGAACAATAATATGTTCATTTTTTCTTGTTTGATTTACATTCCACAATCTATTATGATGAATAACAAAACATATGCAAAATAGAAAAATCACCTTACAGTAGAGTCTATTGATGACGTCATAAAGCGTTCTCGAGAGACCGGATTCCAAGATCCTCCTGTTAGCTCTGAAATATGACCTGATGTATTTTTTAGATCCCGAAGATATGGATCACCCTTAACACATTCTGAGATTTCTTCTCCTTCTCTATCAAGTATTTTTGCTTGACTATTTGCTGAAACATAAAGAAGTGTGTCGCCTACAGTATTCCACTCTAGATGGTGAACATGTTGAGATTCAACAATTTCTAATGTTCGAAATGGATTACATCTAGTAGACATGCCTGAAAAATCCCACATTTTAATATTTGAATCATAAGACCCTGAAACAATTCGTGCTCCACTTGGATCTAGTGATAAAGCTGAAATAGCCTAGTTCAATTGTTAAAGTTGCAAAATAGATTTTTTGAAATAAACTTTAGTATGATCTTTAAGAACAATCTCATGTGAAACGGGTATATCGTCATCTTCACTGTAATCTGTTTCTGAATCACTTAAGTTCTCTGACTTTTTTGTTTTAGGGTGTTCTTTGTTATTTGTTTCTTGGATACACTAACTTTTAATAAAAATTCTTTTTCTTAGAAAAAAAGTATATTTTACTGCATCTTTCCGTTTAGTTTTTTTAAATGCTTCTTTTAAATCCCCAGAACACTCCCTTTTCCCAAATGATAAGGGTAAAAGATTTCTAAAATCATGATTTTCTTGTATTGTACTATAACTCATTTTGAAAGGCGAAAAAAACACAAATACTGTTCTTTTATATATAAGTACATTTTATATACTATTTTGAGCCGTTTACCTCTTTAAATTGTTTTAAAGTATTTTTTATGTGCTTAAAATAAACTGAATTTACTAATGTTATTGATTAGGTTGAGTGGATCGAGTGTGTAGAAAAGAAAATTAAAAAACCCCGTAAAATTGCTTGAATTTGATTAAAATACCTTTGTTTTCAAAATATACAAACAGTATGAAAGATCCGTGGGAAAGAAGGTCTTTTTCTATTTTTTTGTTTTTTTTAGAGAAAATTGCTGATAAAACAAAGGGAAGCCTGGAGATCCCAATATCCTTTCAAAAGTATAAAAATAAGTAAAGTATTTCCTGGATTAGGTCTTGGTGTTGGATCTTTCATTGCTTATTGTTTATTTGAGAAGTTTTTTTTAGAAAAAGGCCTTTTAGAAAAAAAACATTAATAAAGTTTGGATAAATAGAATGGTACTTTTTTGTAAAAAAAGCATAAACTAAAAGGTGTATTTTGCATTTGTCTGGAAGTACTTTGTATAATGAAAGTGCTTGTGTTTTTTGTTATATAGTAATTAAGACAGCCAAAACCTTCTGCGGTTACTTTCTTCACCCGGCTTATTTTTGAATATAATGTCATTCCCATCTTTGTCATAAATGCCACGTTGCATAAGCCTCAACCTAAGTGTAAACTGAGGACCAAGTTCTTGTAGACCAACTTTCATTTCATTTTTAAAAATATACCTGTGTCTTCTTACAAATATAAAATCACGCTGGTTATGAATTGTCACTACTTGGCGCCCTTCAAAGTCCGGTTGTGCTGGGAAAAGCGATCGAAACATACGACCTACTACTAAGCCAAGTTTTGTTGTAAAATTGCTGATAATGAGCTCGGGTATATGTGAGGTTGCACGACCATGTTGATATATACAGCGAATAGGTGTTATCGATGATAAAGTGAAATAGAACGATGGTCCTGATGGCAAATGGATAACTGTAAGGCTGTCTATATATGATTGGTTGATCTGGTATATATATAGACCAAAATATAGAAAATACCTGGCATTTTTCTATTTTCATTTACAAAAATAAGATTTGAATAGCCTCTTTTGGCACAGTACATTGCAATCTTGTCTATTTCAAACTGAACCCCCCGTTTAATAAACGTTGAATGTGGAAAAAGGTCAATTAGTTCCCGTGCAAACGAATATGTCTGTTTTGACGGTCGTTTGCTTGTTGTAATTAGAGTTTTAGGTATATATTTTGGATCATTGATAGATTCAAAGGTTTCTTCGTCCAATTTTCTCTCAATTTCTTCATTTTCTTCTTGAAAAACATTTTTGTTTGCCTCCCTCTTGGACTCAATAGTATGTGGTTGTTTTGCATTAGAATCCACCTAAAACGTTAGACAATGTATTTTTCTTGTTTTTGATGATATTACTTTGTCTTTTTCACGCTTTTTTATTTCTTTTATTCTCTTTTTTTTCTCAAAAATAAGCATCTGTTTTCTTGGACGTACTCGTTGATGACGTTTATCTAATGTAGAAAATGTTTTTTTCTTTGTATTTACATGTTTGTTTCTTTGTTTAGGCATTATTTTTATGTATATATATCTATATTATATCTGTATTATATGTAAATGATATATTGTCTCTTACGTGACGCGTCGCGTAGAGCCGGAACATCAGAAAAATGCATGCTTTTGAGATTTAGGTATATATACTCTATAAAAGCAGTTAGAAAATACAAATATACGTGTTTTTTTTCTATTACTTATGGTATATTGAGAAAGATGTCTATTAAGTCTGAAAAACCCGAGTTTTTTCGCTCAAGATTAGAGGAACTGTTAAAAAAAAGGTTTTTTTACGCGCCATCTTTTGAATTGTATGGAGGAATGCAAATATTTAACATCCATTCTATGAAAAATAATGATATCTTCAGGAGTTTCAGGTTTGTACGACTATGGCCCTCCAGGTATGGCGTTGGAGCAGAATATTTTGGACGTTTGGAGAAAACATTTTGTATTTGAAGAAAATATGTATGAAATCGGCACAAGTGTTATTACACCGCATGAGGTGCTTGAGACAAGTGGGCATGTGGCGAAATTTGCAGATTGGATGTGCAAAGACCCATCTACTGGTGAAATTTTTCGTGCAGATCACTTAATCAAAGAAGTTTTAAAAGATAGGCTTGAGAAGAACGAAAAGGCACGTTCTGCGTGTGCAGAGACAGTCCAATGTCCTTCTGGTTGGAATTCTGGTGAAACTTCTGTTATTTTGGATGAAACAACGATAAAACAATATGAAAAAATTATTTCTCAAGTTAATTCGGTATTTTTAGATGGAAATTGTTTTCTGACTGCTATAGATTGACAGTTATGATGGAAAGGGTCTTTCAGAATTAATAGAAGCGTATGATATTCGAAATCCAGCGACAAATGTCTCTGTAGAAGCACCTGTTGCCTTTAATTTAATGTTTGCTACACAAATTGGTGCTGCTGGGAATATTGCAGGTTATTTGCGTCCGGAGACAGCTCAGGGACAGTTTTTAAACTTTAATAAGCTTTTGGAATTCAATAATGGCAAAATGCCTTTTGCTTCAGTTACAGTTGGTAAAAGTTTTAGGAACGAAATCAGCCCAAGAAGTGGGTTGTTACGAGTAAGGGAGTTTACTATGGCAGAGATTGAACATTATTTTGATCCTTCAAATAAAGATCACAAGCGATTTCATGAGGTGCAAGATGTTAAAATTAAGTTTTTAACGAGGGAGATGCAGGCGTCTGGTAATGAAGCGATAGAAATAACCGTTGGAGAGTCTGTCTTTGAAGTATTCTGCATTAGATGCATTTGGGTATAATGACTGTTATTAGGGTATTATAGAAAATACAACTTTAGCCTATTTTTTGGCACGAATACAAATGTTTTTGATTAAAATTGGTGTGGATAAGAATAAACTTAGGTTTCGACAGCATATGCAGAATGAAATGGCACATTATGCATCTGATTGTTGGGATGCTGAATTATTAACTTCCTATGTGATTTTTTTTTTATTTTTTTAATAACTTTTAATTATTATAGGGATGGATTGAATGCGTTGGATGTGCTGACCGCGCTGCTTATGATTTAATAGTTCACTCTAAGAAAATAAAAGAGAAACTTGTTGTTAGAGAGCTGCTTCCTAAGCCTATGGAAATTAAAGAATGGGTTGTGAATCTAGACAAAAAGAAAATTGGTCCTTTGTTTAAAAAAGATTTAAAGTTTGTTGAGGAAGCAATATGTAATTGGAATGATGAAGACAAAATGAAGTATCGTGATCAAGCTGTCTCTGAATCTAAAATTACTGTTCAAGTAGCAGATGGAAGGCAGTTTGATGTTCCTTCATCTTTATTTACAATTGAAGAAGTTAAAAAAACGATTAATGGTACGTTTTTTGAATATTAATTACCTTTTACTAATTTTGAAAGTTCGTGAATATGTTCCTAATGTAATTGAACCTTCTTTTGGTATAGGCAGAATTTTATATTCTCTTATTGAGCATTCCTATTGGATAAGATCCGATGATATTGATCGTGGTGTAAGTTTTTTTCAAATATTTGATAAAGTTTTTAATGCAAAAAGGTTCTTTCTTTCCTTCCTATAGTTGCACCTGTAAAGTGTTTATTAGTTCCACTAAGCAATAATTCGATGTTTGATCCAATTATTGATAGATTATGTAATAATAGCTGAGTATGATGAATATATTGATTATAATTAGCATCTAAATTGTCTCGACTTGGTATATCTTATAAAGTGGATGATTCTTCTGCTGCAATTGGTAGACGGTATTCGAGAAATGATGAATTGGGTATACCGTTTGGAATAACAGTTGATTTCCAAACAGTAAATGATGGAAGGTATGCTTTTAGTGTGAATTCGGCCCCGTTAATATTTCGCAGTATAACTCTTAGAGAACGGGATACTACGAAACAAATAAGAGCATCAGAAGAAGAAATATTAGAAGTTATTAAAAAGCTTTTAGAAGGGATTATTTCATGGGAAGATATATTAAAATTATTTCCTGTATTCAATAAACAGGAAATTAATGTTCTCGAAACAAAGGACTTTATAGAAAATAATTCATAATGGAATTAATTAATCCATATTAATTATTTATATTATTCTTCGTAACTACTGTCTTCCATAATAATTGTAGGAATTTCAGTATCTGAAAGACTTTCTGATCCATCTGTTTCCATGTTTTCTGAAATAGTATTTTTTGTATCATCTTTGTTCGTGATTGTCGATAGTTTATATATATTTTTTGATATATCATTATTCTGAATATTGTTTGTGTTGTTTAGAAAAACTTTGGTTTCTTGTTCAAAACTAGGATTAATAATAGTCGTATTTTCGGCAATATTTAGTGAATGTTTTTTAGGTAGTGTTTCTTCAATATTATAATTATTAGGTGTATGAGGAATATTAGGTGTATTGATTATATCAATAATTTCAGATGTATTAGATGTTTTAATGATTTTAGGTGAATTAGGTGTTTGAATGATTTCTTGTGTATTAGATGTTTCAATGATTTTAGATATATCAGATGTATTAGTTATTTCAGATGTATTGATAATTTCAGATGTATTAAATTTATTTTCATATTCTAAATGTTCAAAATATATTTTATTAGTTTTTTCTAATATTTCTGATCCGGAATAATCCATTTCTAGTGTTTGATTTTTAAATTTTCTCTGTAATGGAGGAAATCTGGGATGTAAAATGGAATCGAGTGTTAAAGATTTTGTATGATTAAAATTTTCCACCTTGAAAATAATTAAGTTTTCAGTATAGCCCATGATTTTCTTACCGGTAATTTTAAAGTATCTAGTTCTTTTTGTGTTTCAAAAATGCGTATAACATGTGGTAAAATGATTGCTTGTACATCACCTGGAGAAAGAATACTATTTATTAATGAGTCATATATCTGCTTGTGTAATTTTTTTTTTAAGCTAGGAGACAGTGCAATAGATACTATGGTTTTGTCTATTAACGATCTTTGAGCTGTAGAGAGTATTCCTGGACATAAATGGCTTAAAACGGATGAAATGAAGTTTAATGCTGATTTAATTATATTTTCTGGCGGCATTTTTTGAACTTCAGAACTGTTTAGTATCACGTTTAATGTTTCGTTAGATTTCTTTTTTTTTGATTCACTTTTATGATTTAGAACAAGAATTGATTGTGAAGTGATTAAGAGTTGATTTAGATCATTTAATGCTTCTTGAATAATCATATCAACCGATTTATAAGATGAAATAGACGATCCAACGCTGTGCAAAATCATAGTGAAAATATCATAAATAGATACTTTTAATGGTCTATAATAAATGTTATTCTTTATTCGCATAATTTTGATAATTTACATGAATTCTTTTTCTCTAGAAAAGACATAATTTAACTGTCCAAGTAATTCGGAAAGATGTGGTAAAATGTTAGAATTAAGACTATGAATGTTAGTTATGAATTGGTCAAATTATATGTATTATACATTCGAATCATATCGGCTAAAAGTTTGCTTGAGATTAAATGAAAATGAGGTATTTTAGTATGCAAATACAATTTTTCCTTATTGTCTAATGCCAATGCTACCTGTATATGTTAATTGGATGCTGCTGGATGTATTTAAACACACATTTGATTTATCCGAGATACGAAAAACTCTATAAATGAAGAAAAAAAGCTGCCCTGCTGGTATTTTTACACAATAAGGTGTGCATTGATTCAAATACAGTTGTATAATCCGTATGTATTTTTCAAATTTTTCTAAACATGTTTCAAATGCTTCATAAAAGTCGCTTGGAAGTGCTTCATTCACCCATTCTGGCTGCTTTAAAGACATATGTGGACCTAAAAACTGTTTATCAGCTAACCCTATAAATCTGTATATATTTTTCTTCAAACCCTTTATTGAACTATGGAAAAAATTGTCAATTATTTTATGCAACACCCAAAGACACGATAAAACCCCACAGTTCCATTGTTCTTGGCCCAAATTTTTTTCTGCACACAAATGCAGCTTTGAAAAAACCAAAAATAGTGCCTCTTGGACATCTGGTCGGTTTGTATGCGTTTCATTAATAGCCTGGATGGCCATTGTTCTGATATTTGGCACAAAAGCCCTGCATGCAGACGGATAAAGCTCAACAATAGCACTAATGCACTCAACAAATACTTCTGTAATGCTTGGATGCTGCATAGGCATCTTAATCAGGCTTTTTATGAACATCCCAAGAAAAGATCTCACAAATACACGCATATATCCCTGTCTTCCATGGCAAAATACAAATATCCAGCACATAGTAAGGCATATCCTGCGCACAACCGCCGTGCATGTTTCATTCTGCTTCTTTAAGCTTCTCAAAGACTGTTTTCAGGCAATATACGTTCAGAAGATCAAGCAGTCGCTGACACCACTCATTTCCTGCATAAAAAAGCCCTTCTGGGCTTTGTTCTGCTGTAATTTTCACCAGACACACCCCAAACCACCGCTTTTCTGCTGTTTTGCTGCCTAGAAGTGAGCATATACGTGTGCACCACTGGTTCCACAGAGCATTCTCCCGTGATAGCCCATATAGAGGCCGATAATTAGTCAAATCAGTGACTATATGCGTGCATATTCCTATTATATGCGCCTCATTATCTCTTATTTTTGCTAAAATACTCTGCAGTAAGTTATCTTGATGCAGTCGTTGATTGTCGATCATATTGCTGAATCTCGAAATTCCCGCTTTCAATGGATATTAAAAAGGTGATAAAAAGCTTATGAGAGTCTATAGATGCATATAAGAGTTAATAGAGCATATAGAATCGTCTTTAATGCATTCAGTGAGTGTTTTTAAAGAAGAATAGAGTTTGTAGATTTATTTGATTGCAGGAAAAAGCACTTTTTTATGAAAGATTATTGGATACCGCGCTGGTTTCACAGCGCTGGAAGACAATTCCAGAGCTGATTCGGAAATTGAAGAAACACAACCCTAAAAAACAAGGTAAATATGGGTATAATGGTATATGAAGTGAATCTGATGAGGGGTGAAAAAGTTATGTGTGAAATTGTGCTTATAGAGGCACGTTTAGCAGATCTTCTGGGATCGGAGAAAAAAAAGAAAAGAGAGAAGAATATTATGTCTACAGTGGTTCAAGGAGCAGATGATGTTTTCCCAGTATTGAAGGATAAGGATTTACGTGAGTTTTTGACGAATATTTTGAGATTTTTCGGTGCACTGGAGACACAGCATGAAAAACTGGTAAAGACATGGTTTTTTTTCTTTAGTGTGGCATGCTTACTCATTAGCACGCCCGTTCTGTTTTGAGCTATGTATGTTTTTTGATGAAGGATTATAAACGTGCTTTGGACACGATAAGCCCGTACTGTGAGACGTCGTCACTTATAGAGAGTTCAGGATATTGTTTGTTTAATGTGATCAAGGGATATGCAATCAAAGGTTTTATTTTTTGTGTAGGTTTGTGGTGTTATGTTTAGCATTTTGTAGGTCTTTCGTATGAATGCATGTCTGAGTTATCTTTGGCTTCTGAAACATATCATTCAGTGATTTCTGCATTAACGCAGGTAAAACAAGAGAAGCTTCCTACATCTTATGAATGGCTCGACATTATTTATTACAGATGTGCGATTTTGCAGCTGAATTCTGCGTATGTGTATATAGATTGATTTTTGTTTGGAAATTTATATCGTTAGTTCATATACTATAATGAAGTCGGATTCTTTGACTAAAATTATATCTTGTATTAAGGATGTTTTATATTTGACGGCTGTTTATCGTTTATATTTTTTGCTGCTTTCTGAATTGTTGAATAAAATTGTCTTACGTGATAAAATTCGAACTGATCCTTTAAAGTCAAATTCAGAGGATTCTATTCAGTCTAATTTTTCCTTGAATGACTTAAAATCTCATGTTTATAGAGTACAAACTGTTTATGAAAAGTTATTAATGCAGGTTATTGGTTTTCCTAAAGCAGGACAATTAAATGGTGTTATCTTGGAATATGCGGATTGGGCTATTCAAAATTGGAGAAGTATAAGGAAGGAATTGGATTATTCAGAAAAGATTCTTGAGGTAATCTTTATTTTCATATTATTTTCAGGTTTAATGATTTAGACGATTTATAACTCCATTAGTAAAACATATAAGTCTCATCGTCTTATACGGTATTTAATGGAAGTTTTGATTTTTATTGGAAATTATGATGAAGCACAAAGAGCATTCGATTTATACGTTGAGTTGGTTGAAAGATCTAGGCTTTCACCTTTTCGTAAAGAGATTTTGGCCCGTCGAGATCAATTAATAGAACAAGATACTGGCCAAGATTTTGACGATGATATTACAATTGTGGAAACTTATGTAAAAGGAATAAAATTAGGCATCGTTTATTTTCAAGATGTAAGTCATTGATAATCAAGAGCTATTTTAATAAAACAGTTCGAGAAGGCAATGGTAACCGTAAAAAAGCTGTTTAATGCATTAGATACATGGGAGCTTCCAAAAAATGACAAAATAATGGCTGATGCATGGGAAGCAATAGGAATGACATATAGTTGCCAATCCATAAAAAGTATTATTTTTTGGAATAACTAGTTCATGGCTAAATTATAATCATAGCACATGAAGCCTCAGAGAGGCCAAATATTCAGCAAGATGCTGTTAATGCTTTTCGAAAGTCTTTAAAATATGACTCTAATAATAATTCTACTTTGTATCATCTAGCATTTCAATATGCTGAACAACGGGAAATAATGGATGCTATTTCGACAATTAAACATGTCGTTTCTCAAAAATACAATTTATATCAGTCTTTGCATCTTCTTTCTCTTTTACTTTCTGCTAAATGTGAATACGATCAAGCTATTCAAGTTTGTGAAGCTGCAATTCAAATATCAGGTGTTGAAGATACAGAGAATCGCCCAATTTTTGATTATAAAGATCGTGAATGTCTTGTTGAAATAAAACTTACTCTATGTGCACTTATAGAAGCAAAAAATGGTATAAATGTTGCTATTGAAATGCATAGAGATATTTTTCCTTTCTATGCAAAAGTATTTGAGGTAGATGAGTTTTCTTTTCCTGCTTTTGATTTATCAGAAACAAAAATACCTTTAGAGACTTTTTCTTCTCTAGTTCTCCCTGAGAATAAAGAAACTGTTGCAAAGTTATGTGATGAATCACAATCATCTCATTTTCTTTTTCAAAAAAAGAAATATAGTATGAGTCAAATGTCATTGCTTAATGCTTCAAAAAGGTCGATTTCTTTATGTTCTTCAAGTAAGTTTTCTGTATTAGCTATTAGTTTTAATATAAAATTATTTAGTTAGTAATATGAACGAATTCTACACTCCTAGATCGAAAAATAAATATTTATATTCAAATCATTCTGATTCAAATATTTTTAGAATGAGACGTGTTTTTTCTTCGGATGTTTTGTTTCAGCAAAAGGCTACTCTTTTTAAGCCTCCTAAGTCTCAGAATTATTTAAAAAATGAGCAAAAAGAAATATCCAGGCGTTGTTTGAGAAAAATTTGGCTAATTTCTGCTTCTCTATATTGTCGTGCTTCTAAATGGGTTAATTCTCAGTTATCTCTTAAAGAGGCAGAAAAAAATGGTATGTTTCATCCTGATGTTCATACTCAAGTAAGTTTTATATTTTTTTGCTTTAAACTGAAATTATTAAGTGGGGGATTTTATATTATTATTTAAATAAATTGGATGATGCTATTAGAAGATTTGAATGGGCTTTGTTAGAAGATCATGACCATATAAATGCGAATATTGGATTAAGTAAAGTTTTTTTGGATTTTCAAGGGGAAATGCATGAATGTTATGTAGATAGGGCAGAACAAATGTTAGATATGGTAACTAAACTTTCTGGTTGGGATTTGTCAGAAGCATGGCTTTTGTTAGGTGAAGCCTGGGAAAAAATGAATGATTTAGAAAATGCTAAAAAGGCATATTGGTATGCTGTAGAATTAGAAAATACAAGACCAGTAAGGCATTGGAGAAATGTTTCTCCGAGATTTATAGCATAATTGGGTATTTGAATTTAATGGAGCTTTGTAACAAAAGTGTTTTTAAAAAAATATGATTATTGCAAATAAAATTGATTCTACATTTTGAACGGAAAATTGATGTATAAAGATAAAATGCAATGACAAAAAATATCATTGCAATGTATATAAAACAGGTAGATGGAAAATAAACTTAATTGGTGATATTTATTATAAAACAATTTTTTATAAATAAAGTTCACCCTGTATATCTTCTTGTTTAGTTTTTAATACTTGTTCTTTGGCTTTTCTAAAGTCTTCTGCAATCACACGCATTCTACGCTCACGAAGAGCCATTAAGCCTGCTTCTGTACAGATTGCCTATGTATTTTAATAAATTTTATGTATGACGTATTCTTTTACCTTTACATCTGCACCGCTCATTTCATCTTTGGCCGTTATAAACTCCTCGATAGATACATCATCGCCGAGATTCATTTTACTTGTATGAATTTGAAAGATTTTACGTTTTGTGTTTTGATCTGGTGTTTCGAATAAAATTTTTCTGTCCATTCTTCCTGGACGAATAAGTGCTGGATCTAAATCATTAATTCGATTTGTAGCCATAATAACCTTAACGTCTCCGCGATCGTCAAAACCGTCTAATTGGTTCAGAAGCTCCAGCATTGTTCGTTGGATTTCGCGTTCTCCTGATGATGTAGAATCATATCTTTTTGTTCCAATTGCATCAATTTCGTCAATGAAAACAATAGATGGTGAATTATTTTGCGCTAAAACAATAATCAGATTTGAGCCTCTATTTTTTACATGATTCTTTACCTGTCTGAAAGAGCTCACGAACGAATTTTGGTCCATCGCCCAAGTATTTTTGGATGAGCTCTGAGCCGACAATACGCAAAAACGTCGCACTTGTTTGATTTGCCACTGCTTTTGCTAGCAATGTCTTCCCTGTCCCTGGTTCTCCGTATAAAATGACGCCTTTGGGTGGTCGGATTCCAATTTCTTCGTATAATTCAGGATGTGTTAGTGGTAGTTCAACTGCTTCTTTAATTTCTTGAATCTGTGATTCAAGACCGCCAATATCCGCGTAGGATTCTGTCGGTGCTTTGTCTAGCTTCATAACCGATACCATTGGATCAATATCGTCGCTTAATACGCCGACGATTGACACTGCCTTGTGATGTAATAATACAGAACATCCCGGCTCCAAAAGATCCTTATTTACAAACGACATAATTGACACATAATACTCTGGTCCTGTTGCTGATGACACAATTGCATGGTCTTCGTCTATCATTTCTTCTAGTGTTCCGACACCCATAGGACTTCCAATTAAACTTTGTAATTTATCATCATCTTCATCCTCTCCTTTTGGATCTCGTTTTTCAGAATCAAGCTTCATTAGCTCTTGATTTGATACAAACTCCTGCTCAAGCAGCAAGTAATCTTTGATACGCTCCATCTTGAGCAGTTTTAAACGACATCGAGTAGTTGGATAGACTGTTGGAAATTTGTTTGTTGCATCTGGGCCTTTATTTCTGCTACGTCGTTTTCCTAGACGTGTAGACATGACGGGTGGTTCATATTTAGGACGTTTTTTCTGTTATTATTATTAATTGTTTGTTTTTTATGAAAAAATATTCTACTTTTTCGGGATCTTCGTCCTGTTTTTCAGATTTTCCATTTGCTCCTGATTGAACATTTCCCTGTGCTTTATTTTAATATCTTATTTGTAGCAAAAAGTTTTTAAAATTTACCATTTTGCTTGATTTTGTTTTTTTTGACGTTGAGCTGCTTGGCGGTGATGTGTACGAGTAGAAATATATAAAAGTTAACGGTGAAGTTTATTTAGATGTTTCAGATGATCAAGTGCAATGATGAGTTGAACAATTTGAAAGATTGTGTATGACTGTGTGTTTTTGTTTATGTTTTTGTTAGTTATGTTTGAAAGCTTTTAATTTTTTTTGTAAAAAAAATATTCCGAGTCTTCTGTTCTTCATAGAAATCAGTATTTTGCCTTTTTCTTGACTGTTTTTCCTTTTTAATTATAGTTGATTGTTTTTTCTTTAGTTTGGTAAATTTTTCTTAGAAAAATATTAATATAGGGTATGATATTTGTTTTTATAAGACAATTTAGTGTAGATAAAGACTTAAATAATTATCATGTGTTTTTATTTCATTTATAATTCGTCCTCTTTATTAGAATGATTGTTTTTTATTGTTTTCTTTTGCAAATATATTTTTTTCAAGAACTAGAGGTTTAAGAATTTTGGAATCAAAGTCTCGAAACCATTTCATATGATCACTTGATGACGTTTGCGGCTTTTGTGTAAATGGTGTTTCTTCGTTTTTTGTTTTAGGTTGTGGCAGAGTGGAATATATTTCTTCGTTAAGGTGTGTAGATTTTAAAGAACCTGAGGAAAAGAATATGTCGGGATCAACGAGTGTTTGGTCATTATTTTCGTTTTTTGTTTGGTCAAAACTCTTAGAAGAATAATATGAATGATCAATTGATCCTGGTGAATCAAGTTGCCCCGAACCTAAATGAAGTTCATGATGATATTGGTTTTCTTCTTGTTCATTGGGTAGGAAAGAACTTTTTTTTATATATTGAAACTCATCTTGCACGTTTTCTTCCAAATTTATGTGTTTGTCATAGAAATATTCTATAGAATAATCCTCTTCATATTGGAAGATGCCCATATGAATACCCACAATTTCTAGCATTTGAGGAGTTGTCCCTCCAAATATAATAACTGTTAAAACGACAACAATTAATACGGTTGTTTTGAGTACTTCTGTTGCTTCTCCTTTGAAACCTTCTGTGAGTGCTACGCCAACAGCGCCTCTTAAACCTGACCAAAATAACATAATTTGATAGGATTTTGGAAGTTCATTAGAAAAAATATAATTGGAACGAGAAGCCATGTTGATGAGTTTTGAAATTGGAAATATTGCCGTATATCTTGCGATACATATTGAAAACTTGTAAGTAATATAAGCAGGGCTAATTAAGCATAAAATAAAACTTACAATTGTAACCAGAATAAACAGCGGTTTGTAGTCAAGATTTGCCTGTGTAAAAAGTGAAAGGCCAAGATAGATGAAAATGAAATTTTCTGAAAGTTGAGATAATGTTCTAAATAAAAATTTTGTAGATATTTGTGTTTGTATAGACATATTGTGGAAAGCATAGTGCTTCATTGTGATTGCACAGAATAAAAGAGAAACAATGCCTGTATTTGGTTACATATGAATACAGGTTTTATGAATTTTACCAGACATATGGCATCCGTTTGAAAATAAGTAAGATGCATACGCCATCAGTATAATGATGCATGATTCTATGTGTGGAAACCGACGAAGATGCGAGTGTTTAAGCATCAATGCCACAAAAATACTTATTATCACTCCAATCATTAGAGAAATGACAAAAGAGATAAAAAATTTGAAAATCCCCATAAAAATATCAACTAGATGCATTTCTTTGTGGTAAAATCGCTGCAGCGTCCTTGAAAAAGAGTAAGCATGCTTCCACAGATGCATATATGTATAAACCCAAACATTACAATTGAAACAGAGTCATTCAGCAAGCTTTCTCCAAATATAATAGTATACAGCGCAGGATCCACGCCATACGTGTGGAAAACCGCAAGAACCGTGACTGGATCCGTTGCACTGAGGGTCGCCCCGAACGAAAATGCGTCAACCCATGACATCTTCACCTGTTCCAGCCCTGTTAACGCCCATAGATACGTCAAAAGACTGTTTTTGTAAGAAAATAGAGAAACCCTCCCGTGCATACCCAATCACTACTGCTGAAACAAACGTCCCTGCAAAGGCAAATGTAAAAATCACCCCTATGTTCTTAAAAAACCGCTTCTACTCATTCTAATCAATATCCCTCCTTCCTGTACATTCACTTTACTTGGTCCAGCTCATATCCCGAATTCAAAATAATAGGCGGCAGCAGCATATTGAAAAAGTATGCATGGTGGAACGTAACCATGTTCTGGATCACTCTGCTCCGCGCTACAAGAATCCCCAGCCCGACCACCATACCTGCTCTCGTCTATCTCTCGTTTACACATAAACTGACAAATACCAAGAAAAATAGACAAAACCGTTTCATGCACCGCCTTCACCCTCTTCAGCTGCATATAGTACGACATCCATAGCGCTACAAGCAGCAGACTCGTCAAAATGAACAGTGCCCAGCTCGTTGACTCTATGCTCCCTCCTGCTACGCCCATGTTCTTCTCCATTTCCCGACTATATGCGCTAAACCTACTGTAAATCTTCCATTTTCTCTCCCTTTTAGCCCTTTTTTTCTTCTCCAACTCTTCCTCTCTCTTTTAGCCCTCTTCTCTTGTACCCTTCCTCTACCGATCCTCTTCGATTCCTCCCTCTCCGTAATGTACTCACATGTTAGCAGCACAAAGACTTCTTTAGACGCGCTTCCCCTAAGAAGCACTCATTATCTTGTCTTTCTTACGCTTGTTCTTGGTGGTTTGCAGCTAACATGTATGTATTTACTGTGCAGCACTGTGCAGAGGTGTATATTGACATAAACAGGGTCGGTTGTGCTGGGCTATGGTAGGATAGATAAGACAAGAGGGGTAAGCTGAGGAGAACAGGGACGCCATACTTGTTTTCTCTTGGGCTGACAAAGCACGGGACATCACTGGTGTGGATGGCAGGACCGTTGACGGGGATTATTATGCAGCCGCTGATTGGGTTTTTTTCAGACAGGTCAAGGACAGTGATTGGGAGGCGGCGGCCGTTTATGGTGGTGGGGGTAGTGGGGGTGGTGGTGTGTTTGATGGGGTTGGCACATTTTAAAGGAATTGTATCGTTTTTTTTGAAGAAGCAACCAAGAATTGAGCGGGTAGTAGTGGTAGTGGTTTCGGTTGTTATGATTTATCTGCTTGATTTTTCGATCAACATTGGTATTTTGTGAGATATGGGGAGACGGGGGTTAATGGGGTGAAGTGCAAGCGAGTAGTCGGGCGCTGATTATTGATATGGTTCCGGCGGAGCAGCAGGATACAGCAAATGCATGGGCGAGCCGTATGATAGGGGTTTTTAATGTGGTGGGGTACATGAATGGGTATTTGGACCTGCCAAAGATTGCACCGGTATTTGGGAACACGGAGTTCAAGGCGTTGAGTTTTATCAGTTCTATGGTGCTTGTTGTGTGCATGTGTATTACTTTTTTTACGGCAAAGGAGAACCGGTATCTTGTTCAAAGGTACTGATTTGGTGTGGATGGCTGTATTTTTTACTTTTGGTAGGGAGCATGTGTTTCCGAATGCAACATGGACAAGTGAATTTGTTAGTTTTTTTAAAACAATGTTTTCGACTGTTCTTTCTCTTCCTTCCGGAATTTTTTGGGTATGCATTGTTCAGTTTTTTGCATGGATTGGTAAGTCGTGATTTTTCCCGGAATGTTTCAGGAACAGGGTTGATTTAGATTAGGATGGTAATGACATATATCCGTTAATCATGTAGAGAATGTGCTAATGTTGACTCTGAAAAGGTTTCCAGTTCTTTTTTATGTAATTGTTTTCCCTCTGGGTTGATTATGCTTAATATCTTCAAGGGAACGACATACGTTGCAGAAATATATGCTGAAAATTATTGTACTCGTTATTCCAATTCTTTAAACAGGTCAATTGATTCTGAAGATATGTATTCGCAGATAGAAGAGGTAACACGGTACGGATCGTTTGCCTTTATGCTTTTTTCAATTATTTCTTTATTTGGGACACTTTTATTTCCTATGATTGCTTCGTCTGAGAAGAAAATAGTTAAATATATTTTGGGCATGAAGTATTTTAATTTTATAGATAAACTTAATATTCCTTCTCTATGGACAATGAGCCATTTTCTTTTTAGTTTCTGTATGCTTTTGACGATTTTTGTGCACAATGTGTCCTATGCAACGACTATCGTTGCACTTTGTGGTTTGAGCTGGTAAATCTTCTCGGGTAACTTGATAATTTATCTTTTTAATTGTTGCATCTAGGTCCATCACATTATGGGCGCCTTTTTCTTTAATTTCAACTGAACTCTCTTTAAAAAACGAATTGCATCGCTCCGGAACTATTCTTGGTCTTCATAACATATTTATTAGTGCTCCTCAGGTTCTCAGTATTATTATAGCTGGAATTATTTTCAAATTTACTGGATACAAAAAATTCGAAGATATCGTATCATGCAAAAGTAAAATGGATTATAGTCTTGTATGGGTCTTTCAAATAAGTGGCATCGCTGCACTTGTTGCCATGTATCTTAGCTTCAAAATTTCTTCTGAGTATACTTATATCAGTGGTTGAGAATTTAACTACTATTTCGTGTTCATTGTATTTAAATGTCAATATGATTCCATTAATATCTGTATAAATCCTTTTTTTTTGCTTTTATTTCTCTATCTGATTTTGGTTGCTCGAGTAACAGCCAACTGACGACCACGTTCGGGTGATTAAGGCTTCCACCAACGACATTAAAATCTAACATACGTGAATTCTGCTTTTTGTGAATAATTAGTGTAAGTATTTCAATAAAACTGCTGTATTATTGACTTTTTAAAAAGTTTGTTGTGTGTTTGAAGAAATCTGTGTGTTTTTTTTTTTGTAAAACGACGCTTTTTACGTTTTCATGGCGTATAATCCGTCTTCACATTATTTTATGAATCCAGGGCCTGCACCTACGCCACCTGTTAAAATATCTTCATATTCGTCTCTTAATTCAGTGCCTTTACGTGGAACAGAGGTATCTCAAATACATAAGGATTCCAAGGGTATTTTGAAAATTGGATGGGCGAGTGTGAAAGAAGATAGTATTAAAAGTTGGATATGGACAAAAAAGTATTTGGTTTTGAAAGAAAAAGCACTTTATATTCTGAAGAACGAGGTCTGGAATGATTGGCTTGATAGGCAGTTGTTGATCTTTTTGGCTAATGAGGTTAGAGCTCAACAAGTTCTGGGATTGTTATACCTCTACGTGAGATTGTAAATGTAGGCCGTATTGAGTTGAAGGACTATTGTTTTGAGATTGTAAGGGAGCCTGGAATTGGTACGTCTATACCAGATGGTAAGGAGTCTACATATTTATATGATTTGAGCGTGTTAGAATTTGCATTACTGCGTTTTCAACGCACATAAATATGAAATCACGCGTTGTAATGTATTTTGTATGTTTACTTATTTTTTTTAGGTTCCGGTACAAAGAAGAGCTATTTTATTAGTGTAAAAAGTGATAATGAACTTTATTCATGGATGGATGAGATTTATTCTGTATTTGGATTCTAGGGGAGATTTTTCATTATTAACGGTTCATAGAGATGTCCATTGATGATGGTTTCAAATCCAACAAACTTTACACATAAGGTTCACGTTGGTTTTGACCCCAAAAGCGGCGGATTTACTGGGCTTCCAGAAGAATGGACAAGGCTTTTAACAGCTAGTGCTATTACGAAAGAAGATTATGCAAAAAATCCAGAAGCAGTGATTGAAGTGCTTCAATTTTATAGTGATACTCAATTACGAGAGAAAGACGAATTTGGTGACATGGGGATGTATAGATCTGACATTTATAATTCAGGAATTTGTGATAGGAGGTCTACAGTGCAAAATAGAACAAATAATGAGAATTTTTATATTAATAATGCTTATATTCAGACGTATCCTCAGTCATCATTATCTAAAAATGTTAATACTCTTGGTGATCAATTTAAAAAAATGGATATTAAAAATATGGAGAAAATGATACCTCGACGTATGCCTCCTACTTTGCCATCGTATCAGCCACATAGATCGAACGTTGATGCGGGCTCTTCTCTTAAAAATATTGAGGCACTTCCTTCTGATTCTGAAAAGCCGTTTCCACCCATTTTGAAGAAACAAAGGAATCCTCCGGCTGATTTGTTAAAGCATAATCAATCTCAAAATAATTTAGCGATTATGCGACAAGCACCAACTCAACCATTGCCGAAAGTTCCCACTACACTAAATACAACTGATGCACCGAATACACCTGTTGCTGTTCCTATGAAACCGCATGTTCATGGAAAGTCTTCATCAGCGCTACCGTTAAATGTGCGGTCAGATAAACAAGAACAGTTTTCTGAAGAAAAGAAAACAACTGATTTGACAGAAAATCAGGTTATGGAGAGACTTAGAAATGTGGTTTCAATTGAAGATCCGAATATTTTATATAGCAAGATTAAGAAAGTAGGGCAGGGCGCTAGTGGTTCTGTTTATGTCGCAAAAGTGAATATAAATATAAAAACATGTAGTGGAGAATTAAGAGCTGGTTCAAAAGTAGCTGTTAAACAAATGGATATTGCTCATCAGCCAAGGAGAGAATTGATTGTTAATGAAGTTCTTGTAATGAAAGAAAGTCATCATCCGAATATCGTTAATTTTTTAGATGCTTATTTAGCTAAGAATTCTGAATTATGGGTCATTATGGAATATATGGAGGGCGGTGCTTTGACTGATATAATTGATAATAATACTTTAACAGAGGATCAAATTGCTGCTATATCTTTAGAGGTCAGATGAATATATATATATTTCGTGTATTTGTTTAACTATAAATAGACATGTAAAGGTCTTCAACACCTTCATCAACAGAAAATTATTCATAGGGATATTAAAAGTGATAATGTCCTTTTAGATTTTCATGGTCGCGTAAAAATCAGTATGTAATTTAAGTTTCTAGTTTATATTCTGATTTTATTTTGTAGCTGATTTTGGGTTTTGTGCAAAATTAACGGAACAAAAGAATAAGCGTGCAACAATGGTAGGAACACCATATTGGATGGCTCCTGAAGTTGTTAAACAGAAGGAATATGGTGCAAAAGTTGACATATGGAGCTTGGGAATTATGGCTATAGAAATGATAGAAACTGAGCCACCTTATTTAAATGAAGAACCTTTAAAGGCATTGTATCTTATTGCTACTAATGGCACTCCAACATTAAAAAAACCGGATAAGCTAAGCAAAGAACTTAAAAGCTTTCTGGCTGTTTGTTTGTGTGTAGATGTGAAAAGCAGAGCTACTGCTGAGGAACTTTTAGAGGTATGTCTTTCTGTTGTGAGACAAAAATTAATGGTTGTAGCATGAATTTTTAAAGAAGTCATGTAGTCTTTCTAATCTGTCATCTCTTTTGGCATTTAAAACTGGGAAATAATTTATGTATATTTTATGAATATTAGTAACTATTTTGCTATATTAAGAAACGAGCTTGTTTTTTGTAGGATATAGATATTGTATGTTTAGGTATAAGGGAATAAAAAAGGAGTAGGTTAATTTTAGCAACGACAGAGCACACTTTTTTATGAGTGATAATGATTAATTTATATAAAAGATAAATACTATGTAGATATTTTATTTTGCAAGATACGCTATCTTAGATTTAGTATAATATTAATGCTTCATATATTTAAACGCTTTGTAGAATCATGTGTATTTTAAGAAGGAATTAAGCTTTCTCTAGTATTTATGTTTTTTCAAGGTTATGTTTAGCACAGTTAATCATAAGAGACGATATTTTTTGCCGATCAATTTCTTCCCAAATCCAAAGGCCGTAAATTTTGTCTAATATATAAGTGCCTCAAACCATGTGCAGCTGGTGCAATACCGTTGTGGAGTCTATGTATAACATATGGATCAGAATATTCCAAATCATCAGGACAAACGAGATCTGCTGAAAATGATTCCAAAGAGAGTCGGTTTAAAATGGTATAACCATATCCGTTATTCCTAAGGATCCATAAGAAAAACAATATCTAGAGAGCTCCCAACGTTGAAAATATAAACAATGTTCCTTCACAGTGCTCTTTGGTCTGTCTAGATAAGCCAAATGGTAGATCCAACTGCTCTGTTACCCATGTTTTTTCCGTATCTGAAAATGAATAAAGAACTACATATGGAGATCTTGCAAGAATAGATGTAATCTTTGGATGGTGCAGACGGAGAACACGAAAGTTAAGATCATATAATGTTGCTTGCTCCATTCGATAAAAAACTAAAAAATATTGTTTCAGTCATTCTTAAAGGTATATATATTATACAAATTGGCTGTTCAAAACTCTATTTTCTTTTAATTTCGTGATTAATCATGTTTAACGCCTTTAATTTTTTGACGTTGGCAATTCTGTTTCCTTAGTAATCATTGCTATAGTAACATTACGATGCAGATAATTTTGATTAGACGAGTACTATTAACTAACAGAAAATTAACAGAAAACACAAGACTGGATAGTAATCTGGTATTTACTCGGGATCTTCGGTCTCCACGGCTCTTGAAAGATGTTTCTGATGCTTATCATTCTTCTTTTCCGTATAAACATTGTGTTCTGGAAGGATGGATCAGTGATAACGTTTTGAGAAATGTTCGGCATGAAATTCTTGAGAATCTTGTTTTTTTTGAAAAGGAAACTGATATTTACAAGGTATTTTGTATGATTGAGTATTTTTTGTGTTATTTTATCTGAAAAAGGTTTTTCAAACGGGGGATTTGGCCAATCTTTCAGGCTTGGAAAAAGATGAACGTAAACGGCTTTTTTCTCTATCAGCTTTGAAAGATGCACTATATTCTGATGAATTTCGGCGTTTTTTATCAAGTGTAACTGGATGTGGGCCTTTATCTGCCTCAGTAATTGATATCTCTGTTAATATGTACTCTCAAGTGAGAAAAGATGATTGAGGGTATGGAATCTGATAGTAGACAGGGATGCCATTTACTGGGGCATGATGATGTAATTGGTACACGATCTGTGTCTTTTATTCTTTATTTGGTGGACCCGGACCAGCCATGGCTACCGTTAGATGGTGGTGCTTTGAGACTCTATTCTACTCTTTGTCCTTCGTTTCCTGATTCCCAGCATGAAAAGGCGATTTTTCCAGCATGGAATCAGCTTTGTTTTTTTCAGGTTGTGCCTGGATTTTCTTTTCATGATGTGGAAGAGGTTTATTCTGAAAAATGGAGACTTTCTATTTCTGGATGGTTTCATAAGCCTCAACCAGGAGAAGAGGGATGGCTGTCTTCTCAAGGCGATTTTAAAGATATGGCAATAAGTACTTTGCAAAGTCTTCATTCAGATTCTCAGGGGGTGGATCAGCCATTGATAAAGCCTATAATTTGTACATTTGATCTTGATAAATTAACCGGTAAATTATCTGAAGACGATTTGTTTTATTTAAAAAAATGGATAAATCCAGAGTATCTGGAGCATTCTAAAATGGTTCAATTGAAAGAAGCGTTTATGGAGCATTCTATGGTTGATTTGTCGAATTTCCTTGAGCCGGGTTTTGCTGGTCGTGTTAAGCAATGGATTTTTGATTTAGAGAATGCTGAATGTCCTCAGATGTTACAGGATGTGGAGACACCTTGGAAAATGGCTAAGCCTATGCATAAACATCGTTATTTATATATTGATTGCGATGCTACTGCTTCTGATACGCCATTTGGATTGTTGTTACATGATCTATTGATTCATCCTTCTTTTTACCGCTGGCTTAGTATTTGGACTACATTAATACCTCATTCTGTTTTTGCACTTGGCCGTCGCTTTCGTCCCGGTATGGATTACACTTTGGCAACACCTTATACTTTGGAACAACCAATGTTAAATTTAACACTTTCTTTAACACCTCTGGGACACTGGGGAAATGGTGAAAAAGGCGGTTATGAAGTGTATATGGAAGAGGATAAGGATGCAGATGCATCTGTGTATCGGGCTTCTGATGACTCAGTTTTGGTGAGTCATTTGCCGACATGGAATACTTTTCACATAGTTCTACGAGATCAAGGAGTTTTACGTTTTGTCAAATACATCTCTAAATCTGTTTGTGCAAGCCGTTGGGATCTTGTTGCCGATATTGATTTGTCAAATATATCTTTTTCATGAGATATAGAAAGATCGCTTTTGTTTTTTTATCCGTTTATACAACAAACATCAAATGGTTTGCTATTTTCGATTCTTATCGACATGATACTTTTTTTTGCATCCATTTTCTGGTATTCTGGTTTCTTTTTCTGTATCTTTTATTATTTGTTCTCTATGGCTATCTTTCACGTGCTTCTCGACCGCTCACTAGTTAACATTTAATAGCATGCCTACGGCGAGTGCACAAACGACACACAAACATAGGGTAAGTTGTGGATTTTGAAACGTAAAAGTTTCAGAATGGTTGTGGGGCATCTGTTGAATGACTGTGTCTTTTTTTGCGCTTTTTTTGCGCTTTTTTACGCTTTTTTTACTCTTTTTTGAGCGTCACTAATAAAGTATAGATTGATGACGAATATCCGGCCTCTGTCGTAGGAAGACGGGTTCATGAGATGTCTGAAAATGCTTTAGAGGGTTCAGAAGATGTCCTTGGAAGTACAGATGATTCTCTTCATGTCCTGGATAGCACAGCAGGGCGTTATAATCCATACAAAAAAGTGTCTGGTAATCGTGTTGATTTGGGCTCATTTACAGAGGAACGTGGTGTGCTTTACCCTCCTGATGATGGATTAATGAAAGGAGTAGTGTCTCCTGAGAATGAAGTAGTGCGTTTGGATGCCAGTGCTAAACCTCCAGTAGGATCTGAAGCATGGCATCGACAAAGGCGTTCAAACCATAAAGTATGTGTTTAGTAATGTTTTGTTTTTTGTTTGCTGCTAGAAACAGTTGGTTTTTTGTGCTAATGATAAATTGCTTAGGAGGTGGAACGAAGGCGTAGAGAAACAATTAATGAAAGTATTTCAGAGCTGGCAAGGATTGTGCCGGGTTGTGAGAAAAATAAGGGGAAAATTCTTGAGCGTACAGTGACATATATTCAACAATTGAAGGAGAATGAGGCAAACAATATTGAGAAATGGACTTTGGAGAAGCTTTTAACGGATCAGGCGATTTCTGAATTGAGTGCAACAAATCAAAAGCTTAAGGCAGAATGTGACCGCTTGTGGCAAGAAATGAACGTGTGGAAACAGGCTGCTTCTTGTGGTATGAAGCAAAGTGATGAAAGTAAAAAAGATGAGCCGATTTCAAATGTGCGGGCCGAAAAAATAGATTGATTATATGATTGATTCAACAGCTTTTTGGAATTGATTTTTAATGTTAGATACAACAGAAATGTTTTTTTGTTTTAAAGAGAAAAATATTTTTTTGTTTATGTTTATAGAGGTATCATGATAGATAGGCGATCGAATAATGAATTAAGTATAGGGGGAAGTTTTGGTTTATGGATATAGATTCTGTTTGGTTTTGCCATTTATTATATGTATTGTAATACTGTAATAGTATTAACTAGTGTAAATATATTTTCCTATTGTTGCTAGGTTGTTGCTAGATAATAACAGTTGGTATGGAAACTCGTCCTCATGAGAACGTATTGATGACGTGATATATTTTTTGTTAGTATAGAGCAAATTGAGAGTAAAGATAATAGAGTAAGATATAGTTTTTATAAATTTTGCTCTTGAAATTGTAGCTTATGTTTTTTTCCAGGTTGAAAATAGTTATTTTTGGCGTTTTTATGACGAAAAACAGTTTAGTAGAGTAGTATAGATTATGCCACGTATACCTGTGCGTGTAGAGCCATATTCTAGTCCTTCTCATCAGAATCGGCACTTTAAATGTCGGCGGGACCGTATTCTCCGCGCTCTTTGTAGATCTTGTTATATAAATAAGTCTAATTTTGCGATTTTGTTGGTGAATGCCAAGGGTGATTATGAAACATATGCAAGTGAAGCATTTCAAGGACAGCTTAAGTCTTGGTTTAATCAGAAAGTCTTGAATGATGCAAAGAGCCTGGCTCTTGCTTATCAGAAATCGACTGAAACGTTTAGAAATGAATTGATCAGAAAAACGGCTGAAAATAAGGAAAATATTAGTTTTAATGTTGAAAATTTTGGTGAAGGAATCGTTTCTAATGCTCTACATGAAGAAAGTCTTTCCGATTTCTTGTCTAGTGATTCGTTGAAATCCAAAACTGCGGATTCTTTATATGAGGAATCGTTAACTAATAATATTTCAGAATTGGATTCTGACTTGTCTAAATCGTTTCATTTTAAGAATCATCCTAAGAAAAAGGTTCTTCCTTTGGCTTCCAATATAAATAATCAGAACTGTGAAGTCAAAAACAACTTAAACAGACCATGTTTGTCAGAGTTAGCCTCTTTGAATTCTTCTAATGTCCGTGATGAAAATTGTCCATCAGTATCTCGAGAACATAAATATAAGCCACTTGTTATTGGCAATACTCACGAGGTTATTGCATTCATGGAATCTCGATTTAAAGAATTGCAGCAGTCTGTCTGCAAAATCGTGGCCAAAGCTTGGATTAAAGTTATGGAACCGAAAAAACAGACACGCCATCCTTATAACAAAGGGGATGAGTCAAAACCTTCATGGTGGCCTAATAATGTACGTCATAAGGAACCTGATCATCTTATGAAACCAGGTTTGTACTTTTATTATTTTTTTCTTTATTTATTTATTCAAAATAGAGAGGATTAATCTCCTTCTTACTATTCTACGATGCTCTAAGATTCCTGTAAGCAGGCTTGAACTAGCTACTGCTGAAATTTCGGCTTTTATTCCTGCTGATAAGACAATTCTTTTAAGAGAAATCTATCAAGTCGCACGGGAAGAAGAAAGATTGAGGAATGGGGAAATTGGTATTCTTTTTCCCTTTGCTTTGATTCATTTATCATTTTTTTAGATGAGTCGACAAAAATATATACCATGTCAACTCCTTATGATTTCTCCTTGGACGATGATTTTGCATCTGAAGAGCCAATTCCTCCGACTGCTCATTCTGTCTCTTCATATATTCCTGTCTCTACGTCTAATGCAGCATTTTCGTCTTTTCAGTGTTCTTTGGACGATACTCAATCTACTCGTAACTCTATTCATAAACTTGCTTGCAAGTCTACTCAGAATCCGAAAACTGCTTCAAATGCTGCTTTGAAAGCTGTTTCGAAACTTCACACCCTTTTTCATAAAGAGGATTACTGCTTCTCTCCACTTGGATTTGACTCTGTCTATTCTACTGATCAAATATCTCTCCAGAATCAATGTTCTCATTCTTACGATACTTACGACTACCGCCATGTTGATTCTACTCAAACTCCTGCTGACACTTGTCCTCAGAAGGATGGCAAAAACTCTGTCAGTTTGTCTCCGGCTCCTCTTCTCGAGAAAAACTCTGGTTCTTTACATACCATGCATCTTTCTCCTCTCAAACCATCCGATCGCTCTGTTTATTCGGCTTGTTCTGTTTGGTCGTCTGATCTTCCTTCCTGTACGGATTTTCCTGTTTCTACACCTGACCATTCTTTATTTACTAAGCCAATTGATTCGACCGATTCAACAGATTCCACTGATTTGAAATATATGTTTTATGATCCGTTTCTTTCTCCTCCGGTTGACTCTTCGACTATCTATATGTCTGCTGATTCTTTTTCACTGAGGTCGTCTGCTGCCTCTGAAGTTTTTCCTAGTTCTTTTAAGTCTGCAGGTTATTCTGTCGATTCTTTGTCTTTTGCCGCTTCTGCTGCTCCAAAAGCCTCTTTTCCTGCCGTCGATTCTGTAAGGTTTTCTGAGTTTCTTAATAGTTCTCAGACGACTGTCGATTCTGAGTAGCTGCAGTTCTTTTTACATTGTATTACTCTGTACTGTACATTGTATTACATATTGTGCATTGCACACTACATTACACTGTATTGTACATTATCATTATACACTACACTATACACTATATATTGTGTATTAAGTACTCTACATTGCGCATTATACACACTATTATACTATAGATACTATATATCGCATTATATATTATCTTGTATACTATATATATTGTATATCTGCTATTATACAGTATATTGTATACTATATCTTAGATTGCATTATATACATTATACATACTATATACAGATATATTATAGATATCATACGTACTATATCATATATTATACACTGTGCTGTCGTCTATGTACACTGTAAACTGCATTGTGTACTGTATATACATTGCGTGTAGTATACGTTACAAACTATAGATATTATAGACATTATATACATTGCCACACATACCGCACATTCTGCACTGTACACATTGTATATCGTAGATATACTATATGCTATATACATGTATCTACACCATATATACTGTATATACTATATATGCTATAGATTACGCACTATATACTATATTATACAGACACATACTATATATATTATATGCTATACACACTATATTACATACTGTATTACACTGTATATTATGCATCATATGCTATACTATATATACTATGCACTACACGTTATACACTGCCGTAATGCTGGATATAGTGCATGTTGTGTATATACTGCATATGAGACGTGTATACACTGTATGTGGTCTGCGTACAGCTCAAAATGTATGGGTGTGCGCATAGAATGTATATAAGCTGTGTATATTGTATAATGCATATATAGTGTATGATACGCATATACGGTATACAGTATATATAACGTACATATAATGTATATATAATACACAGTATGTATACTGTGCATACACTTTATGTATACATTATATAGTATACATATGCAGTGTGCTGTATTGTGCATACATAGTGCATATAACATGTGTATAACACGCGTATAACACGTGTATAATGTATGCACACTATACATGCGGTGTAAGCTATAAATGTAGCCTATGTATACTGCACACATTGCATGTATAGTGTGCATATATTGTGTATATACAACGTATATATAACGTATATACTATGTATATATCTATGTGATACATATAATATGTACACTGCATACACTGTACGATTATACATGCATGTTATACATCCTATTGTGTATATACAGTGCATATGTTTCAGATATACAGCATATATACAGCATATACTATGTATATACAGCATATACTATGTATATATAGCATAGATTATGTATATATAGCATAGATTATGTATATATAGCATAGATTATGTATACACTATGTAGACAGCATATACGACGCGTATAGCATGCATAGCGTAGTCAGCATATATGGTCAGCAGAGTGTGCATTGATACATGTATACTGTGCATACACTACATACACTTGTGTATATACTATGTGTATACTATGCATACACTATATGCACACACTGTATAATGTGTGCATAGACAGTGTGTACAGCATATGACTCATACAGTGCGCATATAACGCATATACTGACATACGATGTGTTATACATATGTGCTGTGCGTTGTATGCTATACACAGTATGTATGCGTGTTGTATGCGTAATGTATGCACAATTGTGTGCTGTGTGGTGCACATAGTGTGTTATGTTTATGCATTTCGTGCACACTATGTACAGCACATACATTATATATGCTGCATATATGTACAGTCTACGCTAGTGTGCATTGTACTGTGTGCATAATATATGCATCTTTCACTCTATATGCTGTGCAGCTGCACTCTGTCTGTACCATATATACAATACATGTACACCATACTCTACACTGCCATATGCACTATACTGTAACACTATATTATACACTATGCTATGCATTACTATAGAATACTATTATATACACTATATACACTATATACACTATATATATGCACTCGTGCACTCTGCTGCTTGACCGGGGTATCCCTGCATTGCCAGCTGTTTATGCATACTCGCTGTCCCCGTTCTCTAATTCTTCACATGCTGCAGGCCACACCCCTGTTCCACCCCTGCTCTACCCTTGTTTCTTTGTGCTTTCACTACGAAGGGTATACGGGGGAATGGCGGTGGCAGTGTTAAATGTATAGACACTCATGAAAAGCCATATGTGTGTGGATAGGCAACAAGAGGCTTTCACGGTTTGATAATCTCCCATAGCGGGTGGTTTGTCATATATGAATGATTGATTAATCATTTTAAACATAAAAAGATTTATGAGTGTGAATGATTTTTCTATGGTTTTATGTGGGAAGTATAGATGAGACGTAGTTAGTGTAGTTTGGGGGGTATTGTTTTGTATTTTAGAGTGGTTTGTGTATATATATGTATATATATGTATATATATGTATATACTGTATATATATGTATATATATGTATATACTGTATATATATGTATATATATGTATATACTGTATATATAGTGCCTCGTAGTATGTATAGCATAGATAGTATGAATAGGATAGTGTATAGTGTATATATAGTATATACTGGTATATATACTATATATAGTCATAGTGTGTACAGTGTATACTGTATAGTGTGTATGTATAGTTACAGTGCACATAGTACATATAGTACACATAGTGCATATGGTATTTATAGTTCTATAGTATACTGTGTATATGAATGTATAGTGTGTATGAATGCATTCTATCGTATATATAGTATATATGGCATACACGGTATATATAGTATGTATAGTTATAGTGTATACAGCGTATATGCAGTATATAGTGTATATGTATATGTATGGTATATAGTATGGTATATAGTATGGTATATAGTGTATATCTATAGTGCATGCTATTTACAGTGTATGGTAGTGCATAGTGTGTATAGTGTGCATAGAGTGTATATGCTGCTGCTGTGTGCGTAGTGTGTAATGTATAGAATGTACAGTGAGTGCAGCCACTGCCTAAGCTGCAGTGTATATACCGTGCACAGCTACAGCATGCACAGCTACAACATGCACAGCATGTCTAGTGTTTACTGTGCTGCAGTGTGCCAAAGTATGGCGTATACAGTGTATAGCGTGTATAGCTGTATAGCGTAGTCAGCAATGGAATGTACAGTACAAATATACAGCAGAGCGTGCTGTATTATATATATAATACATATACTATAAATGCATACAATGCACGCTGTGCATATACTCTGCTGCACAGTATACACTTATACTATATGTATGACGCATACAGCAGTGCATACAGTAGTGTATACTGTATAGCATAGTGTAAAGTATAGTGTATAGTATAATATACTGTATAGTGTAGTGCAAAGTATAGTGTAGTGCAAAGTATAGTGTAGTGCAGTGCAAGATATACTCACAGAACACGGTGTGTATAGCATGGCTTTTAAGTGTGCACACTGGAAACTGTGTGCAGTGCGTATAATATTATACTATATGGGTAGTATATACAGTACATGTAGTATACATGAGCTGTATACAGTGTGCATAAAGTGTATGTGATGTGTATGGGGTATACAGTGTACACAGTCTATAGTTTGGGATGCACAACAGAGTGCACTGTTAGTCTGCTTTTTACGAGCAGTGGGAGGTACAATTGGGGTGTGCAGTCTACTGTATAGAATGTATATTATAGTCTATAGCACAATGTGTAGCAGAACACATAGTATGCAAGTGTAGATAGTGTTTACTGTAGACTGTGCGGTATATGTATAGCATAATGCGTTAATGTATATGATATGTAAGCACATACACTGTGCATAGCATGCTATGCACAGTGTATATAGTATGTATAGTACACTGTAGTGTACAGTGCGTATGGCAGTATCTGTTGGCATAGTGCATAGTATACATAATATATAGTATATATCGCAGTTTCAAGATATATATTGAGGAGAATGAAGGATATGGTGTCTGTAGTCTGTAGTGTGCTGTATGTCATGCATGTCTTGTATATATCATTTGTTTTATATACATTATATGTTTTATATACATTATCTTTTATATATTTGTTTTCTATGTTTTTTATATTTTGCATTCCCCCAATGCTTTCCATGCTCTTTGTGCCCTTTGTGCTCTGTTTTATACCCTTTGTTGCTGCATTTTCTGACATTGGCTTTAACTTAGGGTATCGTACGTGGAGTTCTGTACTCGGACGTAGGCACTTGGATAGCCAAAGACGTTTTTAGGCAGCTTTGCTCTCTAATGGACTCGCCTTCGCCACTGGAGACTTGTTTGTTGCAGGAGTATTCGCGGTTGCTGCAGAATCTCAACAAAGTATGCTGTCTTGGGCAGGCAAAAACTGATGTAACTGACGTAACTGATATTCCAGCTGTCGCTTACGCTTCATACACTTGCACATACGCCTATGGCACATGTTCTCGACGCGTTGGGTGTTCTTGAGCGCAAAACCGGGCTTGTTTTTACCCTGTTTAAGGCTTCTGTTTGGGCAATTCTTGCAAACGCCGAACAAGCATATACATTTGGTACGACCGCTGAACAGTGATTGCCCGAGTATCGGCTTCTCCTTGAAATGCACACAGTAAAGACGCATTAAAGCGTGTATATGGATTATATGCGGGTTGTATGCGTGGTGTATGCATAGTATATGCGGGTCGCTGGGGCGGTGTATGCAGACTATATGCACTTATATGTATCTGCAAACGTGTTTCAGTTGCTGTATATATACATGTGCTAGGGCGTATGCGTGTTTCGGCTAAAAATACACATTTTTGCTTCATAGACACACATTTAGCTTTTATATGCATTGTATTTGTGTATATGGCCGTGTTTGCTGCACTCTGCTGCTCCTATCCCTTGGTGTCGCTGGCATTGGTATAGCTGTTTGGCGTGCAGACAAGAGTGCTGTGCACGGATTGGCTTCCAAATATATATCAATGCATATTAAATGTATATCAATGCGTATTAATGTGTATTAATGCACAGTAAATGCACAGTGCTTTAATCTCTTGAACGTCCAATCGAGGCGTCCAAGGGACACCAGCCGACAGTCGAGCGGATAGAATGAGTAGTCGAACACGGCTGCTAAACAATGGACTGTGCAGAGTTTGAGACGCATATATCCGCAGGAAAAGCTCTAAACGAGTGTAGTACTTCAGCACGTCAAGAATACAGGGCGTTATGGCAAAGGTTACACTGATTGGGCATGTGGGAAATGATATTATTGTTCAGTCTGGTACCTCAGGGCGTGATTATGTCAGATTTTCTCTAGCGTGCAGAGACGGGCCAGATCGGACGAACTGGTTCCGTGTTGTTAACTTCAACCCGAAGGCGACTGCATTTATGCTTGCGTCTGTCAAGAAAGGGTAGCATATTACAGCAGGCGTCTGAATAGAGCACTGATGCTCAGAGGCGCTCTGCACATGGCTTTGGTGTTTTCTGATTCACAGCAGCTCGCTGGTTTGTGTCGATGGGTCAATACGCTTAATTCCATACACAACGGACGACGGCAAGCGGCACAATAGTATCTGTGTTTTACAAAGTATGTCACGTGATCTGACGGAGGGACTAACAAGTGCAAGACAGTATCCACTTATTAAAGGAGCCGCAGAACGAGGATAAAGAGGAAAGCAAGTAAAAACCAAAACGACAGTGTATGGGTGTTTTTAATGGAGAGTTTGTTTATTTTTGTAAAACTAGTAAAGATGTGATATAAATTAAATATATATATGGTAGTTCGTAAAGTTATATTTTATCATTTCTAAATTCATATTGGTATTTTTCAAAGGGCATGGAATAGGTGTTTTTGCTATGGGAATAAATAGGTACATCTGTAAAGGTGTATGGTTTGCTGTGTTCCATGTATATTGGAGGGATTGCAGGATGGTCGCTAAAAGAGTTGTTTTCTATAATCTGTGCATCGCGTACTTGGTTATAAAACAATGGTGGACATCTGGAAGCCTGTAAAAAGATACCTTAGAACTGATGTGTCTTACCTGTCTAATGATTTTTCGAAATTATAGCTGTTATAATAGTCTTTGTTACTGACATCCTGAGTCTTTCTTTTGAACATTCTTTTAAAGAAATCAAAAAATTTAATTATATACAGTTTTCTTGCCACTTCTTTATACATGACAATGGCATCACTTCCCATACCAAAAAAAATGAAAACAACAATACTATTTGACGGTATAAGCCATAGATTAAAAGATATTTTATCATTTTTCAAATAAGCAATACCATGACCCCATTGATGAACATGGTCCCATGAATAGTTTATTTTGCTTTGAATAATTAGAAATATATTCGTATATAACATGTAAATATTTAATGGTAAATAAACAGTGACTAAAAGGGAGCATATGCCTATAAGACGTACAAATCTAGAAAGTGTCATAGATGTTTTAGAATCTCTTAAAACATTTTGAAATTCTTTTTGTTTTTTGAAATATAGGTATATTACTTTAGCTAATAAAATGATAAATACATTTATTATAAACTGTGCAAATGGTGTACCTGAATAATAAGCACTGATTGAACCAAAAATAGGGGGCCAGATTAAAACGATGATTACTGTTGGCCATGATTGATCGGACCATGGTACACACCCATTGACACCATTTATTACATACCTTGCAGATTGAATAACATAATATAAACATATCATGATGATTGGGCATGTAAAACTCATAAGAAGATCTTCTATAGCCTGTCTTCTGCGGATTGTTTTAGTTTGTACAGAAGAATGTACAGGGCTCATGATTTTTGAAAGATAATGTGAAATAGCTGCAATAGCACCTAATTCTCCTGAGGTAGACCCAAGTATAATTTTTGTAGCAATATCGCAGTATATATAACCCGGAGATTTTGCTTCAACTCCATTAAACCAGACGATAGAGTTTATAAAACATATTAAGCTGCAAGCAGAGATCCAAAAAATAAGACATAGTGGTGCTACATTACGATATTTCCAGTGCCAAATAGAAGGTATAACTGAGCATATAAATCCAATAAAAGAATAAATAACGTAAAATACATCGCCCATCTTGATCAACAAAAAATTGGACACGTAATACTTGAAAACAACTTATATGCTCCGTTAACCCAAATACATTCGCATTAATAAAATATTCTTTTTCAAATATACTGGCTCCTCATTTATTTTATATAAAGAAGCTTAATCGTATTCATCCGTATTTCTTTCTTATGCACCTTTTTAGTACAAAGAAATTTATATAGGTGTTGCTATAACATATTTTCTACTCTTCCGCTGTATTGGGCCATCATAGCAAAATGGTTGATGTGTTCCGTATAATCAAATACTAGATTTTTTATTGGTTTTTTGGGCCGTAACTTAGATAAGTCTGAATTTACCTAATCGGGCTTGTAAAAATCGTAAAACTAAAATAAAACTAAGGCTTTTTCAGTATATCCGAAATCGCTTGAGTTTTTGTTATTCAACAAAAGAATATCTTTCACAGACACCTTTTATGATAATTTGGAGATGTTGTGAAGAAAGACAGTTTAATAAAAGAGTTAAGTTAGATTTGAAAGCTGATTTGAGGATATTGTAAGTGTTTGATAGAAAAATCAGGTATTTTAATTTGATTCTTTCCTACTTTTTTTTGTTGATTTTGTTTTTTTTTTTTTCTTGTTTTTTTTTTGTCTATCAACCTGAGTGTTATTTTTTCAAGGAATCAAGGCACATGAATTGATAGATGAGTAACCAGCTACTACACCTCCTTCATCTTTGCTTTTATCTTTTGTTCTAAGAAGATATCCAGATTCTTTATTGTAATAGATTGTACCATCTTTGTCCCATACAATGATACCGTAAATGCCTAATTCATCGATACCATCGATATGATAGACTTCGCCATCTTTTATTATAATATTGGCATGAAAAGGTGAATGAATTCGCTCCATAAGAATATATTGTTTGCTGGTTTCTGGTACTGTTTTTAAAAAGTCTAATATTTTAAATCCATAAATATTATTTCCCCCGCCTTCTCTCTGGGGTTTTAAGATATAATTTTGAGGATTGTTTATTAGTAGATGATAAGCCTTTTGGTTTAATAAATCTGTGCCTAGTGCATAAATAGGGGCAAATGTCTCTCTTAAAGCATTTGATGAGTTTTCTGGAAGAAATCTAATAATATATCAGTTTATTTTATAAATAGAAAAATTACTTTTCTATAATATTTTTTTCGCAAAGAACTTGTTGAACTTTTTTACAACCCGATAGCTGAGTCATAATAGTAGGACACTTGATAGCACGGCTTTCTTCAATTAGTAAACGTGCAGACCATTCATTTGATGATGTATAATGTTCTGGTGAATAACCCGTTCGAAAGTATACAACTGATATTTCCTCAATTTTTGAATTAGGTGATTTGAAAAGTAATGCTTTGTCATTCTGACGAAGCTTTATAAAGTTTACTATTGAAGATAAATGTACACGATAAGTTTGTATTCCGTAACTAATAATAATTAATTAAAGTTAATATTTCATTGAAATTTTAACATTTTAAATAATTTATATTCGAATAGTCGTTGATCAAAAACAAATGGTTCATCTAATCCAATAATAAGAAGTACTTTTGTCTCTTTACCACCATATAATTTATCTGCAGTAGCTATTCCTTTTATAATTGACTCAATAGGGTTGTTTTCCGGGAAAGTTGAATTTTTTAATATAGGACTTGATTCATACGCACCAATTTTATATAAATGCCTTTTAAATTAATATATTTAGATTAAAAGAATCTTATTTACTTATGTGTCTTTGATATTTTTGAAGCAAATGCTGCAAAAGATGCTGATATTGTATTAAATTCTATTTGTTTTAATTGAGGAAGTGAATTATCTGTAATTTGAACAAAATAATCTGATCTAAATATACCTAATGATATTGGCTATTTCTTATAAGTCTATATTTCACTGTTAAATTCAAATTACTTGTACAATTCCTTTATTTCTGACTTCTAAATGTATGTCCCATAATTTCTTTATAAAACTGTCAGTACTAAGACTATTCATATAAGCAAGAAATTTTATAGAAGAAGTGAATGTTACTCTTTTATAATTTGTGCCATAAAATCTTCATCATTAGCAATAAATGCATAAAGTTTATTAAAATCGCACTGAATTGCTTTCGCTTTTTTAAAGACAATTGACGGAAATAAAGAGGGATAAAGGGTAAATGGGATATGTGTATTTTCAAAAAAATATGTTTTTTTTGATTTTGAAGGTTTTTGACGCATACTAATTCCATGTATTTGAGCATAATCTATTAATTCTGAAACTAGAAAATCTTGTTGATTTTTATCAAGAAAAGGAGGATAGTTTTTGAAAAGCGATTCTGTATTTTCCATTTGTTTTTTCTTTATATAAAAATTAATGACTTTTTATTAATTTGTGTAATTTTCTCTTTAAAAGTTTCTCAAAAATCGAAATATTTATAAATTTATTTGTATTGAAATGATTTTAAAAAATACTGTTTAATATAAAGAGTATTTTTTTAAAAGAGATGTTATATATTTTTTCAATGTTAATATTGTAATTGAAAGTAATATTTATAATTGTATTAGAAATAACAGAATTGTATTATTTCGTAGGAACTTGTTTTTAGTTTTATTTAATCTATAAGTTTTTAGAGAATAAAAAAATTAATAATATCTTTAGGTAAATTGTGAACATTAATATATGTTTTAATTTTATTGTAAAGTTTTTGTTTTTTTTTTAATTAAGAATTGTTTGGATTATTAATGTATATAATATATGATTTAATAAAATTTGAAAAGCTTTGTGATAAATATTTAAAATAATTTAATATGTTGTATAGAAATTGTTGAATTGTAAATTTTTACATTTAGATTTAAAATTTTTATACAGAAATTAATGTTTTGATGTAATAGAAAGTAGGAATGCTATGTTGGATTAAAAAAAAAGTAAATAATGTGATATGTTTTATTTGTATTGTTGAATATAAAATTTATAGAGTATATTTAAAAAAAGATTTTTTTTTAGAAAGTAAAAGATTTTTTCATATAATTGATATTGTTTTTAATAGTTAATAGATATTGCGTATTATAAAAAAATTATTTATTTAAATTTTTTATATAAAATATATATTGAGAAATATTTTCGAATATCTTAGTGATTGTAGAATACTTACAGGTTATATTTATTTTAGATATTTTAATTATTTGTAAGTTAGTTAAATATTGTATAATATAATTCTACATTTAAAATATTTAATGTCTAATATAAAAAGAATGATATTTAAATTATGAAATGTTTTAATGTTAAATAAATTATGAGTCCTTGAATTTTTTAAAAACAAATGTTTTAATAAGAATTTGAAATTTAGTAATAAATATAATTTAAAAATATCACTTTTTTATAAATAAAATATTAATAAATTTTAATTAATGTTTTGTTTCTTGCTTTAGGTTAAGAAATTAGTATTTATGTATTTTTGGTATTATTTATTATTTTTTTAATATTTTAGATTATATATTGTTTTGAATATAATAAAGACTGAACTCTTTTAGTTATGTTGTTTTTGTTAAACGATTATTATTAAAAATTAAAGTATTTAATTCAAAATGTGTATGAAATATGAGTTTTTATAGTTATATTTTTGTGTTATTTTTTATATACATTTATTTTTATAGAATTATTGTTGAATATAAAAAATAATATATTTAGAATTGTAATACCTGAAATATATGAGCTTTAAATTATTTTTACTAACTATATTTATAAAACTTATATTTATATGAAAAAACTATTTAAAAAAGTTAAAATATTTATAAATTATATAGTATTGATTTTATTTTTTTTTAATTTTCAGTGTTAGTTTATTGGAGAAATATCTTATTTTTATGAATATTAATATTCTATAAATATATTTTTATGAATATTAATATTCTATAAATATATTTTTATAGGATTATAGTAAATTAGTATAAAAAAGAAAATTTATAATGTAAATCATTTGAAACTAATCTATTTATGTATTATAATATGGATGATATTGCTATTATTATTAAAATAGAGCTTTTTAATTTATAATATTCAGTATCTTAAATATGATCTAATTTATATTAATTAAAATTATAAACATATGATTTTTTTTTATAATATTTATTTATTTTAAAATGTTCTACCGAAGTATTTAAATGTCAACATGTAATATTGATATCTTCAATGATTTAAATTATTGATATCTTCAATGATTTAAATTATTGATATCTTCAATGATTTAAATTATTGATATCAATCTTAACAAATTCATTACAAATATAATTATAATTTAAAATATTTTGTATTTTGATTCCTAATGATATATCTATTATTACAACATCATACATTCACTTTTGCTGCTCTGTAATGGAAAATAATTCATTTATTTTTGTTCATAAATATGTTTAATTGAAACACTAGTTTATAATATATTTAAAATTTATAGTGTTAAATACTAATGTATGATTTTTAAAAAAAAAAAACTATTAAAACAAATAGTTTTGTTTTTCTATATTTTCTAAAAAATATTCTTTATTGTCTATGTTTGTATTACTAATATTAGAACTAGTTATTTCTGCCCACAGACTATTAGTGGTATCTTGAGTATCCTTGTTAAATATAAATAAGTTAAGTGGAGAAGATGTATTTATTTTATGTGATTCTTTTAAATTTATATTTTTTGAATTCATAATCTTTGAATTAGCTATGTCTGTTGGTAATTTTAAAAGAGAAGTTGATGATGTTAAAAGTGTTGCATTAGTTAAATTATTTTCGAGAAATACTGAATTAAAAGCTTCATTATTATGTAAAAATTCGCAATCCTTTTGTGTTTCTACAAATGCATCTACTATTTCTGCATTTGATTGAGGAAAAAAATTTGTTGATTTCCATGGATTCAGAGTTGTTAAAATATTTTTTTCTGAAATGGTTTTAATATGATTATTTTGAATATTTGATGAAATATTAGTTTTTTTTGAAGCATCGTATTCTTTAGGACTTTTGTTTTCTTTTTCACTAAATAATTTGATAGTTTTTTCTGCATTATTCATAGTAGATAATATGGATTTTTTTGAAGAATAAACCCAATTGTTTTCATTATTTAATTCAGAAAAAGGTTCACGTGTAAATATTTCTTGAGAAACATATTTAGGAGGAGATGATTGTATCATTCTATCAGTAATGATAGTATTTTTTTGTTTTTTAAATGAGATTTTGTTTCCTGTATATTTTTTGTTAGTTTTGGCTTCTAAATTTCCATCATTTTTGCTAGTATATGAGCCTTTTCTCTTTGTTTTTTTTGAAGAACATAATGTACTTGGCAGATTATGGAAATTTAAGGTTATTGCTTCTTGACGCCATAAATGGGATGGACGCATAGATTTATGACTTGACCACCAAACACCACATGCTATAAAAAATTAGTTTTAATTGAGATTATAGTATAAACAGACGGTTACAAAGAGTTTCTTCTGATTTACCATCCGCCGTTTTGACTTTCCTCCAGCTTACAGTTTTTATAGTTCCACAATTATTACAATAATTAGGAATTTTCCCTATATAATTTAAAATTAACATCTAGAAAAAGTCAAAAATACCTTCTTGAATTGATTTTAAAAGATTCATTTCTATACGAAGAGCATTAGATACTTTCTTTTTAGACTGTTTCAAAGATTTATTTCCTTTATTATTATTTTGATCTATAAAGTTTTTAATATCCAAAAATTAAATAGTATATTACAATTACCATATGTCTCTAAAGAATCTATCACTATTTTACTATTTCCTTCTACCTGATTATCAATTAATTTTATCATTGAAAGACTTTCTAAAGCAAGTTTTGCTGCTAATACAGCTTCGTTTAACCTTTTTCGTTCAGGTAATTCGTCAATGAATGTCTCATTATTATTTTTTGATTCTTGAGTTGCAACTAAATCTCTGTATGTAAAATCAAATGTTTCTATATCATTTTTTAATGACTTCATATTTTCGGAATCTTTTTTAGTTTCTATGGACTCTATATTCACTTGAGATTGAGGAAACTCTAGATAATTTATGAATTTCTGCGAATTAGATGCTGTATTCATAAATGATAATGTCTCAAAGATGTCTGGAAAAGATAGAGATGGTTCAGATGTAGGATACGAGGTCTGATTTTCGGAAGAAAGTATAGGTGGTGATGATGGGGGAAGCTGTTGATACTGTGGGGATGATGACGACGATGGTATTTGAGGGGATATAGGTTCACTAATTGGTGATGATGTTTGTCCTAAAAATGATATTGGAGAAAGTGATTCACAGGCTTTCACATTAGATGAATCTCTAAAAGGTAGTAATATAGACGATTGTGATGTATCGAATGCATTTTTTTGATATTTTTGAAAATTATTCTGATTCTCGATATTTGTAGATTTTGATGAATTGTATAAATAAACAGGTTGTTCAAAAAAAGTATTTTCATTTTTTTCAGAGATTTCAGATGAAACCATTTCAGAAACTTCGGAAACAAGAGGACTGGAAATGTTATAAAAAAAACAAAAATCTTGGATTGTATTTAGTAAATTAGTTTGCATAGCATATGGAACTTTCGACAAACGCATAAATATTTCAAGAACAACTTCACTTTCGTCATTCATCTTCTTTAAATGTTTGATTTTGCCGATTACATTCTTGGAATTGCTTTTTATTTCTAATGATATATCTAGAACCCAACTCAACATGCCATGCCCAGAAAATACTTCTTTATCTTCAGTAGGATCTAACGTATAAATAACAAAATCATGTCCTTTTTGCAATATAAGCTCAGGGCTTAAAAAAACGTTAAAATGAAAAATTATGATATAAGAAATACCTTTTTGCAATAACTGTTAATATACATGTTTTTAAATTAATGATTCCAACTTCCTCTTTATAAAGATTATTTAAAGATACAATCTCTATGGAAACAGGATTTTCATGCCATGCTAAACATGTCATTTGATGTTTTTCATCAAAAGAATATAGAATTTTTACTAATAATTTATTATTCTTGAAATTCCTGTTTATAAGACACTCACGTTTCGCTTCATGCAGTTGTTTTTTCATTTTTGAGTTATTTTTATATTTATATATATTTACACGAATTTTTATACATAAACCATAAATTTTTTTTTAATTGACGTGCTTTAACAAAATTTAGACGCGTTATAATCGTGAAATAAAAAATGATTAAATCGATAGTATTGAAATTGTTTTTTTTGAGTTTTTTATGAATCATTTTGATAATACATATATTTTTTTAAGTATCTAAATATATATAACCACATATAAGAGGATTTAACAAGTTATATATTAATATAAATTGTTAGATTATTGATGTCGTCTGGATCTCGGTTATCTATTTATAAAAAATCGTCTATTTATGAACGTAACTTAAACCGTACAAAGGGCACAGAGATAAATCTGTCAGCTTTTTCGTTTTTGTTTAGTGAAATAATTAGGTATACACAAAAAAGGGCTCAAGGAATTTATGAGTTAGAAAAAAAGTATATTTCTTTTTTAAGGAAATAATATTCTGTATTTTTGATTTTAAATAGACTTAATATTCAAGGGTACAGAGTTGGTCAGAAGTTATTGGAATTAATTACATGGAGGGAAAAAAATTCTAAAAGAGAAATAAGAGTTTTGGGAATTTTGCAATTTATTTTTTCAAATATATGGAAAGCCGTTTTTAATAAACAGCCTGATGCTCTTGAAAAAAGTAAAGAAAATGAAGATGAATGTAAGTTTTTATTAAATATTAAATAATGTTTAGAGTTCTAGATATGATTATAGATAATGAGCCTATGGTAAATAAATATATATCTGTTCCAAAAGAAATGGCACAGCTTAATTGTGCAGCGTTTGTTGCTGGTATTGTTGAAGCTATTATGGATGGATCGTGTTTTGTATGAAAATTTTGTAATATGTAAAAAGTTTTAGTTAATATTTATTTAGCCTTCAAAAGTAACAGCACATTCAGTTCCAACACACGCATTTCCTAGCAGAACAGTAATACTTATTAAAATTAATGAAAGTGTTTTAGAAAGAGAAAAATATTTGAAATAAATTATATATTTAGAAATATATAGTTTGTTTTTCTTTATATTATTTTTGTTATCAGTTTTATTGATTTTGATATTACAGTATATATTTTTTATTTATATTTTATTTAACTTGGTTTTAAATGCGTTTTTAAAAATATTATTTAAATAGAATATTGACTTTCTAATTATATTTATATTTTCAATGGAAAAATGGTAAAGTTTGTTTCTTATTTTATGAAATTTTTTAGTTATTTTTAGATAGTTTAATTTTTTTATGATTAAGTTTTTTTAAATTTTTTTAAATTTTTTTTATGAAATAATATAGATATTTCGTTTTTTAAAAAAGAATGATATTAAAGATATTAAAAAAAAGGATAAGGATATCGTTAGATGTTTATAGTTAAATTCTATCAGTTTGATTTAAAATGTTTATTCTTAGAATTTAAAAATTATAATTTAACTTTGTTATGTATTAAATAATGAATAGATTTTTATACTTTAAGTTGACTTTTTATTTTTTTATTACTTATTTTTGAATTTATATGTTTTTTATTATAGGTTTTTTTAGAATTTATTTTTATATTTTGCTTTCTTTTTACTTTATGGAATTATAATATATTTTTATGTATTCTTTTTTATTATACGAAAAGTTTTTTTGATGTTATTTTTTTATTAATGATTTATTTTTAATTTTAAATGAGATTTATTTTATAGATTCAAATATAATTTAATTGTTTAAAGATTATGTTTTTCTGAATATGAATATATTAAATATTTTTAGGATGTAGTATTTATTACAAAGTATGTTTATATTTTTAAACTTTATTTATTATTGGATTTATATTATTAAATTTTATTATTATATTTTATATTTATATAGAAAAGACAAACAAATTTAATATTTTCATTTTGTTCAAATTTTTAATTTAATAAAATATTTGTGAAAGAAAACCATTGTTTATTGAATTAAAGTATGTGAATTATGATTTTTATCATATTATTTTGTAAATAATGTTTTATGTTTCTATTATATTTTATCGAAAGTATTTATAATTGATTTTTAAGATTTCTGTGTGTTGATTTAAATTAATAGTTTTAAATGTATGTATTTTACTAATGTATAAACTTGTATGAATTAGAGTGTTAATGTATTATAATGTAAATTTATTTTTGAACTGTATTAGTAGATATAATTTAGTTATTATTCTAATAAAGTTTTATTATTTTACTTTTGTTTTTAATATTTTAGTTTTAATTTTTATAACTAGTAATTTTGTTAAGGATAAGATTTATTTTTCTAATAGCAGTTTTTTGTAGTATTTATATTTATAATGTTAATAGTTTAGTATTTGTATTCCTGTTTTTTTTTAAAGTAATTTATTTTTTAAGATTTAGATTTATTATTAATTTTTAAATATTAAAATAGATAAAAAAGATAAAATATAAAGAATTAATTTATATTATAATAAAATATAAAAACATATGAATTGTGGTTTTTTCTTTAAAATTTTAATTATATAGATTGTAAAAAAATAATCCATGCTATAACTAATTTATAATTAGAATAAATATGAAATGATATTGTTATACAAAAATAGTATAGAAAAAGAGGGTAAATGGCGAGAAGTCTCTTTTTGGTAAGAGAAAAATTCCTTATTACACTTAATGATGCTAATAAATATTTAGAAAAAAAATAGAATTGTACAAAAAATGATTAAACCATATGTTGACCAGGTGTAAGCAATAATAATTAATGGAAATTTGATAAAAACTGTATTTATAAAAAGATTCTGATTTATATTAGTAATAAGAAATAAAAAGTTTAAAAATACGGTTATGGTAATGATCACAAAAGGAAATAAAGAATATCCAAGAACAGATATTGATTGAAACAACGATCTAGTTCTTTAGTATTTTGATTATAATTTATCAAAATTATACATTGGTGCTCCCAAAAGTTTAAGATTCAATGCAATAATTAATTCGCTTATCCATACAACACAAAAGATACTTGTAAAAATTATCGTTGATTCACTTTTTGGAGCGGTTAATGATAAGCATGAAGAAAGTATAAGACAAAAAATAAGAGGACCCCATAAGTCCCCTATAGATATGGTTAATTAGAATAACAATAGTCACTTTAAAGTAAATACAGTTATTTAAAATATTGTAGTTATTGCGAGGCCATAAAGTATAATTAAGTTTGATTCCTATCATTTTTATATCATTATACTATATATTAATTAGTTTTATTATATGAATAAATCTTAAGGTACAATTGCCGTATAAATGGGCTCTTCTAAAGTATCACCACTAGCATATCTAGAAATAAGATTAAAAATATTATATTTACAACTATTATAAGAAATACCTTCTATTACTAGCATATTCTCCTGTAATATTTCCGAAAATGGTTTCTGCCTTAGTTTCAGGTATATTCATATGGATAAAAAGATTGCTATTAATATCTTCATTTTCTGTCATAATTGTATTTGTTATAGTTGTATCACTTTGATTTTTGATTTTTTAAAAGTAAATTTTGAATTATTCTCGATATTGAATTAAAAATTATTGATAAAAATCATAGATAAGTCAAGTTAAATGGGTTACTGGGAAGATATTTTTTTAGATAGAATCTTGTTGTTGTAATTTTTTTTAATATGATCTAAATTTATTCCAATTTAAGATTGATAAAATACATATATGATATTTTTTATGATTAAGGTATTTTTGTTAAATAATCATTATTTTATAATTATGTACTAAATATTCTTAAAAAATAACTTTTTGGAACATGTATATTGATCTTAGTAGTTATAAGACTTTATGTGATTTATTATGTTTCTAATTCTGTATAAAAATATACAATGTTTTATGAAAATAATGTAAACTCATGTTTAAATAGCGTTATAAATATATTATATTGCAGAATTTTGTTTTATTAGTGAATAATTTACATTTAAAAATAATAAATTCGGTGTAATGTTTATAGAATCACTTATTTTATCGATATTAAATAGAACTATAGCAAATCTTAATTTTAATTATTATCTGGATGAATATTTTCTATAATTATATAAATTAGCAAATGTTTTCAATAGAATACTGAATAAAAGGATAAATTATTAAATTTTTATGAATTAGATATATTGTATTTCAATTATATTTATATTTTACAATTTACATTTGATTTTTCTAGTTATTCATCTAATAATTACTTTTTTATTAGTATCTAAAATTTTTTTTAATTTTGTAAAACGTAATATGTTTGTATGATATTAACAATGTTAGAATAATGTTTCTATTCTTTAAAAAACTTTAGATTGTATGTTATAGTATTTTTTATTTATATATTTTTTTAAACTTATTTTAAACTATATGTATTCTGATTCAATTTTGAATTGATTTCGATGAAACATAAATTTCAGAAAACGATAAGTTTTTCTGAGTATTTGATTTTGATAATAAATAGTTTTATTAGATTTAGATTTATGTGATTTAATTTTTTTCACTTTTGAAGAAAAATTATTTTTTTATTTGATTTTATTTTTTTTAAATTAATATGTTTGAAATGTTATTGGAAATTTAAATATATAAATTTAGTTAATTATTTAAGATTTTTAAGATTTCAATTTTTAAAATTTATTGCTTATTTTTGACGATATTTTTCAGTATGTTATATATTTCATTAGCTCTTATTAGTTCTATTTTGTGTGTTATTAAATAATTGGTATTTAAAGTGTTTATTATAATTTTAGTAAATAGTTTTTTTAATTTTTATTTATAGAACTTTTCAGTGATTCTCCTGATTAATGTATTTATTCTTATAGAAGATTAATATTTTGATATCAAATAGGAATCCAATTTGAAATATGAGTTAAAGTTTCTTTTATTAAGGGTTAATTTTTCTTTTATTAATAGATAATAAATTAAATAAGATTTAATTGATTTATATATATATTTGTTTATTATATGTAAATAATTTTTATGTTTTTTTTATAAATTATTTATGCAGTTAAGTTTTTGTTTCTTATTCATAAAATCTGATTCATTTAGTTTTTTTTAAATTTGAAAAATTATTAAAAAGTAATGAAATTTTATAATTATTTTTTTAAATATAATTTTTAAAGATTAGATTTTTTGGTGTTTTTTCTATTTTTTTAGATATTATAGAATTGTTATATTTATAATATCTTAATGTTTTATATAATCTTAAGTAATCTAAGAGTATATTTAATCTTGAGTTTTTATTTTTGCGATTACTTTTTAATTAAATTAACTTTTTCTTTTGAATGTGATTTTTTTAGATATAGATATAATTTTTTTAAAAATGTTTTATTTGATTAGTTTTTATATGTTTTAATTGATATATTTTTTGATGTTTTTATTAAAAAAAATGATTTTAAAATATTTTTTAATATAAAAGGTTAATAATATCATTATAATTTTGTTTATTTTTTCTCTATTTGTAAAAATTTTAAATTATATTAAAATATGGTAGAGTTAAGTTTTAATTTGTTAGGATTACTATTAATAAAAATTTTAGATATTTTATAATATCGTATTTTTATTATATATTTATATGTTTTAATGATTTATTGTGTATTATCTTTTTATTTATTAAAGTTTTGATATTAAAATAAAAAATATATTTAATAAAATTTTAATTTTTTAACTTTTTTTTTGAACTGAAACTTATAATACTTTTATAATATTGAATTATTTTATATAAATTTTAAATGTAATATTAAATTATTTTGACTTATTAATCTTTAATAAATGATTTGAATTTTATTAAATTTTATATAAGGATTACTTCATTTTAAGATAATTAGAATATATAAAAAATTAGCATTTATTTATTTAAATATTTTTATATATAATAAAGAATATTGAAATATTAATATGTATGCATATTTATAATATTCTTAAAAATGTATATAATTTTGCATTAAGCAATGAGAAAATTACGAAAATTATATTGTAGTAATTTTTATTAATAAGTATTATTTGAATAAATTATTTTCGTAATTGAAATCATTAAATATTATTTGTTTTTTTGAAAAACTACTAAAAAATATATTTACTATTTATTTTATGAATGAAATACATAAAAATTTAAATTATTTTTAAAATTGTTAATGCTCTCTAAAACGTATTATCTTTTTCGAATATTTTGAATATTTCGAAATATTAAAATATAAAATATTTGCAGATGGTTTTAGTAGCATGTTGTCAGTTTTGTGCAACGTCTGTATTTTTTTGTTGTTACTATATATTAATTAATGCTTTTATAGAGGATCAATTTTAAAAAACCTTGAAATATGTAAAGAATTAATGAATCGAGCTGTTTCTAGAGGTGCTCAGGTTTGTTTTTTTCCTGAATCTAGTGATTTTATTGGACTTGATGTTGATTTTTTGTTTCATTTTTCTCTATCTTATAATATTTAGCATAATGATTCTCTAAAACTCACTTTATCTAGTGAAAGAGAAAGGTTTATTAACGAATTTAGAGAACATGTAAAATTTTTGAAAATTCATGCCTCTGTAAGATACATATAGTTATTTTTGAATACTTAAACTTTAGTTGGGCCTTCATGAGCCTGTTATGTCAGGAACTCGTATTGCAAATGTATGTGTCTGGATAGATGATCAGGGAAACATTACACATAAATATCAAAAATTGCATTTGTTTTGTATTAACATGGTTGGACGTATTAAAATCTTCCTTTTAAGTTTCTTAGCTAATTACTAATAGATCAAAAGATGAAAGAATCGAGATATGTGGAAAAAGGAAAAGATATTGTTCCGCCATTTGAAACGTAAGTATATTATTCATTCATATGGATTTTTTAAGTATTAGTCCTATTGGAAAAGTCGGATTAGCAATTTGCCATGATATAAGATATCCTGAATTATCTATAAAACTTCGAAGTCTTGGAGCAGAAGTTATCACTTATCCATCTGCTTTTATTCCTAGGAAAGTTTGTCTGATAAAGTTTATATATATATTAATCATTTCAAAGGACTGGTGCAGACCAGTAAGTGTTTAATTTGTTTTAATATTTTCTGATTTTTTTAAGTTGGTCAATATTAATTTGTGCACGTGCTATTGAGACTCAAGAAAGTATTTCTTTTTATTTTTAAGTTACTAAGATGCAAATAGTCTTATGTAATAGCTGCAAATCAAGCAGGTAAACACAATGAAACTCGTGAAAGTTATGGACATAGTATGGTAAGTGCTATATAATAATATAAATTAACTTTAATATGATTTTTTTGTAGATTGCTGATCCTTGGGGTATTTTTTTTTAGATAATGTTTTATTTATTTAGTGTTTTATAGGTATTATATTGGCATCTTGTTCTAATGTTTCAAAAGAGCCTACTTTTTGTATTGCTGATATTGATTTATCTGTTGTTCATAAGGTTCGACAAGAACTGCCTCTTATAAGAAGGTTATTATAGTTTTTTTTATGTTTTTCTTATTCTTATAGAACGGATGTATATCCTAAAATATGATATTTTTTTATTAATTAGACTTTTTTTGTATTTTAATACTCTTAATATTAAATATATTTCTAAAAATTATTTGAATAATATCAATTTTAAATTTTATAGTAAAAATAAATTAAGTAGATATTTTTTGAATAATAGGAATTAAAATGTTTTGAAATATTAATTTATATAGGTTTAAATTCCTATGGTTTTAGTTTTTTTTAAATTATGTAAATTTTGGAAATATTTTAATATTGTTTTGGATTTATGTATATTTTTATTTAGTTTTTATTAAATGTCATCTGGATGAACATTAGATAGCATGATATTTATTGTTGGTTAATATTATAATTTTTTAGAAGATTTAGATATAAGTTTTGTAAAAATGAAATTTTGAGAAAATGAGTTTTAGAAATGTATTATAGAAAACACAATAGCTTTTATGGTAGATTTTTAAAAGTTTAAAATATACTGGGAATAGGAAATTTTTATGGCTAAATTTTGTTTTAGAAATTATTAGAAATAATCGAATATATAAAGGAAAGATTCAATAACGAAAGTGCGTAGTTTTAAGTGTTTTTAAAGTTCATTTTAGAATGGTTTTATTATTTATTATTTTAAGATTTTTGTTTTTAAATAAAATTAATTTATCCGTTTTTTATTTTGTTTAATGTTTGTAGGTTTTTTTGATTTCTAGAAATTTTTAAAGTTTATATTTTTTATAAAAAGATTAGTAATAATGAATTTTTCTGTTATTAATATTGTTGAAAAATATTAAGAATTTTTAATTTTATATTATCGTGTTCTTTGAAAGTATAAATATTGATATTATTACTTAATGTTAATGAAATGTTTGATTTAGATATTTTTTTAAATTTAAGTGTGTTTTTAGTAATATAAGAAATGAAAATATTTTTATTGTATTATTATATTTGCGTTAATGGATTAAAACTGTTGATTTGATACAATTTTTAATATTAAGAATTCTAGAGATAAATTAATAATTTTGAGATTTTTAAATACAAAAAAATTGTTTTTAAGTATACATAAACATATTAAAATATAAAAACGAATATTTGATAATAATAAATTTGAAATTTTTTTATAGATAATAATTTTCTGTTTTATATATGAATGGTATATTTTTAATGATTTTTTATAATATTTAATTGTATTTATGGAACCTGATGAAAAATTTAACTGTTTTAATAATTTTACATTTTTATTGTTGCAAAATTATTATAAATATTTTCTAGATTTAGAAAAATCGTAAACTATTTATGTTGAATAAACTATTGATGATGTTTTTAAAATAAAATGAATATTTAAGAATATTTTATAATTGGTATAAAGATAAAAATCATGTTATGTTCAATAATAAATAATTAATTTAATGAAAGTTATTAGTTTAATATTTATTTTTTTTTAAATACATAAAATATAGATTTTTTGTTTGAGATTTTTAAATAAGTTTATAATTTATTATTATTCTTTAATTTTTAATGTCAATTTTCTTTAATAACATTAAATTTAAATGATTTATTAATTTGTATTATTTTAGACACGCTTATTGAAAGATTAAAATAATATAAAATAAATGTTTCAATAATAATATATGATTCTAATTGTGTAAAAGAATTTTTATGATTTATAGTTATTTGTTTGACAAAATTTTAATAATTTAATTGTTGTCATTTTCATTATTTTTATCATTATTAATAAATAATTAATATTGAGAAATTATAAAAATAGTATGTTTTTTTTTATTTTTAGATTCTATCTTATACTAATGTTTTTAGTTCCAATTCATTTATTTTATTAATAGCTTTAGTTAAAATAATAATACTATAATTATAAAAAATATTATTATTATAGAAAATTTGTTAAATAAGGTAATATTTTTTATTTTATTTATTGTTCTTTTTAAAATTTGAATATTTATTTTAAGTTGTTTTAATAATATAAGAGCTATAATTGTAATTTTAATAAAGATATTTTTAAAATTATTTCAAAAATTTTGAATGTTTTTTTAATTGTATTAACTTATTATATTTAAAAGATTTTACTTTCATATTTATTTTTTTTAATTTCTTGAAAAGTCGATAAGTAATTTAAGAAATAAGATTTTAATATAATTTTTTGTGAATTTGGAATAGAATTTGAAATAATACGATTTTTTAAATATAAAATTTGAATTTTTATGTATATATTTTTAAAAAAATTAAAAAATATATTTTTTAAATAGTAAATTTAAAAGCATTATACATGTGTCTTCATTTCTAATATAAGAATTATTTTATTAATTTATGAAAATTTTCTAAAAGGTTACAGTGTTTCTTTATAATATTTCTTAAAATATAATGAATTTCTGATTTATTTAATGTATTTTTATATTTAATATTTTTTGAATTCATTTTATTAAAAATATTACTAGATTTTTAGAATTGTTGATTTAAATAATTAATTTGTTAAACTGATAATATTATATTTATTTTTATAAAATACTTAATGTTGATATTTTAGTTATTTTGTTAGTTTTTTTATGATATATTTGATTTTTAATTAATTTTTTAATTTTTAAGTATTTTTATATTAAGAAATGCAACTATATGAGATAAATTAAAAAGCACTTTTACAATTTTATATGTGATTTTTGTTTAAGTATAGTTTTACAAAAATAGAAAATATATTTTAGAAAAGTCATGTAAAAAAAGTATGCTAAAAATTATAATTATATAATGCAAAAATGTAAATAGAATATGTTTTAAATTTTTACTCTATAGATTTGTTGTAGGGTTATGTTTTTATAAAAAAAAATTGGGAATTTTAAATTTGGTTATGGTAAAAATTTAATAAATTGTAATAAAAAAAAAAATTAAATAATTTAAAACTTGATATATTATAATCTTAGGATGTATAAGACGAATAATATAAAAAGAGTTTTTTATTATTATAAAGATTTGAATGGACATAGTATAATTGTAAAAATAAAAATATTTAAATTTTAGTTTACATTTAGAATATATCAAGTTTAATGTATTTATTATAATAACTATGTTCTAATTATAAATAAGAAAAAAATATTTTGTAAATTTTAAAAATCTGCAGTTATAAGATATTTGTATGCATTTTAACTTATTTACTTGTAATTGATGAAAAAGAAGAGTAAGAATAGTATAAATATTAATTTAAAATATTGTTTAGGGCTAATTTTAAAAACAAATAAAGTTTATTTTAATATTTATTATAAAAATTTAGTTTTTTTTTTATAAAGTTTAAGAATTTTGAATAAAATTCAATTAGTTGGATTGGATATTTCTTAAAGTAAACATTTTGATAAATATTATTTAAAGCTGCTTAATTTTGTAATTTGTTTTAATTAGTATAATTAAGAAAAATTTTGTTGAATATCTGAAATTTTATTTTTTATATTTAAGTTTAAGAATTTGTAGGAAATTTTTAATGTTAAAATTTTATAAAAATTTTAAAATTTCAAATTAAGATTTGTTAGGATAATACTATTTTATAAATATTAAAAAGTGATGTAGATAATATCTATTATTAGAGAAAGATTATTTAGTAATATGATTTTGCAATATTAATAAAAGCATTTAAAATATTTTTTAAATAAATTACAAATTTTTAAAATTATCTTAAGTATATTTAATTCTTTGAAGTTATACATATGTAATTGTAATTAATATTTGAAATGATGATTTATACACATTAAATGTATTAATAAAAAAAATAGTGTTTTTTTGTTAATGTTTTTTATTGATAGATAATTTGGTAATAATTTATGTAATTATGAATTATAAATTGTAAGATAAAAAAAACTTGTGAAACTAATGTATTACATATAATATTTCTTAAAAAAAAACAAAATTATAAAAACATTACATTTTTCCGAAAAATATATATTATAAAAACAAATAATTTATTTTAATTATTTAATTATGAAATAATATAAATAATATATTGAAATTTAAAATTTTTAGTTTAAAAAAAAATCTGATTCACAAAATTAAATAGGATTTAATATATACGAATATAAAACATACTTATGAATAGTTTTAAATAGTTTTAACAAGGGAAATCTAAAAAATTAAAGAAATGGTATATTTAATTAGATTAAAAAAAATATTACTGTTATTTGAAAAAGTATAATTGATAATGTAGAAGAGGGATATATAATGTTAATAGCAATTTCTTAACTCCTTAATTTAGATGTAAAATAATTATTTTTACATGTTTAGTTAATAGTAATTAAGATAAAAATATTTTTTAGAAAGAAATAGATGTGTCTTATTATTTTAAAAAAAAAATATTGAAACTGCTTGTTTTAAAAGAGATTAGTATTATACAAAAAGATGTAAACATAGAGGAAGATGATAATGGATTTAAGAATTCTGAAGAAAGTATAAAATTGTTATATAAACAACAAAGTCGACTAAGAGTTAATAGAAGACTTAATTTTTTAGATGAAATTGAAGATATTGTTGTGAAATTATCTTTAGTCATTTAGACTTATTAATTTGTGATTTGTAATTTTATGAAGTTTTAAAAAATAATAAAATTTATTTTTTGTAGATATTTATAAAAACAAGTAAAAATAATATTTTTGAGACTTTGTAATGATTATTTTTATCGTCAAATGGGTTTTTTTAAATATTTAATTGATTTTATTTTTAGTTGATATTTTTATTTTTGATAATTTTTTTCAAAAAAATATTAAGGTTTTAGAAAAATTATAATATGTATAGTTATATTTTATAACGAAATTTAATACTATTAAACAAATACAATAAAATTTACTGAATTAATGTTAATTTGGAAATATACTATAATATGTAATAGATAAAATTTAAAACTTTATTTTTTAAAAAAGTTTTAGAAAAATATATTTTTACTGACAATTTTTTTATACTTTTATAATTTATATAATTATATGTGATATTGGAAAAATAGGATTATAAATCTAAACAAATTGAATTTTTGAAAGTAGTTATTTATAATTTTCATTAAAGTAAATATTTATTTGTTATAATTAATAATGCAAACCTATTTATAGTAGCTTTTTGAAGATGTCTTTTTTATTGTTAACTTCAAAGTTATTTATAAAAGTTGATAAAATTTGTTCACTTTTATGTTTTCTCATATTCATATGTTTAATTTCATTCGTAAATATGATTTTTTTATTATTGCATAATAGAAGTTTTTAGAAAATAGTTATATTTGTATATTAGTATATTATTAATATTGAAACAGACCTAATCTTAAAAGTGGAAAATATAATTCTTTAATCATAATTACTCCTAAGATTTAAAATAACATTCTTATTGTTTAGTTATTTGAAAAAAATATAGATTATTTAAAACATTTAGAAGTTTTGGTACAATAGTAAAATTTTATAATGATTAATATTATGTAATATGTCTTTAAAAATTGTATTTGTTGAATATTATTGTATAATTTGATTAATGTGTAAAGAATGTACCATTTAAGGCTCTTATTTGAAGATTTGGAATTTATTTGAGAAATTAATTATAAGTTGTATTTTATTTATTTAACAATATGATTATATGTATATATGTAATATATCTATATAAAATATATAAAATATAAAGATCCTGTATTTCGAGTTTTAATGTGTTCTTTATAATATTAAAATTTTTTTTATTTAAAAAAAAATAACTTTAATTTTTTGATTTTTTACTGTATTTTTATCTTGAAAATATATTGATACTAATTTATTTTATTGATTTTTTTTCTTGATGAACTTATTTATATTTTATTATTTATTGTTTAATGTACACCTTGAATGGATAATAATGCAATAAGTATAATTGTATTTTTTATAGTTACAATATTTTTTTGTCATTTTGCTTAAAATATTATGGATAAATAATGTTTATTTTTGGATTTTAATATTTTAGAATTGGTATAGAATGAGAAAGAGGCTAATGATTTATTAATTGAAATGTTTTTGTGAGAAGATTAAAAATATTATAATGTATTTTTTATTATGATGATTAAAAAAATATAATATTTAAATTATAATAAACAAACTATATATATTAGAATTTTTTATTTTGAATGTTTTTCTAGAGAGTATTTTTATATGTTTTTTATTGGTTTAATATATCTTTAAATAAATACTGTAATTTTTTATAATATTTATGATGAATAAACTTTTAATAATAATCTTATACTTACTTTATGTTCTGAGAAAAAAATAGTTTCAATGTGTGTTATTTAAAGTTTATTATTTGCATTTGTTAATATTTTTTTCTAGGGTTGGATATACTATTAATATTTTGTTTTTAAAAAACTTAGTGAATGATGTGATTTGTATAATAAATATTCAAAAATAAATAACAATCTAAAAATATAATAATACAACTTTTAAAGATTAGCTGATATGTATATTAAGTTTTAATATATTTTTTATTTTTAAAAGATATAAATTTGATGTATTTTAGAAAATATAATGTTAATGATGGTTATAATTTTTTATTTAAAATCAGGTTTTATTTATTTTTTACTTTTTTTTCTATTTTTTAAATATATTTTTACTGGATTTGAAATGAATGTAATATTTATAAATTTTATTTTCTTAAATGCAATAAAATCTGAATATTTCAATAAATTATGATAATAATGTCTATTTTCAATATGTACTGTTTCCTAATTTTTTTTTGCTTTGAGTACATATACTTTATGTTTTAAAATAAAGATGAAAAAAATATTATTAGATATTTGGTATTTGTTAATGTTATTTTTTCGTGTGAATTCTATTAAACAATCAACAATATAAATTCATTGTAAAACGGATTTTCATATGAGGTATTTTAATGAATTATTTAATTTAGGCGTTTTAATTAGAATACTAGATTAATGTTATCTTTTCAATTTTTGTTATTTGAATTTTGACAAATTTCGTGAAGTTTATTCATATTTTATTTTTTATGATATATGAAATATTTTTATTACATATTTTCATAAAAATATTGGAATATTTGAATTGACTAATAATGATAATGAAAGTTTTATTGGTATTGTATGGTAAAAAAAAAATTGATATTTTTATTAATTTTATTAAAAATAATAGAATTTTATCGGAAATATATATAAAAGATTTGATAATAATGAAGGTATTATGACATTTAATTGTGCTATAACAATAGAATTATATCATTTGATCACTTATTAATTCTTAAAATGTATTATTTGTTAGTGTTTTTTTTTTTTTAAAAAAATACGCATTTTCTAAATGAAATAATATTTATTATGTCATTTAAATATTTTGATTTTATTGTTTTTTCTATATTGAAATAACGTTTTCTGCATATTATATTTTATATAAAACTATTAATTTTATATACGATGAATTAAGTTCAAATTTGCTTAATTAAAAAAGGTTTAAGTATTATTATTACTTATTTAAAAAATAAAATTAAATTTAATCAAGAACTAAAATAATAACGTTTTTTAGAATTTATAATTTAATTGATATGGAGTTAGATATTAGATTTTTTAATTGTCAAATCATATTAATTTTGATTTTTTTAAAAATAACTTGAAGAAATTATAAAAATATTACTAAGATATTTTATTTGCCTTTAAATATGTTTGATAAAATAAAATTAACTTTAGATATTAACTTTATAAAGCATTAAAGTTGTTTTTGTAAATTCTATTATTGATAAAAAAATAAAATCAAAAGTTGGTGTTTAATAACATTTTGAAATATAAATTTTGTTGAATTTATGGGTTAGTTGTATTTTACAATGTTATTAAAAAAATATTGTTTTTGTATTAAACTTCAATTTCATGTGATCAATAGTTTTAAAATATAAGTTGTTTTATAACGTATATTCGTATGTATGTTGTATATTTTTATTTTCCATTAAATTTTTATGTTAATTTTAATAGTAAGTAAAATGATTTTTTTACGTTTTTGATCAATTTTTAAAAATAATTTAGAATATACAGAGAAATATAAAATTGTAAAAATATATTATAATATTTATATAAATTATTTTTTTGCTTAAATGTTTTTAATAAAATTTTTATACCAAGCAATTGAAATACTAAGTATTGCTATTGTTATTATAAATAACGTACTGTTTATTCTAGCTCTATTGCTTATATAACAATGTGATTTTTTTTCTAACTCATCTAATTCCATGTAATAAAGCTTTGTTGCATACTCTAAATGATATTTTTTTCCAAAATCTTTTATACAACTATATTTTAATGTATATTTCCAATTTGATAATATATAAGGAGGAATATTTTCTCTCAATGATATAGCTTCTTGTAATATACTTTTTGAAGGACATTTTTGGGTAAAATTAGCTAGAACTTTGTGTAAAATATCTGTTTCTTCTTTGGTAATATTTAAAATTTGATTTTTTTGTTGAATAATGATCTCACGTATTTTAGTATCAGTTATGAAGGAATATAAACTTACTGCTGCATAAATATAAATAATCATAATTGTATCTGTAGCTAAAATAAAGTCAAATACTTTAAGAATATCTTCAAAATGTTTTGTTTTATATGAAAACCATGTCAGATATGATGCTAGAGCAAAATGTGATGGAACATTTGCAACATGTTCTCCAAGTTCTTGGTCCTTTTTAAATATTATTGATTTTATTAATTCAAGGTGATCCAATATGGGTGATAACGAAGGTAAAAAAAAATCTAAAAGTAAATAAATTATTTTCTGAATAAATAAATATATACAATACCACGGATACGTGTTAATGATATATATTCTAAGAGTTTTACTGCATCTTTTTTTCCAACACATAGTAAAAATACTTGAGCAATATTATGATATCCCTAATTATATTAAAAATTAAAAAGTAATTACAATATGCAAATAATAATACTTGGAAATAATTAAGGGTTGGATGTTTTCGAAGTATTTCTAATATTAATGATTTTAGTTCTTTTTTTTTTTTTTTTAATTCTTTATGAGTAGAATCTCTTCAAATATCAGATTTTATAAATGGAAATATATGAACTACTTATAGGATAATAAATGAATGATCGATCAACATCAAGTTGAACTTGATTTTCGTCTTTGTGAACGGGTAATAGTTCCCAATGGACTTGATGATTTAATGATTCATTTTCTGGGCATATAAGAATATTCCCTGCAAAAAAATTAAATATATATAATATATTATTATTAGGAATAATTACATATTTTTTTTCTTAAATCATTATTTTTAAATCCAATTCCTTGAGCTCCATAATTTCTTAATTTTACAATATCATTTCTTAAAATTGCATAATTAAAATCAATAGAATTTGATTCATTATTGCAGAGTTTCATGTTATTTTTTTTTTTTGAAAACAATTATATATGAACTTAAATATTGTAAATATTGTATATAAATCGATAAAATTTAAAAATTATATTAATTTAAATTTTATATCGTTTGATTTTTATCGTTTAATTTTTTTATTGTTTGATTTTTTGTATGGATGTTGATGTAAATTAATTTAATTTAAAAATTAGATAATAAATCGATATTTTTAAATATTTATAGTTTATAGGATTTATAGGAAAATATTAAATATTTTTAACGTAGAATTTTATTTAAAATAATAATTTATGAATCGATTCATATTTTTTTCATATCATATATATATTTTAAATTATTTTAAATTCTTAATTATCATTAAATATTCATTTAGTTTCATATATTAATTTTTAATTAATTTTTTTTTTAAAATAATATAATTATGTATTTTATATATTTTAAAAACATATATTCTAAATATTTTATAATAAAATCATATAAATCACATCTATAATAATATATTATGTAATAAAAAGTGATATTTTTAAAATTAAGAATATTACAAATTAAAGATATTTCTATTATTCTATAAATTTAGTAAATTATATATATTTTAATATATCGTTTTACATATGAAATAATGTATATAAATAATAAAATATGACAAGAATATGTTAGTAGAATTAGTATATATATTAAAAATTATAATATTCGATATTATTTAATTTATTGAATTATCTAATTCAATATATCTAATTTACTATTTTCATAACATCATATTTATATTTTATATTCTTAATCATGTTAAATAAGTTATATATATAAGTTATATATATAACTATTTCTACTTAATTTTATTATAAAAAACTTTTTATCATAAATATTTTTAAAATTAAAATTTCTACGTTTTAATAGTTTTAATATTTATATATAATATAGTCAGTAATATTTATATTAATCTAAGTATAATCAAAATATTTAATATTTTTGTTTAAATATATTTATCTATTAATATTTATTAATATTTAGATATTTAGTAATTTTTTAGTAATTTTTTTAACATATAATTCATTACAATTAATAAATAATTTTTATTAAAATACATATTAAAATATATAATATATAAAAATTATTATTTTTAAATTATAACTTAAATTATAAACCATAAACATATACTATTAAATTACTATTAAATCATATGTATAATTATATAACTAAATATTACTACACTGATCACGTTTCACTAAAAATTTATATTATATATATTAAACATTTAAAATTAACATCACTCAAGATCATAATGAAATTAATATTTGCATGAGTGTCAAAAAAATATCTACATAAATTATATCTACATAAATTACCTACATAAATATTTTTCAAATATAAATAAAATTACTATTTATTAAAAATATAAAATACATTATAGAATACCATTTTTAATGTATCATTTTACAACGTAGTTATTCAATTAAAACAGCATTTCTTATTTAAATGTAAAATTATAAAAATTACCATTCATTTATCATTATTTTATATAAACATAAAACACTAACTCCAATTTCAATATATAAATATCTACATTATACATAGAAAACTGTAAAACATCAAAATTTAAAAATTCTAAAAAATATAAAAAAATCAAATAAGATCAAATCCAGCACCAAAATTAATAGCATATAAAAGTTTACTTTTTTGTAAATTAACATTATTAATTTTGTTCAATTTTTATTACCTTTTCATAATAGTTCTATCACTATATCTTGGAAGTATTAAAAGATTAACACATGTAGAAGCAGTAGGAAGTCTATTAATATCGTCACCACCGTTACGAATACAAAATAAAGGTCTTAAATCTTTAAAACCTAAAAGTGGGGGTCTTGATACACTAGTAACAAATTTTAACAATAGCCGACGCTCAATATCAGAAAATTCAGAAACAACACTCCAAAAAAGTTCAATAGTAGGATCATCATCTTGAAATCCACCATAAACAGAATTATTGCGTAAATCATTTATATCTATAGGTACAGAAGAACCTCCAATTAAATTTTGTAATTCCTGACAACTAAACATTGACAACCATTTAATATTAATAATTTCAGACAGCCCTTTAAGAAAAGCATTGCTTTGTTTTAAAATAACTTTATTAAGTCGATAATCAGCCAAAGTATATATATATTTCAACCGATTTTTTTTTGTTACAGAAACATTAGAGCCGTCAGCTACTAATTCAACTGTAATAGACTTCCCAAATTCTATTGTCCAATGTATCAATAATTATAATCATAACTATATATAGACTACCTTGTTCAATAACAGTAAAATTAAGAAACAAATCGTTTTCAACATCACCAGTATAACGTTTTAAAAATATCTTTTTAATTATTAAAAACTTTGTTAAAAAAACCGAAATATTACCAATCCTTTATATAGCTCAGGATCCAAAACGAACAAATCATCTACTAAATAAAATTATAAATCAAAATAATCAACAGTCTAAGCATACAATGACTCATTTTACCAAGAAGCTTCATTAAAAAAAACGGTGCAAAAGTTACATCGAGAAGGATAGTCTCATATATACATTTTCCAACCAATCTTCCCAAAAATTCAAAACACAAAAGTTGTGCCGCTAACATAATTAACTACATTAAACCAAAACCAAATCATACGTTCACGGGCATAAGAATGAGGATTGGGATATAACAAATGTTCATGAGTTTCACAAAATAGCCCAAAATCTATATCAAAAGCCTGCTTGCAAATACTAAGCATCATTAATCATATATATATATATATATATATATATGTATATATATATATAATACCTTACTAAGAATTCTTTTGTGATACCACCACCATCTATACCAACTTCGGGTAAACCATATCGATCAACAAAAATAATACTAATTGGCTTTTTAATATCTTTACCAATACTATACAGTGTTGCAAATCCATCATCAAAAATATTATCACGTCTAATTGTTACAGAAAACCTATTTAATACATCCCAAGAATCTGAATACCCAGATATTTCCATATCGTGAGTAATCAAAGACTGTAATATATGAATCCTCATAGAAAAAGGGATATAAAAAGGAAATTTTCGTAAGACATTTATATAAAATTTAGTAGAATCCAACACATTATCAGAAATGGATATCAACTGATTACTGTCATCAGCTTTTTCATCGTTTTTAAGTAACTCAGAAATAGCAAAAGAGACAAACATAGTCATATCAATTCGATTATTAAATAACCAATAATCATGAGAAAAAAACGGTCTCCGAGAACTAAAAATCAATAAAAGATATAACTATAAAAAAAATAATACTCTCGAATAAATAATTGCTGTATTAATGTTGTAACAACATTGCGTAAACGAATTATATTAAACCAATACATATCATTAATTTGAAAATACATTTCCAAATATTGAGTACGACAATAAAATATATAAGAAAGCTCCTTTACAACAATTAGAATATATTCTAAACTATATAATATACTTTTAAAAAATTCATTAAAATTTTTATATCATCAAAAATAATGAAATTCCTCATAGAATCGAAAAACTCATCATCAACCTTTAATTAAAATATGCTATAAAATAAAAGTAAATATTACCATCGTCATCAAAATCCGAGAATAAAGCTCAAACAAAAGAATCATAGTATACCATTGTCCACTCCATCTTAAAAAAAAATTACTTTCACAAAGGTTTACATTTCCACCATCTTCCAATACTTTTATATCTGATTTAACTATCCCCCATAATACAGATAACATATTTATATTTTTGCATTTTTCAATACTAGTAGAAGCAATAACAAGCTGTGTCATTATTTCAGACCTTTTAAAAGGCCAAAACTCCATTAATACCAGAAAAAATTTAGAAATATTAACAATAGTAGAGGGAAAAACATATTTCATTATTTGAGCAATATGCTCAGCTGAAAATAGAATAAAAAGATTTAACTTAAAAAACAACTTTTCAGACACAATCCTAGAAAATGATATTTCAAAAATATCATTATCCTCATTACTAGAATCATAATCACAATATGTTCTTATTGAAACATTCGCCTTTTTAATTACATGTATCAAGATCTCACTAACCCATTGAGAATATAAATCCTACGTAATATTATACTAGAATAACAGTAACAATACTAATACATACTACTTCATCTAAGGAAGAAAGCCTTAACTTTATACTATCCAAATCCACTAGATACAACAATACATTATGCAATATCCATAAGAGCTCTTCTTTTGAAAAACACTCAAAATTTATATCCAATATAATATGTAAAAATATAAATCTAGAAAAAAAATTCTCAAGCTGAAATATTATAGAATTCATCAGATCACCATATTTATTAGTTAAGATAAAAAAACCCATAATGAATTCAGATAATACTATTTTTTGTACAGAATACTCAAACATACGAAAATATTCTAGAGGCTTTGTAACAGTCAAAATAAACAACTGTATATCAGGAGAACTAATAATTATTTTCTAAAAAGATATGAGCTAAATTATATAATTTCCATTATATACCAACATTTCTACAAATATAAAGATAAAGCTCTTTATAATAACCAAGATTAATCAAAGAAACATTTAAACATGCAAGTTCCGGTAAAAGCCCAAAAATAAATCTATGAAACGTAATATCACTATTATTTAATTAATAAACAATAATAATAACAGAAAAAAACTTTGTAAAATTTATAGTTTTTATCAATATATAACCAAAATGACATGCAATCCATGATGAAATATTAGGTAATAACAGTAAAAGTGAACTATTTCCAAAGTAAAACTGCTTAGAAATAATTTCTACAAGATCATATAATCTATAAAAATCATTTTCTGCCTGATAGAAAAATATCAATCTCCTGATATTTTTCAAAAAAAAATTATCAGAAAATTTCAAACTAGATTTATATTCAAAAATATCATAATCAAAGTCATGTCGCAATGAATCCTTAGCATGTTTCATAGCTATTCTAGAACGTATAATTTTCTTTTTTTTATTAATATTTTTTTATAATTTAACTACTAACCTGTAACAAAAGAACAGCACTTTGTTTACGACGTTCATCATCTCTTTTCTTCCTATCATTTGCAACTTTTTTAAGCAAAAGCTCTTTAGTTTCTTTTTGTTTTTTCCCAAGGTTAATAGTTCGTTTTAATTTATAATTACCTTCAAATGAATACATTTAACAAAAATTCAAAAAGACGGCAATATTTTTCCAAAACGTATTTTTTTTAAAAAGAAACATCCAATATAAATATATTACTACAAAGTTATTTACTTTCTATAACCCATATTTCGATTCTTACCAAATTCCAAAATTAATTTAAAAACTAGATTAAATATATTTATATACGTTAAAAATTTATTTTTAAAAATATTATATCTACTATTAAAATATGGTGAGAATCATCCTAGATTTTTTTAATTCAACAGTAAAAAGAAAAATAAACCTTTACAACATAAATTTTTCAACTACGTTTATACACAAAAATCAAATAAATACTTATCAAAAAATACATGAAAATTCAAACTTAGGTTAGTAGATAAAATATATGAAAAATTACTCTTTGAAGAAAAGGTTAAAGGAAAATTTAAAACTGAAATGATTATTACCAAAAATTCAGACCAAAAGACTGTTGAATTAAAAAATGATATAAATAACATACCAGTCTCAAAAACAGAAAACAAAGAGATACATATTTTAAACAGTTAACTATGAAATTCATATCCTTTAATTTACTTAAACGAATAGAACACTCTAATACTATTAATACACTTTTTAATCATACTGTTGGAATCATAATGAAAAAAGGAAAAAAAACAAAAGCACAAAAACAACTTGAAAACGCATTCTTATATATTAAACAAAAAACAAATACAAATCCACATTTCATTTTTTCTAAAGCTATCGAAAAAGCGTCTCCTTTAATAAAACTTGTATATCACAAATTTAACATAAATATAACTCTAATGATTCAAGATATCTACAAAAAAGGGATCCAAATCCATAAAAATACCAGTCCCTTTAAATGAGTATCAACAACATAGAAAAGCAATCATTTGGATTCTTGAAGCTAGTAATAAACGACACAACAGAAACTTTTCAGAACGCCTAGCACATGAATTGATTGCTGTTGTGGATGGAACTAGTTCTGTTTTCCAAAGAAAAGAGCAGCTACATAAATTAGCATTAGTACGCAACTTTTCGAATTTAACTATCATTAACTTCAAACTAGATAAATAGAGCAAATGTACAAATTCGAGCATAACAAATTTAATGATATTTCGGTATATATAATATACATATATGTAAATTGTGTCTTAATATTAACTACATATATATACAAACTTTTTTTACTTAACTTTTAGGACATTATATTTTAACCGGATAATATTAAGTATATAATCATAACAATAATATAACGAAGCATTAATAATTTCATGCATTTTTATCATTTGAATCTTAATCTATGATAGCCTATTATTATTTCAGATACATAAATCAAATAAAACCAAAAACTAAAAACCTTAGTAAGTAAATTATTTACCATACGAATATTTGTGCCAAAAACAGATTGTTTTGATTTCAATTTCCTAGGCTTTTTCCTAGCAATCATAACAGGGACACTTGACTAGACAATAATTAGCTTTTTTTGCGTTTAATATATCTTAAAAATACTTTATTAACAATATAATTACTAAATGAACCCAAAATAACCCTAAAATGATAATTAAAACGAATAATTAGTAAAAAAATAAAACCCTTTCAATGAACTACGTCCTCTACTACCAAGAATAACAAGAGTTGGCTCTAAATAATCAATCTAATTTATCATAAAAATTGATTTCTGGAAAGAGGAAAAACCAATACCATTTCTGTTAACAAATGTTTAGGAGCTTTATGGTGAATTATTTCAATTTCAATCTGAAGTATTAATCTCGTCTTTTTTAATAACTTTTGAGTAATTAAACATATCTCTTCCATTGCAGCCAATCTTTCTTTTTCCAATTCCACAATACCTTTATCATCCTTATCATCTTTATCTATAGCTTCCACAATCATCATGGTATCATAATCACGTACTACCGTCCCTATAGCCCATTCTAAAGCGTACAATGACTCAGAACTCAGATCAATAGGAACAAGATATGAGCGAATCTTCCTAGACTCCCTAAGCGGTGAAGAATATTCTCCACGCTTTATAGTTCTTATAGTTCTGTCCTCAGTAAAAATGATAGTTCCCATATCAATTTTCATATTTTGAATTTTTCTATATTCATCAATATCAATATCTTGTTCTGAGGAAAATTCTATATTTGTATGTGAAAGAATTCCAGATTCACACAAATTTGAACTGTTTTTAAAATTATGAGTTTTATTTACTACAGTTTTTAAAACCCGAGATGGTAATACAGAAGAATAAGAATCTTTAGGCGACTCATATACAAGATCATTTCCTACAAATTTAATAATTAAAAAAACAAATAGAATCACAAACCATCAACTTCAGAAGTACCTGAAAGAGATAAAGAACCCAATTTATTAACAGTGGAATTTAAATACGAAGATGATTTTATATAACTATCTAAACCCTCTTTATCACAACAATTAGCCTCAACAACATTAATACTACTATAATCTTTTGAAAAATTGTTATCCTTTCCTGACTCATTTTGAATACTAGATGATTTAGTAAAAATCTCACTTGACTGAGAAGGTAGACAATTAGAAAAACGAAAACATGTCTTATAAGAATTAAGTTCTATATCGCTTGAAGATAAAAACCTGTTCCTCATAGGACAATCACGAACTAAAGACCTTTTTGAAGAAAATCTTTCAGACGATGATGCATTAAATATATTATTTGAAGTAACACCAGATTTAAATCCAACTTCTAAATCATTTTCATGACATTTAAAATCAAAAACATCATATGGCATAGAACTTTTTAACTTATTTTTTAATCCCATAGATAACTGCATTTCACGAGTTTCCAAAAATTTTAATACTTCTTTCCGTTCTTCATCAATAACAGATTCCATTGAGGAAAAAGACTTATTTCTTTTAATAGGCTTTGCAGCATCAAATACCATTATTAAACAATATACAGAATTTTCTATTTTTAAATATAATTTACTTTTGTATTTAAACTTTTATTTTCAAACCTTACTCGAAAGCTATCCTAAATCTCTAAAAAAGCAAAATCATTATTATTTATTTAAATTAAATAAACAAACATATATTTAAATCATCTATAAAACATTTAAATATGATTATTTAATTAAACATTAAAAAATATAATAATAAATAAACATTTAAATATTATGAAAATTTAACATTAAATTTCAATTTATAACAAAATAATATATATATATTATTAAAAATATGAACTTTAAAAGAAAAATAAATCAAAACTTTATCAAATTACAAAGTGTATAATAACCAATTTACTACATAATAAATATAATAAATATAAATATTAAATATATATGTGTTTTTTTTTTTTTAGATAATTAGTATCTAATTAATCAAATCAAAACCTTCAAATTCTAAGTTTATCATTATTTTATGTAAATTATGTCATCAATTATAATAAAATTTAAATTTTAAAACTAAGAAATCAAATATTATCAAAAATTAACACTAATTTTTTAATAAAATCATTATCATTTTAAAAAAGTTCATAATATATTTTAAAATTTAATCAAATTTTGAATAATTAAAATAGAAGAATAATATATTTTATATATTATCCTAAAATTAGATAAAAATATTTTTTTTCAAAAAGAAATAGTTTAAATATAAAAATATGTAATTTTTTAAAAATATCATTTAAGTATATATACTCCAAAAATTTAATACTTTTGTCAAATTTACAAATAATAATTTAAAAGTTTAACACTCGAAAATACAATAATTTCTACATATAAAATAATCTTTAAAAAACTTATATGAAAGCACCTAACAAGTTTTTGCACAATAATGAAGAAACATATGCTTCCTTAAATGATTTCACTGATGGTAATAATACTATTTTTAGTTAATATTTCTTATTTTATTTAATAGCAATTGAAGCACTTCCTATGGATTTAACAAGGAATTTTACTTTATTACGTGAAGTTGATGCAAAAGTTTCAAGTAAAAATAATAATAAAGAAATCATCCAGGCTTATTTATTTAAGGTCTTCAACATCTTATATCATCTTCTATTTCTAATCTTTTAACAAACACAAATTCATTTCAAGAAACCAAATCAATATCTAGTTCTAAATTGCAGTCACTCCTTATACAAATTATCCCTTATGCAGATGAGAAAATTTCACTTGCATCATCAACTAGAGATGCAGTAAAAAAACATCTTAAACGTCTTGATTTAGACTTTTCTCTTATAGAAAATGAGATACCAGCTATTATTCGTCTCGGATCAACTAGTCATCCAGCATTTTCCTCAAATTCAAATATCTCTAGATCAGAAACTCGAAAAGAAACAATTGCAACTAGAAGAACAACTACAGAAGAACTCAATATTCCTAATAATTCCAGAGGAAATCATCGCGAAAATTCTACTCCAATAAGAAAAAAAAGAATATCACATATTAATGGAGGAGCAACATCACCACGATTTGATACACCGGATAAAGATAAAAAAAAGGGAGGTACATATGAAAAAATTAAATCAAGAGATCAAAATCAACAATCACAATTTCAATTAAGAAGAGAACCTATCAAAAAGTAAGTCTTTAAATACGCTTATTTTTTATTAAATAATTTAGATCAGAAAATTCAAATCCAGGTTTATTACTTTTTATTATATAATGTTTAAAATTAACATTTTAATATATCCAAATGAACCTACATATTGTTATTGTGATCAAGTCTCATATGGAGAAATGGTAGCGTGTGATGGAAAAAAATGTCACCGAGAATGGTTTCATTTACCGTGTAATTCATACTTTATTATAATTATTTTCTTTACAAATGTTAGGTATTGGCCTTCCAGAACCTCCTCAAGGAGAATGGTATTGTGATGAATGCGCTCTAGAAAAACAAAGTAAAGGACGGCGACCACGAAGAAAAATAGGATAAAACTCATGTATAATTTAAATATGCATAACTTTTACATGTAGTTTAAAGTTAATTTTTTATATAAATATATAAATACTAATATTGTAATTCATATTTACAATTAACATCAAAAAACTATTAGTATAATATTTTCATATAAAATATTATTTAATTTTAATTTAAATAATTTTAAATTTTAAGAAAAATTTTCAATCTTAATGGACACAAAGATTTCTGAAGTATTATATAAAAAAATAAAAGGTTTTGCAAATAATCATCTTGAACATATATATTTAACAAACAAGGGACTCTTATTATTGAAGAAAATAATATAAAATGGATAGAATTAGGAAAGCAAATCCCTGATTTAATAATTTCTTTGGATTCAATAAAAAGTATAGCAAAAAAAAATAATAATATAAAATAATTCTAATATGAATCAGATCTACAAGCAACACCAATTACAAGCCCTCGAATAATGGTAAAAATTCTTGTAAAAACTCAAAATGAGACAACATCATATATTTTTACATTTGTATCTTTGAAAGCCCAAAATGACTGCAATAATTTCAAACTAAATATCCAAAAAACCATTTCAAAGAAAAACAATGCACATAATATCCAATCAGTCTCTGATATATTAGCAAGAAGGAACTTCGAACAAGATATTGACCTACAACAATCTCTTCTTAAAGATAATAACGAATTGATGAAAACATTTTCAGAAACAGTTATTAAAGGGAATATTACAAATGAGCAGTTTTGGAGTACACGAATAGTATATTACACATATATATATATATATTAATTTTACATAGCATTTGTTAAGGACATATGCTGTTGAAAAATATCAAAAAAGAGGCCTATATAATGTTCTTGTTACCATAAGGCCTCAGACAATTGATAATAGAATCAAGCTGTCCTTAAGCAGGGAAAAGATTCATGATATATTTCAACAACATCCATTAATTAAACATATTTACAATAAAAATGTCCCCCCAGTAAGGAATCCTTTTGAAAATTACTAATTTAAACAATGTGTTTCATATAGTTATCAGAAGATGATTTCTGGGGACGTTTCTTTTTATCACGTCTTTGTAAAAAACTGAGAGGAGAAAAACTAAATACAAGTGATTCCAATGACGAAATATTAGATAAGTATATTGATTATGCAGATAGTAAATATTATTCCCATTTAATCAATAGGTTAATCTTTAAATAGATTTAACACAACCATATACCAATAACACAAAAGATATATCTCATTTTATTGATTTAATTAGAAATGAACATCATATTAGAAAGGTTATTATATTTATAATAATTATATTTAATTCAGTAAAACAATCTAGACTTGTAATTTTGAATCATCAATTGCTTTAAGAGACTTAGAAAATGTGAAAATGTCACAATCTTTAAATAATCTTTCTATAAAAATGATAAACTTTTCTAAGTAAGTAAAATATAACATTAATTAAAAAATTCTTAACATATATAGAAATACAACTGAAAAGGGAAATTATCATATTTTTTTTAAACCATCTAATTTAATTTAGACTAATAACATTAACTTAAACCTTAATGATTTGCAAAAAATAATAAATCAAAATACAATTTATCTTTATATAAAAGATCAAAAAGAGTATTTCTTAGGAAATGATATCTTTCAAGAAAATTATCCTAAAAAAATTGTAATTTAAAACTATGACATATTTTTCTATCCTAAAAACTATAGAAAAAACCTAAATTGGCTCTAGAATTTGAAAATATAAAACACCGAATGGAACCGATTGTAAATGCTCATAATATTTCATTAGTGATTTAAATTTAACATAATAAGATAAACAATAACAATATATTATTAAGGAATACAACACATGATATTTTGCAACAAATTAAACCAAAATCTAAAATAATAGGAAATGATTTTAAAACAAGTTAAAAATACTATCTGAAAATTATAAATTAATGATAATAGTTATTCCATTGGATATAAAAAATCAAATAGTTCTTTGCCACAAAACAGCAAATGAACTTTTAAACCAATTTTGGGTGAGATTTTTATCCAGCGAAAAAACAATTATTTCACAACTTCCTCAAATTGTTAATTCATTAAAAAAAACAAGCAGTAGAATTGATTCTATTATCAAATCCAATAATATTACTATAAATAAGTTGGAAATAGTTAAGAATGTAACAGTTTTTATATTTATATCTACATCTTACTTTTATTAGTATTTTAAACCAACGATCATTGCTATTATGAAAGCTCTTGAAGAATACAAAAATTTGGGATTATAGTATTATAAAGACTTACAATTATATATAATAAACTCATATTTCATATATTATATTTTATATAAAAAATATTAAATTACTAAAAATACTATATCATCCCTAAATCTATTTAATTGATATTGGCATCCAGTAACGTTGTAATCATATAATTATACAATTATATAAAATTTATATATTCAAAAAACAATTTATTCTAAGACGGTATTCTTAATGGTTCTATAACTGAACCTTGCTTTATTACAATACGCGGAAGAATAAATTTCTAATATATAAATAAATTTAATAACATATATATTATAAATACCTGATGCTGTTCTCTTGTTGTCCATTCTGGGCCAAAAGGTAACATCAAAGATCTTTCATACTGTTCTTTAGTCTGATATGGATATGGAACTGAAGAAACTAATAGTTTTGCATTCTATAAAATTTAACAATAACAACAACCACAATACTCATACCTTTTTAATTCTTTTTTCAGACACAATTACATTTCTTAATTTTATATTCTTCTTGCCCTTTTCCGAAACACCGGCAACCTTTTTAATAAGCTTTTTTGAAATATATTTTGTTCCAATGCCACACCAATTCCCCTATTATTATTAATAAATATACGTATCTAAATAAGTAATACCCAGCCAGGCATTGAATCATTATTCTCATAGGATTCATATTCTTTAATATCTTTGAATTTTTCTTTTTCAAATTTCTCCAAAACATTATCTCCTGAAAAAGCACGAGCAACTATATCCCTATGCTTCAAAGCAAAACTTGAGGAACTATATAACATATTTGTATTTCCTTCCTCAATATTATCACTATATTTATCTTGTTCTATTGTACTAATTGAAAACAATAATTCATCAGAAAGATCAATATACAGTCCAGACTCGTTAGTTTTATATTCTTTAGTGTTTTTATGCAATATAGAGTTCTCTATATTATGATCTAATTCTGGTCCACATAATCCTAATGAAGATTTATATGATATAAACAACCATGGATTATGATTTTTAGAACATGCATTAGAATCATTTAAACTTTGAGAACAAGATAATTTTTTATCTGTCAAGTCCGAAGACTTCAAAAAATCACTTATAAATAAACTATTTTTAAAATTTTAAAATATATTACCTGCTCAATTTCAGAAATCTCAATAAATTCCTGATTATTAATACAAGAAACATGTAATTTATTCTTCAAAAAATCATAAATAACTCAAAAAATTACAAAACCTACCAATAATGGATTAAATATTCTTCTTCCAGCAAAATGCGAAAAACATTCAAAATTTTTATCATCACTATATTCCTTACACAATATTTCGCTATTCTTTTCAACTCTTAATATATCATCTAGAATTTCCTTATTTTTTGCATTTCTATTTTTTTTAGAACTTCCCATAAACTGCATATCCATTAAATCTTTCAATGACTTAATATTTTCATTTTGATTAATTTTTTTTAAATCCATCAACAAACCTTTCTTATAACTTAAATTATCTTCATTTATATTATCTAAATCATCTTGAGAATCCGAAGAATATGTGCCTTGAATTTTCCTTTTAAAATGTTGATTACACTGCAATTGTTTAGACATAAATTGAAAACTATCTGCATTAGAATAAGTATCAATTAAACATTTTTTAGCCCATTTATTTGCACTAGAACAATGAAAGCCCATTCTTTCTTTAACTCTATTTATTTCTTTCTGCAAACATAACTCTTCACAATCTGTCTTATCTGAAACTAAAGACTTTATTTTCTTTTTTTCATGTCTACGTATTTTTCTATATGATTTACTCTTAATTTTTGAGATCCGTTTTGCTTTACACTCTTGTCTAAACATTAAATCACGCATCAATCTAAATTCAGCATGATGTATTCCAGCATCTTTTACAAAACATTTATCAGTATGCAATTTTTCAAATTCAGAAATGGACTTTTCATCCTTTAAACCTGAAGATTGAAGAGCTTTATCAATGCTTTCTTCAAAAAGCGTAGATGCCTAAATACAATCAATCCAAATCCAAAAACTAAAAAAAATTAACTTTAAATTTTGCAGATAATGAACTATTTGTTAATTTTTCTTTTTCAAAAAAATCTACAGGAAATTTTAACATCTCAGATTCCCTGTTAATCTTCACAATATCTTTCCACTTTTCTAACTCTTTCTTAACAATATCATATGCAGCTTCTCTATCAAAACGATCCTGAATTGTTTTAACTAAAGGGACATTTAAAGTATTGTTTGAAGAATTAAAAATATTTTCCCCATGAAGAGAGTTTAAATAAGAATTTGTTACAATATTCGTTCTTAAAGGTGCAATCATTTCTAATATACTCAGCTTTTTAGAAGCTATTTAAAAACATTAGAAACATAATTCACTAACATTAACAAAACCTTGATCATTTGTATAATCATCTTCAATAGATTTCATCTTGAAGTTAGAAATTTGATTATTAGAAACATCAGATAACATTTTTTTTGAAGTTTTAATCTTTAAAGAATCATGTTTTTTTTTCTCCAATATTTCAACAAACTCATTAAGACCATTAGATTGAATGTTTTTACAAGAAATATTGTTATCATAAAAGTCGCTATCACTCAATAACATTTCACTATCATTGAATATCTCAGAACTATCACTTATATTTTCATCTTTTATAATTCCTGTTTCAATATCTGATGAACATATTTTTGAGGTTTGATGCATAGAAGACAATGTATAATATCCACTCTCTGAACATAAATTTATAGTCTTTTTTTTTTTTAATCTAATATTTTTTATATCTTTTATCTAATATCATTAAATAAAATTTAAATAACTCAGTTATGTAATATACCTTATTAAAACATCCATTAATGTCAAACTCAAAAGACATATCATTTTTTAAACCAGATGCCTTATTTTTAATACTTTGATATTTTTCTTTAGCTTCAAAATCAATAGCATTTGTAGATAATTTACTACTATAATTTTCACTAAAATCAGACATAAAAATCCGTTCTTTCACTTCTAACGTGAAAATTTAATACCCCTGGTTATATTGTTTTTCTTTGTATTTTTAATTTACTTTTAATATAATAATTAATAATATTTTTTCGAAAGCTTAAAACAAGTTATAGCTTAAATTATAAAATTATAAATTTCAAATATTAATATATATTTTCTTATCATTTTTATCATAGATATCTACGAAAAAACATTAAGCACTTCAAATTATCTACTACTATATCTACTAAAATAATACTTTTTAAAACAATGGAGTAAGCACAAGATACGAACAGAATACCTTTTTAATTATATTTATACTCAAAACCTAAAAACATTTTATTTCGACATCAATATTCTTGAGATGAAAAAACTAAATACAACAGAAAATAAGATTTAACTGACTAAAATTAAAATATCTAAAGCTATAATCAAATAAACATGCATAATTCCTTAAGATTTATAGCATTTCCATAATTCATGAAACATTAGTCTCAGTTGCTTGATCCTGAACACTAACACCTTTTTGATATTCCTTCAAAACAATTAAAGCTTCTTCTACTTTAGCACGCAATGCAACATCATCCTCAATTCTAGTAATTGTTAAAATAATACATATACAAAAAAAATACTACAAATGTAATAATTCAGAATTATCCATTTCTAACAACATTCCTGTTATTTTTCCAGCAAAACCTGGTTCTTGCCTAGCAAAATAAATCATAATGCAATAACATATTAAACCCACTTACGCCTGAACTTTAGGATAAAGAACTTCGCCTAACATCTGTTTTTGATTTTCAGGAGAAGCGGCTGCCAAAGAAGCAGCAGTAAGTAAATCATCACTACCAACATCAATACCATCCTTAGTCCCATTTCTAGTATTAGACCCAACTCGATACATCCTCGTACTCCCTAATAGAGGACGCATAGCCATAGGCATCATCGGTCGAGATGGTATGCCTTGAGGTCGAGGAACCTGTCCTATCAAAAAGCATTAACCTCAACAAAAAACAAAAAAAGCGCTTACCAGACCTCTGAGATCTACCCTGTATTGCAAGATAGGCATTATATCCAGACATACCAGGATATATCTGAGAAATAGCTTGCCCATTAGGTTGTCCAGATTGCTGAGGAACCCAACGAGGCCTAGATGGAACCATAGCAGGTTGAGGAAACGGCATACCTCTATCAGTCATAGGACCAGCAGGCATAAAACCAGTAGGACCTTGACCATAAAACATAGGAGCACCAGGCATTCCATACTGTGGAGACATCCCTGCAGCAGCTGCCTGCTGTTGTATTCTAAGTTGATTACGAGCATTTATTTGTGACTCTAACTGGGATCGCCGAACATCTTTACGTTGAGCAAGTGCCACATATAAAGGCTTTCCAGAAACCATACGTTGATTCATTTCTGTTATTGCTTTGGTTGCTTCATCTGGTGAAGAAAAACAAACAAATCCAAAGCCTTTAGACTTTCCATTATCATCAACCATAATCTTTGCAGAAGTAATAGTTCCATAAATAGAAAACTCTTGTCGTAAACGCTCATCATCTATATCGTCATCCAAATTTTTTACAAAAAGATTTATGCCATTGTATTTATTAAGTTTATCTAATTTCGCTTGCTCATATTGCTTTCTAAGCTCTTCCTCTCGCTCGTGTTTTTTCTGAGCCCGGCATACATACAATTTACGATCTTTATATTCTGTATCATGTAACTCTTCAACAGCTCTAGCAGCATCTTCATGATTCTCATAATTTACAAATCCAAAACCGCGAGACTTTCCATTTTCATCTACGGAAAGACTCAATGAAGTAACATTTCCAAACTTTTTAAACAATTCCTCAAATTCAGCCTCGCTAATTTCAGGATCAATATTTTTCACATAAACATTCGTAAATTTTAATTTCATATCATCAAATTTGCTCTGACGGTCCTTTTTAGATACATGATGACCAACATATACCTTTTTATCATTCAAAAGCATACCATTAACATGTTTAATAGCTGCTTCTGCAGATTCAGACGTTTTGTAGTGCACAAAACCATATCCTTTAGAATTCCCAAGCTCATCAACAGCAACTTTACAGGATAGAATGCTTCCAAAAGCAGTAAAAGTATCATGTAATGCTTTATTATCAATACTAGCATCCAAGTTCTTTATAAAAACGTTCCCTGTTCCAGTTTTCCTTAAAGAAGGATCCCGTTGAGACCACATAATACGACAAGGTTTCCCTTTAATTAAAGTGTAATTAAGTTCGTCTAAAGCACGCTCTCCTGTCAAAAGATTAACTCTAGATGTCATTCAAAACTATTAATATCACACCATCACTAGAATTGTGAAAATTAACATAAGCGTAACCAAGAGACCTTCTAGTTACAGCATCTCTACATACACGGATACTTGCAACAGCACCGATATCTATATTAAATCAGAACAAATATAATTGCGTTTTTTAAGCAATTATATATACTATTAAAAAGCTCAAATAACATAGCTTCTGTTACACTTGGATCAAGCTCACCAACATACTGAAAAATTATAAGTATAAAAAATTCAAAAAACCAAGACATATACCAAAGAAGCAGAATTAGAATTGTTTTGAGAAACAGGAACTCCTGAATTGGCACCAGCACTTAGACGTGAAGGATCATCAGCCGAGCCAGCGGCTTCGGTGGGGGAAGCAATATCATCAGACCGTGCTAACTTAGACTTACTCAAGATATTCTTATTAGATGTTTCTGAAATATTTATGGGAGCGGTAGAAGAAACAGATTCAATGGCTAACAATGACATATATATAATATTCCTAGTACTTCTAAATGTTAATTTTTCTTCAATTTTCTAAAAACTTCAAAAATAATATTTTTTTATAACTTGCCAAAGAAACCGTGGAATTTAAATTTCTCACTTTTTATAATCCTTCCTGTGCTGATGATGTTAAAAGTATATTTTTTTTAAAAATAACCTTTATCTTCTTAATTATCAAGAAAATTACTCAGATCGTTTGGTTTTTTTAGATTTTTTTTTTATTTCGATTCAAAAAAAAGGTTTTCTACAATCAGTACCAAAACAACAGGACACATGAAAATTAAAAATACTGCACAAGACCTAATTTCACAATATTAAATATATAGACATGTGTTAAATATTCATACAAATATAACAAATACATAAAACTGACAACATATTAAATAGTTGTAACTATACATACCATTATTAGCATTTCAAATACAATAAAATAAAACAGTTTCTAAATAATAACTTTTTCTAAAAAATCAAGAATTTATAGAAAGCTTATCTTTCCATTCTTTGACCAAATTATGGAGATAATCAACAACTATGTCTACCTCCTTCTCCTCATAGGGAATAACACTAGAATTTCGTAAAACACATTTCCCCCATCTATTAGTTCCGCTACCCCATTTGATATTACGCGGAACCTTCCGTTCTGTAGCACAATAAATAATAGAATATGCACCATTTATAGGTGTACAAGTATGCCAAGGACTTCCCAAAAAACGTGCTATATAAAAAACAATAATCATGAAAAAAGTAGAAAAACAATTAAGATGCTCTGCCATAATATTTGTTCGACAAATCCCAGGATGACAAAGATATTGATTATAAGACAGTTTTTCATAAGTAGCAAAATGGTAAATATCCATTAAACGTTTTGAAGATTCATAAGGAAGTTTTCCATAAAAGCATTGTATATCAAGAACAGAAAATGCAGAAGGTTGACATTCTAATGATGATACCCAAATAAGACGCGATGAAGATAAAAAAAGAGAACCAAGACGCTCTTTCTAAAATTCTTTTTAATAATTTTTTTAAAATATAAAAATTACTAACTATATAAATGTATGAAAATACATTTACCTGAAAGATTAAACCAAGCTGATTTTTAGACTTAAGAGAAATGCCTTGTTTTTTCCATGATGGATATGTTATGGCATTCACAAAATTTGTAAGAATATCCCAAATAGCATGTAGCCATTTAATCCCAATAAAACCACCTATACCTGCATTAAAAACAACAATATCTAACTTCTCATATCTTCTACAAATTAAATAAAGAAAAAGAATAAAAGAAATACTTTAGTAATAAATTTTTACAAAAGGCTTCTACGCTTTCCATTTCTGAAAGATCTAACAATTCATAATATAGTTTTAATTTACGTAATGGTGCATGCATTTTTAAACGAGCTATAGTATTTTGAGCTTTCTTTTTAGTTCTACATGTAATGATAAGTGTCAAGTATTCTTCAGATTGAGCTACTGGAGTATAATAATCTATAAATTTGATTGCAGAAGCAAATCCTAATCCACTATATAAACTTAAAATCTACACGATAGAAAAATTTAAATTCAAACTAACCTATTTGCTCCTGTTATTAACAAAATTACTTCCTTCATTTTTCATAAACTAAGTAAATGTTTAAAATATTTTTTTTATTTACAAATAATACTAACTATATATTATATCAATATATATATCAATATAACTTTTAAAAAAAATTTTTTTAATCATAAAAATAATTACAAAAAACAAATTTAAAAATATTTTATATTATTTAAATAAAATTTTGTACTTTAATATTTTAAAAATGTAATTATTTAAGTTAAAAATCTTAAATCCAACAAAAAAATAGATAAATATTCAAAAATTAAAAAATTATAAACTATAGTTTTAAACTAGCCTCGAAATTCAATATTTTTCAAAAAAAAACTAAATATATAATATAAAATTAATAAAAATAAACATATTTTATTTTAGAATCCAACTCATCAAGTTAATAAAAAAGCAATATCAAAATTACTGTCGACACATTTATACATTAATATATTTCTATAAAAAATAAAATTTAAATTAATAATAATGAATCAAACTAAAATAAATAATATTTAAATATTTATATTGAATTACTTTTTAGTTATTTTTTGGAATATTAAATCTATTAATTTAATATATTAATAGTTATATATAAATAATAAAAATATTAATAACATCGTCAGTAAACATAAAATGTTTCAATACATGTCTACAATATAATATATAAACAATGAATATATATAATACAAGCTATATATAATCAGAATAATCATAATATTTATAAAATATAGCCAAAAAGAATTTCTAAAAAATTAATTTTTTATATTTTTTTATTATGTACTCTTAATTATAATTTCTATAAAAATTTCTATAATTTACTTAATCATTGATTTCTTTATTTCTTTAGTACTAAGTTTACTAGCTTCACTATTTAACCCTTGCAAGAGCATACATGCTTTACAATAATCATTACTAGACATATGTCCGCATTTTTTACAATTCCCTTGAACTGGAAGCTTTTTTTTTGCGGCATCGGAAAGCAAAAACACCTCACCAGAATGAATAATATCAATAATTGAGGAAGGCCTTAAAGATTCCAATTCTTTTATCAAAACGCGAGCAGTACCTCTAAAAGCTTCAACTAAAAAAATTAACAACCAAAAAACACAAAAGAAGCAAACCAGAATAAATACACTCAGTAGAGAAATAATCAAGCTTTTTAAAATGAGCATACCTGAAAAAATTAAAATTTTTAACAAAATTTCAATACAATATTAAATATTACATTACAATTTCTTTTTCATATGTATATTTGAATGGTTTAGATCTTTTTACTCTAGATTCTCCTGTTGTTAATATCTCTGTACAACGCCCAAGACGTGCAATATCTCCTCGTAATACTATTTAAATATAAATTTCAATAATTTTATTAAAAATGAAATTTACAATTCATAATAATTGTTTCAGCAATATCATCCGCATTATGCCCTGTAACTATATGATCAATATTCAGCATTGTAGCCCCCCTATCAAGAGCTTGTCTTCGAAACACACCACAAAATGTACCTTAAATACCATTAAAACAAAAACTTTAACAATACATATATCTACAATTATTTTTTCTACCAATATGCTCAACAATACTATCCATATTCCACCCATATATTTCATCATAACTTACAATTTTTAAAGGTATTGAATATTGAATTTGAATACGCTTAACAGTCTTCCAATAAATATCAGATGTTTAAAATAAAAAAAAAAAGAAAACCTCTAAAGCACTATCACGATACCCACGAATACCTTCATCTATAGATATCATATATAAATCCAATCCATAATCATATTTATCATTTAAAATTTTCATAATATAAGCAAGCACAGTACTATCTTTACCACCCGAAGCACAAATTCCAATTCTATCTCCTCTAGAAAACAAAGAATTAGACATAATAGTGTTATGAACTTCTGTTTCAAAAACATAATAAAAACAATCTTTACATAGTTTTTGAGAAGTTTTAGGACGCTACTATAGTTTAAAAAAAGAATTTAAATCAATTCAAGCAAACTTTAAGAGATGGACGATTCAAAAAACACAACTCACACAATTGTCTAGAACGAACAACTTTAAAAGTTTCTTTAAATACCATCAAATTTATAATAATTTAAAATTTGCGTCGGATGTAAAATATAATATATATATATAAAATACAATTTAACAATTCTCAAAAACAAAAAATATAATAATGACAATAAAACTATATAAAACCTTGTAAGTCCATATAACTATATATTAATTATATATATATCCTAAATTTAAAAATAAACTAAAAATATTAAACATTTTTAAATGCAAATATTAAACAATAAATCTAAATCATAAAAACAATTTTTTATTTCATGTATATTCAAAATAATATAACTACAGTAATAATAATAAGAATCTATTTTAATTCCGAAAAAATTTTATTGGCAGAACAATTACCAATACAATGCATCCTATATAAAAAAGTTAAAAACAAAACAAAACAAAACAAAAAAACTACATATGGAACATTTCTTCTAACAAAAAAATTAATAAAATACCCAACGTATAAAAACACATACCAACGCAATTTTCATTATCTATTTTTCCCCCCTCAGCTTCTTCAATAACTGAAATAATACGCTTTTGACATTCATCATAATGGTGCTTTAAAAGTGCACATTTCTTGGTATTTAAACATTCTACCAATCCAAATTAACTCATTAAATATATAACTCCTGAATTAAAAAAATCAGATATACCTTCTTGAATTAATGGCATACTATCCTCAGGATCTTTCTCATCACCATCACTATCATCGTCATTACCGTTATAGTTCTCTTTTTCTTTATCCTCCTGATTATTTGAGCTCTCTATTTTATAATCACTTTCTTCTGCAGATACAAATAAAGGAAAAGACATTATATCAGAAATCCATATTTTCAATTTCAAAATATTCTAAAAACATTAACATATTTAACACTTTTCTTGAATTCTATACCTCCATTTATTCAATTTACAGAATTTTGATCATTTATCTAATTCTTTTGTAAAAACTTCTATTACAACCCTAACCCTTTATAAAAATAATTTCTAAAGAAAAATAAGGTAAAAAACATCCTTATCAAAAAGTATTTTCAAAAAAAAATAAAAAATTTTTGTATAAAAAAAATAAAACTCCCGTAATTTTTAAAAAAAGCGCAATTTACATATTCTATTATTAATCCATTAATTATAAAAATTTAGAAATATGACTCAAAATTATTATACATATTTATTAAAAATCTTTGATCATATCTAAAGATTTATTTATATATTGAAAATAAAGCTATAATGTTTTTAACTTTAAAATTCTAATAAAAACCTTTTACTATTAATAAATACAAAACGACCTTTTTACAAATATATAATATTATTTTTCAAATAAACATTATTATCATAAAATTGTACAATTCAAATATCCATAATAAATATAATCTAAAAAGCTAATTTAAAAACTCATAAACCTACTATATAATAATCAAGTAAACATCATATATTAGCATATATTAAAAATTTGAAATAAATCTAAATGAATTATAACCCAGATGAAAACATATAAACAATTATATCGTGATAAATACTAACTATAACACCTAAAATATACATACACTTTACTAAAAACTCTAAAACATTTTTAAAAATAATCTTAAATAAAAAAAATATTGTTTAAAACCAAAATACTATAAACCAAAACTCTAACACTATAGCAATTTTACTTATTAATAATATCTTCATAATTAGGGGGTACATCTCGAATACTATTATCAGAAGAACTAATTATATCATTTGTAATAATCTGAGAAGTATTAGACTGAAAAAAACTATCATGGAGCCGATATGCAGGAAGTTCCTCCAGATGCTGAACACAGTATGGATCATTATTATTTTCATGAAGTCTAGATTGAACATCAGAAAACTTTGTTGCAAAATCAAATCCTCCTCCTTCTTTAAAAATAAATTTTACCTAAAAACATTAGATAAACAATAAAAAAAGCTTTACAACTAAAGCAACAGATGGAAGACCGCCTTGCAATACAGGATACACAGTAGCTTGATAATAATTGGGAGAAAACCATGCTAATAACTATAAATAAAAATAAAAATATTTCAAAAAACAAACGCTGGATAAAACTGCCATCTTTAAATTTATTAAGAGGACATACAAAATTTTTAAAACTAGATGTAATATGAGACGGAAAATAAATAATCTATAAAACTAATTAATATAATTTTTATATAAAAATATTTCCGAAAAGCTACCCTCTGATTAGAAAGATATAATCTTCCAGAAGAAGAGAAATGCGTTTTATTAATTATATGATTTGCTGGATATCCATTACCACATTCTAATGCAAACCCAACTTTATTTCGACTAAAAAAAAATTGCTCAAATGGTAATAAAATAAATTCGTTTTCCGGATTAATATCAATAGAATTAACAGACATCCTTAAAAATAAATACTTCAATAAAACCTTCACAACTTCAGTATCTTTCCCAATATTTATAAAGTTCTTAAATCTAAAAACGATAAATTTTAGGTGAATGCGATTTCAGAATTTAAGAATAAACATAAAACTTCTTTTTTTTTATTTTTAAAAATACTTATTTAATTTCATGTATAAAAAATCAAAATTAGAAGTTTATATTTAAAATCATTAATCATATTATATATTAAAAATATCCTTAAAAATTAACATATCTCAATTATTTTAAAGAGTTTTTTTAGTCAACAGAAAATCAAGAATATTCAATTTTATTTATAACAAAACATGAATTATATTTTTTTCAAAATAACAATAGTAATATATTATGATAAATATCAAAATCATGAAAATAAAAATACAATTAAAACAGCTTCTTTATGAATTTCAAGATAGTCATTTAAGAACTTTCCTTATAAAGTAAATTACATAAATCGAATTCTAAAAATCTTTAAAAAATTCTTCAAAACCTTACATCATTAATAAAGATTAAAATTTAAACTATATTAAAAAATCTAATCTTATATTCACATGCAAACATATATAAAGTTCAAAACGGTAGAATTTTCAAAACTAATAAAAACTAATACAAAGCATTAAAAAAAAATTAAATAATTGTCTATAAATAGACAATTATTATCAATTATATCTAATAATTAGTTTGAAATATGTATAAATGTTCCGAGTTAACTGAATCAAATTCTTCAAATAATAATAATCCAATATTAGAATCAAAAAATAATCATAAACGAACATTTTTATACCAAGAATTATTACCTTATAAAGTGCAAAGTGAAGAAAAGCAACTAGAAAATCTTAATGAAATCATTAAAAATATTTATATCAGCTTAGCAGCCAATGATTTTTTCAAAGCAAGCATATTTTCAAAAGAACTCAGTAACTGGCTTAATTTAAAATTTGACTTACCTTCCCAAATTCGAACAAAACTTGTTAACGTCTATTACGAACTTTGCACTACTCAGGGGATTGCACCAGGCCCCCAAAAAAAATTTGAATCACTCTTTTTATCTCTAACTAAGTACATCTTTATTATATTCTGTTTTCAATTTACATATATTCTAGACGACATTACTACCTTTCTATTCATGATATATCTCTTGATTGGAGACCAGCGTTTTTAGTTCTTAAAAGAATAATGTTTCCAAATGACGAAACCTCTATCAAAGCTAGACCTGGATTAAGTCTTGATAATATAAGCATCATTCCTATTATTAAAAATGCTCGCCTGTATTTTCCTTCTGAGGAAATACCAAACATATTCAATGAACTTTTGCCCCTAGTAAGTCTATTTTTTAAGATATTTATTAACTTATAATGAAAGTTTAACACATCTATTATTTCCGATGCATTCATTGTTGCAGGGATGCTTAATCTTTTCTTACCTTGTCATCCTCCTTTAAAAAATGATCCTAAATTAGACCCAGAATATTGGCTTCCTTGTAATTATTCTATTTTTTTTTAATATTTATTAATTGTAACTAAAGCAATTTTCCATTTATGGTTACTTGTTTCAAATTCAAACTATTATGATTTTATATTCCTTGATCTTTTAGGAAGACTTGCAAAAGAAAGTCTTCCAGCATCAACACGTTCGGCCTGTCTTTTTACAAATAATCAATTATCACATATTTTCACTACTATTCTTCGACTATTTGATATTCCTGTAGGAAATATAAAAAGTCTTGTACCAAATAATTTCGATTCACAATTAGGAATTGTATCTATCTTACAACAAAAAAGTTTTACCAAAGAAGCAGCAAAACTAATTATATATTCTATTTCGCCATTATGTATTACTAGAAAAAAAAGGACTAAAGTGCTTTTACGCCTTAAAATCCTCCTACAAAGCATAGAAACATATTTTCATCCATTAAATCATGGACCATGGAGCATAAATCTTGCAAAATTTTTATATAATCTTTCTAATTATTTTGTGGGTAGATGGAATAAAGAAAGTAATAAAGAACTTGAAATTTTACAAGAAAAAAAATTAAATCTACAAATTCGAAAAGAATTTGTTTTAGCACTGAGAAAAGTAACATTTATGACTATTTATAGTCGAAATTCAGAAGTAATGGGTAATTTATCTATTTTTGTTTTCTAATTTAACTCTTATAAAGAGCAATCGCAAATGACTCTGCAAAAATTAGCCTATTTAGAACCTTCACTAATTCTTCCTGGCATTTTAAGACGAATATATCCTTCTTTAACAGGTCTTGTTGAAACACATCGTACAATTTCATCTCTTCGAAGCCTGTGTGTTCTTGCACCTATTATTTCTAGCACAAGTGTATTTAGAAATTACTTAACAAACCTTCTTAGTTTAGTTTTACCTGGAATTGATGCAAATGACTTGGACAAAACAATACATAGTCTAATATTTATTTCAAGAGTTGCCCAAAACGTGCCTTTCCATGATTTAGCAGGAGACGAGAATGGCAAGATTGCTCTAAACTGGATCGAAAATGAATTAAACAAATTCGATAATATGATTAATGATGATGATTATCTTTTAGAAAATTGCAATAACAATGATTATGAAATAAATACATACATTAATAACAATATAGTTGCTAAATCATCAACAGCATTTTTTCGAGAATTCATCTTAGCATTTTTAGACCGTTTATTTATATTATTTGAGAATTTTTCAGATGAAGCTTCTTTGAAAACCAAATCAATTGAAAATAATGTCATCGAAATATTGCCTTCAACATTAACATATTTTTTTGCATCATTATCAGATGATTTTTTTAAGTTAGCACTAGAAAAAATCATTAACTTTGTTTCGAATAATGTGATTTATCAATCAATACACGCTGTAAGTTTTCTTTGCAATTCTTGCGCATTAAGAAATCCTAAATTATTCTTTCAAAAACTGTTTCCTATTCTTAAAGCAAACATACTTTTTGAAATAAAAAATAATGGCGCGGGTTCAACTAGAAACGCAAGTATTGATGTTCATCCTAGAGATAAAACATTATTATGGAATTTACAAATACTCTCGACATCTATTAATGGCTCAGGGGAGATTTTAATCCAATATAAAGAAGACTTAACAGAAATACTCGATATTTTAGTTGAAAAATCTCGGGGGAATATAATTACACATGTTGGTATTTTTTTTTCACTAATATTATCAAATTTTACTACAATATATCCAATAAATAGGCAAATGTTTGAATTTAATACAGAAGATTACGAAAATATCCAACCAGATAACTGGGCTATCAAAACCAATTCAAAAAATCTTAACATACAATGGCATGTTCCTTCAGAAGAAGAAATAACTTTTTCTGTAGACCTATTTACTCATCAGTGTAATAAGATTTTAGAAAGCTTATCATATTTAGTGAAAACATACAATAAATCAACATTTAAGACAGGAAAAGAGTGGTCAGATAGTGTTGTGAAATATTTATCTTACTTGAAAAGAGCTCTTTTAGGAATAGCATCTCTTTTTGACTCCAATAGCAAAATAGAAAATGAAGCTTCAGAAAACAAGTATATTCTCTAATTTTTAAAATATAACTAAACTCTTTAGCGAAAATTATAAAATTAAATATAGATATCCATCTGGTTATTTTTTTGAAAACAAAAAAAACGATCTAAGGTATATTCAAATCTTACAAATAAAAAAAAAAATAGGAAATACTTTGCATAATATACATATTTTTTTAACAAATTATCACAATGATGATATTCAGTGTTTTAAGTCTTTAATTTCAACGTTAAAAACTTGGCTTTTAGATGTTTTATATTGTCAAACTACAGATCTACTAGATAGTCTAATTCGTTCATATACAGATGATATACAACCATATAAGATCAACGGTCTTCGAAAAAAATACCCCCGAGCATTGCTAAGTGAATATTCCTATTTTATATAAATAATGTCTCATTGTTTAGTAAAAAGAGCAGAAATTTATCATGTAACTAGGATAAAATTTAATGCAAAACATAGGAACATGACATCCTTAGATACTATATTACTTAAAGATCTTGTTAGTTCCTGTTTAAGTTTCTATTCAGAAATTCGACAACATGCACAAAACGCACTAAATATTGCAGCAAAAGTTATAACTAATTCCCAAAACATCATTATTCTTCCTTTATTAAATGCTATGTTATCATCAGATATCGAAATTTTAAAAGGAGCAACTTACTCTTTATGTACATTAAAACATCTAAAACATATTGTTATTAATAATTGGGATTTTATACCTAGATTTATTTATGGTTTAATTCATTTAACAAAATTCGATAGAGTAATTTTCTCTAGCATTTTTTTAAAAAAAACTTATATATATAGTTTTCACTTAAAAAAATATTCGATAAGGCATATATAGACTTTATTGTTACTTTTAAATTACACTCAAGAGTTATATTATATGAAAAGAAATTTCTTAACTTAATAAAACCTACAGATAATATAAATACGGAAATTATAGCTTTATCTAAGGATGTAGATAAAAAACATATATATATATATAATGAAATTAAAAATTTGGTAATTCTTTTAAACAAAGGAATAAAATTAATGCTAATTAGCGTCATGAATTAATTAACATAATAAAAAATACTCACTGGCGAACATCTGCTATGATTGGTTAGTTGTTTATTCTATCACTCATATTACTAATATAAACAGGAACTGGATTAATTGGGATTTTAGTAAATGTAGAAAATCCTCCTGACAGTATATTGGTTTCATCAGTTATTCAAGAATCCATTAACGATCATCCATTACTTAGGTCTCTTTATATAGCATCTTTAACATCTGTATATTAAATCAACAATTATTAGTATCAACCTAATACTTTGTTAGTTTCTATCAATTCTTTGGCAGCACGGTCTTACCAATGGAAATTTAAAAGCTATTTTGCTAGAAGAAATGCAAATACCAACTAAAATATTTCATTACGTAAATCTTAATGAACAAAATGTTGAAGTTTATACTAAAGAATTTCTTTTTAATTTTTCCAATCCTGTAGAAGAGTAAGCATATATTTAAAATTATAAAAAATTGATTTCTCATTATAGCTATTTTATTGATTCACTTCAATATGGATGGTTAATATGGCCAAAAAAATATCCTGTATATGTTATTAGAAAAGAATTACAATTACTGCAACCAGACCCTTTTACTGAGAAAACTTTTGATAGCATAAATCATCTTTTTTCTGAAGCATGGTTTGAAGTTTTTTTTAATCATTTAAAACAAGAATCTCGTCAAAATTTTCCAAAATTTAGAATCATTATAGCTGTTTTTATAAAATTTTTATTTCAGATGATAAAAAATATACCTTGTTATATAACACTAAACAATCTAAAACAAAAAATTGAACAATTATGTATTCCAGAAAACGATAAATACAAAATACGAGCAGGCTCCGAAATTTTATCTGGCTTAGTTGCATCTTTAAAGTATGAATCTGTAGAATATTGCAATCAAACCTGGGAATGGATATTACCTATAGTTAAGAAAAATTTTGAAAATATAACACCAGAAACATTAAATTTTTGGTTGAATTTTGTTAAATTTTGTTTCGTATGTTTCTTAAATTTTATTTTGATATCTAAAATAAAATAGTCTGAAAAAGATCCTCGAAGATCTTGGTCTTTTTTTAAAATGCTTATATCATTTCGCTTGGATAAAAAATCAAGCTTAGCATTTAAAGTAAAAATGCATAACTTTTAATTTATATTAATTTTTCTAATATATTAAAGGAAAGTGCAAAAATAGCGCTTTTAAGAAAAGCCATTAAACATTGTGGATGGCACTTTCAATTTACAAATCCAATTATAGAAAATCTCTTATATCACCTTGATCATCCATTTAACAGTGTAAGAAACGAAATAGCAAAAACTTTAAGTATCATTGCAAGTTTTGAATACCACGAATCTTTCTGTAATGTAGAATCTTTTATAGAATATCAATATCAAAATCGAAATTCTTACCTAACGATTCCTTATATATCATCAAACCATCTTAAAGATATTGTGAAAAAAATATTTTCTCAACTAAAAAGCTGGAAATCAAAATATATACTTAAATCAGATTCACTTTCATATATCTCTGGTTGCAAAACAATACTTTCCTGGCTCAAATATTCTTTAAATAGTCCAGAACATGCTCTTATTGTACCACACATTCCGAAAACCATACTGCCAGAAATCATATTTATGCTAGATGTCAAAGAGGATCCAGAATTATTATCATCAGTACATCAAGTTTTACAACAAATAGGAAACATTTGTTTCCCATCATACTTGTTACGCCCTATGACCAACTCGATTATTAAAATTATGACATCATCGGAAAATTGGCACCATAAACTTAATGTATTTCCACTTCTACAATCATTTTTTTTCAGAAATTTATTTACTCTTCACCAAAATTGCCATAAAAAACTTCTAAAAGAAATCAAACTACTTTTACAGGATCCCCAAATTGAAGTTAGACTAAGTGCTGCTTCAACTCTTACAGGAATGATACAGTGCGCAAGAAATACTAGTAAAACTGATATATCACAGCTTTTAAAACAATTTTCAGATCTTTTAACAGATAATCCTTTGCAAAAAAATTGCGCAACATTAACTGTTATATCTCGTCACGCAGCCGTACTGGGTCTTTCAGCTCTTGTAATGGCTTTTCCATATGATACTCCAGAACCATGGATTCCTCCTGTTGTTTCCCGTTTAGCAAGAATAGGATTAGATCCTCATCCAATTGGAAGCACTGTAAGAAAATTTGTAGCAGACTTTAAAAAAACACATTCAGATACATGGGATATGGATCAAAAAACATTTACAAAAGACGAACTTGATGATTTATCAGAACTTTCTTCACATAATTATTTTACCTAATTTTAATTTACAATTACTTAAATTTTTTTATCTACAGACTATTACTTAAAAACAGACAAAAATATCTTATAATATTCTTTACCATATGTATTAACTATATTCATTTAACTATACATTTTTCCATAATTTAATATTTAAAAAATCAACATCGGATTTTATAAATTTCACGTTAATCCATAATTTTTAATAAATCAGAAACCAAAAATATTCCATAAATTATTTATTAATTTTACTGTTATAATACATTCGAAACAATTCTATTATAAAAAATATTTGAATTAATATCAATATTAAAAATGTCACATTTAAGCGATCGACAACGAGAAGAACTGTAAGACTTTTTATCCTTATGACTTTTATAAATACATTGAAATCTTACAATAGTTGGCAGTTACAAAGCTCTTTTATCTTATTTTTCAAAATCAGAATTTCCTAAAACATTTTTGACTTTTAAATCTGAATTATCTAATAAAGGAATTAATATTGATATTAATGAGGAAAATGAGCATAAATATGATAAACTTTTAGAAAAAAAATGGTCAAGTGTAATTAGATTGCAAAAAAAAGTATGAATGTTTTTTTTTTAAATATAATTTTTAATTTATTTTAGATTATGGACTTAGAAACACAACTGCACACAGCACAAACGGAACTATCTACTATACCATCTGATAAAAATTATTCTGAAGACATATCATACTGGATCCCACGCGCTCCAGCAAGACATACTTTAACAGGTCATAGACAATCAATAACATCTGTTGCCTTTCATCCAGTTTTTACTATTCTTGCTAGTGCAGCAGAAGATTCCACAATAAAAATCTGGGACTGGGAAACAGGGGATTTCGAGCGGACTTTAAAAGGGCATACAAAAGCAGTTCTTGATATTGATTTTAATGCATTTTCTGATTCAAATTATCTTGTGTCTTGTTCATCTGATTTAACAATAAAACTATGGGACTCTGAAAATGACTATAAAAACATAAAAACTTTTTATGGCCATGATCATTCTATATCTTCTGTAAAATTTCTTCCACCTAGTGGTGACCGAATTGTTAGTGTTTCAAGAGATAGAAATATAAAAATTTGGGAAATATCAACAGGATTTTGTACAAAAACTATTTCTAGTGCTCATATTGATTGGATAAGAACAATTTGTCCATCTGATGATGGAAAATTGCTACTTTCAGCAGGAAATGACCGAGTAAATATAATTATAAGCATTATTTTCCCTAACATTTATTATTAGATAGCAAAAATATTTGATGTTTATGATGGTGAATGTAAGTTAGAATTTCAAGGGCATGAACATGTTATAGAATGTGCAATTTTTGCTCCTAACTCAGCATTTAAATTTCTTACAGAACTCTCAGGTATTCATCTTTCAAAAAATTCTACAGGTTATATAGCAACAGGGTCCCGAGATAAAACAATAAAGCTTTGGGGATGTCAGACCGGGCAAATGATTAAAACCTTATCAGGTCATGATAATTGGCTCAGAGCACTTGTATTCCATCCATCTGGTAGATACTTAATAAGTGCATCTGATGATAAAACTATACGATGCTGGGACCTAAGTCAAAGTGGCAAATGTACTCGAATAATAAAGGAAGCACACTCTCATTTTATAAGTTGTTTGCGCTGCACACCTAATCTTCTGAAATATTCTACTACGAATAAATCAAATAAAGTTTCTAACAAATCATCCAATTCTAAAAAAATTGCAATAGCCAGCGGAGGTGTCGACTTAGTAATACGAATATGGATGCCATAATACCAGAATTCATATAAAATTAAAGTTTTAATAATTTCTTTATTTTACTAATATATTCACAATTAAATATATTTAACATTATTTTCAAAATAAAAATGTTCATATTTGAATGAATTCTTACAAAAAAATCAATGAATAAAATACCTCTAAAGCTGCATATACAATAATATACTTTATTTCATAAACATATATTATACAACCTAAAACAATATTATGTTTTAACTATAATATCAATATCAACTATACTGTAAAAGATAAGAATTAAAACATATACAGTCTAATATATTATAACAATGCCACATTATATTATCAACTTAATGTCGCATATCGGCCCGCTTCATTTGTTCTATTCTTTCTTTTAAACGAGCAGTTAAGTCAGCTGCAGTATCCCAACATGAAATACTATCACTTTTATCAAAAAATGCATTAGAATACCCAAAAGAACCTGACGAAGAAAAACCATTACTATATTTACTAAGAGCAGAAAATTTCAAATGACTATTCTCTTTTTCAATATAAGAGCAGGAATTAGTAGTCGAAACATCTGTTTGTTGATCATTCTGTTTTAGAGAATCGTTATTACTTAAATCATCTATATTTGAAGAATGATTCTCATTTTTATCGTCATTTAACGTAAAGTTTTGCAAATTAATCGACCTATTAGAAATATTCAAACGACTTTGATCCAATTCCTTACGCAATAATAACAATTGTGATTTCATCATATCTATTTCATTCCTTGCTCTAACAAGTTGTATTTCTTTTGCTTTTATTTGTAAAACATCTCTTGTATGATCATCAGTTAACTGAGCATTCTAAAACAAATTAATAAAAATATATTCAGAGATCAAACACCTCTAACCTTCAATTGAAGAGAATTTATTTCATCTAAAAGAGTTTTCTTTTCAAATATTTCCTTTTGCAACCTTTCATCAAGCTTTGATTTCTCTCTTCTTAATTCTTCTAATTCTTGTCTATCTAGAATAGAAAAATTACTAGAATCAGTAGTTTTCCCTACTAACTTAATAGGAGTTTGTGATGGAGAATTTACACTTTTAAATACTTTTAATGAATTATCATTAATAATATTATTAGTTGTATTTTTTGAAGATAGAGACCCAAATGACGACAATTTTGAATCAGGTCTAGTTCCTAAACGATTTGCATTAACAGAAGAACAATATCTTGAAGAAAATGATTTTGAAGTTTGTAAATCATTCCGTTTAGAAGATAAAGGTTTAATTAAGATTTTCTTAGTTTCATTAGACTAAACATATTAAAAACACAAGAAAACAAAATAATGACTTACAGATACAGTTTTAGAAACCAATTTTGTAGAAACATTAGATTTATTCAACTTAAGATCGCTATAGAAAGAATGTTTAGAATTTTCATATTTTAATTTAACGTCCGCCAATTCAAAATATTCTTTAATTTTAGCTTTACGTAACTCATCAATATCATTTAAAATAGAACTCATTTGATGCTCTCCAACAATTTTCATTAATGTCCCCATAACTTCTGCACTAGAATTTCGCACAGGTTCAAAAGTATCAATCAGTAATATTTTGCATAACTCAACTATTGATTTAATTTCTGAAGTTTTTGGATAAATACACGTAGATTTTAAGCAACGAACAAGAAAAAGAAGAATTTCTGATCTTATTTGAGGATTTTTATGTTTTAAAAACTCTAAAATATCATCAAAAACATCACTCAATGACGTCTACATTCATTAATAAAGTTAAATTTAACAAAAAAACTAACAGAATCAAAAATTGCATCCATTGCATTTGATAATGCTTCTATAACTGCAGCTTTCCTTTCTTTAAGCTTCTCCATAATCGGAACAAGTACAATTGATTTATATTTAGCAAAACCTTTTCTTAACCCTCGTGCAAAAGCTTCGACACAATTACTAGCAACAATTGTAACAGATATATTCACATCTTTTATGCTTTTAGCCAATAAGCGAATAATATCATTATAATCATCTTCTAGTATTCTAGAAACTTTACACACAGAGTAAAGAACATCTAATGCATCTTTTCTATCTTTCCATTTTGTAGACATAAGTTGATCACTGAAATCTTTTGGTATTTTATTCAAAATACTAACAGGCTCTATGGAATCAAAAAAATCACTACTCTTGACTTCATTATTTGGAAATACTATAACAATATTAATAAAATAAATAAAAACATAAAAATAATTAACCTTCAGAAGAATCTTCTAATAAAGCTTGTTGACTTCTAAGATACCTTTCTTGAGAAACTTTCCCAACTTCTACTCCTTCAAAAAAAGACTCAAGTTCTTTAACTTGAACAGGTTTAAGTTCAGTAAACAGGCTAGATTTAATTATATCACCAAGCCATGAATATAAAACGACTGCAAGTTCGATAGCTTCTTTTCGGACACTATTATCACTATGAGCGAAAAGTTTAGGCAAAATTTTAAGAACAGGCTTCGGATTGACAGTTTTAGCACCAAATAAACGATATATTTCTTTTATAATATTCACAGTCGCAGCCACTAATTTCGGAAATTTAGCACTAAGACTAGGGAGTAAATCATCTAAAACAGGATCAGGAGAATCAAGTTCTACATATAAAAGAAGAACATCTATAGATCTTTGTTTTGTTACAACGCGTGTACTAGTTAGGCATTTTTCAACGATACATGGTATAACAGTACTTCTTGTCCTAAAAATATACAAATAATTAAGAACAAGATTCAATAAAAAAAGAAATATACCTTATACAAGCTTCTTTTCCACAAAATTCAAGAAAATCTTTTAAGGCATTAATACCTGCTTCTTGAGCAAATACATTGGAATCAGTAGAAATTTTTTTCCATAAACCAACATCAAGTAAAAATGAACGAAAAAGAGGATCTTGATCTGACATAGAAGCTGAAAAAAGTTTTGACATTTCTTCATAAGCTCCAAGTCGAACCTTCCATGTCTGTTTTTCTCATTATTAATAAAACCAACAATTTTAGAAAATCATGAAATACTTTATGTACTGCTCGTTCTAAAAGAGATAGAGATGAATAATCTTCCTGTTCTGTCATTTCTGCTTATATTTTAAATAATTTATGTTATTTTGAATAATTCAATTTTAACTTTGATTGGCTAATATTAACGCTAACAGTAAGAAATCTAAACCTTTCTAAGGTATACTAAAATAAAAAGTAAAATCTTAATAAAGTATATAAAATAAAGATTGAAGTCTTTAAAAGATCAAATAAACAATTATATGTTAGGGTTAGGGTTTATATAACCCAATTCATTTCTCAACCTCCTTTAATTGTCTAGGTTTAAAAATTAAAAAACTATTAGTAAAAAAACAAGTATAAATATAGTTATCAAAACAACTAAAGAATAATATACAATACAAAACAATATTAGTTATATAAATATTTAAAAATTTAAGTTACTTTAAAAATGCTCATTTTGGAAAAGCCAAACTAAATCTTATGAAAATAGAAATATATTAGAAATTATTTAAATAAAAAATAAAAACAAAATTAACATCCACATTTATTTATTTATTATTTGTTCTATATTTTTTAATATTATCTAGTACTACGATTTTTCGTAAGTTTTTTTTCCTACAAAAATTAACAAACTTAAAAATTCACGGGCTTGTCCCCTCACTTTTATTAATGAAAATCTCCGTGTTTATATTTTTTATTGGAATAGTACACGCCCTTTTAAGAGATATAGGTGTTTCTGGTATTTATTTTTTGTTTTTGTTTTTTTTTTTTTTTTTTTACATTTTTAGAATTTACATATGAAAATTTAAACTCTATTTTGGACAACAAAAAATACATTGATGATGATGATACCTACTCATATATCTCTCTTAAACAATCATTGTATTCACTAACTCAGGATGATAATTTATTTGAATTAATAAGAGACTTTCAAGTTACATTTCAGACCAAACAAAACCCAGAAAGTGAAACTATTGAGAAACTAGCACCTCGATCCGCACCCGCAAAAGATGGAGTTGCCCAAAAAGAGGCAGTATCAACAGAAGATGTATATTTCTTATTACTTCTAGCAAATTTCTTACAAAGACCTCTTACTCATCAATTGTGTGTGACTGTATTAACGAACATCTGCCCTACTATCAATAATTATTCTGCCACAGGAGCTGTATCTAGTGACTTTATAACAAAAAGATGTGCCAATGTAACACTGACATGTCTATATTTAGTGAAAAAAATGGATGAATACTGTCAAAAGATTAAAGAAGAACAAAATAACGCTCTTTCTGTTACAAAAGAGGTTTGCACTTATCATGTTGGTAACTGCAAATATTTAGAAAAAGCATGTGGGGAGAGCCTAAAAAAATCGTGCGCTAAAATCAAGACTCAATGCAAAAAACTGGAAAACGACTCTAAAGTTCATGAAGATACGGGTTTTGTTAATACTCACACGCAAATTGTTGATGAAACAGTATACGTGACAGAAACAGTATATTATACTCATACATCTGTAATATTCACAACAAAAAAATGTTGTTCAAAAAAAACTAAATACAAAACTTGTGCAACAAAACCAACTACTTGTCCTGCACTATCTACTGGATCAGAAGCGTGCCCGACGGAAGCATCTTCAGAAGATCATGATCCAGAGCCTACAAAAACATCAGAAGATGGTGATTTAGAACCTGTAGAAACATCTTCAGAAGATGATGATCTTGAACCTACAGAAACATCTTCGGATGAGTCAGAAACAGAAACGTCTTCAGAAGAACAGGAACCAGTAGAGGAACCAGAACCAACAGAAGAACCAACTCTTGCAGAGCCGACTGAAGATGAAGAATGTACGATTACAAAAACAATAACAATGACAAACAGATTTGGAGAGACACTTACAACAACTGTAACAGTATCAGAAAAGCCTGGGGAGACTAACAAAGATCAAATAAACAATAAAGGTGATAGCATCAAAAAAGAAGCCTTTCAAAAAGTAGGAATATTTTGTCTAATTATAGGGGTAACAACAGGGGTTTGGATAATTGTTTAAGATATAAAGAGCATTTATTTGTTTACATTTTGCTGCAATAGTTTTTAATACTGGTACTTGTAAAGATAATTATCATTTGTAAAATATAATTTGTAAAAATAGTCAAAAATGATGAATTCAGGCAGTTATTAAGTTGTATTAGCGATATAGTATATTAATGAATTATAATTTCCAGACTGCCCAATTTAGTAATAAGCTGTTCTAAAATAATTTTTTTATCATTTCTATTTTCTACTAGAAATATAATAATAATTAAATATAAAAAAAGAATGTGTTCGTTTAATTATTTCTCAAAACTGTCGACAACGTCTTTTAAAGTTAAATTATTACAAAATATTTTTTCTTTTTTTTTAAAATTCTTTTTTATATAATTTTTTTTTAAAAAAATAAAACATACTTTTATAATAATTATAATTTTAAAGAAAGTCAATAGCTATATCATTTTTATAAATTTCCATAAAAAGCAATATAAAATCAAAAATTTTCAATATAATTTTTTAATCTAGAAATTAATTATCGAAATATATTTATACAAAAACAACTCCCTTTTCTATATTCTCAAACCTTTTATGGATTATTACAATAAAATAAAAAATACATGAATTTAACTTTTACTAAATATTTAAATTTTCTAATATCTTTTATATTTAAAAAAATACTAGATAATCAAGAAAAATACATTCAATCCTTCTAGGTGTAATATATAAAATATGAACATGATTTAAAAAGCATATCACTAATATTTTTTACTTTTTTTATATTAAATTAAATGAAAAAATTATCCAAAATCTATCATCGACTATAAAATTAATTAAAAAATGAAAACAATCATAAACTAAAATTTTTGCTTATAAAAAATATAAAAAAATACTTTAAAAATATTATTAATCAAGCTCTAATAATAGATCTATAACTTAAATATAAAAAAATAATACCTGAAAATAAAATTTGCAAAATCAATAATCAAAATTCATAAAAATAAACTTTAGATTGATTTCTAAATAACTTTAGAAGGAATAATAATGGAATTATTTCTAACAAGTAATAAATATACAAAAGCTAGATATGTTTTTCAAGTATATCCAGCATGTTTTTAAAAAAATGAATTATTTTGATAAATAAATGTTATGAAAAAATTTAAAATGAAAAAATTCTAAAGCACCTAAGAAATTCTAAAAAATCAAAATAAATACAAATTTAAACCACAAGTAATTTTCTCAGGACTAAGCAAAGACAAAAATAAATTAATTACCTTAAGTATATCTTTTCTAAAATAGAATTCAACAGTTTACTCAAAAATATTATCAACAAAATTCTTTTATTATTTAAAAAAATTACTCTTATATATTAGGTTATAATTTTAAGTCAAAAAATTTAAAAGAAATCTTAAAAAAATCATGTATGTTCTGGGGATTATCTCTTAACTGAATAAAATAATTAAAATTTTCCAAAAAATCAATTTAAAAAAACTTTTCAAATATAATAAATAATTTCCTGATTAAAAAATTATTACTAAAAAATGCAACTAAAATACTAGTATAAGGAATTCATGATATTTCTAATCTAGTTTTTAATGGTTTGAAATGCTGTACTTAGTAAAAAACATAAATATTTTAGAAACCAAAAATTTTAAAAAATTTATAAAATATTAACATAATAAATAATAGAAGAACAAAAACATGTATTGATTTAGACGTTTAACTAAAAAAATATTGGTTTTTAAGATTTCATCAAAAATAACACTAATTAAAAAGAACAACTATAAACATTAACACTTAAACTATAAAAAAGCAAAAGATAAAAGCAATATATCTTTTATTGGACTAATTTAAATAAAAAAATTCTAAAAAATCCTAAGGAAATAATTAAGAATTTAAAAATATATTACATTAAAAACCTAACACATTGGTAAATCAATTACTATAAATTATTTTATTTTGCAATATGATATTATTAAACAAAGCTAAAAAATATTAAAAATCGTTAGTAAATACAAAAAATTGAAAAACATATAATGAACAATTTATTTTATACATTTGTTAAATAAAAATGTAAATTAGAAAATTAGCAAAGAACACTCAAAACTAACATAAAAATTTTAAAAATTATTAATATCTTTAAAAATATTAATGAAATAGCATCAAGAAAATTCTACTTTCTTTTGCCAGTATATCATGTAAATTTACTCTAAATTTATTCAGATCTAAAAAAAAAAGTCAAAATAGTAAACAAACTAAAGTATAAATTAAAAAAACAATTTTAAAAGATAAAAAATACATATTTCTAAAATAATAAAAATATAATTATAATTAACAACAAAAAAGAAATAAAATAAACAATTATATCATTTTCTACTGCTTTAACGTTAATAATTACAAAATTATTCATATGAACGATTATGATTGTTATTGTTAAAATAAACAAGTTTGCAAACTATATACGTAATAATGATATTAATAGCAACCATACATAATAAAATAATAGAAATATTTCATGAACTTTTATCTGAATAGAATAATAACCAATAAACAGTAATATCAATAGTAATATTAACATTTAACATCAGTAAATATGTAAATAAAATAAAAAAATAAATAAGACAAGAAAAAATAAATCTTAGCCCTAAGTAAATAAAAATTTTAAAATTTTAAACAAATTATTATGTTATAATAATCTTATAAAACAAGAATATATATAATTGCTCAAAAAAAAGCTAATAATGATAAAAAAATTAGTAAAACTTTCGAAAAAACATAGAAAACGTATCAAAATTTAAAAAAATCTAGAAAATATAATAAAAAAATTAAAAAAACATCTAAAAATGTAAAAAAATCTTATTATATATTATATATATCTTATATATCTTATATATATTCTATAAAATAAAAGGAAACTCAAAAAAACATATTACAATCCACAATAAAATCTAACAAGACATGAATATCTTTAGTATCTATAAAAGACATTTTGTTTTTAAATCTCAAAGAATTAGGGTTTATAAAAAAGGGTTTATAAAAAATTAAAATGTAACATTAAAACATATAAAATTGAAATAAAAAAATAAAGGATAAATAAATACATTCAAAAAAATTATAATTATGAAAAAATTACAAAAATATAACTTAAAACAAATACAAAAATACAAAAATTGCAAAAAAATTAAATATACTCGACAATATTTTTTTTCTAAAAAAAAAATACTTTAAAATATTAAATTTCAACAAAAAATACAAAAAAATCTTATTTAACTATTTAAAATGAATGGAATAGGATTAACCATATCTCATTGTAAAAAAAAACTAATATTTTATACTCCACAAAATTAACAAAATAAATATATTCAGACTAATAATCAAATTTATACACAAAATCAACTATAAGAAATAAATAAAGACACATTATTTACAATTTCTTTATAAGATCAATAAAAACGCGAGGTATGATACATATCAAATATATTAATATCCTATGATAATCTAAAGTTTAAATTATATATTTGTATATACACAGCATATCTCTGAATTGAAAAATATAATGTAGAAATACCTAAAAAACAAAATTGTTAATAATAAATAAACATAAATATATATAGAATATATAAATTACAAAATATATTATTAAATAGAATTATACAATTTATAATCAAGATCTTTTTTCAAAAGGCTTATTTTGTACAAAAACTCATACTGATTTATTAAAAAAAGTAGCAAATTTATTAAGAATAAAAAGATAGATAATAATATTAAACAAAATTTATTTATCTATCGTTTATTTTTTTAAAAACCGCAACGCGCGTATATTTTTTATGTCAAAAAATCCATTTTATCTTTTAATAATAGTAATTTTTTCATTTTCATTCAATTTATGAAAACTTTTGTATTCTTTGTCCTTTATATAACACATGCATTTTCTAGAAGCATCAATATTCAAGGTAATTTTTTCTTTTTTTCTAATATTTTTGAATTTTATTTTTTAGAAATTATTAATAAAAATTTGAACTTATTACAAAAAATAAGGTATAAAAACCCTTATGTAGCATTGAATATAAAAAGATGACGAAATTTACATTATAGTGGCACTGAATTTTATTCAATACTCATAAAAAGTAATATTCATAATAAATGCCAATTATTTGCATTGTGCCAAGAATTGTTTCATACATACGACAATTTAAATAACTTAGATCCTATAATGACCGATATATGCAATGAAGGAAACAAATATATTGATTGTCAAAAAGTTTTAAAAAAAACTCAAAATAGCTTAAATTTAACACCAATAATAAACCAATTAATTAAAAGAGAAGTAGATATACAGAGAACAGAAGAAGAAACTGAAGAAGACCGTATTCTTTCTTTTATTTTAAGATTACATTCTAAAAATGCATCACAGTGCAAAAGCAGATTAAAAACCTATTGTGAATTTACAAAAAGAATAAACCTAGGTTTAAATAATGTAGATCCAAAAATAAAAAAAATTTGCAGCAGTAGTGACCAAGATGAAAGATGTAATAAACTAAGAAGATATATTGGAAGATTATCTCTTCAACTAAATAAAGATATTAATAAAGAATTAAAAGAAATACAAAAAAATAATAAGTCACTAACAGATGATGAATGTACAAAATATCAAATAGATTGTATGCTTTTAGAAGGAACATATCCAGATTTAGTTAGTATTATATGTAGTACACTAATCATTAACTGTTATGAAAAGAAACTGAAAAATTTAGCAAAAAAAATCCTTTTTAGAGGACTTAGGGGAAATCTCAAAAATACTAATACATGTGAACAGAAGATTGAAATGACTTGTATAAAATTATCTAAAGAAAGAGATGAGTTAGTGGAAATATGTCTTAATCAAAAAGAAATATGTCAAGATCTCGTAAAAACAGCCAAAAAGAACTGTGAGGATCTTGAAAAAAAAATCGAAATTGCAAATAAGAATCTCAATAATGAAAAATGTCATTCATTGTTTAAGGAATGTTACTTCTATGAACCAAACTGTGAAAACTTAAATGTGCATAATTGCGAAGAACTTATAAAAAAATGCGAAAGTAAAGGAATTACATATTTGCCTTTCGTTCGTTCTTTTAGTCCCATAGAACCTCAAGTTACATTAGGAGAAGAAATAGGTCTAGATGAACTTTATAAAAGCGCAGAATTTGAAGAAATTTATACAGGAAAGCCTGAAAAGAAAATGCCACTTTATATGCTTCCATTGTTAATTAGGAGCTCAAAATTAGACCCAGATGACTATGATGAAGACGAAATATGCGAAAATGAATTAAAAGAAAAATGCAACTTTTTAGAAAACCTACGAAGTGATATGGAAAGTCTCTGTAAAAATGATAAAAAAAAAAGTTGTGAAAAAATAAGTCAATTATCAGAAAAGTGCAATGATTTAAAAAAAGAGCTCTATAATAAGGATCTTTCCAGTACTGAAACTTCCAAATCATCTAAATTTTTCTCTTGGACACGTTTGCCAAAGTTACTTACAAGAAAAGAATGTACACATCTTTTATCAGAATGTTTCTATTTAGAAACACAATGTGTAGAAAATTTAAATCTAACTTGTAGAAATGTAAAAATTGCATGCTACCGAAAAGGACGCATTATAAAAACGAATAAAATACTACAAAAAAGACTTCGCGGAATGCTTCATAGCTTAGACGATTATACTAACTTTAAGAAATGCCAAATAAAACTAATGGAAGAATGTAAGACACTTAAAAATAAAAATGATGTATTTTTTTTTCTATGTCTTGAATCAATGTATACATGTTTAACACTCTGGGAGGATATACAGGCAAAAGAAGCAAACTTGTTCCAAATTTTAGGCAGAAAAAGAGATGCGCCAACAAATCAGGAGTGTTCTGAACTTCAAAAGTTGTGTAAAGAACTAGAAAGTGATTCAGAATTAATACATAAACCATGCTCTACATTAAAAAGACATTGTATTTTTAGGAACAACTCAATACAATTAAAAAATTATTTGCTAAAAAAAAAAGAAGATTCTTTTTCAAGTATAACTCAGTGTAGGAAAATTTTAAAAAAAGAATGTAATAAATTATTTAAAAAAGGAGAAAATCCATTTAACTATTCATGTATTAAACAAGAAGAATCATGTGATTTAATGCGTCTAGAAGTGATAAAACATTGTACTGCACTAAAAAATAATATAGAAACTCTGAATATACTAAATACAATAACTCAAGACAATGAAGAACTCTGTATGCTTTGGGGGGGTTATTGCGAACAGTTATCACCGAATTGCAATGAGCTTTTGGAAAAAACAGAAAAAAATCAAGGGCTTTGTACACAATTAAAAAACAAGTGTAAACTATTCTTTCAAAGAAGAGACATGGAAGATGCATTAATCTATGAATTCGAAGGTAGCTTGTCTTCAAGCGAGAGTTGTGTAACAATGCTTAACGAATATTGTTCAAAAAAAGAAAACATGAACAGCATTGTAACTGTCAATCCATGCAAAAATAGTACCAATAATCATGAAGAATATAGAAAAGTTCTTTGTTCGAAACTAGTTAATCGAATAAAAGAGCAATGCCCAAAATTATCAAATGAAACCATGAAAGTTTATAAAAATCTTGAAGAAAAACAAAGAGAATTTGAGAATATTAAAAAAGAAGCAAAAAAAGCAATGGAAGAGGCTAAAGTTATATTGTCAACACATGAGAAAACAAATAATACACTACGAAATAATATTATATCCAATATATCCAAACCACTGATTGAAAGACCGAATAAAAGGACAAGTACAATAAGATTTAAACTAATAAAAAGAGAAGATATAAAAGCGCAGGTCGCAAAAAAAGAAGGAATAGCATTTGATTTAGTAGCACATATGTTTGACATATATTTAGATTTAAAAGAAATCTGTAATCATTTATCAGAAGATTGTAAATTTAAAAAAGAATGTGATTATGAACTACTTTGTAAAAAAATGAGGAGTATATGTACAGGACTAGAATTATTGGAGATCACTCCACAAGTAACAAAAACAATTACACAGAACATAACGATCACGGAAAAAACAACAACTACAAAAACGATGATAATCATAGAAGAAACTAAAAGTACAAAAATAAAAGAGAAAACCTTCACAAAAAAAAAAGTATGTACATCCATTTTTACGACAAATATACAAATTACACATACATCAACACACACAAGTACATCTACTCAGACATCAATACATACAAATATATCTACACAGATATCAACAGTAACATCAACAGTAATGTCTACAAAACTATGTAACTTAACAGAATATATAACAATGACTCAAAATGAACTAGAAAATCTAAAACCAAGTGAAGGGTTAAGAATAGATGGATGGAACATTATAAAGAGAATACTATTAACAATTATTATTTCAACTATGATCTAGGAATGGATAAATGGAAGAGATATAGAAAAAAACATATATGTTTGAAAAGAAGATGAGCAAAAAAAATAGAACCAAGGAGGTAAAGACTAGACTAAAAAAAGAAATATTTCTGCATCAATTTGTACTACATTTTTAAAAAACTAATCCATATTCCTAACTTAATTGTCTTACGTTTATTACTTAATAAACCTCTACATGTTATTCAAACTTTTTTATAGCTATATCATTCATCAATCTTTTCATTTACCCAGTGAATACTAAGGTATTTGGACACCCGATATAAATTAAAATAATAGAGTACTCAAAAACTTTAGTCTTGAATAATCATTATTACATATTCTATCACAGATTTTGTTTATATTAAAATATATGCATTTTAATTCTAAAAGATATTTTAAAGCATTAATCAAAATCTACAATTATAATTAATTTTAAAAAACATTTAAGAATATTTAAAATGAAAATTTATAAAAAAACAAAAAATCCAAACCAGAAATACTGGTCATCAAAATAAATGCTATCTAAGAATATTTAGAATTTCAGTTTTAGATAATATTTTAAATAAATAGAATATCAAATAAGAATTATCATTAAATACAAAAAAAGTATATAAACTAAGAAACTTAAAATTGAACTACCTATTAGAAAAACAACTTAAAGAATAAACCAATTTAAAAACAAACAAGATTAGGCTTCACAAGAAACATGTATATAAAGAATAAACGAAAATATATGTTTTTATAAAAATGGTTAATATATCATAAAAAATGAACTAAGTATTATGAAGAAAACATGACAAAATTCTTTTTAAACTCTTTAAAAAGAATCCTAAAAGACAAGGAAATCTAAAACAAAAATTAAAGATCTCTTTAAATTAATTAAAACATTATACCAAAATTTATCAATACTAAAATTATAAAAAACGTATAGAAATAATTAAACAAAATTTTTCAAATAAAAAACTAATGAAACATTTAAAAATAAAAGGATTGATAAAGTTTTTTTAAAAAAAGTAACTATCACTATTTAGAAATTCTTTTTATAATTTAAATTATAAAACTAAAAGAATATACAAAAAGCTTAAAAAATATAAAATGTCATGAATTTACATTTTATTTCAATAAAACCAAATACTAAAAATAACTAGAAAATAAATAAATATTTAAGATAATTTTAAATAAAATATAAACAATAAAAATTTGAATTGACTTCTAAAAAAATTTTATAAAAAAAATTCATTAATACTAAAATTAAAAAATTAAAAGGTTAAAAACAGAAAAAAATTACAATAATATAGATATATATATAATTATATAATTATATAATAATAATAATAAACCTAAAAAATAAAAATAATAAAAAAAATAATCACTAAAATTATGTTTCGAAGATTTTAAAAATAATTTTTTATAAAAATTCAAGCTTAACAAAATATAAATTCATTAAAAAATATTAAAACATTAAAGACAATAAAAAACAGCTTTAAGAATAAAACTAACAACTATTTATTTATTCTACATTATTAATTTATTTTCATTTATTAGTTTTTTATTTCAAAATCATTTTCTCAATATTTTTTAAATATAAAATATTTTTTACAAATTTTTATTATAATTATAAATGAAAACATTTATACTAACAAATCTTTGAATAGAAAATTCTTTTCTAAAAGATATTAGTATTTTAATATTTATTTACAGAATAGAGTGATCAAATTCTAATTCTATGAAACTAGAACCTATAAGTGAAAGAAAAAACAGGCTTAAAAAAGCTTTATAAAAAGCTAGTGGAAAGAAGATTTTTTTTAGAAAATTGTTGATAGCAAATAAAATTATATTTCTATGATTATTAATTCAGGATACTAATTTTAACACTAGAATCAAAAATAAATCTAAAGAACTAGTGAAAAAAGTATAATTATTTTTAATTATTTTGAAAATTATACAAATCCGAATGACCTATGTAATAATAAAATTTAACTAAAAAAAGAAAATATAATAAACTAAATCAAGAACTAATAAATCGTATTTAAGTTACTTCTAGAAAAATAAATAAAACTATTTTCACAAGACTCAAGTAAACTCATCAACTGGCATGAGTTGAAAACATTTCTTCCAAAAAGAAACTAGACAATACTACTATAAAAATGCTTTTAGTTCAAAAACCAAGCTTTTTTTTAGAAAACAAAATAATTTAAAAAAAAACATATTATAAAGAAAAGCTTAATGCATTGATAAATAAAATATTAAAAGAAAAAATGGAGAGAATGAGGTATCTTTCAGTAACTAGATTAAAAAAATTCAAAGGTTAATAGAAGTGTATCAACTGAAAAAAAAAAAAACAAAATTTTTTACAAACAACGAATTGTTTGTTTTATATACACAATCAGCAAAAATAATTATTAAGCTTCTAACAAATTTGCGGTTGAAAACAATCATTTTACTAGAAAATTTAAACAAAAAGAGAAAATTTCCAAATATTAAGGATTTTAAAAAACTAAAAAAATCTGGAATATTAAAAAAATTCAAAAAAGGTTGAATAGCCATGAAATATACTAAGTCGAGGCTATGATTGATTAAAGAATTGTAAAAAACTAAAATAACTTTTATTGAATAAATATAAAGATGCCTTGAAAAACCGAAAAAAATATACATATTTAAAAAAAAATTGATAAATGACCCTTAAAAAATCTTAAAAGATAATTAAGATTATTCTTTTCTATATGCTTTAAGAAATAACACTATCAGGATAATGTTAGAAGATGTAGAAAATTAATGCAAAAAATTCAACATTAGAAATTTCGGAAACACAAATAATATTAAAAATGAACTGAGATAATTAAAGATACATTGTCTTCTTTAATATCCACATTGCAATAGATTTGTGCTTAATTACTCATATTTTATAAAAAAAGATAAACGCTATAAAAAATTTAAAAAAATATTACAAATCTTATTGTGAATAAAAGAATTTCAAAGATACACTTATACTCGAATTTAAAGGTCATTTAGGTAAAATACAGGATTTTGAAACAAATCTTAATCAATATTGTACACTATGGAATCAAGCAGAAAATGAGATACTCAAAAGTTTCTGTAATGATTCTGCTGGCAATAATAAAACATTTATAAATAGTCTTTACAAGAAATTGTTATAACAAGTTCAGGAAAAATCTCAAAGATTATCAAAAAAACATAAGAATGCCAAAGAATTAAAAGGAAAACAAAAAGAATATTAAAAAATTAAAGAAAAAACAAAAGTAATTGAAAAAAACAAATCTTATTTTATTAGAAGATAAATCAATGAGTAAAATAGGAAAAGGAATTAAATCAGTGCACCTAGTCTAGTTCAAGACGCTGTACGATTTAAACTTGTAAAGAGATAAAAAAACTTTAACGGAAAACAGAACAAAAGCATTTATTTAATGTTATTAATATTTAATCTCTAGAGTTAAAAAAAATATATTTTTACCTAAAATAAGAGTGCAAATTCAAAAAAATCTAAATATCAGAATCCATGTAGAAAAATAGATAAAATATATATGAAATTAGAACTACTGAAAATGAAATTGCAAAAAGTAAAAACAGTAACAAAAAATACAACCACAGTAACACTCATACTGAAAATAGAAAAATAGGAAAGATAGCAAATGGAGAAAAATATAAAACTATTCAGAAAACAGAAACATGGATTACACATACATTAACACACAAGCATGTTCATAGCTGCTTCCATAATCACATTAACTATAACATTGACATCAACTGAACTATATAAGCATGCAAAATACATGACAGGAGATGATCCAAAAAATTTGAAACTGAATGAAGGTTTAAGAATAAGTGAATAAAATGTAGTAAAGAAAAAGACAATACTACTGGTTATTTCATTCATGATTTAAAAAACAGATAAATAGAGATTTGAAATAGGATATGTATATTTAATAAATAAACAAACAAAATAAGACAGAAAAGTAAAAAGAGATTAAGTAATCTCTTCAACATCAATTGGAAGTACATTTTAACAAAAGCAACCCACATTCTTCATAGAATTAATTATTATTTATTGTTTATATCTTTTGCGCTTTATTTACCTTAATATACACAAAATTTGCAAAAGAAATAATTATTTAACACTACGTTGTTTACAAAGTCATGATTTCTTTATAAAGTAGCTAAGCGCATGCCAATTAATGATAATCTCAAAGATCTAAAACTTAAATCTAAAAAATTATTAGAACATATTATTAATAATATTTTATATCAAGCTCTAAAACAAAAAATTAAAAATAAAAACTTTAAATGATTTTTCATAAAGATAATTATTTATATCAATTATATAAAATAACGTAAAAAAGTTCAATAAATATCAATTTTTTAACTTTTATTAAAACAATTGGTTTAAAAAAATATATAAAAATCGAAATATTAAACAAAAAGAAATGAATATATAAAACATATGTAGAGTCAAATAGATTCAAGTAGAAATTAAAAATAATTATAAAAATACTTATTATTTTAATAAAATAACCTTTTTTTTTAGCAAGTCTTAAAAGTTCCAAATAAAAATTATAACCATTTTACTAAAAGCAAAAATTACGTATAATTATTTAAAATAAAAAACAAATAATTGTAAGTAAAACCCATATTATCTAAAATTAGAAAAAAAAGCTATTAAAAATGAATATGAAAAAATCTAATATAAAAAAAAAGATATATAATAAAAAAATCAAAATGAAAACATCTAAATTAAATATATCATAGCACTATTTAAAACAAAATACATTGCAAATTAAATTTAATATCATATTTTTTTATGCTAATTTTTTAAAAATTATAAAAAAAACATAAATTTATTAGAAATAATTGAAACTAATTATTATTAAAAATATAGCAATGAATTTGTCATCCTACGATGTATATTTCCAATCTAAAATTTGAAGTCAACTTTATTAATACTAAATTTATCAAAACAACTGAAACTTATCATTCTTCATAAATGAAAGTCTTTGCCTTTGCAGTTTTAAGTACAATACCATATGTTTCCTTAAAAAAAATTAACACATTTGGTATTTCTATTTTTTTTTTGTTTTTTTTTTTTTTTTTTAATTTATTTTTTAGAATCAAAAAAGAACTTAAGTTTACTCAACTTAAAAAATTACAATCCATTAATATACCCTAAATTAACTAGTCTGTTATCAAAGCGCTCACTAGCTTCATCTGTATGGTCTGTTATTTTAAAAGACCATATTTCTTTATATAGTCTTATTTTAGGAACTTCTGTTAATACTGAAGAAAGATGTAAATCATTTCTAAAAGAATTATGTAAAGATGTCCTAAGAAAGCTTCCAGGAGGGAGTTTTAGTACTAGACTATTAACAATGTGTGGACCGAATAATATACTTACTTATTGTTATGGCCTAATGACTAAAAAGGGTGATATTGGAAAATCTCTACTTGAAAAATGTAATGGTATAAAAACAAAACTTGAAAATTTTTTAAACAAAAAATCATCTGGGAAAAAAGACAACAAAAGATTGGAAGTTGAAGACTGTGAAAATTACCAAACATTATGTAACATTTTTCATGGAATTTGTTATGATTTCATTGACGATTTATGTTTTAAATTTGCAGAAAGATGTTATACAAAATTTCGTGAAAACTACAAAAATAATATTTTATTGAAAATAGTAAATACTAGTTTTGAAAAACATCAGAATTGTGTTGAAAATATTCTTAAAAAATGTCATTGTGTAACATCTTTCGGTCCAGAATTTACAGAATCATGTTTTTCAGTAAACGAAACATGTCAAAATTATATTAAAAATGCTAAGCAAATTTGTCCATATTTGAGCTCTTATATTGAAGATGTCTTCTCAGGAAAGCCATTGTATATAATAGGTTATAAAGAATCATTATCAAGAAATAAATGTTCATTACTTAGCGTATGTAATTACTATTTATCTCTCTGTGATAAACAAACAGTAAAAAATTATTGCAAAATTATAGAAAAAGAATGCTCTACAAAAAGTGATTCTGATATGTACTTCATAAAACAACTAGAATTAGGTGATTGCGAGTTAACATTTAAAGGCATAAATCTGACTTTGTTTTTTTCTGGGGAGAAACTAGACGGTGTTTTATCTCCTCATAAAATTCCATTTCTTACTCCTCTTCTAATTTATATATCTTCCATACAAGAAGCTAACTCTAGTTTAGAGAAGAAATGTAAAATGTTTCTTGAAAATGGATGTATTTCTCATAAGGGCCCATTTCCTAATCTTGATAAATATTGTAAAGATAACTATACTGACGAATGTAATAAAATGGATGATAGAGTAAAAGAATCATGCAAAAATTTAAATAAAACACTTTGGGATTTAGGACTTACTTCACAAAATTTTTGGCATATACTATGGAATGGCACAAACAATATAACTATGCCTCAGTGCCAAGTATTTACCGAAGGCTGTACTTATTTTAATCATACTTGTAATGGTATTCAAGAATTATGCAAAAATCTACAAACTTTATGTTATGGTCTAGGCATAAAAAGATATAACTTAAATGATTTTTGGCAGAAACTCCAAGAAAAATTACCATCTGGTCATTTTAATATTTTTAATCAGCAAGAGTTATCTGATAGTTCTAACTTATATAGATACATTTCAGAACTATGTGCTAACTATGGAGAAGATAATGAAATATTATTTAAATGGTGTTTATACCCCACACCCACCCAAATAACTTCTATTACTAACCTTTTTGAGAAATTAATTCACAATTTTTTATCAAGATACAATGATTTAGAGAGAGACTTTAACTATACTATAGACGAGCAACCCTCTTTAGCGGAATGTGCATATTATGTTTCAGAATGTAACGGTTTATCTGGTCTTTTTAAAGATCTTAGTCATAACTGTACGACATTAAAAAATATATGTATTAAAAGTATTGGTGACGGATTTGGAAAATTTTAAGTTTATTAAATCAATCTGGTTCTAAAATTGAACTAGTTTTATCTTCAAACTTTAGATTGTACATTTCAAACAGAATGCAGTTCAATTTATTACTTTTGAAATATATGGTCTTGATTTTGATAATAATAATAATAAAAATAATCATTAGTCTCAGAAACAATAATTATGTTATCAAAAACAAAACAGCAAAACCATAATTTAATTATTAGAAACAAAAGTAACTTAGAACATATTTTCATCATTAAACAATATTCTACATAAATAGCATTATTTTTATAAATATAATCTAAAAATAGATAATAAAATGATTTTATTTTAATAGATTAATTATTTTTTGTAAAAAAAATTTCTTTATAAAAAAATAAAAATATATTTAATATTTTACACAATCATTTGAAATTAAATAATTTAAAAAAATTAAAACCAATGGCAATAAAATAATATTCATTTTATATTTTTTTAATTTCGAAACTAATATTTATTAAATATTAATTTTCAAATAAAAAATTGTTTTTAAAAACAAATTTACACTTTAAAAGTTTTTATCAAAAAAAAATTATTTTAAATATTTTTTCTTATTTTTATTTTCTAAAATTAATATTTATTTTTAAGTTTAGAAAACTAAAAAAATTTCAAAATATCATTGCAAGATTTTTTTAAAATAAAAATAAATTTCAATCTTTAAAAAATTATTATAATATTAATAAGTATAAAAAACTTAATGAATATTTTAAAAGCAAATAAACAAAGTTTAAGATAAATAATGTATATTTAATGTATATTTAATAGATAAAAAAGAAGAATAATAAGAAAGTTAGAAGAAACTAAAAAAAATATTTTTTGCATTAATTTAAAGTACATTTTAATGAATTTTAACGCGAACGCAAATATTTACATGTAATTAGCTAGTGTTCATGATTAACTAGCTTCTATTTTTTGTGTATAATTTTTTACATTTTATTTCTTATCTATATATTTTCGTGTTTAGCCCGCATTTTACCCCACACAAATTTAAAATATCGCGAAGCAGCCAACTACACGTTAAAGAAAGCGGGCACCTTTAAATGTATTTGGTACACACTGCTTCTCTGACAAGTTTTATCACTAAGTTTACTTGAACACCCTTAAAATTAATTAGAAATAATTTAATACTCAAATTTGAAGACATGGTTCTAACATCTCACGTTCAATCAAAATACGCTAATGGAAACTCAAACTCAAGCCACACCACAGTGCAAACCCACCCCCGTCAGGCACAGCTTGGCGCGGGCGGTGGCGCGGGCGGTTAAGCGGCAGGTACAAGCAGTGCAGAAAGCTAGTGTATATGATGATGAGGACTATCTTTTGGCTTTAATTGTAGGAAAAAGTTATGACGATACTCAAAAATGCAAAGATACTCTAGAAAAATACTGTAATGGACTAAAGGAAGTAGATGCAAAATTAGAAAAAGTAGACAAAAAACTAAAAGATATCTGCAATAATAAAGACAAGAAATGCAAAGATTTAAAAACTAAAATTACAGGAAAATGTACAACACTTAAAACAGCTTTGGATACTATAGTGGCAAAACCATCGCCAGCAGGCGATGAATGCAGAAAGAATGAACAAGAATGCCTATTTTTGGAGGGAGCATGTTCTAATGTTCTTACAGAAAATTGCAACACTTTAAGAAATAAGTGTTATCAAAAAAAGCGTGAGGAAGTGGCAGAAAAAGCACTTTTAAGGGCACTTAGTGGAAGTCTTGAAGATCAAAATAAATGTAAAGAGGAACTCAAAAAAGTTTGCTTAGAATTAATTGAAGAAAGTGACGAATTAACAAAATTATGTTTTTACCAAGAAGAGACATGTACCAATCTACTGCAGTTGAAAGACACTAATTGCCAGTCTCTTAAAACAGAAATCGAAGGACTAAAAGATGATGATGAGTCAAAAAAGAAATGTCATTTTTTGCTTGAAAAGTGTCACTATTACAACTTAAGTTGCAAAGGAAAATATAGCCCGGGTTGTAAAAAACTAGTAAAAAAATGTAAAAATATTATTTACACTGCATCAAATTTAGATTTTGATCCTACAAAACCGGAAACTACATTGGCAGAAAAAGTGAATCTAAAAAATCTCTATGAAAAAGCAGAAGAAGAAGGGATTCATATTAGAAGACCTCCTAGAAAAGATGTAACTACACTCTTGGCATTGTTAATTCAGCATCAAAGTGTCTCAAGTAGAAGTGATAATAAAGAAAAATGCAAAGAGGTTCTTAAAGAAAAATGCAAAGATTTGAAAGAGCATAAAATTTTAAAGGGCTTATGTGGAGATAACAATGATGCTAATGCAAATGGAACCAAAAAATGTAATGAATTAGGTCAAGAATTAACAGAACATGCTCGAATTGTCTCTGAAAAAATAATCAAACGTCTTTTTATAACTCAGCAAAATAAAATTGTTACTTGGCATGAATTAAAGACATTTCTTACTGAAAGAGACTGTACAAGATTATTATCAGACTGTTTTTATTTTAAAGGTCAAGGTCCTCTTGACAAAGAATGTGATAACTTAAAAGCAGCGTGTTATAAAAAAGGACTTGAATCACAAGCAAATCAAGCATTACAAGACAAAATGAAAGGGAAATTTCATGATACAAATGATACATTGCTTAATATTCAAAAGGAGCTAGTAAAGGTATGTCTGGGTCTGAAAGAAAAAAGCGACCACTTATTTGTCTTGTGCACGCAACCAAAAGACGGGGCCGTTACATTATTAAATGATTTAGATATGAAGACAAACTTATTGCAGGAAGATTTGAATGAAAAACGAGATTTTCCTACGAAGAAGGATTGCAAAGAATTGCGAAAGAAATGCGACGATCTAAAACAAGATTTTGAGGAACTTGAATGGCCTTGTCATACGCTAGAGCATCATTGCAATAGACTAAATATTGCAGAAGAATTGGAAGAGAGGTTCTTGGAAGGAAAGGTGAAGGATTTGGATAAGTTCGATTCATGTTTAAAAAATTTGGGAGAACAATGTCATGAATGGAACAGAAAAGGAAGAACACAGTTTGCTCTTGCATGTGTAGCACAGAATATTACTTGCAAAATTCTTACAAAAAGCGTAAAATCTAAGTGTATTATATTGAAGGCACGTATGAAAAAAAGTAATGTTGTAGAAGCAGCAAAAGGAGAAAAAACAATGGAAGAAACATGTGATTCTTGGGAACCTTATTGCAGAAAATTCATGTCAAGTTGCCAGAATCTAACGACTGCTGGTGGCGGAGAGTGTGAAAAGCTTAGTGAGGAGTGTAAATCATTCACCGAAAAGAAGGAATTGGAATTGAAAGTAGTTGATCAATTAAAGGGTCATTTGGTCACAAAAGAAAAATGTAAGGATGAACTTGACAAATACTGCACACAATGGGCGAATGCAAGTAATGGGCTTGAAACTTTGTGCAAAGAAAATGGTAAAGGGGATAATCAAGTTAGGGAAGAGCTTTGCAAGAAATTAGTAGAACAAGTAAAAAAGCAATGTTCTGGATTACAGAAAAAACTTGCAGAGGCCAGTAAAGAGCTGGAAAAGAAAACTAGCGAATATGAGGATATCAAAAAAAAAGCAGAAGATGCAATGAAAAAAGCAAGTCTTGTTTTATCAAAAGAAAAAGTAGAAAACAATAAATCGGAAAACGAAGTTGTGCCTAGTGCACCAGCCGTACCTAGTGGAAAAGATACAAAACCGTTTAGACTTATAAGAAGAGATGCAACAGTGAAAGTAACAGAAGACGAAGCAAAAGCATTTGATTTGGTAGCACAAGCATT